AGAACAAGCCTATTTATACAGGGTACAAACTGTGGTATATTGGCGATCATAGTTATATTTAGAGCTGGCTATTTTACTCTCGAATAGAGGGCGTTGAAACGCTCGAAAAGGGTCAAAAAAAACGAGCTGGCCGCGCCTGCGCTCCGCAGGTCATACAGAAAGCGTCTCTTTAGCACCCACATTCACACTTGTTCTACGTCTAGCTAAACAGCTTCCGAAACAGCTCAAATTCTGCATCAATTTAGATAATCTCTTTCTAAATGTACCTGTTACGCAGTGCCTTTTGGCTATAGGGGTCTATTGCATGAGTACAACACGCAAAAAGGCTGATGGCGCTTTCCCTCTGATCTTCAGAGTCATTTTGATAACAATAATAAGCTGTTATAGGACTCTACTATAGCAAAAGTAGTAGATGACAACGTTATATGCTTTATTTAGCAAGATATAATAAGGCTGTAGGCGCTATTTCGACTGCTTATAGTCTTAATAGACCTGAGGATAAAATTTAACGCCTGCAGAGATGCCTAAAACTGACTTCCGAAAATGAACGCATTCTACGCCCTGTTTTTGACAGTCAACCCTTTAAAAAGCTCTTTATACTAAAGACTATTAATGATTACAATCATTATATAAAGGGCGTAGACCAGGCTAATTAACTACGTGCAGGCTTTACGTGCTATAAAAAGAAGAATTATCAAACGTGGTGGCCCTTATTTTTCTTTCTTATTGACGTTGCTAATACTAACGCTTATTTGTTATAGAAATAGAGTAATAAGGAGCAAAATCACGATAGTTATAGGACATTTATAAGCGCCTTATACGACTATTTATTATATTTGAATAATCTAAAGAAGGAGAAGAAGGAGAAGAAAAAGAAGGAGAAGAAGAAGAAGGAGAAGAAACTGCCTAAAACTGACTTCCGAAAATGAACGCATTCTACGCCCTGTTTTTGACAGTCAACCCTTTAAAAAGCTCTTTATACTAAAGACTATTAATGATTACAATCATTATATAAAGGGCGTAGACCAGGCTAATTAACTACGTGCAGGCTTTACGTGCTATAAAAAGAAGAATTATCAAAAGAGTGTTGGGAAATGCCAGGAACGCTACATACAAATTACTACTGCGGAGTCACGCCAAGACCCAAACGCCGAATGCACCGTTGCCGAATGCACCGCTGCGAATGCACCGTTCCGAAGGCATTCCGACTAATTATTACATTCGAATAATCTGAAGAAGGAGAAGAAGGAGAAGAAGAAGAAGGAGAAGAAATAATCTTATCCTTAACCCACAACAGTGTTTAAACGCCACCATAAACACATACAAATGAAAGAGCGTGGCCGGTGCGAATAGGGAAGACTCCATTCACCAGGCTGCCCACGCAAAAGAGCACCCAAGCGCAAATTTAGCGCAGATATTACAGAATTTACTCAAAATAGCGTTGCCAACGGTATTTTAGGTGGTTCTCACACGGCCTATATGTGTAGTAAATGTCAAATTTGGCTTTGTATCGAAGGGGAATGTTGGCAACGATATCATCACTCAATTGGAGTCAATTGCTAGATAGAATGGCCTCAATTCGCTCGAAACAGGTGTTTGTTGACATTTTGAATCCCTTATCAGTGATCGACAGCGCTAATTGGCACAATCTACATCCCTGTCCGGGGACGAAGGGGATAGAGATCTCCGTAAAAGGGTCATCCTTCAACCTGCTACTCAGTGACCTGGTGAAAATGGTCCGGAGAGATGAATAAATTAGCCATTTTGGTGGAGAAAGTAGATTTGTGCTGGGTGGACTCACACAACTGTAGACATGAGTGTTTGTATGATCCATTGTCACACAAAAGCAAGGCTGCCCTGTTGACGTGATGCCCCGGGTTCGCTGGGTATGATGGCCATTGGATCTACGTCTTTACTGCTTGCCCACCCGGGGCTTCACGGCACCACACACACGGTGTAGCAAGACAGTTCACCTCAAAATTCATACCACCCCATCATAAAAACTCTGTGACCAAAACAGCGATGACATTGAGGATATGAGGCGGCTGGTGAGTTCACTCTATTGGTATGTAAACCATGGTGAATTGAAAGAAGCGCAGTGGAGAAGACAATCGCAACTCCAACAACTCCTTCCAGACATGATTGCTATAGCGATGTAAATGACATTCTTGAGCAGAGACTCAGATCACGGTACGCCTCCAAACAGGAACAGCACAAAACCTACTACCAGGTCAAAGACGAGGATTTGTTGGGAATGGGTTTCCGTGTTCCTCCTCCTCACGATGGCAGTCTGCCAATTGAAATCCTTGGAGCTTCAGCATCTCGGGCTTGCTCGGTTATGGAACTGCACTGCGCTGCACAGTCATTACACGCCAGGATCGCCATGATCCGTAAGCTCTAAGGAGGTGGGGTGGTACATGTGGGAACAGCCATTGTGGTCCCCATGGGTCTCTCAGGAACAGCCTATCAGATGTTTAAAAATTGACTCCTGAGTCCCAGTGGACTCATGTGAGTTTCTTGTTTCAAGCAACTCCTGTAGGATCCACCTAAATCTCAGTGCTTGCAGATCATCCCCTTCTGGTTTAGCCGGTGCGTGAGGCGCTGCCAAACAAGTATTAGGTAACAATGTTCATCAAATCAAGAACAACCTACGGAGAGACATGCAATTTCTCCTTGGTCTCCTATGGATGAATTGGCACGTAAGCCTGTAAAAGCATTGTCCTTAGGCTGCACAGTACATTCAGATACGAAGCCGTTTCGCAGTCGACGATAGATGCTTCATAGATACTTCACGTACACTTCACGTACACCCCACGCACACCCCTTTGGCTGGGACCCAATAAGGGAGCTAGCTGCATTGCACTGCATAGCATAAAATGGAGGAGCTGGATTGTGGGTGCAGTTATCCTCTGACAGGCTTGCACACCAGTACTCCATTATCTCCTTATGGTTGCGATAAGCAAATGTATATGAGATATGCAGTTGCCACTGGTGGCTAAAGAGCTGGGATAATGATGACAGAGAATGTTCAGATCAGACCATTCCAGAGCTGTCACAGATAGCTGAAAACATGGGGCAGCATAGGGTTGTCTTTGTTACCCTGTTGCATTCCACCTGTGGACGACTTCTCGTCCACAGACTTGCCTCCGTGACCGACTTCCGGGAGTATTGCAGTCAACAACCTTGTCTGACGTGCGACAATGGCCATCTTTCGGAACTGATGCATGCATCTGTGTACAATTTTATGACTACTGAATCATATGGGGTATACCGCCATATCATTCTGAAGGTGTTGTGCATCCCCAGGACGATATTTAGTGATAGATATCAATCCAAGTATCTGTAACATCCTATGGCGCTAGATTCTGTCGGCTTGGAATCGTCATTTACTTTTGGGGCAGACTTTTTTGGCAGTGGAGACCAGGATCTCCCCAATCGGCCCAATTATTGGTAGTTAGCACTACTGGCGGTCAGTAGCTTCAGCCTCTAATCGCTCCACAGCATCCCATCGTCTCCTCAATCAATTCACCACCACCGCTACCTCCTATCTCTTGACACTTTCAACACGCTCATGGTCATCGTCGTCTGGAACGATCCATTGACGACGACCATGTGCTCTCCTCATTGCTGAGACCATACAGCGAGCCTTTGGGAGGTTGTGGCCCCTGGGTGGTGGTTTGAAAAGATTGATCCTCTACATCGTCAGGCGCTTATCACAGGTTTGTCAACGCGAATCAATTGGAACAGTTCCAAGAACTGACATCAGTGTAGAGAAGTTGGGCGACTACCTACCTCGGCCGCATATATTGTTTGCCCTGTGTTCTGTCGTTGACGACGACTAAGCGAACCTCGCTTAGCTTCAACTGTGCACTCCACATCCCGTTCAATCTTCGAATTTCTTGTTGTTTTGTCGCACACCTCACGCGTCGAACTGAGGTTCAATTCCAGCTCCTCAAGTCAGAGCTATTATATGCAGCTCAAAGCGCTATCACCAGCCCGAGCAATCAATTTGCGGAAGTCTACATTGGTTGTGGGAACAATATCTACGGGACCTACATCCTTAAGAGCTACACTGCACCATACTACTAGCTCACCATGATTGCATGGAGGAGGCTCAGGGCGCTGGCACAAGCCTTGCTTCTTGTCAGCTTGGTACAGGCACTGGAGATCAACTATTGCTCGCCGGACAACACGGGTTCCAGCTTTCAACCAGGTAAAGGTCTATGTCATGCCTAACCAAACCATCCACTATTGACGACCACCGTAGTTGAGGATTCTTACCAGTCCAACGGGGCTTGTCAAGATACATGCAAGAGCAGTTATGCCTTCGCTGTTATTCAGGGTCAAAACTGCTGGTGTTCAAATTATGCTCCTGGCTATAGTGTCAACACCTTGAACTGCCAGGATTCTTGCCCTGGATACCCTACAGAGTGGTGTGGTTCATCATCCAGTGGCCTTTACGCATACTTCCAGCTCACCCTATCCCCGTCTGGCACCTCTGCCCGTTCATCTGCACGACCTTCAAGTACTCGTGGAAGCTCAGTGAGTGGCCCTCTCACTACTAAATCTCCAAGCTCTTTTTCTTTCTCAGGGCCTTCGTCCCCGCCTGTTGTCTCTTCAGAAGCCGGACCCCGGCCTGCCACTTCGTCAGTGTTGACGGTCATCACTACGCAGACTACTGCGCCGGCTGGGTCGGAACAGCCCACTGTGACTGTCACCGAGAAAGCGCCCTCGCCGAGTCCTTCATCCAGTGTATGGCCCTCATCTTCCATACCACACAGTTTATGGCTTGGGAAACGATGCATGCGCTTTATGAGAAGTCTTGCTGACCAAGAATCAGGAGCGTGTCGTCTCAACTGAGGTCGTTTCAACCACAGTGGTGAATACATCCATATCTACTCCCACCGCTACACCTATACCAACTACTCTGGTCACATCCTCCAGTACCTTCAGTCCTTCACCAACTCCTTTGCCGACCGAAGCTCCTAGCCTCGTTCCATCTGTCATCACGGTCACACAGAATGGAACAACAATCACCAGCACAGCTAGTGTGGCTCCCAGCACCGACCCAGCTCTTGGACAATCTTCGCCTCCACCTAGTGGCGGGAACCCTGGCAGAATGGCTGGTATCGCAATAGGCGCTGCCGTGAGTCTGGCGGCCATACTCGGACTAGCTTTCTGGCTGTATCTACGTAGAAGGGGACAGAATCTGTCACCACCCAGGACACCAGAGAGCGATCGAGCGGATGGGGTTAAAGGCCTTCCTACGCGTCATGCTAGCCAGATGTCGCAGGCTGGTTTAATTGACAAGAATCCCAGAATTATTACCACCGGCTTACCCATAGGCTCCAATTCCAACAGCGCTGGCACCTCACTTTCTCCGAGCCACCGCTACAGTGCTGGTACCGACTTGAGATTGAATCCGAATGCTATCTACACATGCGAAGAGAGTCAGCACAGTAGCGTGTCCCTTCAGGACAATCGTGATTATTCGAGGCAATTGCAAGTGAGTCAAGGCTCTATTTCTCAATGATTTTCATGTCTTGAATCTTATCTGACCCTTGTGACAGGTCCGCAATCCCGATTCTTGAACAAAATGAACAGCATTATCATAGACTTGTGGCATCATGAGAAACGAACATCTCGCTAATACAGACCCTGGAGTAGTCAATACAATAAAACTCCTCCTACAGTCCCATCATTTCCTTCGCCTTGCATCGCCACAAGCGGCGTCATCTAATCATCCAGCGTGCTGCATTTTGCTCAACGACTTTCACGATGGGACGGGTGGGCTACTCTCTCCTCGACGACCGATCGCATGGGTCTAGCATTTTCAGGAATTCTGGGAAAACAGCAGTGTACATCAGATCGAGCGGAAGGAGTTTTGTATGCTTTACATTTTCTTGTGCTCTTACTTTTTGAGAGCCTTTGTCTGGAGGTATAGCACCGAGGGCTAATATGCAAGAAGATCTCTGGCGGCTTTCCACCAACACTCGGCGGTCGTGCAGGAACATAATGTGATGGCTTCAGGGCGCATTAAGACGGTGTCCCCCACGATACTACCACTTGCACTTTCTGGACTTTCCACATCCAGGCTTGCAGTCGGTAAGTACATGTACAGCAAACGAGCCGTTGGAAGTGCTCCTTCGGTGCTCTGATGGTCACCCGATGACAACGGACATAGATATGAAGTACGCATCTTGTTCGGGCCACTCGCTCTTAGAGCATTATGAATTCGTGATGCATTAGAATAACTCCACCCGCATAGCCTGAAACTCGTCTGAGGATGGACCAAGACGTTGGCTGGGGGCGGAGTTGTGCTGCACATGTTTTGAGTTGCGGGCCGCCTGGGGGTACATATGTAATGTTACGATGGCTTACAAGATTGTCCGTCATCCGCACCCCATCCCGTGCCATTTGTGTTGAATTCGTCGTTCATCAGGCTGGGGAAGTAGAATCCTAGCATACCAGTGGAAAGTCCTCCTGAAGTACCTGAAGTACCTGAAGTGTCCATATCTGCTGGTGTTCGAATGTCTGATTAATATTCCCACTGGGGGCACACCGATACCGATAACACTACGTCTCAAGAGCATGCGAAACTACGTCAGTTGGGCAGTAACATTCTTTTCTTGGCCTGGCTCCTTACGCCCCCCCACTCGATTCTTCTGACAACGAACAAAGTCCATCATCTCTCGAACCATCGTGCCACATTTCCACGACTAGGCATAAACTCCAGACCGAAGTCTCCCTTATCCCTTCTTTCAGGAACCAGAAGTCTGTCAATTTACAAGGCATAGAATTAGTTTGTTGTTGTCATCCCACTTGTGAGGTTGCAAGCCTTTTACCCCCCTGATCCTAGCCTTGGGCCTTGTTGCTGACCATGGCGGGTCGTCGATTCGCTCCAAGCGAGGTTTCTGATCGGTATGAAACCAGAAGAGACTACGCACGCTCTGAGATAGGCCGTCGAGATGAACGTATCTGGGAAGAAGAGTTGGAATACCGCTCCCGTCCACCACCACCACGGGGGCGAGAGAGGACAACTGTTGTGAAGGAAGAAGTGCGAGTGAAGGAACGTTCGCCACCAGATTTCTTGCGAGAAAATTATGGACGTACAACCTCGGGCCCGGTGGTTCTCCGAGCCAGAGAACGGGAGGACTTTGAATTTGTCCCACGTCCGCGTCGAAGGTCGCCAAGCCCAGAGCTTGAGCGCAAAATTGAAAGGGAAGAAATCATCGTGAGGAAAGAGCCAGAGGTCAGGCGAGAGCCCCCTCCACCCCCACGAGACTACGAGCGAGAAGAAATCATTGTTCGAAGAGAAGATCGAACGGCTGAACGAGCAAGGCCCCCACCTCCACGAGAGGTTGAGAGAGATGAACTCATTGTCCGAAGGGAGGAGCGGGGTGGGAACCCCAGATACTCGGCAGTATATGAAAGGAATGATGTGATCGATCGTCGCCCACCGCCTCGTGATGACTATGAAAGAGAGGAAATCATCATTCGCCGTGATAGAGATGATTCACGTGACGCTCCGCGGTATCGAGGTCGAGACGACCCGTATCCTCTTCCACGTGCTGTCTCTCATGAACGGGAGCGTTCTCGTATGGGACGTGGTCGCTCTGGTAGCGACACAGATGAGATCATAATTAGACGAGATGAGCGTGAAGGTCGGAATGGTAGGGAGAGGGAGAGAGAGGAGATCATCATCCGAAGACATGACTCCCGGTCCCCCAGTCCAGCATCCAGTCGAGGTGTTAGCGTTAGGCCGCCACCTGAACCTCCTATCATAAACGCGCCTGCCATTCATCAAGAGGTCATCACACATCATAGACATGTTGATCATGGCTACGAACTGGCTCTTGCTCCCATTGCTCCACCGGCCCGTTTCAGGCCTCCGTCTCCTCCCACGCCACCTCAAGAAGAGGAAAGGATTGAGATCCGTCGCCGCGGAGAGAAGAACGGCAGAGCTTATGATGAGGATATCATCATTGACCGTAACCAGTCAAGATCTGCCCCTCCGACACGTGATCGACAAGACGATGATTTGGATCGCGCAGCGCTTTATGCTACTCCTGCTCCATCCCGAAGGCCCGCTCCTCCAGAACGATGGCGCGATCCACGAGATTCACGGGATATCCAGGAGGAAGCGGAGTATTATAACCAACGAGCGCTCGATCGCACTTATCCTGGAGAAGGCTATCACGGGTCAACGGCTGACTGGGCGATTGTCGATGTGCCACCAGGAACTCGGCGTGTGCGTATGGATGGGGCTGGCGGCGGAGCCCAAGAAATCACTTGGCAACGTTATAACGGGGTGAGAAGGAGTAAGTTCATGCCAGATGGTAGCGATGAAGGATACGGCAGCGAGGTCGGCAGACCAGCGCCAGCTCCAGCTCCAGCTCCTGCTGCTGCTGCTGCTGGAGGAGAAATTGGACGACGATACATGGGAGTCAAAGACCCTAGAGAGGGCATGTGGACAGAAATCACCAAAGACCTGGTAGTCAAAGAAGCTATCGTTGAAGCTGGTTATGAGTTTGAGGAGACGGATGATTTCTTTTATGTTATTGCCTATCTAAAATACGTAAGCTCCACCTGACCTGACCCAGCTGAATTACAAAGTATCTCTGACAGCTTGCACAGGAGGATGTCGCTCGTCTGGTCGGTCTTAGCGAAGACATCAGACATGCTAGACGCAAGCGCATGAAAGAAATCGACTGGGAAAGGAGAGCTCTCCCTCCACCAGAAGCACCCAGGAGACCCTTGGCCATTGAGGATGCCCCTAGTAGGCCAGCGCCCGGGCCCTGGGATCGAGAAGACGAACGTGTGGTCGAGCGAGAGTGGTATCGCCCTCGAGCACCACCCCCTCGGTGGTAGGAGCCATCATAGTCACCTTTAGGAGATCAATTTTCTCGCATCAAGATCGTCCTTCTCCCTACAACTTACGACATGACATGACGATAGCATTGACACGAATGGGTGTTGGTGGGGCCCGTATTGGAAAATTCGAACCAAGTGAAGTGAGTCGTGGCGACCCTCTATAGATGGTTTTGCATCAGCTCAATGGATTGAAGATAACGTTTGGGAACATGTGTTGCGCTACATGAATGGAAATATCATGACCATAACATATAACGATACTCACGATTCTTTTCGATAGCATTTCAAGTAGTTTCTCAACATGATTTATTCCTTCCGGATATCCCTTGTATCTAAATCATGCAGCACCAAACTCCAGTACACCAGAGCATATGTACATAATGCGTTTGCAATATCAAGCATCCATCTCTGGGTGCCATCCCTATGCGCTCCTCTATCCTGTAGCACTGCTTGCTCCACCAGCCGAGCCGGGGCTCTCCATTCCACTATGCTGATTCCCATGACCTTCCCCATGCCCATGATGTTCATCCTTCATAAAAGCTGCCTCGTAGGCCAGGTATCCCGCAAAAGCAACGGTTGCTATACCTAGCCCCGGAAATGCTCGTCTGAACCGATTGTACCGTGTAAAGGGACCTGTGTATCGCCATTGCTCGCTGCGTACTATCTGTCAGAGGAGGCCCCATGTAAATTTCTGGGGCTTCTGGAACTAACGCTCTTGCCCATGGATCTCTTGACTGCCATACTCTGCTTGTCGAAGCTTCCACTAAGGTGCTCTTGTCGAAGCCAGTGGGGTTTGATGGTGCCATGATGTAGTCGTGGAGGAAAGCCTGCCGAGAGCTCTGACGGCTGGCTGATGGAAGCTAAGAGGGTTGAGGGAGGGTAGACTCTCCCAGCGCTTGATTCGGTCGCCTCTGATAGGTACTGGAACTGGATTGCAGTGCTGCACAGACTGTAGGGGAAGGTTGGAGCTTCATATGCCAAGAGTGCTGGGGGATGAATCCGAACATGAAGCACAGTGGTTCCCAAAGTTTTACGTCGCGAACTCGTACACACTCAGACATGTATACATGCCGTGTCCCCGTAGATGTGATCGAAACTATGGCGCGCTGGTAAGATTGAATTGCTCGGCAAGGAGAATTATCCAGAACATGTTTGCGCAGAGAGTTATTTCACTATAAAACAAGCTGACAGGTATTTCAGATGAACCTCCGCTCATATTGACTTCGCAACAACGATCTTACTTTCGCGCCTCATCATACGACAAGATGCCTCCTTCCGGCCGTCATGGACCACAGGGCCTCTATCCGAATTTCCAGCATATGCAGCAGTCACAATATCAACAAAATCAACAACCCCACCAACACCATCAAGCGCAGCACAACGCTATGCAGTTGCCTGCAGCTGGGCTTGGAGGTCATCCAGGCTTTATGTCTGGAATGTCACTGCCAGGTTCGAACATGAACAACGGCGGTTTCGACGGAGCTAGGTTAGCAGATGGTGGAGGCACAGGATTGGCTAGTCATTCTGCGCAAATGAGCTTTGCAAGGGGAGGGCAGATGCCACCACCACAAGGGCGCGTTTTGGACGGTAATGATGGAAAGGCAGGTCAAGCAAATAGCAGAATACGAAATGTATGGAAAAGCAATCTTGCTTCGGAAATGAAGGCATTGAGGCAGCTCGTGGACAAGTATCCTTACATTGCCATGGTAAAGCCCTTCCCTTGCGCCACTTTCTACCGCCGCAATGACTGACATGCCTGTAAGGATACAGAGTTTCCTGGAATTGTGGCACGTCCAATTGGACAATTCACAACCAAAGCGGACTATCACTACCAGACGTTGCGCTGCAATGTCGACCTCCTGAAAATGATTCAGCTGGGAGTAACCTTGTTCGCCGACGATGGCAGCTTACCGGCTCCAACTGATCCCGCAAACCCTCAGCCCAACTACCTGACTAACTTCATACCTTCGCCATATTCGTGGCAATTCAACTTTTCTTTCTCCTTAGCATCCGACATGTACGCACAAGAGTCAACGACAATGCTCGAGAAGGCTGGCATCGACTTCTCGGCACACGAAAAGAATGGAATCGATCCCAAGGACTTCGGTGCTCTTTTGTACTCCAGCGGACTTGTGCTCGAGGAAGATGTTAATTGGATCTCATTCCACTCTGGCTACGATTTTGGATACCTGATGAAAATCATGCTGCAGAAACCACTTCCAGAAGACGAAGAGGAATTCCACAAGCTGCTTACAATCTTCTTCCCAAGCTTATATGACATCAAATTCCTCCTGAAGCATGCTGCGCGCAATCAAACAGTCAACAACAACCAGCAGCTCACAGCTGAAGCCGGAACTATCCTGCAGAAACTGCAGACCAAGTCGGGCTTACAAGACATTGCAGATGAGCTTGGCATAAACCGAGTCGGTATCGCACACCAGGCCGGTAGTGACTCCTTGCTTACCGGGCAGGTCTACTTCAAGATGAAGGAGAAGATCTTTGGTGGCGACATCGACCACGAGAAGTATTCAGGGCAGGTGTGGGGCTTGAACGGGCAGATGTCCGCAGCCACGAACAGAGATTTTGCAACGCCGAACATGAATGGAGCTACATTCTACAATGCTAATGGCACACCCAGTACACCGCAAACCAACAATGTGGGCCTGGCTCAGCAGAATCATACTCCTGGGCCGCAGGCGAATCATGGCGGTATGGGACATCTGACGCCAGGCGGTGTCGGTGGATTTGGCCAGTTTCAATACGCTAAAGCGTGATTGAGGTATGGCATTGCTGTTTCATCTCAGGAGTATGAATTATTAGGAAGACGGCAATTCTGAATACATGTTAGTTCTGATTTCTCAAAGCATAGCCTCGGAGAAGGACTGGCGCTGAATAGTGGGAAACCGGTAAATTGGGTTCTATGATAGCAGTTCCCATATCCTGTAGATTTTACAGGCCAATCTGACTTGTCTGTTATTCTGCCCCTGCTTCAACGGCAGAATCCCTTGCTTGTAGTAATAGAAAGCTCTCACCCTACTCTCAATCTTCTGTACAAGCATACTTCCTTATATGGGCATGCATTTGCTATCTGCTTCTAAGGGCGGCAGGGACAGTCATCACAAGCTCATAGGAGCTTGATAGGTGTCATCAGCGTTTCATTCGGGAGTTCTTTGAGAACAGCGAGATCTGGGGCCACTTGAGATTGGTCATTTTTGCCTGAGCAATGAGGCGACATCTTCCGTTGCTCTTGTGTTTGCTTTTTCCTAAAGAGTGATGAGCAATCGACAGAGCCGCAGTGAAGATATGCTAGCACCTAAACGGGCAAAAGATACGGGGTTCGCAGCCAAGGCTTGACCCCTGAAGCATTCTCCATCGCTCCCTAATTTGCCGTGGTAGTCTTATCGTCTAGAACTAGTAGTGTTTTGGGGTGGGGGAGGGGAGAGGGGTATGAGGGGAGGAAAAGGTAAGAAGACCGTTTCTGCATAGACCTGCCTCTTTCATCGAGTCCTTCCAGATATGTAGAAAGTCAATCATAATCAAGCTGCTGGACTCAAGCTCTGGCTGACTCTCCACCTCACCTCCCGCTCAACGACCTCGATACCATCAGCATTACCCCCAAAAGTATCAGCTTCCTACTACATCATGGTTCTGGACCGATTGAAGCAGTTGGCCCAGCAGGTCACCAATAGCGTATCTCCTCCCCATCCGTTTGACCCGCTGTCCTCGCTCGAGATTGAGACTGCTACTTCCCTTGTCCGGGGCGAACATGGCTCGCTCTTCTACAACGCTGTCACACTTGATGAACCCAAGAAAGCTGATATGCTTGCATGGCTTGCGGATCCAGATCACACCCCTCGTCCACACCGCATAGCAGATGTAGTTGCAATTGGGAGGGGCAGCAAGGTGTTCGACGGGCTCGTTGACCTTGACGAGCGCAAGATTATACAATGGAAGGAAACTCCAGGCGTGCAACCACTGATCACCATGGAAGACCTCCAAGTTGTCGAGCATATCTGTCGCCAAGACCCCAAAGTAATTGAGCAGTGTGGCATCATTGGCATCCCCAGCCAGGATATGGACAAAGTCTACTGTGATCCATGGACCATTGGATATGATGAGAGATTTGGAAGTGGCATTCGCTTGCAGCAGGCGTTGATGTATTATCGTCCACACGTTGATGACAATCAATACGGCTTCCCGCTAGACTTCTGTCCAATATTTGATGCTGACAAGCAAGAGATCATCCATATCGACGTCCCGAAGGAGAGACGGCCGGTCAACCAAGCGCCTGCTAACAATTACCATCCGACCGCCATAAAAAACTCGGGCGGATACCGAACTGATCTCAAGCCTATCAACATCACTCAGCCTGAAGGTGTAAGCTTCAAGGTGAACGGCAGAATCATAGAATGGCAGAACTGGTCTGTCCATGTCGGCTTCAATTATCGAGAAGGAATTGTGTTGAACAATATTACGTACTTTGACAAGACAGAGAACAAAGTTCGGCCCATCTTCTACAGACTATCACTGGCTGAGATGGTTGTACCGTACGGCAACCCAGAGCACCCTCACCATCGGAAGCATGCCTTCGATCTCGGCGAGTATGGTGGTGGATACATGACCAACTCGCTTGCCCTTGGTTGTGACTGCAAAGGCTCGATCCACTATATCGACGCAAACTTGGTTAATCGTGCCGGAGCAGCAACCATAATTAAGAATGCTATCTGCATTCATGAAGAAGATGCCGGCATTCTGTTTAAGCACACTGACTTCCGTGACGACTCTGTTGTTGTTACACGCGCCAGAAAGTTGATCATCTCCCATGTCTTCACGGCGGCCAATTACGAGTACTGCGTGTACTGGATTTTCCATCAGGACGGAACGGTCCAGCTCGAGATTAAGCTTACAGGTATCTTGAACACGTACCCCATGAACCCAGGTGAAGATACCAAGGGCTGGGGTACACAGGTCTATCCTGGTGTCAATGCTCATAATCATCAGCATCTCTTCTGCTTGAGGGTTGATCCCAACATCGACGGCCCAAACAATACAGTTTTTCAATCCGATGCTGCACAAGGACCAGGTGATGTGGGTTCTGTGGAGAACAAATACGGCAATGCCTTCTACGCGAAAAGAAAGAGATATACCAATCCTGTTGAGAGCATGTCAGATTATGATGGACAGAGTACACGCACGTGGGAGATATGCAATGAGGACAAACTGAACCCGTACTCCCACAAGCCAGTATCGTATAAACTCGTCAGCAGAGAAGTGCCGAAGCTCCTTCCGAAAGAAGGCGGCCTTGTATGGAAACGAGCGGGTTTCTCTCGACATGCCGTCCACGTCACCAAATGTAAGCTTTTGCATTCTTCTCGTCCCCTTTCTTCTCCTACCTCAACCTTTACTAACAACAATGGTTTTCCGGCTTCAGATAACGACAACCAGATACATCCTGCAGGCCGCCACGTCCCGCAAACTTCAGGCGATCCCGCTCGAGGGCTCCCTGAATGGATTGCCGCCAACCCAAACGAGAACATCGCCAAAGCCGATATTGTCCTCTGGCACACATTCGGCATCGTCCATTTCCCGAGCCCAGAGGACTTTCCCGTCATGCCAGCCGAGCCAATGACGCTGCTGCTCAGGCCTAGGAACTTCTTCACCAGCAACCCGGCATTAGATGTACCGCCTAGCTTTGCGAAGACGCCGAGCGAGGTGCTTGCTGGTAAGAGAGGCTACGATAGCAACAAGGATAAGGCGAGCGTGCTTGTTTAGCGGCTGCTAATGGTCTTGAAGATGAAGTATTGGTCTTTTGAGAGGAGAAATTGCATTGCGGATCTTAATGTACGACGTTTACAATAAGCGATACGTGGACCGGATATTTCAATGAAATACTGACGGCCTACTCTCTATCCATATCCTCTTCGCTGTCACTCTTTCTCTCGTCTCTCCAATTATTCTCGCCTGTAGGTAGTCCTACAGTTTACTCGCTCAGCTCAGTCATGGAAACTTTCTCTGTTCCGTGTCAAAAAAACACCATGCCAGCCTCCAGCTATGATGCTGATACGCCTACAAGCCAGATTGAGATCTGATATATATCGAATGAACGACGATGTCGCATTCAAGATGACTATGAGTAAGTGTTTCTCGGTACCTTTCCTCATTTGTTGATTGCCGAGAATATATGCACAAAGCGACCTACAGATTTGCACGTTCACCCACTATGTCTCTTGCTCAATAATATCCAACAAGCACAATCCCACAATAGCTACCCCAATCTTGAACATTCAAAGCACACCTCGCCTCGAACAGATAGGGCAAAGTTAATTCAGCCAGCTTTCCATAGACTCAGAAACGGTACACGAGCAGTTCAATCGCCATGCCGGAATCCTCAAAGCCCATCCAACCTTCGACTGGGACCACTCAATCCACAACCAAAGCCCAGCACGGCCCAGCAGCATCAGAGACATCAGATATCACACCAGAACGCGCTGCAGAGCTGGCAGACATTGCGAAAGCTGCGCTCTCTCTGCTGGAGAACAAAGACACAAAAGCAAGACCTTGAACTGCCTGCCTTCACCCACGGGCCGGTAGACAAGCACAATATAGCCTTTCAACCCTCTTGCCTCCTACGCCGGATCGATATATGAGATGGACCAACTAGATTGAGAAAAACACCTCATCCAATGCTAAATGAGGGTAATGGTGATACAGCAGGAGCCAAGGCAGTTCACATGAGGTCTCCGGCAGAGCAAGAGCAAGAGGGAGAGGGGAGAGAACAGGTGCCCAACACATTTTTTTCACAACGGAATCCACGACAGGGCACAAGTGGGAGCTAAAAGACAAGGAAGGAAACTGTTTGGCAAATGATGAATCTGTAGTTTCGAGGCAGGGAGCCCCCTGGTGTTGGTGCTTGTGTGGTTACTTGCTTCTGAACCGAAATATTCAAATGGCTCGGATGGAGTCCCGGTATGGAGATGAGTAGTCAGCTACCTACTAAGGCTTGTATCTGATGATGAGCAAGAGTAACAGTACGAGCGTGCTCCTCCGTGTAAGCAGATGGTAACTGAACCCCGTATTCACTACACAGCTTGCATTGAGTGAAGAAGGTGCTTTTCCAACATGAGGATCTGAATCTATCAACCACTGTTTGTCTCGTGGTGGCTACTGTAACGTACTAGTAGGCTCGTTAAGTTACCAAGGAGCAGTATTGCCACAGTAGTCTTCACAGTGTGCCCTACCGGGTATTAAACGTGCTTACGGTATTTACGTAATGATTACCCTCCCCAACCCCAACCCACTTCTTTGATTTTTCATTCTCTCCGTTCTCTCATCCACGAAGTTGCCCTGAGAGATTTCACGGAGCAACTGTGAAGGTCTTGTCCAATGCTTCTTTTTTTCAAAATTCATTTTTCTACAATTTACCTGTCAGATACTTGTCAACTTGGCTCTTCCATCAGAGCTCAGCCATTGGGCGGAGTAAGCCCTTTCATGGACTAAAATCAAACAAAGATCAATAATGGATTCACTGCACGATCAGCGATCAGCGGTTTGAACATGCAATCACTGAAGCTGAAACGGTCAAATGCATGGGTGAATGGGTTTTGACTAGATATTGCACTATCTGAGCGCACAATTCCGCCGCAGTCCCAACTGTACTCCTGAATCTGTTCCTCGCTCCATCTCCGCTCTCTGGTGCCGGCTGACCACGTTCTCCCGGGTAGAGATGAGTTTCGAGATGCTATTCTTCTGCGTGCTGGATGGTCCAGTCCCCATGTAGTGATGGTTTAGCAGAGAGCCTGCGACAAGGTTTTGTGCATAGCGGAGACTCCGGCCAGCATTTCGATGGTTGAATTTCTGATTCATGTCTTCGAGGTGGCTAATGGAAATTTTCTGGATGCCGGTGTCCTCGCATTTGGACTCGCATCGGAAATAGTGGTAAGAAGTTGGGCTGGAAGTTGTGCGGGTCTTTCGCCCACTCAAGCTGGATGATGACTCAACTTGCGATGAACATTGACAAATGGACACTATTCTCTTCGATGTGGCTGACGTTGATGATGAGCTGGTAGTAGCCGACTTCTCCCATCAGCTGAGGTGGAGTCGGTGGGGTTGGGGTGGGGATCTCGCACCCACTAACAGATCGATGGCGCCTTCTCAGGATTCCCTTATCGTTCGAGACGGAGATCCTGTACTTGCCTTGAACATCGCTCTCATCATTGACATTGACTCTGGTAGCATCAATGTCATCGTCATCCATCACTACCGCCATCACCATCGCCATCGTCATTCATATCTCTATCACCATCCTCGTCCTTCCAACATTAATTGGCCGGCTCTTCCGTGATGTCGTTAGCAGTCTGACTCCTGCACTGAAGCAACATGTTCATATTTGAGGAAGAAGATCAAGGCCGTTCGATAGCCTGAAACTACAGGTTTGGCCTGATTTCCGAGGTGGAACGTCTGATTCCAGCGGCTCGTCAAAGGATCTTTAGCAGCCCGATCCGACATCTTGGTTGTGGTCGATCTGTGAGAGACACAGATGATGTCAAGGGGTTGAATCTTCTGATGCGCCTCATAAAGAGGTCAACAACGTTCTGCAGCTCTGCCAGGATGCGTTCAGTGATCCTTGGTCGTACCATGGCAGGATCTTCAGCTGCGTTATCGGGCAGCCTACGAAAAGTGACTACAGATACAATGTAGCCAAATGTGGACAGCCTCTAAAGACCTTCGAGCGGCAGATTGTCTCGCCGGGAACTGATTCTGGTTCCTCGAGTTGGCGTCACAAATGGGCCAGCTCCATCAGCCGAGGGCTGGTTAGGGCACCATCTCGGCGATGATCATTGTTCTTGTGCAGTTGCAGAGCTCGTCGTGGTTTGCTCGACCGCGCTCTTTATAGAAAGCATTGGTGGATCTGGCATCAAACCATCAGGAAGGTGCCATGAGAACTTGAATCATGATGTGTTGGTGAAAGACAGGCGCAGATTGAGGTGTCTTGGCATCAGATCTCCATGCTTGAGGCATCCCACCCCCCTTCCCTTCCCTTCGAGCCCTCCCCAACCTCTGCAGGCAACACCCTCGCCGCTCTGTCATTCATTCTCCAAAACTCAGCTACAACAGCCCCTACCTTGGTCAACTGGCAGAAGCAGCTACCTAGAATTACTCTAGTGACTGCACCTCAAGCTTACGCTGACAATCTAATCCCCGTCCTCACCTAGAGCGGCTGAAGTACCACCGCCATTACCGAGGTGGGGGGATTGCGGAAAGACTCGCCAGCGCCCTGGCCTGAAACAGGTTCAGTGTAGAATCGGGCACAGAGACGTCAGAGCCGGGTATGATCGCTGGACGTGCAGTGGTTGGGGGATCGCGGAACACATCCGCCAGCGCCATAGACTGAAACAGGTTCAGTGTAGAATCAGGCACAGAGACGTCGGAGCCGGGTACAGTTGCTGGACGTGCGGTGGTTGAGGGATCGTGGAACATTCCATTCCGACCATCACATCGGGGCTACCCGAGGAAGAGGTGGTGACCAAACCAGCCGGCAGCGATGACCCCGAAGACCTCCGAGGAAATCACTGTGTGAGGAATTGCCATGAATATAAGGAAATGCACGCATCGGCATCCATACCACTCACCTGTGGTTTAGGTGTGGTAGTCGTGTCCACACCGCCATAGGACGATGCATGACCAAAGGTGTGGTGGTCATGGTCCTTGAGCGCCCACGCTATCTCTCTACCAGCGTTCAAGAACCTTTCAAGGCTTACCATAGCCTTTCAGGTCGTGGTGACGAAATTAGGCATTCCGCCCTTTTATTAAGACGACTTCGAGCATGTGCTCATTGTGTCAACAGACGAGCACTCAGTCTGGGAGTAAGGAAGAACAAAGGAGATAGTCTCCTGTACGAATCATCCACTCCCGGAAGCTTGTTTGCAGCATAATCATCGGCTCTCTTTGATTGGAGTGTGATTAGCTATGCTAGTAGCCTGTGATTGAAACTCCCCGTCATGCTTGATCATGACCGTATCCTGCGATACGTATGGAAGGTCGAGACCCTTTCGCAACCTCAATAACACCCAGGGGCAGATCACCTCCTAATACAGCCTGAGCGTCAGGGACCTCCGGACCCAGCGATAGCCATGATGATGGGCGATGTCCAGCGGTAAATCACCATCAAATACAGCTTGGGCGGCTGGGACTCAGTGACGGCCATGAAGGGACCCGTTATGAAACCGACCAGAGGCCGGGTATGAAATCGACCAGAAGGCCGGGTGTGAAATCGACCAGAGGCCGGGTATGAAATGTGAAATCGACCAGAGGCCGGATCGACCAGAGGCCGGACACATGTTGGGGAGCTGTGATTAGGGGCTCCCCAGAGCTGGAGAGAAAAGGACTTTGGTGAAGATGCGGGTCTCTCGCCCGCCCCTCAATTGTGCATAGCATGATGCCTATGCACACCTCACAAGCGCGAATGCGGTAACCAGGGAGATCTGTCTATAGCACTATGGTCAGAATCTGCAAGAGAATAAGAAGACCAATGGTTGACTTACATCAGCACACAGCGCATCTTCGCCGGCCCCATCTTATCAAAACCGACGAAGGCGATGATCCCCATATCGACACCAGGAGATAGTATCTGCTATGATAGCAGTTGGCAAGGTGTATTGCCCACCAAGGTCGACCTCCTTGCGGAGAATATCTACGCACTGGATGCGACCATACGTTGAGAGCGCTTCACGGATCTTGTCCTCGCCAACGTCCAAAGGCAAATCCCCAGCTGAAGACAGCTTGTGATTGAGGCACCCCGCAGGGCTCTTATACCCCGTCAGTTGGGAAATCCCCATCCTAATGACCGTGAGGGCCCCCTTTCCGGGGTGTTGTCGAGGTAGCACTTTCGTGCCTGCTTCATAGCAAACCTGGTGTGCATTGTCACGCCCCTGAGCTTTATCCTCTTTGCGCACAGCAGGCTTTCTTCAATCTCCGCAGCTCAGCCCGCCATTCTCCTCGTCTGGTAAACCTGACTCCACAGCAATGTGGGTTGGTGCAGCTTACGCTGCTGAGGACGCAGACCAGGCAATAATTCATAGCCTGACACCACAGCATTTTGTGGGTCGACGTAGCCCGAAGCTACTGGTTAGATCAGGCGGAATAAAAGTGGCCGTTCTTGACTCCACAGCCTTCTGTGGGTCTAGCTTGGACGCAAACACGGTGAACCTGTCGAGACCGTCTGAATCGAGCGAGTTGTGTGGAGAGCCGAGGGACTTGTAGGCCGCAAAGACCTGTATCGGCAGGATGGGAAAGCCAACGTTGCATATCAGATTGGTCGGCATTCTTCGCTGAGTGTTTTATCTTCGACGGCTTGTCGGGTCCAGGGAAGTTCTCTTCATGACCAGGGTCTAGGCCAGTATCAGTGGTGTAAGGTCAATGTACCCATTGGGAAGGAAGGGCGAATGCTCCATGATGACAGCAGAGGTGCGAAACTTCCGAACGAGACGGCCCTGCCTTGAATGGCTGTGAGGAAGATCTGAAATATTTATCCGGAAAGGGAGATAGTTGATGTGAAGGGATTCGTCTTCTTTCTTCGAATGCCATATGCGATACATCTTATGGGCGGCTCAATACTCCGGCTTCACATCGACATACGACATACGGTGCTCTTGCAGCTATTCTTGATCCAAACTCTCAGGGTCGTTTGGATAATAATCTGCGATGTTGAAATCGACAATCCTAGGGTGAATGCCAAGCAACGAACCGAGGTCCATGTCGACCAAGCTTTGCACGTCTTCGGACGAATCTGATTGACAATCTACCAGGAGCGCAAAGTCGGGTAGCTCTTCAGCAGACACGGCAGACTCAGATGATCCATATGTCGTGGAAGCTGGCGGATAGCGACTATCTTTAGTAACATCAGAGCGATACATTGTCGCCTGCGGCTTGCCCTTCGACCTCTGTCCGGTAGACGCCCTTATGGACCTTGTTCGACCATTCTCTGTGCAGAGCTCAACCGGGTTCGCTCCGATATGGTGGCTGTCCTGCCGTGACACGCCCATTACTTTTCTGGAATACGGAGGCAACACATAGTTCTCTTCGTATGGCAGCATGTCTAGTCCCAAGCTGTCGAAGAAATCCATATCTGCATCTGATAGTGCCGGCGTCTTTCGTGGCGGTGAACAGTGGGGCTGCGTATTTGTCGCACTCGCTTGGGTCTGAGCCTCTGATCCAGTCACACGCAAGCCGGAAGTCAGATCCTGGGGCTGCGGCACCTCTTCGGGAGCAGTATTGACTTGTGTTTGTACCAGGTCCTCATTCGTGTCGAGTTCGGAAAGGCTAGAAGCTTCGACGTCGCATCTGTCGCAATTCACAACTGCTTGTGCATTAGCAACCTTGCTCAAGCTGCTTTCCAGATCTGTTCCAGCTTCTTGGCCATCATCATCACTCTCGTCCTGATCAAGCAAGGCTCTCATATTTTCTTCCTTTTCGATCTTTGCATCTCCCTGCAACTCGCGACCAGCAGCACGCCGCATGTGGCCACCATAGATGAACGTGGCAGCTGCTAGAGCTCTGTCTTCTTTGACTGTTAAGTCGTCAAGGTGACGGGTGGTGTTTGCTTTGATCCATGTAGCATTGTTCTTCATCTCCGCTTCGAGTTTCCGGTCCCATTCACGGTCATGCTGGGCCTTTTTCCAGCAAATACACCTTCCACGATTTCTGAAACGTTCTTTCCGCTGAGTCAAAGCATTGCTGAACTTCTTGCTCTTCCAAACGTTATCATCCGCGTTGAAACGCATCCTTTGGATGAAATCCTCAACATCGATATTTCGGTTCTGACGTTCCCAGGTTTCCAAGAGCCAGCCTTCGACCTTCTTGGAGATTGTGACGGGAAGGTTGTCGAAAGCTTTCAATGGTCTGTTGTTGATCACATCGATAACGACTCGACGAAGACCATTATCATTGTAGGTGAGGAGCGAAGGGTTGGAGCTGTTCCATCCACTTCTGGGAATTTTGTATACAAAGAGAATATCAGGCCGATCGGCTCGTTCTGGCCCCCATGTGCGCTGACTTTCCAGGTATGCAGTGAAATCGTTGGCATCTTTGCCAGAAGCTCGCTTGTGCTCTGGTATTCATTAGTGGCGGATGTTTCCACAAGATCTGGGAGTGCCTCACCATAATTGGCAGGGTCAATCGATGCAGAAGGTAGGCGACTGACATAGTCAGGATGCGTGATCGCTGGTCCTAAGTCCGGTCAGCTGAGGCGCAGAGTCTATGGAGGCGGTACGTACTCCATTCTTCTCTAATGCGGACCTCCAGGCCAACATCAGAGATGTTCCGAATCTCGTTCTTAACAATTCTGGAATTCACTTTGGAAGGGTCTGGAAGTGGTTAGTATTAATGCCCGAACAGACAGTCAGCCACGAACTTCTCGTTTGGGCGGATCCAGGTGCCGCTGTAGTGCTTGCGCATTCTATAATTTCCATGTCAGGATTATCTCTTTTGCCTTCCGAGCTGATACCCCTACCCTCTTCAGAAGCGAGGGTAGTTGCATCTTCTGCCAGGTCATCGTTTCCATCATCTTCTGCGGTGATCCCTACAGCAGTTTTTGAAGCCAACTCTGCTGAGCCAACAAGTTCATGTTCATGCGTGTACTTGTACCTCTTTGCAGAAGGAAGCAACAGTTCTTGCTCCTGTTGAGCAATGTTAGCTACTGATGACGAGTTGCGGTAACAAAATGACCTACATCTCCGATGGAAGATCGACCGTGCTTTGTTCCTGCGAGCAGCGGTACATTTTCATGGTAATCTTTTCGTTTCTTCTTATTCGCATGAAGCCCATCCTGTTCCTGGTTGAAGTTATCAGTTTGTCACGCTCACAGCAAGGTATAACTGTGAAAGGGACTTACGACTTCATCGGAAGATCGATGACGCTTTGTTCTGGCAGAGACGTCTTCATTATCATGTTGCTGCTGTTGTCTCTTCTTGTTAGGCATAGTCTGGTCCTCTTCCTGCTTGCCATGGCCAGCTCTCAGTATGTTGGTCTTTTTGAGTAAAGGTAACTTACATCGTCTGTGGAAGATCGACGGCGCTTCTTGGAAGACGCGTCAGATAGAAGGGTATCAAAGTATGTATTCTTTGGCATCAAAGAGTCGATGAGCTCTTTGTCATCAAAGTATACACCAGGAGTTGGGGGTGACATTGCTCCGATGCTGGCCATTCAAGCTGTGCACGATGGGGATGAAAAGGTGAGATGGTTGACAAATCTTGAGCTGTCTTTGGAAGGACCGCTTATTGAAAGAAATATCTTCTCAAGCACAAAGCATACAATATGCTAGGCTGTGAAGTCAAGTTCGTGGTGAGCAGGCTGAAGATAAGCACAAGGTGGTGGACCAAAAGTTTGACGCGGTCAAAAATTTGGGGTACAGGTCTAAATATATTTGGATCTGCTTGTGCGGTGCCAAGCTAGGTTGTCAGAGTATGCTATATGCTTTGGGTAATTTTGCTGTGGAGGGAGGAACCCGGGGGCAGGCCAGCTCCCCTTATACCTTTGGTGCTTCTCTCTTGCCTTGATTACCAGCTGCGATTGGTTCTACAGCAAGCTTATGCTCCAGAGGCTACCCGCAGCTACTCACTTGATTCGCTTTTACAGATATCCTTAAGTGTGCAATGTGCATGGAGAAAACACGTTCGGTCAGATCTGGGTCAGATCGGGTGGAAACGAGGTGCAGGAAAATACACAGCTCAAGCACTCAACCAGAGAGAAAGACCTGCTAACAAAACGACAGCGGATAGCTGCCTCCACCAAGCAGCATATACTTCTATCATAAGCACTCTGGGTGCATGCTTCATCGCCAACGAACTTCCCTGGCTGAAGGATCAAAGGGCTTACTCAAGCAGATAAAGGACAAGAGCAGGCACCGTTGTGATACACTATCCACACCTCATTGATACCACAGTTTTGATCTGCCGAAGCGGCACAGGAATGATTTGACAACAGGCTCAAGATCTGTTGATCTGTTGATCTGTTCGCTGGATAGAATACAGTTATGTAGCACAGAGAATAGGAGTTGCCAAGAGATCTTTTGCTGCACTTGCTGGGACATTGTGACCATAAAAACTCTGAACCAAATTCCTCATGCAGAGCCTGTGAGTTCTCGTTCCTACATCCGTAGTTCAAGACAAAAGGGGTACCCATACCTTTGATTCAAGGCTTCTCGCGGTTGTGAAGTGTTGCAGTGGAAACTTCTACATTCCAAGCAAGATTTGGACATCTCCTTGGTCAATGAAGACCTATGCGCCATTACTTTCTTACTGTATTTGAATCGACCACTTTCCGTATTGACTGATCTCACAATTTGTTTTCCAGCATCCTGTTTTTCATCTCTGTGCTTTGAACGTCCAGTTCGTCTGTTCAGTGGTTTGCTTTCAGTCCAACCACCGTGCTCAAGCATTACCATGCCTGCGTCCAAGCGGAAAAGGGGAGGCCAGAAGGCCACCTCAAAGAGAGCTGCAAAGAACACAGCAAAGCCTGAAACACCTGCAGACCCAGAGCCTGATCTCCAACGCACTCAGCCAAGCACATACACGGTTGAATCCCTGCCAGAGGAGAATGCTGCTGCCGATCCAGCTGCAGAAAGTGCTCCCTCACCACGAATCCTGGCTCCTCTCACACAACTCAAATCCTCCACCCCCAACGCCGATCTCACATCTAGTCCTTCCATCCCTAAATCCCCTACCCCTTCATCGCCAGACGCCAAAACAGCAAGCCAGGGTCCCGGCTCAGCAGCACCCGACCATCCCATCCTCCCACCATCGTCTCCCTCCACATACCAACCCCACTCAGCCTCCCCTTCAGCTCCCCAGCCCCCAACCAGCAATCCCAGCTCCGCCAACCTCCTCCGCACCAAGATCTCCACCCTCCAATCACAGACATCAACCCTGCAAACCCAGCTCTCAAGCACCTACGCCCAGCTCGCCGCCAAGACCACCCCGGCACCCGAATCCGATCCAGCCGCAAAAGCGGAAGCCATACTGAAACGCCACATCCGCCTCCTACACGAATACAACGAGATCAGGGATGTGGGGATGGGGCTTATGGGCTTGATTGCCGATGCGAGGGGCGTCAGGCTGGGTGAGGTTATGGATGGGTTTGGCGTGGGGGCGGATGGCGATTGAGCTGTTCGATTCGATGGGATGGGATGGGATGGGATGGGATGGGATGTCTGGGGAGGAGGACAGGGTTCTTGATTTCGGACTGGAGGGGTCCGTGGTAGAAGAAGAGAGAGCCAGGGCATGGCAGGGAAGAAACATGAAGCACTCACTGCGTTTTTGTTGAAAGAGAATCCCAGAAGAAGCAAAGCAGGCGGTGCTAGTGATTTTGCGCGAGGGATCAACTAATTGATGTTCTGTAGCTCAGGCATCTGAACGTATTGAGCTTGACTACAAATATGCTGAATGCCGGTTTGCAGGATAGAGGGATCGCAACGAGGACGGAAGAAGGCATCATATTGTAACAAAATTCTCGACTGCTACTCGAAACTAAGTACCCAGTAAGAAAGAGCAGAAACCATTGTCATTCGATGAGCGGTGAAGCGAAGATTGTATGAGACACAACCTGTCCATCTACCGTAGTCATACGCAGATGGCACCCTAGAGCACAAATATATATCCAATAAAGAATGAGATAAGAAAATCCCCACGAAGGGCCCGACCAACTCGTTCACATGGTAAATACCATACCCATATTCCAATATCCCATTCTATTGCAGGCCCCTAAGCCGTGTTCGTAAAATACGCCCATCGCAGTGCCCTTCCAACACAGAACTCCTCCACATTCTACCTCTCCACCAGACAGACCAAAAACAGCCAACCCAGCACAACTCCCCGGGAACTCAAAAACCAGATCCTCAATGTTTCTTCTCCAAACTCTGCAGCTGGACCAACTCCCTATATCTTCCTCTAAGCGCCATCAGCTCGGCATGCGTCCCACTCTCCACCACCACTCCCCTATCGATAACATAGATGACATCGGCCTTCTGGATCGTGCTGAGCCGATGCGCCACCGCGATCGTCGTTCTGCCCCTCGCCGCGGCATCCAGGGCGGCCTGGACCACTTTCTCGGACTCGGAGTCGAGAGCACTGGTGGCTTCGTCCAGTAAGAGGATTCTAGGGTCGCGAAGTAGGGCGCGTGCGATGGCGAGACGTTGTTTCTGGCCGCCGGACAGGAGAGCGGCTTTGCTGCCGACTTCGGTTTCGAATCCATCGCTGTTGCAAACAGATTAGCATCCGGTAACCTGATGGATGATGTCGTAATAGAAGGGGGGAAAGGAAAGACTTACGGAAGTGACATTATAAAGTCATAAATATTGGCATCTTTGCAGGCTTGGATGATTTGCTCATCTGGCGTGTCATCCCTGTTTGCACCGAGGAGGATGTTGTCTTTGATGGTGCCTTGATACAAGGTTGGCTCCTGTGATACGAGCGCCAGGAATGATCGGTATTGAGTGAGATTGAGACTCGAGATCTCCCTCCCATCAACATAAACACCTCCTGCCAGAGGGTCATAAAATCTTTCCATCAACGCTATGGTCGTAGACTTGCCACAGCCTGAGGCACCCACTAGTGCAACATATTGTCCGGGTCTGACAGTGATGTTCAAGCCGCGGAGCACCGGCACCTCCGCTCGGGTAGGGTAGCGAAAGTGAACATCACGAAACTCGATAGTGCCATCGACATGGGTGACTTGCTCACCGTCCGTACTCCAGTGGTCGATAGACGGTTTCAGATCCACAAGTGTACGTAGCTCGTTCGCCGCGTTCTTGGCCTTGCTCATGTCGCCCGCAAACGAGAAGATAGTCCCTGCCGACTGTGCTCCGAAGATGATTTCCGAGAAGCAGATGAAGAACTGGAAGAGACTGTATTCTCCACTTCCGATAAGCGTTCCGCCGTACCAGAAACCCAGAGCTGTGCATAGCAGAACAAGAGACTGGGAAGAAGCGTAGAGTAAGGACGACTTCGTGACACTGATTAGAGATTTCTTCCCCTGAAGGGCAAGCTGGGAATGATAGTGATTGTAAACATCCTGCTCTCGGGTCAGGGAAGCCACGGTGCGGATAGCATTTGTATTCTCGCAGGCGTAGGAGGCAGAAGATTCGTAGGCTCTCTTCGAGCGACCTTGGAATCTTGCCAACATCCAGAAACGAAAGAAACCACATCCAAGTAGGACTGGGATCGTTGATATGCATACCAGAGACAATTTCCACCCGATTGCCAGAGAGATGGCACAAGCACTGACCAATGTTGTAATGCAAGTCAAAATTGTGCCCAACGTGGCCCCGGATATAGCGGCCAGGTGTGTGGCTTCTGTCGACAGAAATGCACTCAATTTACCACTAGAATTTTCTTCTTTATCAAAGAACGAGATGTCCTGTCTGAGCATCGCCCGAAAAGCGACGTCTCGAGCTCGACGGATAAGACGCTCAGAGCAAAAAGCGAAGGAAACCCCAAGAATGACCATTGCCAACAGATTGACCAGGCCAAGCATGAGATACATCAAAGCCCAAAAATTAATTTCGCTTCGCAGCCTGTCTCGAAATTCTAAAGGTTGCGTCAGGGCGACAATGCTTTTGGCAAAGAATACGCCCTGCGTTGGTTGCCCACCACCAGAGATGATGGAGAAAAACAAACCGAGACCCATGTAGTACCATTCTTTTCGGTTAAACGAGGCAATGAACCTTATGAGTTCAAGGAGGGAGTAGTGTTTGCCCTTATCAGAACCTCTCTTTTCCAGAACTTGAGACGAGATCGACTTTGACGTATTAGTGCGGCCGAGAGCCAGCTTTTCGTCCTCAGGAGCTACAGATGCTTTCCGTGAAGTGTGGATCCTCGTCAATTCTTCTTCTATCAATGCTGCCTTTTCGTCGTCTTCTGCATCCTGCTGGTTCCTGTCGCCAATTTTCTGGGCATTGACAAGGTTGTAGTAGGCACTCTCCCGCTCCAATAGATCGTCGTGGGTGCCTTGCTCAATTATACGTCCTTCTGACATGACCACAATATTGTCAGCAGTCTTTATGGTTGATAGCCGATGGGCAACAACGATCGTGGTTCGGCCCTGTGAAGCAGCATCAAGAGCAGCTTGAACAACGCCTTCAGATTTAGTGTCGAGGGCGGACGTCGCCTCGTCGAGAAGCAGTATTTTGGGATCGCTAACAATAGCCCGAGCAATGGCAATTCTTTGCTTCTGACCACCAGAGAGCAAGAACCCTCGTTCACCCACATTGGTTTCGTATCCTTCTGGAAGATTTGTTATGAAGTCATGAGCATTCGCCTGTTTTGCAGCATTCAGGATACGCTCTGCTTGTTGCTCCCTAGATTCGTTCTCGAAACGCGAGCCTATAAGGCCATGGCCAATGTTGTCACGAATTGTTGTGCTGAAGAGCACCGGCTCTTGTTGAACCAAAGAAATTTGTTGCCGCAGCCATCGGAGATTGAGATTTTCGATGTTGACTCCATCCAGATAAACACCACCTCCTACAGGATCGTAAAATCTTTCCACTAGTGATACAATTGTTGATTTTCCACTGCCCGACGCCCCAACCAGCGCTGTAGTCTTTCCTCCAGGAATCAAGAGATTCACGTTGGACATAACCACAACCTCGGGACGAGACGGGTAGATGAGTTTCACATCCCTCAACTCGACGCTGCCTTCCACGCTGTCCAGTATTTCGCCAGTTTCTGAGCTAGGATCGAGAGGTGAACGACGATCGATGGTGCTATAAATCTTTGCTCCAGCAGAGATTCCAGATGTGAATGCCTGTCCATTGGGTGCGATATTTCCTAGACTGAACGCACCAATGATGATGGCGAGGACAATTATTAGGATGGCGGCCAGATCAACCTCACCACTCACCAAGAATCGACTACCTTGCCAGAACGCCAACCCGTAGTTCCAATAAAGGAAGAGAAACATAAAACCTATCATCACTCCCAACGCACCCTTGACTCTCCATCCCCATTTTTGGGCTTCGATGAGATGTTTATCATATTTTAGTGCGAGCTTGTCCTGTGTGCCGAAAGCTGTGGCGTTCCGAATGGAGCCAAGTACTTCCTCGGCCACACTACCGCCAAGAGCGTAGGATGCCAGTGATTTCCGTCCCCAGGCAATTAAAAATTTTGAGCCGATGCCCATGGTTAGTGTGATTGCGACCACAGTACTGGCACATATTAGGGTGAGCTTCCAGCTCTGTATAAATCCAATCACAAAGGCTGTGACAAAAGTTGAAACACCAGCGATGGTAAGTGATATTTTCTCGGAAATGGCGTCTTGAACTAGATTGGTATCGGCGGTGATACGAGTGGTTACCTCACCTGCTCCTAGCTTATCAAAGAAAGCGATATTTTGCCGTAGAATAGCTTTGAGATATTCTTCTCGTAGTTTCGCAGTAACGTGTTCACCAACGTATATTGAGCCGACCGTGCCAATATATGTGGTGAAGAACTCGCCAATGGCCAGGTAGACAAAATACAAAACATATTCGACCAATGTAGAATCAAACTCTTCCCTGGACATGGTGCCCAAAAAGATCTGTTGGAATACACCAGACAGATTGCCAAATACGACAGTCATCAGCGGTAGAGCGGCACCGGCTGCAATAGAACACAAGGCTGCAACATAAAAGATGATGATATCCCACATGGACGCATATCTGAAGAGCGTTATGAAAGACACCTTAACATCTGGAGTGTCCAGCTGTCTTTTCAAGATCGCTCGTTCATGTTCAGGAAGGTGGGCGAAAGCGGCATCTCCTTCAAGAGCATCACGAATTTTGACTATCTTGGAGTCCAGCTTTTTTACGTGGTCATCCTCGGATACTGATTGCGACGAGGAGGAGGAAGATGTGTGGCCTTGCTCTTTTCCCGACTCTGCCCTAGCAATCTCGGTCATCCCTGCCCGTTCCGCAGCCCTTAATTGATCCTCTTCAATGTTCTCCTCGACTGCCCGTGTGCCCGCAGGCAGATCGGCACCCACTGCGTTGTTCATCTCGACACTGGGGAGATCCTCTTTGGGATATAGGGTTGGCGGCGAGAAGGATTCCAAGAGACTATATCTCATGAAAATCTCAAGCTCTGACAGCAAAAAACTTTAGAGCCCGAGGGGCGGCGCAAAAACTCTTGATATGCGCCGCAAATAGTGATGACGCAGATGCACAAAAGGGAGAAGGATTCAATGCTATGCACAGACGTCCAGAACGAAACCTGAAAAAACAACTTTTTAAGACACAGAGATGAACAACAATAAGAAACACAAAATAAAAGAGACCGGGAGGCGCCAGGCAACTGCATCTGGGACAAATGCTACTGCTCTATCCGACTGACCAGCTATTCACCGTACTGTGCATTCGAGACGGAAGCTGTGGATCCGAACGCGCAACAACAGGCCAAAGATGGTAAGGCTTTGCCGGGCCTCGGTTTACGACATACCGGATCCACTCAGAGATTTTGCGCGAGTGCAACCAAAGAGTCATTATGACTCTTCGGGAAAAGAATACGAAATATTCATATCACCGCGAAAAGACATCCCTACTGAACACAGTCATTTGCAGGGATCATCATTCTAAGCTGAACGTTTGACATTGGTGCCTAGATGAGCCATGTCCGATATGTCACCCTCTCCCGTACGGCGGAGGACGCAGTATCTGCACAATTTTTGTGCATCCCAGAATAAATAAATGAGTAAACTCATCCAAAGCTGCTGCTTCGTGCGGTTAAAGCCACGTGCCAACACCCCACTAAATTATCATCTTGTCATGAAGCGCGGCGACGACGCGTGCAATGGTCTTGGCAACAATCTCCATATGGCTGGGTTCTAGCAACCCTTCTCGATAGCTTGCTGATCAAGCATCAACCTGTTTCGAGAAGGGTACCAATCGAAAGGTTCCTAAAGCCTTAGCCTGTTTTTTTGTGAAATGGTGGCAATGTATTAAGCTGCATGGTCACTCGGAGTGCTCTGAGATTCCCTTGCCAGGATGGCGTTGATCATTTGTCACTCAAGGCCAATTCAGATTTTCGACCTTTCCCTACCTGTGTCGTTCTCCCATTTTCCCACTCTGTGTCGAGCATCTAGCTCTCTCCTGCTTCTCTCCAAATCTTTTGCAGCCTCCATCTTAGCCATACCATCGCTCACTTCTAGATCCTTCACGACTTCTCGATAAAGTTCCTCCTTGATACGCCCATAGCTTTTGCTCTGCCCCTTTTGTACCAACTTCATCTCCTCTATGAATGCGAGTGTCTCCTCCGGACCACCAATGCCATCGATGATACCCTCCTTCAGCGCTTCGAGAGCTGGATATCTTCTGCTCTCAAGCACCATATGTCGCAACGTTGACATGGCTGGAAGCTTCACTCGGAATATCGAGGCCATAGGAGATGTCAAAGGTGCCCCAAAATCGAGCTCATTCAAACATAGAAACCCTTTGTGGGGATTCATGATTCTGTAGTCGTGCATCATTGCTGTCATTAAGCCGCCGGCAAAGGCGTGCCCGTTAATAAGTGCAATCGTAGGCATTGGATATGTGAGCAGACGCCACCAGAGAGGGTAGAGACTGTTTCGGAAAAAGGTAGGGTCTTTGACGGCCTTCTCATAATCCAATCCATTCGAATAGAACTTTGTGATGCTAGATGTGGAGACTACAACGCCCTTCGAGAACCTAATTTCAATAATATCAAGGGCAAGGAGGAATGTCGCGTTGAAGGCGGGTGTCAGCCGATTATCTGGTGGAGACGAAAAGCTAAGGACATAGACTTGGGGTGCGGGTTCTACGCAGACAATACTGCCGTTTCCCGATGCTGTGGTGCCAGAGGAAGGAGGCACTTGAAGAACGAATAGTGGCTGAACCGAAGACATCACCGCAATGTAGAAAGGATTGACCTCGCACTGAATCTGTGTACGCCTTAGCTAGGAAATTTGACCATTATTAATCTCTAGAAAGAAGAGCATGTGAAGGTGCTTTGTAGTCTGGCTAACGTTAGCGATTCGAGCTTACCTGGGCCTCGGGCATGAACCCCCCACCTGCGCAACCAAAAAAGGTTCCAAAATGAGGGGCTTAGGAAACAATAATAATGCTTAACCCCCTGCAGTAGCTGTTGAAAGAGTCACTTCTGATGCAAGAATCCAAGGCCGTTCTGCAAGGTAGACCCGCTGTACCCATGAAAGAAGCAGTCAATGGCAGCGGCATCGTGCAGACACGCGTCGCCATGCTCAAGCATTTCTTGACCATACAGACACAATCATGGATATGTCAGATCACTCAATGTGTTGTTCCAGATCCACAATACAAAAGTGAAAGAGATCGTAACGCGTGATCCTTACCGTCATCTATCTCTCGTTGAAGTGGTTGTATTCATGTAGTTGTTGTGGCTTGACTGAAGGTCATGACGTCCCCACGGACCTGTTTCCGTTTGAGCCTTTGGCGTGCGGGTGGTCCCCCTGCACAATCCTTCCTTCTGCATTCCCCAAGTCATGCGCCCAGCTGACCAAGCTGAGGTCGCATCGCATTTTACTATACCTTCAGCCCTGCCTTCTTGAGAGACGAAGTGCTGTCAAACTGGCGACAGCATTATTCACTGTCTAGGTCAGTGCGACCAGACCCTGTCCTTCCTCCTTTCGTCAATTTCCCCTTTCCTACAGGTTCTTGTCACAATGCCAGAAACAGCTTGGGAGAAGACAAAGAAATACTCCGGTACAGCATACTCCAAAGCACTCAAGCCAGGCTTCGATAAAGCCTACCAGGTTGTGGACAAGCTCGGTGCACCCATAAACCGCCTGTCCAACAAGCTCGGCGCCGAAGCCTTCTGGCCAACGTCGCTGGACAAAGAATCCGACAAGGCTGCACGAATCCTACGAAGTTTCTGCAAAGATGGATTTTACGCCAGCGTTGAAGAGGACCAAGCGCGGAAAGTGGCAGCCACCGGGGAGAAGTTGGAGGGTCCACAAGGCAAGCAGCGTGTCCTAAAAAAGATACCCGAGAAGGTCATTCGTGAGGCTAAAGGCCTTGCGATCTTCACTACAATGAGGACCGGTCTTTGGATCAGTGGCGCTGGAGGAAGTGGAGTTCTGATCGCTCGAAACCAGGAGAGTGGCGAGTGGAGCCCCCCAAGTGGCATCATGCTTCATACAGCCGGCTTAGGGTTTCTTGTGGGTGTGGATATTTACGATTGTGTGGTAGTCATAAATACATACAAGGCACTTGAAGCATTCACAAAAGTCAGATGCACCCTGGGTGGTGAAGTGAGCGCTGTGGCAGGCCCTGTTGGACTCGGCGGGTTGCTAGAAACAGAATTGCACAAGAGGCAAGCTCCGGTATGGACGTATCTAAAAAGTCGCGGATTCTACGCCGGGATACAGGTTGATGGGACAATCGTCATTGAACGCACTGATGAGAATGAGATATTTTACGGGGAACGAATACCAGTTGCGGATATCTTGGCTGGAAAAGCTCGGAATCCACCAAGGACTAAATATCGTATGCTACTGGAAACCGTAAGGGCGGCACAGGGCGATAAGGTCGACGACAGTGAACTACCTGCCCCTGGACTAGCGCCAGGGGATATGCAGATCGAAACTGAGAGTAAGTCAGGTGACGAATAGTGCCACCATGAAAAGCTAACCATGAACAGCCAGCAATTTTGGCATTCCAGACGCAGAAGACCCCGACCCGTACGGCGTTAAGGCCTTGCAAGCAGAAGGTCTCGAAATTCGTGAAGCAGGCACAAAGTCCAGGCCTAGCGCAGAGGTATTCGAATTCAAGCCGGCGACCACCAGCCCGATTTATTCAAGCTTTCGTAAGAGTGTGGATGTACGAGAAAGAGCCAACAGCTGGCGAGGGAGCATGACCAGCATTGGCAGCGTAGACCGAGGAACACAAACGGATGAATACGATTCCAGAAGTATCAGCCATAGTCCTGTCAAACGGAACAGCCAGCCACCAAGTCCAATCAGGAAGGAAACAGAGCATGTCCAGGACAGTAGTGACGATGATGACCTTGTTAATGGATCCGATGCATCAGTCCAAGAGCCTGCTCACATCGAGACGGCGGTTCCAGTCGTCGCCCGAGCTCGAATGGTCACAGTCCCAAAACGGTTGCCGCCGTCACTGCCACCGCGGAATCCGAACCGGACATCTCCGTTATCGAAAAGTGAAAATGGTGTAGACGGTTTTGAAAACGTTTCGCTGAGTGGCTCAGAGCAATCAGACATCACGCTTGAGGATAGGAAGAGTGATACAGAAAGCAAAGTCAGTATAGACGGAGCACAGGTATCTCCAGTGGACGAAACACATCATGCTGGTGTGAATCGTGGGTCTGGTGTTGCTGGTGAGGAGGAATTCCACTCCGTCCCGCCATCGCCTGCGAAAGAGCACTTGCAAGGGATACCAGGAGCGTTTTGAACGTCGGGAGTTGATATGCTTGGAGTTCTTATGTATAGGTGAGTGCAAGCCTTGAAGTGATGCGGTTGAAGTGATGCGGGTAAAGTAAAGTCGACTGGGGCTACGAGTAATGCTACATAAGATTAAAAATCTAGCTGGTCAGGGAGTGTAGGGAGCACAAAGCGCGAGCGCATTCTCCTGTTTCTTATTATTTTGGTACCATCTATTGCCCTTCTCGTCGGTACGTCTCTTGAACCTTAGCTCGGTCTTTCCTGCCGCTTGACCTGCAATCACCCCATCGCAAGCTCTTGAAACCGCAATGACAACTCCTTCCATCTCTTGGAGACATGCGATCGAGCATTGCCTACACTGCAGTGAATTCATTTGTCTTCTCTTCACTACTTCTTACCCACTTCATTGTCTTCTCTTCACTACTTCTTTACCCACTGTGGCTTCTCTTCAATACTTCTTTACCTACTTCACATCGCCATCAGCAATCGCCTTAATTCCACATCCACATACTGAGGCCCCTTTTACACAGACATTTAGATCCATTGATACAGTTGTATTCTTCATTACTCCTTCGGCACCATGCATCTGTTGCACCTTGGTTCTGGCCTTCTGCTTGCTATTGCATTGCCAAACCAAGACGGTACCACCGGATCCGAGGTACACGCTCCCTTTTCAAGCATCCTTGAGATTGCTAATCCCATGGAAACCGTTGTGCTGGCGGGCGTCCCGAAGCTCACCCCAAACAATACCTGTGGCGATGCTGGGAATGGGAACAATAACGGTTATACGTGTGACCCCACACTTAGTGGCGGCGGAGCTTGTTGTTCTGAATATGTAAGTCCGACCAACCTATGCTGTCACAAATAGATCACTGGTTGCTCACTAGTACTTATACAGGGCAGTTGCGGTTTGATGTCCCAAACGGAAATCCTGGTCATTGCTCACGTTTGAAGGGAATGGCCCTCTTTACTACGGTACAGGCTGCCAGCCAGGTTTTGTGTAAGAATTTGCACCAGTTGCTGCACTACACTTCATTGATTGTGTACGCAGCAAATGTGACGTTGCCATGGAGCCAGGGCCATCGAATCTTTACCGTGTCCCATCATCGACTAGCTTATCCCAAACGACACCATCTGAACCTGCCACCTTTTCAAACTCTGTCCCATACCCATCTACTCTGGCTCAACCAAAGCCAAAAGAATATAACTGTGGGCTAGCTTTTGGCAACAAAAAGTGTCCCGATGGTCTTTGTTGTTCCGACACTGGTTACTGCGTCAGTGTATCTTCCACAGTCACTGATGCACGGCTCTGACATGGACAGGGCAACACCACCGACTACTGCAAGCTCCCTGACAAATGCCAAAAGTCTTTTGGCTGATGTGATAGCAACATGGTCCCAGTCGGTATAGGCACCTCCCCAGCACCTATGGCTGCATGTGTCGTATCTCGTGGCAAATTCTGCGGTGTCATCCCACGTTTCGAGGATAAGACAACATGCTTTGCGAGTGTTGGCGCGTGCACAAAGCAGGCTGAGGATTGTCCTACTATCGAAGGATCTGATGTTGAAGGCTGCACAAAGTTCGGAAACATTTGCCGATTAGAATCCGCTTTCTGCACAACGTGCGGTAGTAATGTCCACCGACCGTGTCAAAGCAAGTACTTCGAGTACAAGATAGAGTAAGATGGCCAGATGAGAACTAGAGAGCACGAAGGTGGACCTTTTTATGCTGGGGTGCCTTTATTGCTTACCTGACACTGGACGTTCTGATCAGTCACTTGACCCTCGGAATACAAGGCGGTCGTCGTTGAAGGTGCTGAACTCCTTTCCTACGTAACTATTGTTTAAAGAAGCCAGAGGAGTGCAGATAGTAGCTTCATCCTCACGCACTATGTATTTTGATCAACGACTCTATATTGGCTGTTCCTGCAAGTTAAACATAAAGCTACTCCGTACTGTACGCAGTAACCACGAATACGGCGGACCATTATTGGGTTGCCGCCACATCAAAATAAAATCAGTTCTGAAATGCAATGTAGCCATGCAATCACAATGAAACAACTGAATGGCATTTCGGTCACTAAATTACTACCGTAAATTTGTTACTGTAGCTTCTTACAATGAGTAATCTAGTCCATAACATCCTCTTAGGACATATTTTGGGGCGGCACCCTGTAACATGCCCTCTTGAGATATTCTTTTAAACACCCTGGGGCATTCTGTTGGACATCCGTTAGAGTACTCTCCTGTGACACCCTTTAAGGCATCAGCAAATCAGATATACTAAGATCCTTGAGGGCCAAAAGTCCATCAAGATATCAAAACATACTACGCTTTGACTCTACTACGTTAAGGCTAGCCTGGACCACGTCCCTTTTTCCTGGGCTACTAACTACTAGTAGTACTAGTAGTTCGGGACACGTTTTTGTGTGGATGATAAAGTTATTGCCAAGCCATTTACCGAGGATGATCACAAAACATGGCTGTCAAACTGAATCTGCCTATCCCACTACCAGCCGGAGGTAGTTTGTCGTATTTTTGGATCGACCAACGATGATGGCCTTCAGTCAGACTACGCACGGGTACGATCCTTTCACATGCGAAGTGCAGCGGCCACCGGGCCTTCGAGCAGATGCATAACGCCAACCCAGGGCACGAAGCAGAGCAGAGCTCATAATAAGACTAAAGGTTGGCGTACATGAACTGTGAGTGCTAATGTTGGGCTTTGTGGGGTCCGATATGTCTGCATGTTGGTTACATCATCTACTACGATAAAAGTCCAGCAACCGACCCTACTTTTCTCGAGAACGCAACCTTCGCCAATTCTTGTTTCTCCTTGCGGGACCTTCGTTCTCCTCCCTCCGCTTGTTCATGTAGGTGTTCGTACCAACTTATGCAGAACTTCCATGGGCCCCCACGAGCCAAGATGTGTCGCAAACCTACATGATGTGGCATGTTGGAACTCAAAGCGGCCAGAACAGGATCCATTGACCTTAATCATCTCTAGGGATCGCTTAACATATCATAGATTGTCCCATAGACCGTGACTATGCACGCCCCTCATTCGAGGTAGAACGCAAAAGAAATGGGATTTCCAGCGCTCGAGCTTTGCGTGGCTTATATCTATCGCGATTCTCCCCTCGACCCTTCCAGCCTTTGCACCTAGGCCCGCTATACTAAGGTTGTCTCTCCCTTCACACTGGGGAGCTTGCACCGATGGCTTCTTCGACCACAGACATAATTTCTACAGAAGGTAGAGTTCCGAGGCAGACCTTTCAGGTAAAGTCTATTCCCTAACATGCGAAAATAGTCTACTGAAGCCAGTATATCATAGATTCTCATATGGGTCTTTTATTCGCTCGCTATGATGACTGCAACGACTCGCATGGCAGTGAAGCTGCATACTCAGAGATTATTACAGCTTGATGACTGGTTCCTGATCTTCGCTTGTCTATGTCTTACGGGTGCAACCGCCGTCTTAAATTGGGGGATTCCAGCTATATATCAAGTCTTGCGATTGATAATTGATCCCGTACATGCAGAGCTTCCGGCTGATCCAAACGCTTTGAAAGTCTGGTATCACAAAACCACTTACGCCTATATTACTTTGAGTTGGGCAACAATCTTTGCGGCTAAATTCTCCTATCTTTGTTTTTTTAGGCGTCTGATTGATCGTCTGCGACCGCTGGTCATCTATTGGAGAGTCGTTGTTACCATAACTGCTGTAGTAGCTCAGTTGTGTATCTTGCAGGCGCACATTTCCTGTCCTCGTATGGACTCGCGAGCCTGTGAGTTGTTCGACGTCTTAGTAGAGTCATTACTGACACATTTCGGGAGTCGAGTGTGCTCAAAACACAGGCTTCACCAGATCCTTCAATTTTTCACTTTCCAGTATGGCGTTGGATATTGTTACAGATCTAATGAGTAAGGATTCCCTTTTGATCAATGACTCGATGGCTAATTTCTTAGTCGTTTCGATTCCTGTTTGTCTCTTGTGGAGAGTCAATATTAGACCTGCTCAAAAGCTCGGTTTAGCTAGTTTCCTCTGTTTGAGTCTCGTCATGGCCGTCATGGCCATTGTCAGGAATTCCGGTTTGCGAATTAAATTGTTGTCTGGTGATTCGGCCTTTGACCGTGCATGGCTTAATCTGTGGCAGCAGATTGAGGCAAGTGTTACAATATGCTTGGTTTCCTTGACGGCCTTCAGGCAACTATTTATCGCCAGCGGACCAAAGCGTGGCCGAAGGTCCGTAAAGGCCTGGTACTCCTCAGCAATGGGGAAGCTCAAAAGTCAGAGACGGACAACCGTCGTGGATGGGTTTGCGCAGCTTCCAACTATCCCTTCGGCAACACATTCGAGCATGCAGACCCTGTGTCAGGGTGGGCAGAGGATCGTCACCAGAGATACTTCTGGAGATGAAGAGGCTTGCTGGTCTCTAGATGAGTATAGGGGAAAGTTTTCGAGACAGGTTATAGTGACAAATGACGTCACTACTCAAATTTGCAGGGTGAGGCTCATCCTCTGAAGAATGAATGGCAATTGGCTGAGCTTGAAACAGGCACCAGAAGACGCGAGATGTAGACAGGGCCATGGCTCGCGGTTTTGAGGCCAGTTTATCAGAACACCAATCTGATCCTGGTCCTTATTGGTCGACAGCACCAATGCTACCTCAGTTGTAGTCACCAGACGGGTAGTAGGAACGGGACAGTCACAAGGATAATAGGACGGAGAAATATGTGACCCTAGCAGTCCTTGGGTCATTTTGCTAGTATCTCCTTACGATATCTATATATGTTGTAGTTCTGTAACACCAATCGTGAAGCTTGGAGGTACCTCCTAGTACATCAAATATACCGCGGCTTCAGAGGGATGGTACTTCCATGCATAGCAATATTAGAAGATGCTGATGGGCTCCTTGAGGGTTGCAGATCAAGCTCTCAATACCGAGCGAGCATCTGAAGGGGGCTGTTGATGTTCAACGACTCAAACAGGATTGGGGTTGCTTGACAGAATTTCTGCAGCCTTGGTAATCTAAGATCGAACTAGTCTCAATAAAGAAGGAAATGCAAAGCTTATCCAACCAGAAGGCTGGATCGTGCGGGAAGAGATTAGCTCACAGCTCCTTTCAGCCAATCAAGTAAACTTGGCGGTGCTTTTCTAACTTGAAATTAACAGATGTTTTGTCATTACAAGACGGTCAAAGGGCGATCGTGATCTGGCCATAATGATGGAAACAAAATGTCTAAAATAACATAATTTAATTGGATTTTAGATGTCTCAGGTACATCTTATGTAAACTAGATTATAGCTTGGTTAAGCCCAGACTAAGCACACATTAATGGTAACTAAGAGGCGGAAGTATCCCAGGACGGTGCTCAGTACAGCTAGTTTATGATACGTCGCCATCGTGTGATCTAGAAGCGTCTTTATCATCAAGGCTTAGTGATCTCGTTCAGCAGCTTGAAGTGTTGCAATGCCCTGGTACTAGCGACGTGCTGGGATACTTCTTGGCGGTACCGTATTAACCCAGTTGAGTTTACCCACCAACATGCAGGGTATGGAGTAAGAACGTCAATTTCACGAACCAATCGGAGTTTTGGGCCATGCTGAAGCTGATGTCTGACCGCGCTCTCCGTCCTCAATCCTTTCACGTTAGGCAGCCGATCTAAGTTTTGTCTTTCAGTCAATATCGTGTATCCTTGAGCCATTTGAAAAATGCTATTGATCTTCTGTCTTAGTTACTAGGCGAGTCGAGCCCTTCAACCGTGGGCCTGCCGGGTAACCCTGAAGGCCTTGTGGCCAACCATTATGGCATATGGTCAACTCGGTCATTCTTCCAGTCTGCTTCGAGCTGTTCCCATAATAGCATTTGTGTTGCTGCCGACGTGTGCAGCACATGATCACGATGCAGACGGGATACCTGAAGGTGCAGCAGTTTCGCCAGAGCCAATCGTAAGTTTATCGTTCGACTTTGCGTGAGGTTTACGTTGCTAACAACAGGCTGCGGGACAGGATTCGATATTATGGACGCACATCCTTCTCCAAGGACTTGCCTTTGGCCTCATATTTCCAGCAGGGATGGTTTTAGGTGTATGGTTTTGCTGTCCATCCTGTCTCTTCCGATCGCGCTGCTGACATCAGTTTGCTACAGATCATTCGATCCCGATGGCACGTACCCGTCCAGACACTTGGCACCATTATCAGCATCGTCGCCTGGTTCCTTGGTCACCGACATAAGGGTCGCAAGTTTGCGCCCAACATCCACGCCTCCTTCGCAAGCTCACTTATGCTTATGCTGGCTGTTCAAGTTGCGATCGGGGTCTACCTGAAACTTCATCTCACTAAAGGAGTCCACTCGAAGATACGAAGATACGTCGTGAATGTGCACGGAATAATTGGGAAGCTAATGCCGGTCGTCTCGTGGGTGCAAATGCTCTTTGGTGGGATCACGGCACTTGGATTCTGCAGAGATGATCATCTAGGGCAATGTGTGGCCCACTTCATAATGGGATCAGCGTTTATTGGGTATGGAGTAATCATGACGACTATGCTCTTGGTGGGCCAGGTATGGCTACGTCGATCCGGAAAAAGTCAAGAATTCTTCGACTCAACTCTAATTGCCGCATGGGGAACGGTCAACACCTTCACAGAACACAGATGGGGCACAGCGTGGGTCAAGAATGATATCCAGCATACCAGCATGGGCATTGTTTGGTGGTGTGCCGGATTAGTGGGTATCTGGCTAAGCCGATCAAGAGGGGGAAGACCAAAACGGAACCTGATCCCTGGTATTGTGCTCCTGCTTACGGGCTGGGGGATGAGTGCACATCCTCAATCACTCAAGCTGAGCACGATGGTACATACAGCATTCGGCTATACTCTCATGGCCGCCGGTGCAACTCGAATGATTGAGATCGCCTTCGTCCTTAGGGACAGCAGAGGCTTGGTTGGAGAGCCTAACAGCTTTCAACACCTTCCTCCATTCGTAAGTAGTCGGTGAATTAGTGTACTGGGTATGCTGACGTTGTGGCAGCTTCTCTGTGCTTCTGGTTTCCTCTTCATGGGCGCCACCGAAGAACAGATGAAACTTCTATCTGACGCACATGTTACGCACGTTTCCTACATCCTCATTCTATACTCTTTCGCCTTCCTCCTTTACCTATTTGTCAATGTCCTTCTGCACATCTATGCAGTGTACGCATGGCCCGATTCGGACTCAAACGGCCGAAGAGAAAGCCGTATGCTGTCGAGGTCGAGATCAAGATCGGCAAGCGCTGCAGGTGGTCTTGGAAGATCTGGAACTTCAAAGCGACAATTCAGCACTCCAGACCTAACTGATGGAATGAACGGTGGACTTTCAAATGGCAAAATCAGAATGCCAAGACACAGGCAGACTGACAGCCAGCAGATTCGTGATGCAGAAACCTTCGAACTCGAGGGATTAATCAGTGATGTCGAAGATGATGAAGATACCATGAGTCCCAAGGGGATAGACACGGATGTGGAAAGAGCTTGAGCTATTGACAAGGTACGTATGGCCGGCTACGATGGCTTATTAGTATGTTGCAGGCGTTGTATCCATGGGCGCAGTTTTGGCGTTGCAACATGTATATAAAACATCTGAATACTTGATCGCATAATGACACCTGCCAGCGGTGGCGTTCGTCCTGTTTGGAAGCTCTGATATGATGAAGCACATCTATCTGTCACGTTTCTGTGCTGTAACCACTCCACCACTTTATGTTTATCAATCTCCAGGCACAATTGCCATGTTTAAAGCTTTTTTCTTTTTATGCGAGTGGTTGAACACCTTCCATTTGTCTCGGTCGTCACTGGGTCACTAATTCATCAGCACCTTAACCCATCGAACTGCCGTAAAAACCTTCGAGAATCACATATATTTGACTTCCTGGAACAGTCCTTTTTATCTACATTTGTTTTTCTGTTTCACTCATCGTGCTTATTGCAAGCCACATTCGGCATCTTTGATCCTTCGTCGAAGTCTTATCAATCTTCAAGATCGACCCACGCAAAGCATCACAATTCTCTATGCCGCAATGGCCCGGCGACTAGACTTCAACAGCGAATTATCACCTTCAGAGACGCCGCCTTTTGAGGGGTCAGGATGGAATGCGTAAACGAGCCCGGTCTTGTCACAGTTTTCGACTTTACCAAATACCACAAGCTCATTCCCAAGAATGGCTCAAGAAGGCTACGAGAATTGGTGAGTCGTGTCGAGAAGGTCATGAATAGCTCACCTCAATCGAGAAGTTGTGCGCTGAGTACTCTAAGAAACAAGGTGTGTGTGGGCTTTCACTTTAGGAGGCCACTGACCTGCCAGTGAAAATGAAGACGGGAACGATGTGTTCGCAATCACAGCTTCACGGTTTCATAATGCGGTTCCAAGTCAGGTGTATTATTCGACAGAGGTCGAAGGCAGAGATGCAGACCTGGTGTAAAAGATGTAATTGGGATCGAATGCAGCCGGGGAGCGTGGATGGGGATTTTGAACCCGAAGGATGCAGAACAGTGTTCAGCCGCTCGACTTCGGGCGTACAAGAAGGTTGGACTCTAGATTAGCACTGGCGAGTGAAGCGTTGTCATTGCCAAGTCTGTGAAAGGAGGTGGAGGGCTAGGGCCAGATCCCCTTCTTTCCAAGTCATCTCCACACCTCCAACACACTGTCTCGCAGTGGTCAAAGCTAGAAGCCAATCCGGTTTTCCCTCATCTAACTTCTCCATTTCAGAGAGACCTAGAAGGGACTTTGGTGCTCGTAAAGCAAACTACCCGCTCCTCAATCTCGGCGTCGCGTCTGGTCTTGTCTTACGAGCACCTTTGCGCAAACCACTCTCCTCCCCTTTCCTCCCTCCCTCCCTCCCTCCCTCCCTTATCATCTTTGATAGAACATCTACGTGCATAATAGGCACCTACCCGATCCCAATCTGAAGACCTCCTCACACATTATTATATACAAACTCGACCTCCGTCACAGACGGAAACCATGGCCATGCTTTCGTGTATCCTGAGACGCCACTTCTTCAAGATTCTATCCGCTTTGCGCCCGCCCCTCCTCCTTTTTGCTGTAGTTATACACCAAAACCATCCCTCTCTCCCATTGTACAGCGTCGTTTTTCTCTCGAATTCGACTACCACTTTCCAACCCTCCTTATTTCCTCCTCCTCCTCCTCCTCCTCCTCCTCCTCCTCCTCCTCCAAGAAAAGTGCCAGCAAAGTAAACTCAGAATCCACTGTAGCCACGAGCGACCGATAACGCAATATTGATCTTCATATCAAAGCCGGCCCGGGCGATGGGATCTGCGTCGATCTACCCGGCCTATCAATCATCACGGATATCATCGTACGCTCTCCCATTGTTCATTGCGCTCCGTACGTAGACAGACGGTGGAGTACGAGATAGAATTGCTATCTCCTGCTACCTATCTCTGAACGGATGCCCTCCGCTCGATATGCGAGCCGATACCATACTCCTGTCTGCTATGCTATACTTGGTAGCCAAGCAGGGCGCGGAAAATAAGACCTCATCCAATAGATCCGGGCCACATGACCAGAAAGCCAGGCCGGCGAGGAAACCAAAGAAAAGAGTATGCCAAAAAGACAGTTTTGCTTTCGTTCATAGACGCGCATATCCCAGTCCGATCCGGCGTAATTCCAAAGATAAGAATACCAGCACCTTTTCTCCAAATTCCCAACCCAGTCAAACAAAAGCCTGACCACCATCATCTTCCTCAACCTCATTTGGGTCCGATCTTCTAGCAGCAGCAGCAGCATTATTGTTCCTCCTGCGACTCCGCAAAAAGTTGCTAACCATTCTCCTGCTGCCGCTGACCGGCACTCCAAACCCGAGTTTATGGTCCCTTCTCTTGCTCGCCGAACCTCCAATCCTCGGCAGTGCAGTGTCTGCGTGATACTCGTTGCGAATAGCTAGATAGCGCGAAGGGGCACGTGAGACCGTCGCCCCATCCGCACCAGTGCTAGCATCGCGAATACAGCCATCAACACCCTCGTTGTAACAGTGATCCTCAGAAGGCCGACTCAATCTCGACGTCGGCCTTGGGCCATGCATCTCGGCATTTTCATCTCCATCTCCCGATGTCTCGGTGATTCTGCCATATTGACTCCGGATTGTGATCGAGCTCTGAGGTCTGCCTAAGTGCCTGTCACGATACTGCTGCTGATAAAGAGGTTGTGCCCGTCCCGGCGTGCTGAGAGGCTCCTCGGCAGTCTTGAACGAGACCTGCGAGTATTTCGCCCGTAAGGGATGTAAACCTTTGGTTGTGTCTGCAGATTGTAATCTCGTGTTCTCGTCGTTGACACCAATAGCTGCCAAGCTCGCTCTCTTGACATCTGCCGCTGCGGAACTCGCTAATCTTGTAACACTGGATGACCTTCTTGCTTGTGATATACTGTTCCTGGGCACTTCTTTCAGCTCTAGGAGTGGAAAGCGGTCACCCATAAGCGATGGTCTGCGCTCATGGGTCGGGATCTCGTTTTCTTTGACTGTACGGGTAGAAGCTCGACGACCAAGCACTGCTGAAGAGCCGAGTCTCCCACCAACCGCCGTGTCATCTCCATCCATTTGTGCGCCTTCGCGGTAGTGTGAGTTACTGGATTTAGAGTCGCGCCGATTGAGACTTGTCATCTGGTTATTCATCCTGTCCATGCTAGCGTTCGACGTGGTTGGATGTGGACAGCGGTTCACTCGTGTCGGTATAATGGTCGCCATGCCTGTTGGCTCGTCTTCCAACTCCGGATCCGACCGGTTCATGGTAGGCATTAGTAGCTGGCCACTTGTGGTGCGAGAATACTGGCTTTCTGAGCTGGTTTCAAAACCATTATCGCCTACGCTTGGCCGAGTTATGACCACACTACCACTCTCTTCTTCGGAACTGGTCTGCCGTTCGCGACGCGCAGCTAAAGCCAACTTGAAGGGACTGGGCGTCTGCGGTTTGTCCTCGCTGGAGAATGGGAAAAATGAGGACTGTGGTTCTGGGACGACGATACGAGACATTCGTTTATGCAAGGTCTCATTCTCTAGGGCAATCTGCTGGGGGGTTTTTGACTCAATCTCATGCCATGATGGTGCATGTAGGCTGAATTGGCGATGCTGTTCGCCTAGCGGGGCTGCGTGGATTGACTCCTCACTGGCTACTTGGCGAATGGTAGGCGCAGTCTGAAAGCTTTGGGCACTGGATGTATAACTCTGTCGGATATCGTGTTCAGGTTTTGGCTTGGGGGTCTTGGCTTGGTGTTGCTCTTCTTGCTCCTGATCAATTCTCCTCATCAACGCAGAGTAGACACGCTGGCTATCGATGGCACCTGTGGCTTGTTCATTGCCATTACGAGCGCTAAGTTGAAGATGAGTAGCAGAGACCTCGTCCATGTGTCGTCCAATTGACGAAGAAGGCTGGTGAGGTCCCCCATGTTCTTGTATGATCGAAAGACGTTTTCTCTCGACGGGCGTGCTCCGGGCAGGCATAGAATTGGTCATAGTAGAATTGGTCCAACTGGTTACCCGAGAGCGACCATTCGAGTGTAGGCTATCATTGCTATGCATAGACCTGAGACTTGCTGATATGGCTTCAAGGTCTCCCATCGCTCCATCATGTTGTGGGGAGGGAACGTAAAGACTGCGACGAGGAGCAGATTGTGAGGTGTCTGCAGTATTTTCTTCCTGACTCGCGTTCGTGTCAGTGCCGTCCAAGTAGTCCCTGAAGTGAGCACGACTGGCATCCAATTGCTGGGTGGGGATTTTGTTATCTTTGCTTGATGACCCCCCGAGGACTCGTCTGACTCTATCTCTGAGTGAGGCTGAGAAAGATCTGATCTTGGACTCCTGCTTCATCTCCCGAGGTCCAGGATTGACGCCATCCCCACATTCACTGGTTCTGTTTGAGCGGACAGTCTTTCGGAAGGCTTTTTGCTGTCTGACTCGGGGTGTGGAGAGGAAAGACGACTTTTTCCGCAACTCTTGCTGCTCGACATCTTGCATAAATTGGTCCCTGGCCCGTTCAACAGCCGCGTCATTCTGCTCCGAAGTACTGTGTGAGCGCTTAAATGTTTTCGAAAGGTTCCCCGAACTCAATTTAAGGAAAGACATTGAACGCTTCAGACCTAACCGGAGTCCATTGTTGTGGTCGCTGCTGGCACTCTTAACAGTCCGAGGTGTGCCAGGACTTTGAGATGACAATTCCTTGACGCCGGGACCACATTTCCGGGGCGTCAACATTGATTTCGTCTTCCGGAGTCTGCGATAGGATGAAGGTGTGGAGCCGTAACCATCTACAACACCAAACTCGTTAAGAGGAGGCCCGTTTCCAGCCTTTGAAGTTTTTGAATGCGAGTTACTATGTGGCATGTACACTGATGATGCGGTGGAAGGAGCTTGCGACTGTAACGTAGATCGCTGTGAGCGTAGTGGGACGCCGCCACAGAAGCGAACGTTTGAAGATCGAGGCGTAGCTCCTGTCGCAGTCCTGCTGGCGTTACTTTGATTCCTGGATAATTCTGCTGACCGCCTCGCTTCTGCTGAAGCTCGTTCGTTGGCTCTATCCATTGCAATATTAGCTGCAGTCATAGCATGCTGACGAGCTATTTCTGGATCAATGGTATCCCTGACGAAGGGCGCATGCCGTCGTCCATTTACTGATGCAGATGACTTCGCTCGTCTCAGGCGTGTGCTGGCATCGCTTGCGCCGCGAGATAGCATGTTTCAATGCTAACCAAAATTGCCCATTTGGGCGGAGAAGATATGCTTAGAAGACCTGAATGTAGAGAGGCATCAAAATGTCAATGCTGAAATACAGACCAGTATGTATCAGCGCCATGGGGAAAGTGCTGAAGCCAGAAGCGCTCCTGCCACTCAGCACAGGACAATAGAAACCGGGATAAAAAATACGGTCGAGACCACAGTGAGAAGCGTTGGGTAAGAAGCATTGGCACAACGCGAAAGCAGAATGTGACCGTCCCACATAAGTTTGTCTTCCTTGGTAGTGACTGGGCTGCCGTCTGGACAGCCTGCGGGATAACAGACATTGTGGCCACGACTGAAACCATTGTCCTGGACTCCTACTTGTACTGCTCTTGAGGACTCGTTAAGGCCGAGTGTGACACCGCTGGATAGCTTTGGTGATTCCGTTGTCTGCTTGTAAGGTACGAGTTGCAGCCAACAAGTTGATCCAAGTACTTGTGAGATATCGAGCCTACCTTCAAAGACACAGATCAGGCAGTCCCTACCACCCCGCAGAAGCTGTGCCAATTCCTAGCATCGACGGAGGAACGCAGCCCCACAGAAGTCATATTGGACAGATCTTGTAACGAATGGACGCAATGACTGCAGAGAACTGAGTGTGGCAAACAACTTGAACGCCTCGGCTGTATCGCCAAGCATTAAAACCACCGACGAATGGCCACTTAGGCGCATGTACTATACTCACGTCGCCATCTTCAGCAGTCTAAATGATCTACAAAAGAACGTCAAAGACGCTGGCATTGACCTACCCGGATATTGCAAGATATTTGCTTCCAACACTAGATTCAGATTCGGGATGACTTTTCTCAGAATGCAATAGTGTACAGAGCGAATGGAGAAGCAGGAACCAGGTCTGATCCACTTCTTGATAAGCTGCCTCGAGCATGCTTCATATCTCGATCAGGTTCTCATCGATGTTGATCATTTCTCCTTTTCGTCTCTTCCTCTCTTGCCATAGTAATCATCCATCTTCTTCCAGCGATCCGCCTCGGTAGCCTATCCCTCCAGTCGATCAAGAGCTTCCTCAATATAGCCAATATGCCCTCTCAGAGTCCCCTCAAGCTCATCCATCCGCGCCTCATGCTCTTCAAGATTGTATACATGGTGAGCTCTAAGGTTGTAGTGTGCAAAGCCTGTGATGCCTAGATTAAGCGTCGTGAGGCCAAGGATGGCACGGAGGAGGAGGCTTTGTGAGGACATTGCCGGTGTTGTGCGGTATTAAGATTGGGGGCTCTGGGTCGTGTTGAGATGTAAGCAGCCATCTAAAACTGCGAAGTGGTATGGACGGAGAGGAAATCACAACGAACCGAATAGTTTATCGTGGTAAGTAGAGCTCTGTCAGGTCATGCAAATTAGTTATCCAAATATTCAACGGTTAGTACAGTGTAATGCCAATAGACGTAGTATCTAGCCGGGAGTCCAGCGTTTGCAAGCTCCAGTAATGACATCGACGAATGTTCCTCCTACCACTCGAATCCATTCCAGGCAGTGTGTATCTCTTGATCACTTGTGTGCATAGTTTGGTACATATAGATCACATTGTACTCCATATCGCTTCATGAATCGGGCATTGCTGGGAGTTTAGCTGAATTGTGACTAAGTGGTCAATATCCTCACATGAAAGTGGCAACCAACCTCTTGGCTGAGTGGGTTTCGAGGCTAAACACAATTAGCTGCCGTTTTGAGTGTCTCAAGTAGGGTTTGTGTCGCCAGCAATCGTCACGATTTTCTGTCCTGACAAGTTAAAGGTGATCGTTCCGCGTAGTAGTCAATTAGCTGTCCAATCTGTGCTGTTCACCCAATTACAGTTCAGTAGTGACGCAAATCTGGTCGAAGTCGAGGCCTAGCCCCTGTAACAATTGTGATGAGGCACTTAATCAGTCTTCCACCGCAGACTGTGTCTCATCACCAGCGTCACCTGGGACGGGAATTAAATGGAGGCTATGAGGCCAGAAGCTATTGCCCATATACGCGATGAGTTCGCCTTCTTAGAGATGACGCTGCTTGCCGATGGACGTGAATGGATATTGAAGACTGACAAACCATCACTGGCTGACATTGAAGGTACGGCACACTTACATCTGCTCTCTTCCACATGCTGACACGGTGGTGGTGGTGGCCAAGCCACTTGGGGTATTCGATTGGCTCAATGGACTCAGAGACGCACATCCCAAAGGATCTGATTTCGGAGAAGCAGTATCCCAGAGTTTTTGCGTGGATCCAAAGGTTCAATAGATCCAGCAAAGCAGCTAAGGCTGCAGCCCCTAGACCAACCACGTTGATGGGTGCGAAGCCGCCAGTCGTGTATTCAGTGCCAAGTACGCTGAAGCAGAGGCCAGGACTGATGAGCAGGATCCAATGAACCTGAAACAGGGGGAAGATATCCAAGTCTGGCCGATAGATTCGGGTTTCCGACATCGAGATCGAGGTCTACTTATTGGTATCAACGAAGTAGAGATCGTCCTTCAGCTGCACTCCAACACCAAAGAGCAGAATATTTCCCTGCATTTTCCCAGGACGAATTTTAGACCAAGACCCCGAGACCAAGCAAACCAAAGCTGTAATGTATCTCACCCGTTGACAATGAAATGACCTGGATAGAGAGGTTTGGACATAATAACAACGTACTACGCATGACTGCTCGTGCTGTAGAAGCATAGTGGCGAGGGCGGCAATGAAGCTCGACGGGCACGACCCTTTTCGATCCTTGAAGTCTTCGACAGCTGCCGTGGAGCTGGTGCGACGCCGTAGATTTGCAGCTAGAAGCTAGATGCTGCATGCGTTGGTCCAGATTGGGTATATTCGTTCGAAGTAGTGGAGCAACGACGTAGAATGTTGAACGAGAGCACAAGATATGAGAGCCAATCTGTGGGCAGTGCAAGCAAATAGAAATCACTCGTTGAAAATTTCACCCCTGACCGCCTAGTGAAAATGTTTGAGAGTTGGGCAGCAATATGCAGGCCTGGGGCCGCTCGTTGCGAATCGTTCAAACTGATTCGATGATTTATTGCGGCGCTTGAATCGCCACGTCGAATGAATTACCACGTACGCAGCAATGCTGCCCAACAAAACCCGGCCATGTTGTCAAGTCCATCATCTCAAGTTTTTCCGCCATGTTCATTGATCTTGCTTCTTCTCTTCCATCACGGACTGATCTCAAAATCAGAAAAAGGACAAAAAGCTTTAGTGATTGAAAACAACGTACTCTGTACCTTACTGTGTACCTCCTCTGGCCAGAGCAGCAGCCCTTGAACCAATTTACTGGCTAGTGACGACAGAAGAAGCCTAAACCACGTCAGGCAACCGCACGAACAAGCGTCAGATTGTTCATCCCCACCCAAGTTTCTGGTTGTGGACTTTGCACACTTCCTTCTACCTTCATCACCACACCACCCCCCACTACCACCACCACCCATCCAGCATCACCTCCCATCTCTCATACAGGAACAGACAACCTTTGCCATCGGTATCGCTAGACGACAGACCTGGAGCGATATCTAACGGTCGGCAGTGTGATAATCCCTAACAGACGGCTTCAGCACATCTGCCTGGCCTGCTCCCGTGTTGGCTAGCCTTATCTTGATTTGATCCAATTTTCTTTTACTGCTTCTCTTATTACATCTCGACTGTGTCACCATATTCCTGGCTGCCTTTACATTGGATCAAACCTCGGACTCATAATGTCAAGTCGTCACCCAGCCAGGTATGACGAGCAGACTCGTCGCACTGGAGAGGCTCGCGAATCTCGGACAACCCGGGATCCAAGGGAAGCCAGAGAACCAAGAGACAGTAGGGAACCAAGAGAAGTCCGTGAGGCCAGAGAAATCATCGCCCCAAGGGAAAGAGCAGATATCATACCACCGCGGGATGGGCGAGAGATTAGGGAAACCAGAGACACCCGGATAGACCCAAGAGCCGAGCCAAGAATGGATCCCTCTAGAATCGATTCTAGAATAGACCCAAGAGCAGATCCCAGAGTTGATCCAAGGGCTGACCCAAGGCTTTTATCCAGAGGAGACCCACGCGCAGACCTCAGAGGTGACCCACGTGTGGACGCAAGAGTAGATTTTCGACCTGACCCACGGGAAATCAGAGATTCAAGGGACATCCGGGATCCACGAGGCGAGTCAATCATTGACACCAGAGATCCCCGTTATGCTCTGTCGCGTGAAAATCGAGATCTTCGTGATCCTAGAGATGTGTATGGAAGAGACGAGATGGATATCGACCCACCCCCTTCAGGACGTCTAACCACCTACTTCCTTCCTGGAGAAGGCATCAGCCGTGAGGTCATTCAAGCCGATATCTGCCGATACCTTGGTGCCGATGCCACTTGTCTGCCTGCTCGTAACCGCGAGGTTAGTTTGATGAAGGTTGAACATGTACCTTGAGATAGCATGCTCACTACCAAATAGGGTGCGTCAGGCTACATGATCAGAGCGTATCGCATGCTTACGACCGTGGGTTCCCTGCATCCCTCCGCTTAGGTGCGCTGACTGATCTCCTCCCAGAAAATGATAGAGGACCTCATGGCTGATTCCAAGCGATGGGACGAAGAGCTTCGCCGCAGTCGAACTCGCGGGATTAAACCAGGTATTCATTAAGAACACCATACGATTCAAGGAGGTATCTAATGCACTAGTAGCCTACGAAGACACCAAGATCCATGAACACCGACAGATAACAGGACCTAGCCAGAACCCACCTGGCTATCCAGGACCCCAAAGCCGCGTAAGGGAAAGAGAGGACTATGACATGGATGATTATCCCCGTCCAAACCCATCTTCACAAAGGACTTTATACCAGGGCACCATGCCACAGGACTATCCGCAAAATTATCCCGTGACAACCAGTGGTTTTCAGAGTCCTTCTATGACAGCAGCATCCGAATATATGATTACCAGAGGTCCAGCAGAAGGGTATAATCAAGTACCGAGATCTGAATATGACTATCCTGGTGCCACCGCTGGCCGCGGCGCTACTCTCCAGTCTACAAACCAAGTACAATTTGCTAGCCAGCAAGGATTGCAAGGCCCCCCGGCTTACCAGGATCCGCGGACTGGCCAAATGGTTTATCCTCCTACACCCGCAGGACGTGGCCTCGACCAATTTGCGCGCCATACAGGCCCTGCGGATAATCGTCGCCGATGAACATGTCCCTTTATCGAAAGCACCTTCTAACTGGACAGACTATCCTGTTTCAAACAGTTTTGTCCTCCCGGCATGGGTTTGGAGCATTCATAGCGTACAGTGAAGCATCTGGCCTCAACTTGTCCTAGATCAACATCCTGGCTGCAGAGCGACAGCCCTACGCGCTCGCGTCTTCGTACTTTGATACCACCATGGAAATTCCCTGCGGACCTGAGCATGCTCACTGGCCAATCTTCCTCCTGAACTACATGGAGAGCACTGCGCTACCATCAAATTCCATACCATGGGGTTGTCCTGACATTTATTCGTCGCTTGCTCAGGATCATCCCCAGGCTGGTCCGTATTCTACCACTGGACAACACAGTCTGCATTCCAGCAATCCGGATGCCGTACTGATGTGACGTGAACATGAAACCTTTCCCTTTGATTCAAAAATCCTTCCTGGCGTCATTCTACAACGGGTGGCCATATTGGCGCATAATTCGGATGGGTTGTCGGGCCGTCACCATCCTAGGTTTTGCAGGCAAATTTTAGTCAACAGTCACTTCGATTGTTGCCCTTTCGCACCTTGTATATAGAGCATAGCGGGCCGGTGCTTGTTTTACGACCAACGGTTGTTTTCTGAAGACTTGAAAACCATCAAGAACTTGCGGCAGAACTTGCAGCAGAACCCCAATGATCCTTGACTTGGCTGGCTCGTGATTAATCTGGCAATGAAAACTGCGAATCATATCGAGGGACTGTACCTCCCGGTGGCCCTCTTCCATCGAAACTTTCGTTGATATTGTTGCCGAGCTTGCACGCATCCACATGTGCCACCGGAAAACCCCATTCTGACAGACGTGGATAATAGTACTATCCTTAATGCTAATCATCGTTCAACTCCCTCTGATCCCTTGATTTACATGCTCATGCCATGCACTTTCGTCCTTCCTCATTGTGATCTTCAAAAAGACGTTCAACACAGACAAAGTCACTATACCAGTCAAACTAACGTATCAGGTCCGACAATATCCAGCAACCCGGCACTATATGGCTGCATCTAGGGGCAATAAACAGACTGAAGAGTCTCTTGATTTCGTCGTACTAAGGTCTCTCGTCCATGAAGCTCAGCGGTTTACATCAGACCTCAGCTTAGCTTAATGTGGACTTAAGAACCTCAATCGCCGCCATATCTCTTCCACGGCAGAGAATTCCCATCATTATTGTTTGAAAGCTCCTCTGGCAGTATTTGCCCATCTTCAAAGTACAAATTCCCCTTCAAGGGAAACCTGCTGAACTTTCCCCACCCATCCTTTTCGAAGGAAAGAGACTTGATTACACCCTCTAAGATGTGGTCCAGCCTTGACAAAACCATGCTAACCGAAGATTCAAATCACCACAATAAATCCTTGAATAATTATTACTCCAGCTAGTCGAGGGTCTTGGGAGTGGGCAGATGAAAGTAGCATCTCCAGAAGTAGAGGGCTTGTTACGGATCTACTGGAAAATAGCAGAGCTGAGGTGCTTCAGCTTTTACCAGCACGAGCATTAACAGAAGTACCTGGATACCTTAAGAGGGTCGAGCAGCACCTGTCACCTGAAGGGCGCCGGCTACTTCTTGTGCTCATCTTCTGAACTCACTTCTGGCCATTTCTGCATGGCGACACTACTGGTATAGTAGAACGCTGGAACGCTTCAAGATGCACAACCATCTGCACTACTTGCAAAGTGTTCGCACCGCAGTGACTACTAGAAATCAGCAATCATTCCTTGTCTTTGGCATTTGATCTATTGCGGTGTTCATCTGCCTAAATCTTGTGCACCTTCCTCATCTATTAGTACAACGCCCACCTCACCCATATACACACAGACACATACTACCGTTGCTGCAATACTAGCGCCAGCGAAATATCTTCCCTCTACTACGGGCGTCCTCCTTCTGAACAACTTCCCATTGTGCGAAAAAATCAAGCTTGCCTTGCTTCCTCTAGAGTGGAGCAGCAGTCGCTACAACATCATGGAACACACCAGAGCCTCCGGGTTTCCATGCTATGACGATGGTGACGTTGTGGTCATCGTTGCACCACTAAAGACATATCAACTTCATTCAGGTGTCCTACGCCGCTACTCTCACCACTTTGCAGAGGTTCTTCGTGAGGAACATGCCGCAAAGCTTTCTCCTAAAGCCGTAAAAGATGGTGTTACTACACGATACTGCCTGCAGCTGGTAAAGACACAATTCGGTGCGATTGGTAATTTTCAGCCTTTGGTAAGCATACAGTGTTCCCCCTCATAACCATCACCACTCACAGTTCCTGTAGCCTGTCGATAAATTTGGCCACTCACATTCCGCTGGCTTCTCTCTGACTGGAATTGAAAATGGCCGCGTTCCTGACGAACGGATTCAATACTGGGATTGGCTCTTCGGGATTTTCTACGGGAAGGCACCTTCCTTCGACGACGAGAATCTGGCCACCGTCCTGAGTGGTTGTATGGGCCTCGTTGATGTGGCTGAAACCGTTCAAGCTGTTGACAGTGTCCGTGAGCATGTTGATTTGGCCTTACTCCGCCAAGGACAAGTACTCTGGAATTCTGTTGCATCAAACCCTGTTGCTTGGGCTGAGCTCGGTCGTCGAGTACATTCACCAACTATCTTCTCAGAGGGCATCGTTCACATCGTCGGCAAATGGAATGATATGACTGAAGGCACCAAAAAAGATCTACATCCCGACATTCGCACTGTCTGTGACAAAAAATATCGGGAGCTCGAAGTTGCTAAAGAAGCGATTGAGCTGCGCATCCTCGGGCACTATCCACCCTTCCTATGTCGCGATGCAACTACCAAGCCCGGCCGAGCCACCTATTCCAATGACATCTACATGTGGATGGCAATCTGTTTCTACCGCCAATGGTTCGCTCAGGCTATCTCCGACGGCCGCAATCGTGTCAGCCGGGATGGCGGCTACGAATTCTATCATCAGATTGGGCACGCTGGACAGGCCTACCTTAACCATGAAACATTCCTCAACTTTCACAAGTACTTTCCCATGTCGAGCAAGGCGTGCAATGTTCTCGAAGCCAACATGGGGATCTTGAAGAACGAAGTCAAACATTTCGTGAAAGACATACTTGAGAGCACTGTCAATGTCGACAACGTTACCTACCCGCCTCTCCGGTGGCTCACATGTGTCAAAGTCAACAAAGAAGACTATCCATGGCACGTCGAAGAGCCTGACAATTCGTTCCCGACCGATCAATTCACGATGACAGGGCAGTCACCTGAAAACGATGGCGATAACGATGACGATGACGCTGTGATGTGTGGTAGAGGCGGCGCTTACTGAATCGATGCCGAAGAAGACATAAGCTTGCTGTCAACTAGAAATGGCGGGTGGCACGAAACAGAGGATCAGCGCTATGTGGTGAGGACATTCTCAGCTAACTACGAGGAAGCCCATGTGTCATTTTGCTACATATGTCAGACAAAAGAATACAGAGGATGGGAGCTACAAGAACTGCATATCAAAGTCTGGCAGATTGAATGACCGCTATCATGGAGACGGGGGGTTTGCTCTCGACTAGCCATGCTTCTTCTCCTTCAGTAATCTTGCTTCGATGATGTTTATGCTCATACTCATAGCATAGCTGGGGCATGTATTCGCTAAAGTACTCATAGAGTATGTACAATCAAAGCACCTGCTTTACACTGCATCTGCCTTGCTGAATCGCCCTTTCTCGAAGATGGATGATCCGTTTCCTATCTCATAAAGTCGGCTTCAGGCCTTTTTCCACGTTTTCAACGTCGAACCCATAATGTTTCGACGCGCCACAAGCAGTCTCTGCAGTCAATCATCAAATCCTTCCGGTGTCTTCCTTGGGGTTTTTGGAACTGTCATACCCAAAATCCATGATCGTCAGCACATTAAGGCTCTCAGATTTCCGCCGCATCTCAAGGCCTTTCTCAATAAATCCAAGATTTGACGACCACCGACCCAGAACTGAAAGATCAAAGCACTCACTAGGATAAGTCAACGGTATCCGCGGGGGATCCTGATCACCTGCCATCCTCCTCAGCGGAGGAATCACAACTAACGAGACTGGTCCCATTGCGCCGATGATGATCGAGTAGAATATAGCTGGCTTCTCGTGTGCACACCATCGCAGATAGCGGATTGGGGACGACCAGAAGGTTTTGGGCACGGCGCTGGACATTTTGGGTGGTTGTGTGCGAGTTGTGAGGAATATTGCGGGGGAATTTGGGAGGGAAATAGTCTATGTAAATCAGTCTGGTGTAGAGGAGGTTGCGTCGGGGACGCTCAATGAGGTCGTAACACTTGTCGAGGGTCGAGTTGTGGATTGAGGTGAGGTCTTCTCCCAGGCTGCGCGGAGGTTGAGCATCAATCAACTTCAAGCAGTTGAACTTGAGCTTCCGCAGATCTTGGCGTCAAGACACCTCTTCTCAATACTCGCAGAACTAACGACAACACTCAGTCAAGGTTCGTCGCCAAAAATGCGGAATCTTCTTCCGTTTCTTCTCGTTGCAATTCTGGGCCTCGTACAGGCATTGAGTAGTACTGGAAACAGATTACTGGTTGTGTTAGAGGAGCAATCGGCAAAGGCGTCTTTCTCACAATTTTGGGCAGATCTCGAAGGTGCGCATTGAAGATACCTCGCATGATCAACGATCAACTGACGGATACAAATACAGCCCGAGGTTACAAGATATCGTTTGAATCCCCGAAGAATGAAAGGCTTTCCTTGTTCAAGCTCGGCGAGCGATCCTATGACCACCTCCTTCTCACCCCTCCGAAGTCCAAGGGTGAGCTACTCGGTCTTCTCACCAGAGTCACACTGACATAATATGAAGGCTATGGCCCTGCTCTGATGCCTAAAATTCTTCTCGATTTTATAAATGGTGGCGGCAACATTCTTCTTGCCCTGTCAGCGAACTCTCCTACACCTGCTGCTATTAGTTCCCTTCTCCTTGAGCTCGACATTCACTTATCCCCAGACCGATCCTCTATTGTTGTTGATCACTTCAATCATGACATATCCACTGCAGCCGAGAAGCACGATGTTCTCCTTGTTCCACGGCCCGAAGCTCTGAGACCTGACGTGAAGAACTACTTTGGTGGGGATGGAGTTGTTGCTGTACCACGAGCCGTTGGGCAAACCCTTGGGAATGACAGTCCGCTTCTGGCGCCCATTCTTACTGCTCCCGAGACAGCATATAGCTATAATCCGAAGGAAGAAAGTGAAAACATCGAAGATCCTTTTGCCACTGGGGGCCAGCTGGCCTTGATCACTGCAATGCAAGCTCGAAATTCTGCGCGTTTCACGGTGCTTGGATCGTTGGAGATACTAGAGAACCAGTGGTTCGAGGCCAGTGTCAAGACACTCGATGGAAAGTCGAAAAAGACTGTCAATAGAGAATTTGCGAAACAGCTTTCTGCCTGGACATTTAAGGAGACGGGGTTGCTGAAGGTTGGAAACGTCGATCATTACGAAATCTCTGGCTTGTCACGCAAGGGTGGAAATGCATCGCAGGTTGGCTACCTCAATCCCGCAATTTACAGGATCAAGAATGAAGTGGTGAGCACCTTCCAATTCCATGAAGGCGTATCCAAATCTGACCTTATTGATCCAGGCATTTTCCATCGAAATTTCAGAGTATGAGCTTGATCACTATATACCTTTCACCGTACCCCCTGGCGATGCTTTACAGCTTGAATTTACCATGCTTTCACCCTACCAGCGTCTGCCACTCTTGCCGACAACTCAAACTCCCAATAGCACCATCTTCAGCACCTCTTTTACCGTGCCCGATCAGCATGGTATATTTACATTCAAAGTCAACTACAAACGCCCCTTTTTGAGCTATCTTGAAGAGAAGAGAACAGTCACCGTGCGGCACTTCGCTCACGATGAGTGGCCGCGAAGTTGGGCTATTACTGGTGGCTGGCCATGGATCGCTGGGCTATGGAGTGTGGTTACCGCTTTTCTGGCGTTCGTGGCGCTTTGGCTGTATTCTGAACCACCAAAAGACGGAAGTAGTATCAAATTTCTTGGGGGCAAATAGTACGGAGCGTCAAGCTCAATATAGAATTAGAGCTGATCTGACTACCAGGAATCCTCCATTTGTTGCATCTTGCAAGGACAATGTCGCCCTTTCACATCGCAAGGTAGTGTGGTTGACAAGGCCGGCATCAAAAAGATCCGACTTTGAGACGCCGCGGCGCATCTGCTCGGTCGTAGCTTCCTAGCCAAGCAATCTACCAGAAGACGCTGAGTTTAATGGATATCGTATCAAAGAGCATCACTTCTCAGACTATAGCTCTGCTCTACATTGAGTATCAAGCCGGGAGGCTACTGGACTGTCAACGTCAGCAGTAGACAACAACTTCGATCCCAGGTTTATCTGGCATCAAACGCTTCAACTCGCGCAGGTCATTCTGTACCAAAATGCGGATGCAGCATTACTGGTAGAACTTGGCAATGATGGGCCGAAGGACCTTTACTAAGTAGTTAGTACGTACTACATAGCAACCATCAAGCATCGCCAGATGATGACGCAACAGCCCTGCTAACGATGCATCTGAAATGATCGACCACGGGCTTCAGGCCCCAGGACCCAACCAGGAGTGAAAGGTCGAAATACGCCTATTACGATCAATACGGTGCTGAAAGTAACTAGGGTCCAATACGTCGCCACTCGCTCTTCAAGAAGCCTACCATCTTGCTATTGCCACACAAATGAGCCATCGGAAACAGCTAAGCTAATTTCTGATTGGCTGTGTTGTTCTAGGTTCATTCTGGCACACAAATACTAGCTCCGAGCTAATACCACTTCTGCACGATACCATGGTACAAGCATTTCACATCCGTTATTGTCGATCGCGGCCCATTGACCCAAAATAGGCGTCTAGAGTCATATCGAGGTCATGGCCAGGGATTCATGAACTGTCAACCGTGGGCGGGTACTGTTACCTTTGCAGCGCCGCAACCGATGTGGACAAGCTTCAGCAAGCTTCGATAGACGGGACTTGTAGGATGTCAGGATGATACTTCTGAGGTCCTTCAGCCTCTGGTGTTATTTCTCCTGCCTATCATACAACTCCTAAACCAATTTCTTCCTGTATTCCTTCCCACGTCACAATCTTATCAGGGGTTCATTTCTCCATCGTCAACGTGGTCGATTCTGTGCCAGGCCATGCTTGCAATCGAACATGAAGCACGTGGGCATGAATCTATCCACATCCGTGATATTTCATGTTCTTCTATGCGCTTTTGCTGTGGCTCAGTTTCCTCCTACGCCTGAAAATGTGACCACGATCAAGTCCAGATTCGATGAAGGTATCACGATATCTTATAAGGAGGTATGCGCAATGACTTTATTTCCCTGGCATTCTCGTCGTGTGCCTTCTAATCGTCTTTCTGTTCAGCCGAGAATATGTGAGACTACACCGGGGGTCAGGAGCTACGCCGGATATGTCACTCTTCCACCAGGCACGGTGAATGAAATCAACCAGAATTTCTCTATCTCGACGTTCTTCTGGTTTTTCGAATCAAGAAAAGACCCTTCCAATGCGCCGTTAACGATATGGATGAATGGTGGGCCTGGTTCATCCTCGATGATCGGGCTGCTACAGGAGAACGGGCCCTGTTTCATTAATGCTGATTCTAACTCCACGATGCTCAACCCGTGGAGTTGGAATACAGAGGTCAACATGCTTTATGTCGACCAGCCGGTGCAGACGGGCTTCAGCTATGATACACTTAACAATGGCACCTACGATGCCACTACGCAACAGATTACCCTGTCAGATTTCACGGACGGTATCCCGGAGCAGAACAACACATTTTACACCGGAACTTTTCCCTCCATCGATAAGTACTCAACCACAAACAGCACACAGAATAGTGCCAGAGCAATCTGGTATTTTGCTCAGGAATGGTTTCAGGAGTTTCCGGCTTACAGACCGAATGATTCGCGGATAAGTATTTGGACAGAATCATATGGAGGTCGATACGGGCCTTCATTCACCGCGTATTTCCAACAACAGAATGAGAAGATTGCTAACAAGACGATCACGACCGAGGGAGAAATGTATTATATACGTCTCGACACACTCGGCATCATCAACGGTTGCATTGACCTGCTAACGCAAGCACCTTCGTATCCGGAAATGGCTTACAACAACACCTATGGGATCCAAGTCATCAACGAGACAGTTTACAGGCAGGCTCTCGACGCTTGGAGCAGACCGCAGGGATGTCGGGACCTAATCCTGACGTGTCGGGCGCTGGCCAGAGATGGCGACCCAATGATGTACGGCAACAACGAGACGGTAAACTTGGCTTGTAGGGAAGCCGACGAGTTCTGTTCGAATCAGGTGGAAGGTCCATTCTTTTACGGAGACAGGGGTTACTACGATATCACGCATGTCGACCCCGATCCTTTCCCACCTCCGTACTACGAGTAGGTCGCCAGGCAAATGCAAAATGAAGTGAGCTGCTAATCACCTACCAGGGGCTTCCTACAGCAACCTCAGGTACAGAGCGCGCTTGGCACACCGCTGAACTGGTCTCAATCAATTGACAGCGTCTACTATGCATTTAGCAGCACGGGGGACTACCCGAGATCAGATGTGCTTGGGTATCTTGAAGATATCGCATATATTCTGGAATCAGGAATCAAAGTAGCATTGGTATACGGTGATAGTGACTACGCTTGTAATCTAATAGGAGGAGAAGAAGTCAGTCTGGCGATCAACTACACTGATTCGGAACATTTTAGAGCGGCTGGCTACACACCCATCCAGACAAACTCCTCATACGTCGGCGGTCAAGTCAGGCAGTATGGTAATTTCTCATTCAGCCGAGTATACCGTACATATCAACATCAACATAATTGGATCAGAACAACACTGACTCCAAACAGATGCTGGCCACGAGGCTCCCTCCTATCAGCCCGAGACCTCATATGAGATCTTCATGCGAGCCTTGACAAATAGAGACATTGCTACCGGGACCATATCAACCGCTGACAACGAAACATATTCAACCACTGGAACTTCATCTACTTGGCAAATCAAGAACGAGGCTCCTGAGCCACCAGCTCCTACATGCTATGTGAGGGCGTTGCTGGCAAGCTGCACAGAAGATCAGATAGCGGCTGTTGTGAATGGAACAGCCCTTGTACAAAACTGGATAGTCATTGACGACAACACAGCGGCACTCTCGGCCAATACAGCAAGCAATGGGTCCTCTTCTGGAGACCTCCCAGGCAGCCCTGGCGGAAGCAGCACGGGGATAAGCAGCGGTGGTGCCGCCCAACCAACCTCGGCGACGTCGACTGGGGATGGCTTCGAGTTGGAGGTACAAATAAGCACTACGGCCTTGGTTCTAGCGATTGCGGTAGCAGTCATGCTGTAGACTTTATATCTTACCCATCAATGTGAGGAGTTCCAACAAGCGGAAAAGGGGTGGCAGCAGACCGTGACAATAATCATGACACAAATTCTGTTCACTCACATATAGTCTCGCAAACACTTGTCTCTGTCAACTATCCTACTGCAGGTGAAAACGCCGTACACCTTAGGCTTGTCCCAGACTATGTTATTGCTCATTCATATGACTAAGGAGAGCATGAGCTTCGGACGGCAGGCGGCGTTGCTCGTGGAGGGTGTTATGGAGTGAAGGTGGCGCATTCGTACAATACTAGTTGTATGTATTATGACTACCACGTCTCCCACCACTAAGTTAGTGTTTCTAACTCTGCCAGGCAGATCTATGCTTATGCACCATTCCAACTGCTCTTCAACTTCAACCCCTCCACGACCTTTATCCACTTTGACCTTTCTTCACCTCTGACATCCATCACTTGAGCCGCTAAGCAATCTCTCTTCGCTATAAGGATCGAAAAGGCAGAGCATCCTGCGTTCTGTTAAACGCCAAAGATTTCCAACATCCATTCAACTAAGGCACAATGAAGCTCAACTTCAGGGTATGCCTCTAACCTTGCCAGTACCACCCCAATGCCTGCTGATATTTGATTGTGGTAGGACCTGAAGCAGCAGAAGTTTACTATTGAAGCAGAGCCGTCAGAAACCGTAAGAGCTCACATCGCTACTCTTGTGTCCCTCCGCCACCTCTAACCTTAGCCCCGCGCATCAGATCGCACAAGTGAAAGAAAAGATTTCCGCGGAAAAGGGATGGGACGTGGCACAGCAGAGGCTCATCTACTCGGGTTTGTGCCTCCAGGGCAGGACCGTCGTGGCATCCAGAGGAAGGACTAAAAACTGTGACACAGGGAAGGTTTTGCTCGATACGAATACGGTGGAATCATACAATATCGAAGAGAAGGGGTTCTTAGTGTGCATGGTCTCGAAGGTATGCTTCGAGCAGACTTAGAGACGAGTCCGAGCTCATGAAAATTCAAGCCGAAACCAGCTCCAGCAGCATCCAAGACCGCTACACCTTCTACACCTTCTGCATCAACCTCGACGCCAGCTCCACCTGCTGCTCCACAACCTAATCCTGCGTCAACTGCTACCTCGAACCCGCCAGCGACTCCATCTCCAGCTGGAGCCGGAGCAGCTGCCGCCACTGCTCCTCCATCAGCTTCCCCAGCATCTGCGTCTTTCACTGATCCCTCCGCTCTTCTTGTCGGTCAGCAAGGCACAGAGGTAATTGCCCAAATGGAAGCAATGGGTTTCGCTCGAGCAGACATTGATAGAGCCATGCGCGCCGCGTACTTTAACCCAGACCGAGCTGTCGACTATCTTCTGAACGGTATCCCAGACAACGTCCAAGCCGAGCAAAGGCAAGCTGCTGCAGCACGCGCAAACCCAGAAGGCGGCGCTGGAGGAGAAGGCCAAGGAGCCGGTACCAGCGCTCAGACTACAAGTTCACCCGTAGCTACAGGCGGCACCGCTGGAACAACTACCACTGATGAGCCTGTCAACCTCTTCGAAGCCGCTGCTCAAGCTGGTGGACGAGGCGGAGCCACTGGAGGCGCTGGCGCTGGCGCAGGTGCGGGTGCACGAGCAGCAGCAGGAGCCGGCCTCGCTGGCGCGCCCGCAAACCTCGATTTCCTTCGCAACAGCCCACAATTCCAACAATTGAGACAGCTCGTTCAGCAACAGCCCGCTATGCTGGAACCTGTGCTACAGCAAGTTGCAGATGGTAATCCGCAGCTTGCACAAATGATCGGCCAAAACCAAGCGCAATTCCTACAACTACTAAGCGAGGTAAACCTTGAACCTATGATTCCTGATCCCTTCCCGTTCATCCATTCTAACTCTCCATGTCCAGGACATCGGCGGCGAAGGCATAACCGGCATGGGCGACACTGGTCCTAACACCGTTCCAATTTCCGTTACCGAGGAAGAACGCGACGCCATCGACCGGTTATGCCGGTTGGGCTTTCCTCAGGACCAAGTGGTGCAGGCATATTTCGCGTGTGACAAGAATGAGGAGCTAGCGGCGAATTATCTCTTCGAGCAGCCGGAAGAAGACGATGCTTGAGGGACGAAGAGGCTGAAAGATGGGAAAGACAGCTGGTATGACGGGGCGTCTAGCTTATGGAGAAGAGCTACACTCGTACTCTCTCGCTCCCATTGGTTGGTGGTGTCAGCGCTGTTGACGGCAAGTGGTGCGAAGGCGAGTCGACACAGCCGAGCGGGAGGCCTGCACCACCATGAACTCATGCATGCTGTATGACAACATGAAAGCACCACATCTTACGGATTGAGAACCGAACGGAACGGAACGGAACGCATGAATCAGTATTCACTCCCTCCCCCCATCTTGCTCCCTGTTTGCACACATGCCTGCTGTATTCATGACCTGAAGCTCACGCATGCATATTCCGGATCGAAAGTTGGGTTTCGATGACATTGATCAAATTAGACGAAACTTGTTTACCACATTCTCTCCTCTTCTTTTACGTAGTCTCTCTCTCTCTTGTTATTCACGCCTCGCAATCCCCCCCTCTTCTATCCAGTAGTATTCATCGCCTAGGCCAAGATTATAGATTCTACACCCGAACCCGGCGGACAGCGCCGCTCAACCCTCCACACCCCGATCCCCCTTCCCCCCACCACCCTGCGCAGTGTGCCCCAGACATCGGAGGCGATGTCCATGTCGTCGAGGTTGATGTGCTGGCGGTAGGTCCACATGAGGGCTAATTCAAGGGGTGTGTTGTTGTCGTCCTCTCCTTCCCCTCTTCCTTGGTCTTTTTCTTCTTCCTGTTCCGCGGAACTGTGGGCTTTGTTGTTGCTTGGTAAGCGCGCGTGGGCCAGGAATGAAGCGTTTGGTGTTGATGCTGATGAGGGCGGGAAGAGGGGGGATGATAGCGGTGCGGTCAGGAAGACTGGCTGGTTGTTCTGGATTGCGTCTCTTGTCGTAAGGGGGGGAGGGGGAGGAGGCGAACTGCAGGGAAATGGGAGTGCAGCCGTGACCTGCTCCAACATGTCTGGCTGCGAGAGGCCCATCAGTGGGACGGTGGAGATATTGAACGGGGCGGTGTTGCCGAGGAGATAGGTAGGTGGCGGGTAGGTTTTCCACCAGAAGATTGTGGCAGGTATCATCGCTGTTGTGTTGGTTGGTGGTGGTGACGAAATGGAGGATCTGAGTAAATCAGGGACCTGTAACTGCGCAGGAATCACCCCGCCTTGGTGGTAGACGCCCATGAGGATGCCGAGGAGGATGTTGAAAACTAGCCATGAGGACCAGAACCACTTTCGACCACGACTTGAGGTGGGAAGGTGGATGCAGGTCAGCAGTAGTGGAACGCAGGGGAGGAGGAAACGTGGTTCTTGATGGGGGAAGATGCTGAGGAAGGCTGTTCCGGTTATGGCGGAGAGTAAGCATGGGTTTGAGAAACGGAGGCGGAGGTTCAGGAGTGAGAGCGCTGGGAGCGAGGTCAGGAGGAGAATCAGAGCAGGTCCGAGGAGTTGTGGGAGGTTGACCAGGAAGTGCTGGTAACGCGGGTGGAGACCATGGAGGGCTAGATTAGAGGTTTGTGTGTTGTAGCGTATGTTGTTCCAGGGTGTGATGACTGGATTTGTAACGAGGGTCCTGAAGAAGGTTGTCGAAGATGTGTTTAAGTCCCGTAAACGAAAGAATGCTGTGTCCGTCCCGATGGCGAGGCATGTGAAGACAACAGCTGAGGCTACTGTGACGAGGAATGAAAATGGTCTTTCAGAGACTCGTCAGCAAGCCGCTACTTTGCGACTGTCGTACTTACCTAGCAAGGAAATGTGGCAGTAATTGTAAGCCAGGTATCAATATGAATGCTGGAAAAGTGATCCGATTGAAGATTCCGAAGACAATGATCAAGGAGAGAATACTGCATGTGAGCATGGATGAGGAATTCTGCTAATGATTAATAGGGCTCACACCAGGTATGATATTGCAATGACCAACCTTTTCACGCACGATTCTTTCTATTAATACCAGACTCCATGTCACCAAAAGAGTTTCAATAGAATTGGAGAAGGTGTGCGACTGGTAAGTCCAAGTAACATAAGACGAAGCGACCAGGATGACGGCTTGCCGGCGATGTCGAGGCGCATGGACCAGCTCATAGATTGCCCAGTCTTCAAGCACAAAGCTCAGAATGAACATCACCACCCGTAGCAAATAGTAGATGGCTTTTGGCGAGAGGTTCTGTTGGTCATCTTGTGCCCATACCCATTTGAGCAGGGTCATTGGGATGCCATATACCGGCCACAGTGGGAAGACACTCCGAATTGGGTAGTTGGAAGTCCATTCCCAGGTCCTGTTGGAGGGATACAAAAAGAGCTCATCTTGAAGACGGTGTTAGTAGATTCCCCCCCGGTTTGTGATTGGCTTCACCTACCGGCAATGACCTCTGGCCCTTGAAAGTTCTCATCCGGATGCAGATAGCTTGGAGATATGGCAAAATAGATCCGCACAAGCAACAACAATAGATATGAGCGCCTCCACATTTCACCTCAGTTGCTAGGATGGTACAAATTCGAGTATTCCATCACCTAAGGCAGACCAATACAAGGTTCAAGGGCAGAGGATACCCGCATCGTCCCAGAAGGCTGTCTCTGGTAGTGCACTGACACTGGTCAGATACATGAGCACCCTACTGTATGGTCGCAGAACTGGTACAGGCGACTTCCGCTCTTTCTGTGAAGTACAGAGCTCTTGGAGGGATGGGATGCTAAGTCCACAGGAGCGCAGGCTTGAACAGGGCCCCTGCTATGTCTAAAAACCTAGAGGTTTCGCATATAATTGAGAGAATGTCTGTTCTTGCGCAAGTCCTCAGAGGATGAAGTCTCTAGGCCAGAATATCGTGGGATGAACGAGAGGCCCAACAGCCACCGGCCCTGTGAATATTGTAATGCTCCCAGGCAGTGAGGGTCTCGGCGCCGAGCTTTGCAGTATCTGCAAGATGGGAGCTATTTATTCCCACGATGATTCCACATCTGAGGAATTCTACAACCAATCTTTACCTGCACACAACATTGGAGGTGAGTAGCATCCCCCCCCCTCCGCATAAACAGCTCATCCATACCTGTTCTCGCCTAGCGCTTCCGCTGCAAACGTTGTGCCAAGGCGCTAACGCTTGTGCAGCCTAGCACTCCTAGATCAAATCATGCCGCCTCCAGATCACAGCTTCACAATTAAAGGCAGAGGACCTTCTGCTGCTCCTACTACAAATATCTCTACCCAGGCCGCTGAAGGAGACTTGACATCATCCACACCAGAACTCCAACGAGAACTAGACCTTGAAGCTGAGCCTGACTGTCTCTCACTGCTACCTAGACTCTTCGCCGCAGTCTGGGAGCGCATCCCTTCTTGCCGTGGTAAGTCAAAGCCTATTCCCTGCCCAGGCCTCCATCTGCTGGACCTTCCTCATCACTACAAACCCTACACCCTCCTGCCGTTACATCTTCAAGATAACCAGAGGGTCGAAGATCGACTGGTATTTGGCAAACGTGCCTCTGTTTCTATGCTCACAGCACAACCGCAAACACCGATTCTGTTTGCGGTCCATCTGACACGCCACACAAAGAGATCGCAAGTGCAGGCAAAGCTAACCTGCAATTTTTGAACAGATTCTCGACCATATCAACTTCTTGAAACAGCTATCCTCAAGCAGGGTCGACTACTCTTTGACACCACCATGTCAAATCAAGTTCAGCTGATGTCTTCGGACAATGTACCTGTCTTGGTTGGTATGTTGCCATTTACACCTCTTTTCTCATCTTTGTGTCTCTGACTCGGCGACAGAACGCGATGTCATCGAGCGCTCAGTCCTTCTCAAGAACATGATCGATGACCTCGGAGAGGCTGCGACTTCTGAGCCCATCCCCATCCAGAACGTCAGTATTCTCTCACATCTTCTGTTACTTGCACGACTCACACACATATAGATCAACGAAGCTGTCCTCCGGAAAGTCATTGAATGGTGCACATATCACAAGGGCGATCCTCCAGCCACCAACGATGATGACAACGACGTCCGCAAGAAGACTACCGATATTGACGAGTGGGACCAGAAGTTCATGCAGGTCGATCAGGAAATGCTGTTCGAGATCATCCTTGTGAGCTCGCACCACAACAAAGAGTACGTATGGTAGCTGACCAATCTACCAGGCCGCCAACTACCTTGACATCAAGGCTCTTCTCGATGTCGGTTGCAAGACTGTCGCCAACATGATCAAGGGCAAGTCTCCTGAGGAGATCCGCAAGACCTTCAACATCCAGAATGACTTCACCCCTGAGGAGGAAGACCAAATTCGTCGGGAGAACGAGTGGGCCGAAGAGTAAGCCAAGAGTCGTCTCGACATCAACGCTGTGCTAACATTTTCAAAGTCGTTAAAAGCGTACCTAATTCTACGACCTTCAACGATGGCAAACCTCAAGGTGGTGGAAGTATTGCATGTTGGCGTTCTGGGCACATTGGTTGCTCTAGGTGTTGCTAAGCGACAACCTCGACACGTGATGATGGAGTTTCTCGGTCTTAGCGAGCTTTACAATAGCTGAAGTGCTGTCATGCCTTTGTGCTTATCCCTGCACAGTGCTTCTACTGCTGATCTCGATTTTGAGATGCTTGGATAGCAAGCCTGACAAGTAGCCTTGACACTCGGCTTCTTGCTATCTAGTCCATAGTGGTCGCTGCAGTTAATCAATTAACGAAAAAGTCCTTCGAATTCCCTAGCCAGCTATGGAAGATTGTGATGGCGACTGGGTAGTAAGCAACCCCTACTAAAGTCGTTGGAAAGGTCTAGGAAACGTAAGGACGGTTTTGAAGCTACTGTCCGGATGGGCTCGAAATTCAAGGATCATGTAGTACTATGCGCTTCCTTGTTCGACGCTTGTTCTGGAAGCGCAACAAACTCTTCGAGCATACACAGAGGTATGCATACACGAAAGGGAAAGTGGGTTCAAACTTCCATTGCATTGTGGTATGGGGCATTCCATGCGAGAGAGCACATGCAATACAGATGTCAGTCCTCTGAACGCACCATCGCAGCCCTCTCATCGAACGCAAAAAGCGACCTCACACTCAGCTAGATAGCATAGCTCTCCACAGCCCCGATTCCCAGTCGCCAGCAGCAGCTTCAAGATCCTTTTCCCGCTCCGTTCCGCCACCGACATCTCCACCCATCACCATAGTTCCCCATTCAAATGCCAATCCTCGTCTTCCTCCAATGTCTTCGCTTGGCGTTGTATCTGTAGACAGCAAAGAAACGGCATTAGCCCACCCTCTGCCACCCCTTCTCGCCCACACCATTGAAGGAGGACAAGGGTTTGTTCATTTTCCGTACCTGATGGTATTCCCCGTCCTCAATCGGATCCATTGCGGGATCGGTCTGTTTTGCTTTTGTGCTCTGGCGAGCTTCTGCTTCGTGCGGAAGGATTTATGGCTCTGTGATCCCGGGAGGGGGGAAATGGAGGGTTAGTAAATCTCGCTTTGATCATGTTGTTCAGGGGTTTGCTTTGCTTGCTTGCTTCTGCTCAAACAAACAGGAGGAGAAATTTACGACGGTTTCGGGACAGAGAAAGCACATACCGGCATCTTGATGATATCTCGGGCGATACAGGGGGGAGAGGGTGTGTTGTTGGTTGAAGTCTCAAGTGGGATTCGCCGATGTAGTAGTAGAGTTGATGGGTAACCCAAATTTGAGTGTGGGCTTGGCATCAAGCCGCGGGCAGAGAAGGTCATGTGACCAACTTTCTTCAGATGCTGCCAAGCGATAAGCAATCATTGTTAAAGGCCGAGGTTAGCCGGAGGCCCAACTCCAATTATTCCTCTTGAACCAACAAATGCCTACTCATCGACTTCTGGCATCGGGTGGCTGAAAGAGAGTCAGCGGTTCGCGGGAGACTTGAGTGTCTTCCTGCCAGCATGTCGAAGTCATTACGGATATTAGTTCCCGTGAAGAGGGTGATTGATTATGCCGTAAGCTTGTCCGATTTCCTTGTTATCCTGACTCGGGCCATTCTCTATCCTCTTATCTTAACATCTATTCGATATCTCCGTTTCAATTTCTACCGTTCCTCTCATATGATCCCTTCCAAATGTAGAACTAAGTCTGTCTCAACTCCAGATCAAACCGCGCGTCAACAAAACCCAAACCGGCATCGACACGGCGGGGGTCAAACACTCGCTGAACCCGTTCGACGAACTCTCCATCGAAGAAGCCGTGCGGCTCCGCGAACGCAAAAAGACACCCGTCTCGGACATCCTCGCCTTTTCCGCCGGCCCCGCCAAATGCGCCGACACCCTCCGCACCGCCATGGCCATGGGCGCCGATCGCGCCATCCATGTCGAGGTTCCGGACGACCACCCCCCCGAGCCACTCGGAGTGGCCAAACTGTTGAAAGCGGTCGCGGAGAAGGAGGAGTCGAACCTGGTGATGGTGGGCAAACAGGCCATTGACGATGACAGCGGGCAGACGGGCCAGATGTTGGCGGGGCTGCTGGGTTGGCCGCAGGCTACGCAGGCGAGTAAGGTGGAGATCGAGGGCGAGACGGTCACGGTCACCAAAGAGGTGGATGGTGGGGTGGATACGGTCAGGGCGAGGCTGCCGATGGTCATCACGACGGATCTCCGCCTGAATGAGCCGCGATACGCGAGTCTGCCGAATATCATGAAGGCGAAGAAGAAGAAGATCGAGAAGAAGACGTTGGAGGACTATGGCGTGGATGCGAGGAGAAGGTTGAAGACGGTCAAGGTGGAGGAACCGCCGCCGAGGAAAGGTGGTGGGAAGGTGCAGGATGTGGATGGCATGATCAGCAAACTGAAGGAACTTGGTGCGTTATAGGAAGTCGTTCGTATACGGGATGGTAGAGTAAGAGGAAATTTGTGTATATACTACTCCTGGCCACAGGAGGCATTTGGACTTTTGACGTACTACGTCAGCGAGGCAGAGTTTATAGAAAACTCATCCATGCTACATCTCATCGATATTGGAAAAGAAAAAGGGAAACAGGCGGTTTTTTCCCACGCCGTTTCGCTCCCTCTCACAACTTTCCTTTTCTCCCCTAACTAGTTAGTCTCAGGACCCCAGGTACAGCCGACGCCCGCTCCTTCCGAGCAACCATAGGAACAAATGAAGACCTGGTGCACCAGAAGACAGACAGACAGACAGAAAGAGTGTTGAGTTTGGCTGGCTGGAGGAACCAGGTTGTGCATATATCGGAGATTAGGTATTAGATATTAGATATACTACCATCGCACGTCCAGCATGTAGTGGATGGCCTCGGATTTCTGACCCGCTGCAGCAGCGTCACCAGCAGAGGGAGGCAAAATAACAATCAGCTCCGTCCCCGTCCCCATCCCCTACGTCAGTCACATCCCTCAATTCGTAATCACTCCGTGTCCCTGCCCCTGTTCATCTCAATCCAAGCCTCCTGTGCATCTACAGCATGCACACCACCGCTTCCCCTCTGCATCCTCCTCTCTCCTCTCCATCCCCTCTTCCGCCCCGTCTTCCCCCTCCATCGATCCACCACCACACAGGCAATCACCAACGCCACCAAATGCCCCGTCGTACACAGCCCCCATACCACCAACGCCACCACCTCCAATCCCACGACCTGCTTGTAAGTATCCAAACAATAAAAGTCCATCCGCCGCGGGGTTCTGGGCGGAGAGTCCAAGTAAGCGGGACAATCATGACTGAAGTCAAGGAAGATGGTTTCGGCGGCAATGTGGGAGGGGAGGATACCGAAAAGGGTGACAATTATAACGAGGCCGGACCAGAGGAAGATCTCGATGCATAGGATTAGGACTGGGTGCGGGCCCGTCGTTGGGAGGAGCCAGGGGGAACAGGTGCAGCAGCAGCCCTGGCGGGATTGGTGTCTGGGAGGCTTGGCGGGGTTTGGATTACCAGATTTGGCCGCTTCGGCTGCGGAGTTGGTAAGAGCTTCGCTGTCGGTAGGGGCTGATGTGGTTGGGGTTGCAGACAAGGAGATGGAGGAGGAGATGGAGGAGGAGATGGAGGAGGAGTGATTGATTGCGTTGAGGAGGCTGCGGAGCACGATGAATGACCAGACGGCGCTCCAGAGTAGGGGGACGACGCTTATCGCTAGGTAATTGTGGGGGTCAGGGTCGAAACTAATATTTCGATATCCCGGGTTGTTGGCCACGGTATTGGCGTGATGGGTTGTGGTGGCGATGAAGAAGAGGGTGGATAGGAGAGATGTGATGAAGGTAAAGGAATAGAGGATTACGCGGGATTGGGAGAATTCAACAACACCCCGTGGGTGCTGGCCTCGGATAACCTTGAGCAATATGGGTATTGACTGCATTGCTGTGGGCGTTCGATCCCTAAAACGCCAGTAAGGTAGGACTTTTCGAAGGCTCCTTTTGGGGTTGTAGGGATAGAGGAAGAGAATATGGTATTAACGTGTTTGTATCGAAATAACAATTTGCATGGTTTAGTAGACAACGGTCGATAAGAGAGGGAAATGAAATACAAAGGAGCTGATGGACAAGAAGTGCATTATAAGACCACAGTATCGTGAGGATTGGATAAACTGGCACTAGAAATTGGGGTAATACCAACACACTGGACACAACCTGTCATAGCCTCGCTCAACTTCAGATGAACAATCCTTTGCATGGTCACCTGCGTGATAGGCCCGCCTATATCCATGTTAAGGCCTGCAACATGTCTGAACTGCAGTGGTCTACGCCATAATGCCAAGCTGAGATCGGCTGCTTCGCCACAGGTGGCCAACAAGAACAAGACAGCTGTATAATGTATTCCGCGCGGCAGAAATACAAAGCTAGAGCCTTTGCATCCGAATTTCTCAACGCAGGAAGAAGTTGAAAGGTTGAAACTTTTCCATTGTAGCTGGTCAGTAATTTGTATCGTGGCATGAACAGGGTGCTGAGGCAGAGGATTTTAGGTGTACCAACATCCATGCAAACAGTTCTGTAGGCTCATCGTAATTCTCGTGGAAGGGACGGGTTTGACGATGTAAGGATCTGAAACCAATGACGACACTCTGTCCGTTGACTGGGGCTTTGTTTAAATAGAAATGACCTCAGGCTTGCAAATTCCGTAGTACGAGCAAAACCCGATTGATCCTATTAAATATCAACAGCAAATAATCTAAACGCCCAAGCTGAGCTGCCACGTGACAGCAGGATACCCATTTGGCCAAGCTCAGTGGCCTGACCAATAGAATTGCTTTATTTAATCTTGAACCAACATCAAACCTACATTCTTGGACGTCTACTGGTACTCTAACGTTAGTCAAAAGAAAGGAGCTTTTGACAACGGCAGATTTGACGAGGACAAGACACATAATGAATGTGTAGCTTGAACGAACATCATTCCATGATATTGCAGGTCGAATTCGTCAGAGTTCGAAAACTCCACTGCTGTAACAACTTCACCCGTGGACTTGGTTCCCGCCACATCGGACCTAAAAGGATCCTTTCTTACAGTGAAGGCCGCTCCTAATGTACAGATCCAAGAGTTGTCGTCTGTGTTGAAGCAGCAATAGTTATTGGTGTTCATGCACCAGAAGGACATCAGATCAGCTTTGTTGCCTCGAGCTAGCCAGGCTCTCCAGAGGCCCCAGAGGTGATCAAGGCTGGCCACACTAGGGGATGCCACGAAACAGGTACAGATACCGCGCAGTTTGATCATGTCTCCATCCATCCAAGCATACTGACAGATGTGATTGTTCATGGTATAGAGCTGGGAGTGCCTCAGCACAAAACTTGAACTATGTTCAGCTTGTGTTATAAGGTCGGCAGCCAGCAATGCTGCATCGAGCCTGTGTAACACGAATACATCTTGGAGCCTTAGCCCACATTGGGTGTCTGGATGTCAAGTCGCGAACAAAGAGGTGCTGATTGGACAGAGTTCAAACGTAGAGACCCCATGATTGCTCTTTTGTAAGCTGTGCCCACTGTGTTCCGCTAGATCTAGCTAGGCAGAATCTGAAAAACTTGCAGACTGGCTGTTGTTATAACGTCCACCGCCTTCCAGCACAATCACACGGCCATCAGAACTGTTGCCACACAATAACTCTTAGGCTAGACTAGACAAGGGGTCGTACTCTTGCCTCGGCGTCATTGGCCCTGCTGCCTGTAATCGAACAAAGCCAATCGTATTTGACCTACCTGGCCCAGGTGGTTGAGGCTATCCGTACTTTTGAAAAAAAAAACATGATAGCGCTGAGCCTCCTCAGATTCATTTCCTGCTCCTGAAGACTTTAAATTGCATTGGCCCAGGCTCAGGGCGCTACTAAGAGTGTCTTAGAAGTTTAAAGCGTACGCCCGGAAAGCTGTTGAAACAAGGGTGGATAGATACTATGAAGACGGAAGATTTCTTAAATTGTTGCATAATGGCGATGAAAAGGCGCTAGTTGAACCTGTCCTACAATTTCATGCCCTCTGATTAGCTTGGCGGATCTGGCTGGGAGAAATGTGTTATGATGGTTGGCCAGAGGTCAGTTTGTTTAAGGAACAATCTTTTGCACATTACCAGTGGTTCTGGTAAGCAGGACGGATACAGGGAGTCCTTACAAGTGCAGTTGACTCACTGAAACTTAGAGCATGAACTTGAAGGCAGTGCCCCAGTTGAATGTCCTAGTCCACGTCAGTAGAATGACTACCATATCTTAGCCTTCGTCTGGAGGTCATGAGTGCTATGTAAACAGGAATCGATATCCTGTACATGCAAAAGTTAGAAAACGCCCGACGCTCAATGTCCTTGCCCAATCCATCCCTCATAATGTTACATCGACAAGGTTGTATCTAGACGGACCCTGCAATCGTCAAATCCCTGATCTCCTGCAGGACTTGCTCGACTCTGTTGTCCAGATCTCCTCTAGCGTATTGATCCCTTGTATCGGCGTCCAGATACTGCTGTACTTGAGCCATCCTTGAATATGCCTCCGCACAGAATCTCAGCTGGATCTTGACTAGTGCTTCGAAACTGGGATCGAGATATGGCACTCGTAGGTCGATAAGTTGGGGTAGTTCTGTAAAGAGTTGTTCATTTAGTTGTTCGTAGGCTTGTTTTGCCATTTCGGCTTCTTTCTCCGCGCGAGGCAGCTTGGTGACATCCTTGTCAGGCTTATCAACCAGTCTCTTGACCTTTGAGCGCATCGAATCGTAGTCGAGAAGTTTGTGGTTTCGTTTCTTGATGCATTCGTTGATGTCTGGGAAGTAGGCGCAGAATCGAGAGATAGGTTCAAGGACAGTGGTCCTGCAGTGGAGAAAAATCAGCCTGAGCTCGAAATGGGCTTTCAACTGGCGGGAGTTCACCTGTAGGGCCCGTCAAGTGCTTTGATCGTTTCGGCATCCAGATCTTCTACCGCTTGCTTGTACGATCTGCTGACCCCATCTTTCGTCCCAGCATCACCGTAGAAAGCATCGATTGTTTCTGCGATTCGCATTTGGGACGCAGTCATGGCTATCGCAGCGTCAGTACCTTCAGAGCTGCTTATGTCTTTGCTGTTCGCTCGTTGTACCTCTCAAGGAATCCAGATAGCCCTTCGCTTCTTTCTGAAGCCTGTTTGCAGCTGACTCCATTGTTCGATATCGCCTGTTTCTAATCTCAGCCCATGTTCAACTCCACTTTAAGCACTTTTATAGACCTTTCTTCCACTTCGTAGTCGCGGTCATTGGTCCTCTCAACATGCCCTGGAATGTCCACTGAGTCAGTGCCTTGTTCCGCCATAGTGATAAAGTGGTTGCCTATTGGTGGGACGGGAGTAAGATCGTACCAGTCTTCATCATCACCTGGGTCGTTGCCCGATTGACATTCTTCTTAAAACCTGCACTGGCGTGTCAGTGAATGGTTGTTGCCTGTCCGTAAGTGCTTGCGCTTGGGAATTCTCCATACCTGCCCACGACATAGTCGCGCTTTTATGCAAGCCAGCTAATCAATGTGAATACTTAACGGACTCAAGATATGTGAAGACTTCTAACAAAACCAAACAACAGAAGGAGCACTGTATTATCTGTTGTTGGATATGGCAGCTGGATCGGGGTTCAACTTGGCAACTCCGTTGGACCTTAGATTGAAGCCCTGCAGGAGATTCGGTCATTTGAAAGATTGGTCAGTTCCAAGCCTCAGACCGCGTCATGCAGAGAAGCGCATTGCCCCAGCATCGCAGTGTTTGGTTCATTACATAGCTTCTAGACACAACAGAACTAGCCTAGGACTTGGACACAATATAGGTAAGAAGCCCTAGATGTGTATACGCCACATTTGTACATATGCAAGACAAGACATCTTCTGTCTACCTTCGTGATTCCTTTTACCAAATAATACCAAGTAAACGCTAATGTCCAAAATGCTGAATTTCAATGATGCATCTAGAAAGGGCCCGGGAGACACTCATCCTTTCTACCGTTGTCAGACTTCCTCTCCGCCTGCCTCTAAACCTAAGTTGTGACTAGAATCCCTCAGTTCCCGCTTTACAGACCTTGATCTCACGACCCCATTCCGACTTGAGAACTTGGGAAGCTGTAATGCGACGACCAGGGTTAGGATCAAGGATGGAGTATATTACATTTCGACAGCGAGCCTGTAGTACTTGATTTAGTAATAGTTTGGGAGAGGCTTGGGAACATTGACCTACCCTATGCAATGTCTCTATCGGAGCATAACCGTCTTCGTCCCTTCTACCTTCCAAATATCGCTGATAGAATTCGTCTTCTTCTTTCCGTGCAACTCTCCAAAGATGGCGACCTGTACGCATTGCCATGTAGATGACACCGCAGGCCCAGACGTCGACGGCTCGCGGATCGAATTCGCCTCCACCGTACTCTTCAGGAGCAATGTATGGAGCGCTGCCACATAATCCGGCCGTCATGTGAGCCTCTTTCTCCCACGCCATACGGAAGCATTCACCGTTGCCAAAGTCGGTGATCTTGAGGGACCCGTGGGTGGTGAGCAGAAGATTCTCAGGTTTGAGATCGCGGTGAGCAACACCCATTTCGTGCATATATTCGACGCCGCGCATCAGTTGTTTGAAGAAGCAGTCGGCTTCTGGAACCTGCAAGGTGCCGGCAGCAAGTACCAGAGTATAAAGATCGCCCCCAGCACAGTACTCCATCACTTCGCAATAGTCCCCTTTGGCATCTTGTAGAAGATCGAGCGTATGGATTATATTTGGGTGTCGCAATGACGATGATATACAGAATTCCGATGTCAGGCGCTTCTGATATTTCTTCGGGGTCTCCTGCGGCCGCTTTCGAAATTCCTTGACAGCATAGAGCAGTTCAGCCCTTGCGTCCTTGGGATCGGGTTTATGCGATATCCTGACGATGCCGAATGCACCCCGACCGACGATTTCTTGACATTTGCCATATTTCTCGACGAGCCCGGCAGCGGCATTGGGCCCACCTTTCTTGTCGCTAGCAAGACTTTCGCGTTCTAACTTGAGCTGATCAACCCACGAGGACATCAAGGAGAGTTGCTGATGATTGTCTCCGCCGTCTGCTTCTTTTCTCTTACCACCGCCAAGCATGCTGCTGAGCATGTCAGACAACTTTTCCTGTCGCTTTACAGACTTGAGATAATGTGTATGCGTGCCATCCTCGTTCATCTCGAATCGCTTGTATTGATTGTTGGCTGGGTTGTTTCCCGTGATGTCGTTGACTTTGTCCTTGCTAGTGCTCAACATGCTGAATTTGCGGTCTTTTGCATCTTTTGATTCCTTCTGGTCGTATGATGGCTGCTGAGTAGGTGTAGCAAGTTTAGGCGGCGCCTTGACTGTGCCAGGAGTGTCGACATTCTGATCTGGGCTCCGTGATCTGGGGTCATCTTGATCCTTGGCCTTAGGAGCTTGAGAGAACATGCGGGAGATGCGAGCCGTCATGGTAGGCCTTTTAGGAGGGACAGCCTTCCCGTTAAGCGATAGGTTGGCCGTCGCCTCCACCGGAAGTGTTATCTGGTCTCCATTTCGATCTGACTGGTTAGCGGTAGATGTGGTCGATGGAGCAGGTGATACGGCAGGCGATTGTGGATTCATGTGCAGTGACACGAATGGGAGTGGGAGGGAGGGAGGGCGCCCTTAGCCCGGAAGCCGCGGCGAAAACGATAGGTGCCTCTTCTTCCTGGCTGTATAGAGGCGATCGAACAGCTGTGCACCGCTAACAAAGTCTAAATAGCCTTGGAGATTTCGAATGCGATCAGAGATGAAATGAGTGGCAAGATGATATTGTTTCGAGATCGAATGTGAGGGTGACACAGGTAATGATGCGGGGAGGGTTTTAGGGATGGAAGAGGTGGCTGTGTAAAGGAGAAAAGCGTGACCGAGCAGATTCCACGACAGATTACCAATTGATTACTTGGCAAATTTGCTTGTGAAAAAACCGCAAGCTAGGAGCGGGTGTTAATGAAAGGTCTGCGTAAGAATGGAGGGAGAAGGTGTGAGCTTGTGACGATGGAATAGCAAAGGAGGAGAGCGCTGGTAGACGAGCTTGGATGGTGCGCCTGAGGATCTAAGGACTGGAGAGGGCAAAATGGAGGTGTAAATAGTAGTTATTATATTCTTTGCTACCACTGGCCGCAAAAAAGCCAGCGAGTCTGGAGTGGGAGAACCGAGACCAGCAGCGGCGGCGTGGGCGTGGGCGTGTTGCCCTGCTCCTGGGCTTGAAAAATCTCGACTTCAACGGACAAATTATTCCAAAGCTTGAGCTGGCAAAGAGGAGGCAGGGGACCAGGCAGCTTTCCTCTGGTAGTAGCTGGCACATGCAGCCTGCAGGTCAATCTAAATTGAGCTTGTCCTGTGGTCAAAGGGGCGATCGAATGTCATCATTTTTATAATGATTTGCTACCTCTGATTCCGGGATGCCCCCCTCGTTCCTCGTTCCCTCGTTCCCTTGTTCACACCGCACTCGCTGGTGGTCGCGCAAGATCTGCTACAGCTACTCGTCCAGCTGCATATAGGGTGCGAATTAATACTCATGTCATTGACGTTTACATTTCCCAAATTTCCTGTTGCTGTGGTGAATCATTTTGTAGTTACTGAGAAATGGAGGGAAGAGGAATGGACAGTCCAGAAACGTCTCCAACTGACCGCTTTGTATGAACCAAGTTAGGTAACACGAAGTGACAAATCTCGCATCTCTGGCTCAAATCGTCAGTTAGACTCAAACCCACCTACTACGTAGTAATCAATAGGATGAGATCCTGCATCTCAAGCTTTGTCATGTCAACTTGTGGGCTCGAGCGTTCTGTTGAGGGCTCGTTCGACAGACCGTCCCGATATCACAACATGTTCCTCTCAATATCCCTTCTACATGCAGCTATCCCGGACCGGTCTTTAGCTGATCCCTGCCTACTAGAGTTTGCCTCACACTTTCTTCAGATAATCACCAGCTCACACAACTTAGGCTTGGACTTCGTGTGGACAGCCGTCTCTATTGGGCTTATTTACAAGGCTGTTCCCTGCGACTGCGCCCCCTTCCCATCAACTCGTTGCCTTTCCTCACCGGTCACAACGGCAGTAGCATGTGATAAAAAAGACTTGTTATCTTGTTTAATCTTGTCATCATTCGTGGAACAACCAACTTACGTTTATGTCGTACTCCAATGCTATCGACAGAGTCCATACACTGCATATTCTGTCACATTGGCGCGCCGTGAGTGCATACCAACTTCGGAAGCTAGCCCAGGCCCAATCGTTTCAGCACGAGGTCCACGTGGTTCTACAGACCAAGAGAAATTTAGTGTTGTCAAGATGCTATTCATTCAATCAAACCACAGGCACGTATCGAGCGATAGATAACTTGGTAGGCAAGAACAGTCCGGCCAAGATACTGCAGAACCAACATCATGCAGGCACAATTCAAGGCTGGTCAACGTTCAAAGGGCCACCAATCATTCCATGCCAAAAAGGCTCCGCGCTCGCCTAATCTTTTCAAAATGGATCCAGCTTTGAGAGAACAAGCTGCGCTGTGTCTGGTTGTAAAGGAACCCGTCCAATGAAGGACTATGCTGCCAAATCACATACTAGCATCGCGGTTCGAACTGTCAAATTCGCATCTCCAACTCCCTCTGCTTGTTGAAGTGACGTATTGAAGCCACTAACCTGCTGCTTGGGAATTATCTCAACCGCTGACATTGAGACAAAGACCATGACCAATTTTGAGATGATGCCCCTTTGTTGAAGTGGACGAGTCGCTTATTGTATCCATGGAAGCAGTCATCCTGGAGCTTGTCAACCACAAAAGAGTGATGGCTGCACTCTCTCGCTTTTCAACCTCCTATCAGAATTAGGATCTCTTGACGGTATTTATCTCTGAAAGACTCAATGTGAGGCTTGATCTATCTTAGGTGGCGATTCACTATCTCTTGGGACCCCTAGGAAGCCGAAGCTGTTCTAGTATACAGAAAGTCACTTGTTGATTGCCGCATGCCCGTGGCGGGCCTCCGGGCCGTCACCACACTCATACCGACCATTCCCCAAAGCATTGCGTTGGCTTCTGCAGGGATCGGAAGCCTGAAGTCAATTGCAATGTGCTGCTCAGTGCTGCCTTGCTGAATGGCCAACATCGCGCTCCCAATGATCAACATCTGATCCGTTGTGAGAACTCTTAATTGTTCGGTCGAGAGAGATGCGACACGGACTTGTCATGTCTGGATCAAGTCTGCAGCATATCTCTGTTCCTTTCTGAAGACAAGAGCTTGAAGGCTCCCTTTCTCCCTCAGGCTTGGAAATGATGGCAGACTTCTGAGCTGCCTTATCCATATCTGGCTCATAAGGACTCGATGTTTTGAGATCATATATCTGTGATTTATTCCTTCTCCACGATTTCTCATTCCATACATTCACCAAGAAAATCTCCATTTCCAACTTCGTCTACAAACGTTCTTACCTAACACGGACCTGTCGATTGTATATCCAATCATCTCTCACTCATATGAGTAGCTAACCTATCCCAAATCCTCGGCACCAAGCGATCCAGCCATTCTCTTGTGTCTGCCGACACCTTCTCTACCCAAGCAAGAATCTCCGTCTCGTCAACACATTCGGCCCTCCCCCTCAAGACATGATCCAATAGATCTTCTACCTCCAAAATGACAAGACTCTTGGCTTTCTCCCACTCTTTCTCAATCTCCACCGCGGCTTGCACACCATTCTGCGTCAGTTCTTTGTCATATAAATGCACGCTCTCGGCACAGATGCGGTCGTGCCAGAATCTTTTCTGCTCTGCGATGTAGATCTCCAGTACAGGGATACGGTCGAACATGTGTTCGATGGTTGCTCTTGTTGCTTCAAAGTGCTTGTCGTCCGCGATCTTCTGTCCTTCCGGCGTCGACGACTCCGAGTCCGAAGTCTGAATATCCAATAGCTCGTCTTCGCGGTCCCATATCCCTCAGCGCTTTCTATATCCCGATTCATCTCCCTTCTCACTCTCACCACCTCACTCGGCCGATGCGTCAACTCTGTCCTCCTCGGCAACGCCCAATTCTGCCTACCCGCAAACAAAGGACCACCATCCCTCAAACTCGCCCACGCCCTCACTACCTCTTCTTTGCCCTCCACTTCCCCTACATGCAGGTTAACGGCCCTCCACTCCACGACCCCATTCCTCCGCAACCTCCTCTCCCTCTCACTCCACATACAACCCCCTAACTCCTTGGTGCTGAGATCGCCATTCTGAGCTGATACGCTCCCATCCCTCCTCACCTCAATCATCTCCACACACCTCCCCCCCTCGCCGTTCCTGAGACACCGTCCACAAGTCCTCGCCTTCCCGAAACTCTCATCCATCTTAACTCCCAGGTTACATCGTCTTGCTAGATCCCCATCTTCATCTCCTCCGCACGCAATCACACAATTAAGACATGGTGGTCGGGCCCAGATGTTGTATTTGACGTCCGCAAGGGCGTCGGCGCGGGACCAGTAGAAGGAGAGGATATGGTGGTTAAATGCGTAAGGAATTTCGAGGTTGCGGGGGAGATAGTTGAGGTGGGACGGAAAGACATATTGTGGTGTTAGGTGCAAAGTGGACTGTCGGCTTGGGAGGTATGGATCAATGGGGCTGAAGAAGGAGGCGGAGATGGGATGGGGTGGGGAGGCCGTGGATGCTGTTTGGTTGGGTTGGAAGCGCAGTTTTGAGGGGGTAGGAGGAACGATGGTGAGGGCAGGTTGGGCATGTTGGGCCAGCTTTGAGCTTGATGTGGTGGGAAGGGAAGCGGAGGACTGGTCTGTATACTTCATGCTGTAGAGCCGTGCAAAATGTACTTACAGATATGGACTGAGAGTGGATGAATGTATAGCAAAGCACAGGGAGTCTTTGGTGCGAGAAACAGGGAAAATCGCTCGTTGTAGCAAGGAGGTCAAATTCGACGCCAGCTTCGAAGTGCAGAAGTGAAAGCGCCTCTACAATGCGAGAAAAGTGTACAAGTCCTGGTACGAGCAGCTTCATGGGACAAAGGCACAAAGGATTATCATAGTGGGTCGAGAAAGCTCTGACACCACTGTCCAAAACTCATAATGGTAAGGGGGCAGAACAAAGAAACCAGACACAAAGATATTTGCCAGCAACAGTTTCCGCAGGCAGCATGAAAGCCTGCTCTGGACGCTAAGCGGACTCTGATCCATAGATTTCTGCATGCGCACCCATCCCACAGAGAGACTAATCAAGATTTTCGTAAACTGAAGGCTTGAAAAAGGTCATACCTCGATCGCCGGTCACGTATCTTTGTTTTAGTTGGGAAGCGTGTAGACAATGCCGTGTCCAATGTGTAGATGGGAAATGACTGATCCACTGATAAACCGCAAGGCAGAGGGAAAGAGAGACATTGGATAAGACGCTTCGTGTCTCTGCTCATTGAGAGAGATGACTGCTGGCATAAGAGAGGCTGGTCCCGATAACTGTGCTCAGTCTGTCACAGTCACTGCACACGTACCGCCAGAACCAGTGCTGGGAATTGTTTCTTTGTTCTCCTCCTCTCCTTACTGTATTAGAATGTACTCATAAATTGTGAGACTCTATGAACGGATTTCGTGCAGAATAGAGACATGCTGAAAGCTTGGCATTCTCATGTAGATGGTTAGAGCCATGGTAATGATGATAGCATATCCAGCTCGAGTGAAGATACACATTCGCTGCGCACCTGTTTTCACAGATTCTTGCTGCATGCTGGAGCTGGGGAAGTCGATGTTTGGTGCAGCAGAAGTCGGGACAGGAACAAGAGCGGATCGTAGGAGGCCATTACACATTTGCCCTGACTGTGAGCTTTGATTGTGAAGGGCTGGGAGCACGCAAGTAAAGGGTTGGATATGAGTTCTGCCGATCCCACAAACTCTGATATTTACATAAGCGGACCCTGCATGACATCTGAAAATCTTGATTAAAGTTACGGGGCCGCTCCTCAGCAGGAATTTATCCAATTGGCCTGTAACTTCATTTAGTTCACAAATTTACGTAGTACGGGTAGGATCGCTGTGGGGGTGCTTGGGTGAGGGGGGCCTTTCACTTGTTGCCCCCCCATTTTTAAAACGGCTTTTTTGCACTTCTCGCTGTTGGCTTACCCATCTTCTTTCCTCTCTCTCTCCCTTACCTTTCTTTTTCTGCCTGACCGCAAAGCACCTACTCGTTCAACATGGCCTCAGCAAGCAGCACCGTCACCACTACTTCAACTCCCCAATCCCAGTCCCAGTCTCAACCACCACTTGTCCCCACCATCCTCTCCTCCTGCCACTCCTCCAACACATCAACTCCAACCCCAACCCCAACCCAAACCGCCTCCAAGCCAGCCTGTTCCACCTGCCCAACCCATCTCCTCAATTCCCTTAAAAGGGACGGCTACATCCACATCCCTTCGCTCCTGGACCCAGTCCAGATCTTCTCCCTGCGCAAAGCCGCAACGCACATAGTCACCCTGGCCCGCTCAGGCAAATGGCCGTATATCCGCACCGTGCCCAAGCAATTTCCCCCCTGGTCATCGACTCCACCTCCCGACTCTGATGGCGGCATCTGGGGCATCCAGCACCTCCTGCACCCTGACATGCCAGGGCGCAAGGAGTTCGCCAAACTGTACTTCGGGAATGCGATCATCGGCGTGGTGAAAGAGTTGCTGGGTCTCAATCTCTACGATCCCAGGAGCGAAGACAAGATCGTGATGGAGTTGTTAAACCTGCTGGTCTCGCCCAGTGGGAACAGAGACTTCGAATTGAGGTGGCATCGAGATGATATCCGCTGGGAGGTGGATGCAGAAGAAGAAAAGAGGCAATTGGACGAGAAGAGTCCCGGAGGCCGACAGGCTCATGCGCAGTATAATATCGCGTTGTTTGACGATGAGAGCTTGATTGTTGTGCCGGCGAGTCATAGGAGGGTGAGGACCGAGGAGGAGAGGAATGCCGATCCGTATGCGCCGGAGTTGAAGGATATGAAGGTCGTGAAGATGAGGGCTGGGGATGCGGTGTTCTATGATAGTAATATTTTGCATAGGGGAGTGTACAAAGGAGTGGATCTGGAGAAGGGGGAGGTGGGAAGGATGACGCTGCATGGGAGCGTGGGTTTATATGATCATAGCGAGGAGAGGGCGAAGAACGTGCTGCAGCATGGTCTGAGGGACTGGGTGGATAGGGAAGACGCTCCATTCAATGAGCTGCAGGGCAAGTGTCGGGCCCGGGCAGAGGGGATGCGGATGAGATTGGTCGAGATGGGTAATGGAGAGGATCTGGGATATTCGTTGGAAGGATGAATGGCTGAATGGCACATCGCTTGTAAATGTGGAGGAGTCACATAGGCGCACATACGGGGCATTAGCGCAGCAAACCAGGTGCAAAATCTTGTTAAGAAGACACAGTACGGAGTACCGCTGGTTGATCTATACTCCCAAAAATCTATATCGCTTAAGCTCACAGCTTTCAGCAATGCTTGGAACAAGTGATTACTGTGATTTGGATGCTGCATATTCCCATCACTACTGGTGGCCGATAATCCACGATCCAAGAAAAGAAAAGGACTTACATAGATGCATAGAGAAGAAAAGATAGCAAAGGTTCAAGGACGATGTGAAAAAAAGAATCTCAATTATAGTTCTGCGGAGCCAGGACCAGCTGGCCCGCGTCATGCCCTCATCCAAGATGAAGGCAACCTACCTCATCGTACTTCTATCAACACATCTCCCCTCACCTCACCATACCTACCTCACCTCACATCCCTTCCCTTTCCCCCCCATCAAACCTAAGGACGGAAATGCGCCGGATGCACTGGAGCTGGATACATCTGCTGCGCCTGCAGCTGGGCAGCGGCAGCGCGACCCATCTCGAGATCACGGGTACGATCGACTTTCGGTCTTCGCACGAAGCGCATCATGAGGTAGTAGCAGAGGAGGATGAAGAGGGTGCCGAAGACGCCGACGGCGATGCCGCCGATGAAGGAGGATTGTTGGATGGCCATGGTTTTTTTGCTGGACTTTGGAGATCTTTTGAACTGAGGCGGCAGGGGGTTGGGTGAGCTTTGGTTGTATGGTGTGGGTGTTAATTTCTGGTGATGTGGTTCTCAAAAGCTGTAGGTCTGGGTGAGTGGGAGGATGGGAGTAGGTAGGAGGAATTGTTGAAATCGTTTTATACATGTGGTGCCTGATCTGGGGTGAATATGTTCAGAGAAAGAAAGCGATAATATTGTTAGTGGGTCAAAGAACGATACCTTGTTCAAAAGAAAGGAAATTTTTCTCCTTTTGCTGCTTTGTCCGACACATTCTATGTCCTATAATAGTATCTTTTCACGTCTTGGTGCACAATGTCCATTGTCGCCTTCAGTCTCCTTTCTCCTTTGTTTCGTAGCAGAGGGAGTAGAAAAGGAGGTCAGTCCCGTCGAGATGATTTGTCATCAACTCGATCCTCAAATACCAACCTAACAAACACAAACCATCCAAGATGTGCATCATTTACCAAGTTGAAGGTGTCTGTGGCCATACCATACCCACCGCACGACGCCGTTGTGCTGATTGCATCTCGGGCGACATTTGTAAGCGTGTCGAGTTGATGTTGGAGGAGTCGGAAAGTGTCTGCCCTTTCTGTTGGTTGCTGGGGTTATTACTCTGGCTCATCCGATATGTGATCGTCCGCGAGATCTTGTTCGGAGCTGCTACCCTCCTTGCTTGTCCTGAGGTCGCTTCGATGTTTGCACTTGGTAGTGTTGTTTTGGAGGCCAATGCCTTTCTGGTGTTGCTAATTTGCTACATCAAGTTTGCTTAGATTGCTTGCGCGCGCACCGGTGGCAGTTTGAGGTAGTGTATCGAAAGAGACTGTTGTGAAGATTAGACCTCGAATTTCATAAGTTTCCGTGACGCGAGGCGAAACATTACTCCATAGTCTGTCCATGGCAGAGTACCTTTCCTAATGCTTGATACTGTAAATTTGATGTTACCTCGAAGCAACAAGCGTACATCAGTTGCATGCTCGGTGGTAGGGTCAATGCCATTGTCTGTAACTCAATGGAGATCGTTCTAGGCATTGAAAGATGTGGCAAAATAAACAGAATGACATCCTCTTTGTATCGTTTCCTTTGTAGGATCTGTGGTTGTATGCCGTTGTTGTGCAAGAGAAACAATTGATTCTCCAGTTCTGACAAATATACGTCAAGCAAATTCCACTACCTCTGAAATACCCGTTCATACTGACAGACCCTCACAACCAGGTCAAACCTCAAGATGTGCATGACGTACCAGACACAAGCTTCCTGCGGCCACTTCTTGCCCATACAATTGGCGCCGTGTGCTGTATATTCACAAGGACATATTTGCACCCTTCAGAGTGAGGACCGGTATGTTGACCGCGTCTGCCTACGATGCTTGTGGCTCGCTTTTACGCGCTTGCTTTTGCTATTTTTGGCCACGATAATTTGTTCCTTGTTGGTCGTTGAGTGCTTTGGCCAAGTCTGGCCGGTCGTCTTCCTTGTAGTAGCTTGCCTGCTCTGCTTAGACCATTTCAGCATGTTCTGAAGTAGTCCAACGAATCAAATTGCGTAAAACCAGCTTCTCCTTGCCTAATCGAGCTTCTATAAGCATTTTCTGATACTATGGATATCTTGTATTAGGGATTCTTTTTTGCCATTTGCGAGTACAATATGTCTTCGTATGTTCTTCCGCCTGTTCTTGCAACGAATGGCAGGTACTGGTACAAATTTCACCAACGTTTGGTATGGAATCAACCATGAGAGCTTTCAGTTCCAAAAGATTGCTTCTGCGTCGTCTGCGGAGCTGGTACTTTTGCAAGGGTGGAATTTCTGGTGCGAGTTTTTCTGGGTGATCTGATCACGTGTCGCTCAAGATGGGAATTCTGGTAGCTCGGTTTAGTTGAAATGTTGTCTACTGCCGCTACAGGCCTAATTTTTGTATCCCCCTCTTGTCAAAATATCTTACAAACGTGTTTTTTACATATCAACCCTGTCAGCATCCCTGTCGCTATTTTGCATGAATTTTGCACGAATTTTGCTCATCCTGCAAATTCTGACCATTCTACTCCGTACGCATTCTACCAGTTCTATATAGATACTAATGAGCCTGATGATAGGACGAGCTATAAGGGGCTGTTATTGCTTCATAGGATGTTATATCTTCTGACTACCTTAGAAAGCTGCTTCAGTAGATGCAGACAAGATGTCAAGCAGTTACAGATGCTAATGAAATGTAGAAACTTGATTTCAGGGACTAGTCCCATTGAAGCCATTTGGCGGACGGCTATACTCAATCCTACATTGTCCGTTTCGTACGGATACTAATGTTTTCAGTAGGGGAGGGTTACAAAAATTGGGCCTGTAACCGTAGTAGTGCAAAATCTATGGAGTCTGTCTATGCAGATCAAAGTTTATTCGGTAGGCTCCTTCCTGTTGTCTATTCTTCTCGCCTATGCCTCAGCATCGTTAATAGAGATAAAGATCTTTCATCCAAACACACCTGGACTTGCATGTGGCGCTTTACCCATAAACGCACTTACCGACGGCGAGCCTGGCACCGGGAAGTCCATGTGGTTAGAATGGTAGTCTCCGGGGGGGGCGCCTTTATATCTACTTACTCTGTACTCCGTAAGAGTGCGAAGCTTGGCTCTACCGCCTGAAAATCCAATCGTGTCGTTCTAGAGTCGGGACTAACGTTGAATTACATCTTGACCTCACCAGCCTTCATTAAACAAGTGACTCGATGCTTCTTTTTCTTTCCCCAACGTTCAAGCGCCTGTCCCTAATCAGGAACGTACAGTTGAGACCATCAACGTCTAATTGTAATGTCCTACATCTTGAACAAAAGAAGTATAATAAGAGCAATCAATTTAACTTTATTTTGGAGACCATCAATCAGTAGTAGCATAACATACTAACACAGCTCAATCAATCGTAGAGAATAGAGTAGACTTGCCCTTTCAACATCCTTGTGCGAGCTTTGCTTTGCCCTCTTCGGCCTGGCTACCTAGCGAATCGAGTAACGAGGAATCACTTGAGTCGAATAGCCCCGTATGGGAGGAAAAAGGTCAAAAAGCTTTGCGGAGGAGGGTTTTAGGTGCATGGACGATGCCATTGCTTCGTGGCCGTCGTACCAGTCGCACGGCAACGGTGCCCGTGGCCCCGGGTCTGCCACATACCGGCAAATCCAGGCGTTTTCGGCTCCAATTCTGACGCAGCCTTGGATCGTCTCTTGTCGGTCCAGTCATCCCAAAGCGGACTGTCGCCAGACTCCGAGCTCAGCAGAGAACTTGCACTGAACAGATCACTTCGCACTTTCCCCAAAAACGGCCATCGAACCGAGGCTGTTGTGTCCTCAGGGGAGGAGTTGCGGCCAGTTTGGGCGCGCAGCAAGGAGGTTTGAAGTGGCCATGAACCCCGACGAGAATGATCGCATGGAATCGTTTCGGATGCTCGGCGTGATGGGCTCTCAGTATTCATTCCCAGCAGGACATGAGAAATAGGGGTCTCCAGGGCAAGTGAGTCACGAGAAGCACCTGTCTCCAAAGTCAGTTGGCTAGTGAACGAATGATTAGAAACAGTAACCCAAGAGCGAGCATAATCAGAAGAGCCGCTTGTGGGCCGTCTGGTCTTGTTGCCGTCCCCTGGAGGCAGAGGTGGAGGCCAATTAGAGGGTGTTCCAATGTTGAACGGCCTAGGCGATGAAGGAGCTGGCGAAGGAGGGCGGTAAAGATCTGGATGGTAATAAACGTATGGGTTGTCTCGCATCTCCTGAATGTATGGATGAACCCATTCCCTCGCCGGAGAGTCAAAACCCTCTGGATCTTGGATACTTCTTTCGGGGGAACCATGTCGTTGTCGCAGTTGAGTAGTCAGATGTCTTACCAGCCAGGCCACGAACCAAACTGCAAAGCCACCCACTACCAAGGCAAAGATGACGACCAGCGTCACCACCAACCACGACCACTTGAACGACATTGAAATCTACCCTTTCGGCGATCTTAGCTGGAGTGGTTATCTGTCGGTTCTGCCACCGGAGTGGTGTTGCTGAAGACTTTTTTAAGGGATAAGCAGATCTTGCGAACAAGAGACAATTGCCGGCGAAGAGCGACGAGCTTGTTTTAAATGTTTTCAGCAGGGACAATAAGGACAAAGTCGACGATCCCATTGTGCTAACACATGAAAATGCAGGTGGCACAAGCAAAGAATGAACAAAAAGGCGTTCAATGGCTTTGTTGCCTTTGACGGGCCGGCAAGCGCCAAATAATATGCTATCTGAAGCATTGGGGCTCGGTGCTGGCTAGGATGCATATTGCATCTTAGACATGCATGATGTGCTGCTGGCGAGTAGCGGAGGATGTGCTTGCGTCAGCACTGGAAGACCTGCTGTATGCCAACCATGACCCACGTTTGAGCTTGGTGTAAGGAAAGTAGTTTAAGGATTCGCACCTCACGCAAGCAGAACGTGTTGGCTAGGCTCGCAAAGATTTGTGGGGACTGACACAGTGGCCCAAATCTTGTTGCAAAGCCCAAACTTTGGAGCTTGTGCGTTGGGGTTTGTCAATGCACTTAAAGGAAGTAAAATGCTTCACCATAACAATGTTTGAGAAGAAATAGTGTAATCCAGCAAAAACGAAAGTCTTGATATTTCAGATGATATTGCTACCTGCCTGCGTATAAATAAATGATATATTGGACAAGTTGAGGTGTTGCTCATATCCAAGCACCAGTGATTGGAAGCCGCCCTGTTCTCGTGAATCCATCAGCTCGGGTGGCCATTACAACACGTGGGTTCTTTGGATGTTTTGCAGGTGGGGGAGCCCGCAACGTAGGTGCTGCAACATTAATACCCTTCTCAGTGTCCTTTTGACGTGTGACTTGCCTTCCTTTCACCTTTCTGCCGTAGATACAGGCAATGCCGGTAGTAACAAAAATCAGAGCGACCGCAGCGATTCCTATGATGAATGCGGGTGGAATAGACATAATGAAAGAGATTTTTTCCTCGAGGCAAAATGTTTTGGTTGTAGTAGTATGTTTCGTTGTGAGTTGGCACGGATATCATGCAGATGAGGGTAAGTATATCGTAGAGCACAACAAAGAGTGTGATGAAACTCTCAAAGGAACCGCACAAGGCATCAAAGGTTGAAGCTCGGTTGAAAGCGTCTTTGTTCGAAGCCATCAATGTGAAGAATGAAAATTTTGCGAGCAAACAGAGCCCTGACAGGTGTTGTCATGTCAAATGGCCCCTCATTGTTCGTTCCAAGCAAAGAATGCCACAGGCCAAGACTGTCACACTCAACAAGTACTATTGCACAATTCTCACCACTGGATGTGCGCCTTAGCATTGAAGCAGCCGAGAGCTCTTTCAGCATGGTTGGTGAGAAGGATGAAAAGGATTAAATAGGATGCTGACGACAAAATGGGGATACTTCTCAAGAGTGTTGGCGGCTACAGGCTGGGGCCTTTGCATGATAATCTGAAGTAGATTGAAGGAAACATAAACTTGCAGGAGTAATACTAGTACAGCTTTGCAGCTGTCCGTCTCCACTATCTGGTCCAGAATATCCATTGTTATGTCGTGGGTTGAGCATCAAAACTGTTAACCGTGCACTTTCAGTTGCACTAAGCTTTGCAGCTTAGTGCACCGCAGCGCAACGAAAAATCGCAGCGCAACGATAAATTTTTTCTATTTCTATAGCTATTGCCCCCCCTCATCGCTAATTTGATACTCCAATTGGTCCTCATAGTCCATAGCACTGATACGAAGACGGGCATGCGCAGAAATAGCCCTATAGAAGCGTACGAATTTGGGTCTTTCCCGTTTAGGGCATTGACGCCGAGAGTACTCCTTCTTCTCCCAACTCTCTTGCTCCCTTCGTGTACGTAATCGAATTCGCTCCTTGGCCCTCTCAACAGTAATAATGCCCCCTTTTTGTACGGTACGGCGCGTGGCTTTCGCACGCGCAGCGCGTGCTGCTTCGGCCAATTGAGTGTGCTCCAAATCCGCCTCTGCTTGGGCCCCTGATTGTACGCGCGCCATAGCACCCTTGATGAATTTGTGCACAAGTAATTCGCTCTCTGAATCAAACTTAATATCCCTTTGAATAATCTCTGCGAATTAAGCAATTTCGTAGACCTTTTTGGGCGTTTTTAAGATATCTAATAAATCTAACTCATTAGAGCTATTTTCAGAATTAAAGGCCAGTAGTAGAGATAATTTGGCAATAACAACGTTTGGGTTATAGGGTATAAGGCCAGTCTCTCGAAAAGCACTCAAAATTGTAGAATTTTTGAAAGTTTGCGTACGAATTTCGTAGATATTAGCCAAAAAGGCTGCTCTTGAAAATGAGCAATCGCTAAGTCGTACGGCACGGTCAATAGCCTCTGTATGATAATGCTTAAGGGTTTGAAAGCATACTACATTGAGTGGTTAAGTGGCTGTAGAAGATGTGTAGAATGAGGAGGAAGGCAGAAGGGAATAATAGCATTATCCCAATAATATTGTATAAATTTGAATTCAAAATGGGTGTTGAATCTGTCCGAAATTAGTAATCGATATGCACCCTTTGAAATAGCTTTTGTAGATTTATCAAAATAACGAATTCACTTATTATGAATATCAGTATTCGAATATCCAGTTTCGCTGCACGCAATAAGATAATTCGAAGGCAATTCGTCAACAAATGTGGCCTCTGAGAGGGTTTGGAGCGCCACTACAAGAATTGGTGGCAGAACAAATCCATTAGCGCTTTTCGTACAACAACTTTGTGTGCTCGACTAACGCCTATTCGAAAGCCTGTTTCATCCATATTATAGATATCCTCTTCAAGAATACCGTATTTCGTCTTGGTCTCACGAAATCGCTCAAAATGAGCTTGTATCTCCTCTTGATCGTGCGTAAGCTTTCGTTGAATAGAGAGAGGCTTTCTCTTCTTCATAACGTACTTCGGATGGCGTTGTAGAAAGCGTCGAGACCAATCTTTGCTGACTATAGGGGGGGCAGTGGTAGAATTGCTGTGGGCACGTTCAAGGATAGAATTCGCAGCGCTTTGAAGCATTTGAGGGCGTGTACTCACTCCTGATTCGTCTAATTGATCAAGATAGTGACAAAGAGCAAGCTCTTGGTCCTCATTGAGCTTCTTATTATTCCCCCCGCATTATATCTTATTTTGAACGCCCTTGAACCTTCTTCGAAGTCGTTGAGGAGGAACGTCGAATTGGCGCGCTATTTGCGAGATATTGGGGTATTCGGCTTCGTTTAACGCGTAAATAGCATCATCAATTCTATCCTCAATTTCTTGATAGGATTCGGCCATTTTTCGTTGAATAAGAGCGCGTTTTGTGTGGGCGTACGAATAATTGAACAAATTTATCGTTGCGCTGCGATTTTTCGTTGCGCTGCGGTGCACTAAGCTGCAAAGCTTAGTGCAACTGAAAGTGCACGGTTAGTATTGGAATTAAGCACAGACGCTAGTTAAAGTGTTAGTCCGAATTAGTGTTAATCGTGAACCCCTAATCGCGCTGAGAAACCGCGTGGAGCGTTGAACAATCTGCAACCCGAGCAGTCATTGGATTTCAGTTTCAGTTGCATCATTATTCGATTCAATTACGAGGTCCAAACCTACAACGGAGCCCTCCAATCGTCTGTAGCTGGTTGTAAACCCTTTCTATAACTCGAGCGACACCCGCAAAGCTTTGTCGCAACCAAATACGCCTCCTCCAAGATGTCATTCATACTCTCACCTTTTCGAAGCGCAGCCTGCAGCCGCGTATGTGCCTCCTCCAGTATCGGCACCCGGGCATTCAGCACAGCTCGACCATCGCAACTGGCGCGTCTCACCCTTGTTGGGCGCCTAGGCACCGACCCTGAGATAACCACCACCAGCAGCGGCAACGAAGTCATCAAGTACGTTGTGGGTACCTCATATGGACCAAGAGAGAACAGACAGACATCCTGGTTTCGCGTCGCGAGTTTTGCAGAGAAGCAGAGTCCGATAAGGGAGAAAATCATGGGATTATCTAAAGGGTACGTGAATACCTGTGGAGGAATACCGGAAGCCTAAGGAGACATCCAAGTCTAACGAGTTTTCCAGAACGCTGGTTTACCTGGAAGGTGATGCAACTATGAGGAGCTACGAGGACAGTGAGGGCCGAAAGCAGAGTCAGTTAAGTTTGGTGCAGACGAAAGTGGAGATCCTAAAGAGGCCATCGCCTGTAGCAAGTGAAGCAGCTGGACAAGCTGAGTAAGCTTCAGGGTCGGTCTTCTTACCGTCATTCCGTCTTCGAGTGCGTATGTAATCTCTGATGTGATGCAAACAATGCAGCAGGCTGATCATAGCCAAGTGGCATCGCCAATGGGCTATGAATTTGTTCGGATGATGACTAGAAATTTCACCACTCTTCGTTCTACTCCTTTATAATCATTGCACTAGCTGTACGGGAGACCAAACAGTTGCCATGTCAATAACACTCTATAATTGGCTAATATGTTACCGGAGTGCCACAATACCAGACTGTGGCCCAACCAAGATCTTGCACCAGATTGAGGGATGTTATACCACAGCTAGACTTGTCCTGGTCAATTCACTTCCACTCCAGCAAATGTATCGCCACCCCGGTTGCTGCCGTAGTATTCGAAAGGACAAATATGATTGTCCATGCTCTAAAATTTGCTGTGTGGTCCTCGCCGAGTTGCAGAATTCATCCTTGGCGAATTTACTGTGGTGCTGCATCCTCATCCATTGGGATGTGTTTGAATGACCAGAATTATTCAAGTCTAAGACGGCCATCCACTATTTGTTCATTTGACTGCGATGTATCAACATGAGAAGGATGAGCCACGCACGTCACCGCTGAATCTGTGCGGGTATGTCTGTATCCATAGTCAGCACATATGTCGCGGCTGAGATGACGATGAGGTTCTAAGCTCACAGGGTAGAAATGGTCTTGGTCGATTGCTTTCGATGGAAGATGAGTTTGACACGACTACTGATAGAACCAATCTTGGTGGCACTTGATGTCCTCGCCGATCTTCCGGGATTGCTCGAATTCAAGTGTCCGAGGTCGAGCTTCGGGAAGAGACGACCCAACCCGAGCTTCAACAACCAGGACCGATACATTGTTGTGGCATCACTCCCGAATCCAAAGAACAGAAATGTCATGTATCCTATGCCAACATTAAGCCAGCGGTCGAAATTCACAGCGCCTTGAGTGGGAACCCGGACGACAAGTTTTGACCATTCTGGACCATGGACACTTGACCATGAAAATGTCGTTCTTGGGTAGCCAAGATTTCGTGTGAAGACGTAGATTGCAACTGGCAAAAAAATCACAATGAGTGTCGTAGAGAGTATGAAGAGCCTCAAGAACCTAGTCTTGTTCAGCTTGGAGTGCGAGGAAGCTAGGATGGTAGAAAATTGTTGACGATATTTCAGCAGCCGAACGACAACCAAACCACAATAGCCGGCCGCAACAGCACAGAGTAGTAGAGGTGGTATGAACATTAAGAGGATGCCCAGCCAGCTGCTGTTGAAGGATGGCACACATCCACTAATAGCAAAAAGATAGTAGCGAAATGGCTGCACAATGAAGTGCGCGACCACCATGTACATCGGGAGTATGATGCAGAAAATCACCTCGAAGGCGAGACGTCGACGACGTTGACCACGACTTGGAACGAGTGTTGTGTTGTCAATGTCCAATATCACAGCGAGTTGTCGAAAGATGCAGATCAAAGCTCCCGGAATAGCGTTGCTAGAGGCAAGATTTAGCTTGACTTCAACATCGCAGAGGCCTGCGCCACTCCACCGGGTGTCGAGCTCGTCTGTAGGCCATATCAACGGATTGATAAAGTTGAAAAGATTGACCAACGTGATCCAGAAGACAAGAACGGCAGCAGCCACATTACGTGATTCCAGATGCGTGACGAGAGGAGGAAGACACAGCACTACGGAGAGTCCTGCTAGTGTGGGAAGAAGTATTGATGCTAGAGACCTTGGTGCTGAGGAGTCTTGGGAAGTGACTTGTTCCATCTCTCGGCTTCGGAGGAGGTAGGTCAACTGTTGCAATGGTCTACTTGGACGTGCAGAGGCTTCGAATGGGTACTGATTGTCAGGTAAGGGACGTTACAACCGTTCTGAGGGAGGTTTCTGTTGTGTAGCTTGAAGAGTGATAGCCTGAAGCGGAATGGAGTAGCAGTACCTTCAACTTAGTTGCATAATGGAAAGGAGGAAGTAAAGAAGAGTATTCGGAAGAAATGATCAAAAGGAATAGAAGAAGGCAGATAAGGAGAGATCGACTCAACCAGGAGACTGGAACAAATCCCAAGCAGCACCTTTCGGGGTGGCAACCTCATCATCACAGAATGCCACCATGCCCCATAGTTTACGCAGCAACGACGCCTCCATCAGGATGTATAAAGATATTCGAGACAATTGAAGGCCCAAGTTCAGCTCGCTGGGATGAACCAAAGGAGCGTTACCATATCAGGTACTGAATAGGCCTGTTGCCCGTGCACGCATAGAGCGGCCAAGTCCAAAGCGATGACTGTTTAACTGATCATTGCACAAGCTTCCTTCACGGCTGGTTGTCAGGTGCAATGCGGATTGAACGAGTGTTGCTCATTTGATGAGAGGCATGAATATTATTCTGTTAAGGCTTACCCAACCACAATGGGAATGTATTGGGCTCTCTCTGCAGCACGGCCGAAGTGGCTTGTCCTACCTCCCATCAATGCCAGACTACGATGAGGAACATAGAGTGCAGACGAAGGTCTATAGCTGTCGATAGATCTGTCAAGTACCATGTTACTGCAAGTACTGGTCAGTCAGTACTACACACAGTGTTGTAGTGAATTCAAGGTGTACTTCAAGCAATACGATGTCGAGAATACAGAGTACGCGAGCTAAGGTTGGCGCATCACTCCGGCTTCAAAATTTTGCCGAAAGCCGAAACCAAGGAAATGGCATGGCATGGTCTGTGCTCATCGCATCATCCGGAGCGCATCCGATCATTTGGGACACACGACACCATCACGACATTCTTCACAATGGTCCCCGACCTAGTTTCTGCCTGAGTTGTCCAACCATACCTGACAATGCTGCAGATCCAACTTCATCTGCGGCTCTTCAATAGCCTGTTGGTTCTGGGCTCGTTGCAGCTCATCCTCGAGTATTGTATCGACAAGACTAGTGCCTTTGCTTAGGTATTCCACAACCGAAGTTCAATTCATTGACGCGTTCTTCACCCTTTTCTTCGTGTCACTCCTTCACCTCTTCTATTGAACATCATTGTGCATCCAACTACCTTATCATGACAATGGAGAAGCCCTCTATTGTAACAGTGACTTCTCCTGCTCCAGATGGGGGTCATCGTAGTCCAAGCCCAAGTCGCCCGCGCCACCGACCTTTGGCACGCTCGGCTACCTTTGCAGATGGCAATATGCTCTCCAATCGGAGAAGGAGCTCCATGTTCTCAGACAATCTCTCTGAAACACGAAAGTCCCTTCGCTCCTCAACCGACGACCTTCTTCTGCCTCGCGTGAATGGCAGCGGTCAGCTAGATCATGTAAATGAACCTTCTCATTGGCATTCGATTCCATTGGGACTCGCATTGCTCCCAGCAGTGGGGGGCCTTCTCTTCCAGGACGGTAGTGCTGTCGTCACCGACATCACCTTATTAGCTTTGGCAGCTATCTTCTTGAACTGGTCCGTGAGGCTGCCTTGGTGAGCCCATCTTCTGAAGACCCCATAGTCTCGGGCTCATCCATTAATCCGACTTCAGGGACTGGTATCGATCTGCTCAAGCAACAAAATCAGAGGAGCGTGTTGACTTTTCTACCTTCGAGACCATTGCCGAAGAGAAAAGTGATGAAGAGGACCATGACCACGCCTCAGCCTCACAGCAGGACAAGCCCACTCCCAAGTCGTCGCAAGAAAGCAATTGGGACCAACAGTATCAGCGCAGGTTCAGCATCGAAGCAGCACAGAAGGAACTGAGGATTCATGAATTGCTGGCACTCTTGTCATGTTTCCTTTTCCCTGCTATTGGGGCATGGCTTCTCCATGCCATACGAGGGCAACTCTCCCGCCCATCAGAAGGTCTTGTGTCGAATTACAACCTGACCGTCTTCCTGCTGGCTTCTGAGATCCGTCCCGTATCTCACCTGGTCAAGATGATCCAAGCACGGACGCTATTCCTTCAGAGGGTGTCAGGCGGCAGCCCGACCGATGATGAGCAACGGCATGATCCGGGACAAGTCATCGATCTCGTACGTCGTGTTGAGGAACTAGAAGCACATATAGCCGACACTGTTGAGACCTCCAGCAAGAGCGTGGCTGTAGCAACAGATGTCTGTGCAGCCAAGACAGCTGCGCAAGCCGTCTCAGAAACTCGCAAGTACTTGCAGCCAGATCTTGACGCTCTCAATCGAGCGGTGAGACGATACGAAAAGCGCACCACAATCTCGTCCCTGCAGACCGAAGCACGCTTGCAGGACCTCGAATGCCAGCTGAAAGATGTTGTTGTCCTTGCGGCTGCCGCTCAGAGAAATGCTGAGCAGCAACCGAGAAACTACATGCTCATACTCCTCAATTGGATATGTGCTCTTGTAGTTGTGCCAGCTCAGTACGCTTGGGCAGTCCTCAGGCTCCCGATACGAGCCGCTGAATGGGCTGTCAGTTGTGTACGCAGATTCTTTGGGTTCAGCCAAGCCAAAAAGTTGAGGCAGACCCGTCAAGGTAACCAGGTCAAGTCGAAGGAGAGAAGCTGGAAAGCAGGGTCTTAAGGGATATGCAAGACCTGCTTAACCCAGGCTGGGAAGAAAGATGTCAGCCCTAACGGACGGATGTGTTGGTGTTGATATGGGAGATGTTGCTTAGACATGGGATAGCACTCATGAGGATAAGGCCCGTCCTGGTTGTCTCTGAAGGACTCGCTCTTCTGTTACTATGGCGATTTCGTTTACCAACGTCCCAGATGGTTCCTGGTGAACAACCAAAGCAAAGATCACAGATTCATGAAGACAAAAATATTGGCCCAGCAGAAGCCACAGACTGCAACTTCGCTCTGTGTAAGCTGATAATGCGCTAGTGTTTTTACGTGCAGTCTGGTGTTTGTCACCAACAGTGTTCTGAGACCTCAACCTCCCAGGCCAAACACCTGCACCGAAGCTCACTGCAACAGACATTTTGCTCACAACACCGCTCCGATCTCACTGCCAGCAAGGTAATAAACATCTCTCCTACCTTTGCATGCCATTCAAACCTTCCGCATCTTCTTATACACAAGATAAAGGGGCAATCTCGGCGCTTTTGCAGCTTTTGAGATCGATGGGCTTCAAGCTCATATCCTGGAATCTGACGTCCAGCTGACGCTATATCAGATATAGTGACCTATGTCTAACGTACTTCAAGTACATCCGAACAAAGGTGAGTAGAGCTGGAGCTGTGCAGTATGATCTCGTTAATGCTGAAATGTCTGCTTCAGAGCCCGATGAATCACTAAAGATCGACAACCTTAGACTTCCATCTACGACCAACACCATCACAACTCGGACCATGAAGGATACTAAATTGCGCAGGAGTTGTCCAAGCGGTTCCCCACCCCATGATAACAATGTCAGTAGAGAGATTGTCATGTCTGAAGATGATAAGAATGCTGGCACCTCTATGCAACAAGAATCTCCGAATGAGCATTCTCTGTCACGAATCCCGCAGGCAAAAACTGTAAGCGACCAGAGCACTAATACCCAGGCCCCGTTATCTGTATCAGTACAGAGATATGGGAGAGTACGGGGTCGGCACGGTTTGAAGTGGGTGAAGCAAAACTATTCTGTGGCGGAGCAGTTGAAACGAGAGCAGTTGGAACGGGACCAAGGTGACCAAGGTGAGTGCTCTAAGCCTACGTTGAAAGGTGAGTGCTCTAAGCCTACGTTGTTATATATTCTCTCACAGCCAATAGATGGCGCAAAGCTAGAAACTTTGGCTCTCACAACTTCTTCGTTTCCTAACTCGGACAAATGGTCTCTGGAGAACCTACCAGAAATTCTTTTCTACCTCAAATTACCCAAGTCGGAATATGAAGGGCAGCCTATTGAACTGCTCGAAGAAGATGGTAAAGTTGTCAGAGTTGGGAAAGATGAAAAGCCACTTCGGGCCTTCCCAATCCTTCCACGCCACATATCGGTTGAGGTCGAGGGATGGTTGGTCGAGGCTTGGCGCCGGCTAGATCCACGTATCACATATGCAGACATTCTTGACCGTCAGACTGAATGTCCCGAAAGGATGATTAGGAAGCTGGACAGAAATGCTCTTTCGAATCGTTGCACACGTGAGTGTCGTAAGGTGCTTGGCAGCTGGACCAGTTATGATAAGCGAGATATTCCACATCGCACCGATGTCGAAGCTATCGAAAAGCTCTCATATCAGAATATCTTGCTCAACACCATTCTTGATGTCTGTCCAGGTCGGCAAGATCGACTGAAAAGAGTTCGCATGGTGAGGAAGACTGGAGATGATTGGGGCAAGCTCTACGCAGAGCCAGTTGAATTTGACGCGACGGACCTGCACGAGAAGACCTTTCCGCTTGATCATTTCATCCTTAAATCAGAAGTGCCTCTAGATGGACTCCATTCCATGGATGACGCCATGCTGGCTTCCTGGGAGTTGAGTCTCATTCTTCAAGAACGAGCGCGGCTCCACAAACAGTATAGCTGGGCAACGCTTCCAGATCGTTGCAAACCTGTAAGCTGGTATGACAGGACAGGAGGAGGCAAGCGAGTTCAAAATGACACTTTTGACGGCGGCTGTCCAGTGTGCACATGGGTTCCTGGTAGAGATCAGTTACTGCACAAAGAATGGATCGATGAGGTTAGATCTGCCTGCAGCAAGCCAGCCAGCCGCAAGCCAGCCAGCCGCAAGCCAGCCAGCCGCAAGCCAGCCAGCCGCAAGCCAGCCGCCAAAAAAGGTGCTAGCTCTGGTAGCTCCAAGAGAAGAAAGTTGGACAATGGGACAGGTCAGAATACGTCTATAGATCCAGCTAAAGATGTGGATAAAGAGTGTGAATGTTGTAAAGAGACGGATGCTTTCATCGAGTCCGGTTCTGCATGCAGCAAGTACCCTTCAGACAAATTTCGACGTGGTGAAATTAAGTCTTACTTTCGCGACCCAGATCATATCGGAGAGGCCCAGGTTGACGATGTTGTCCGCAGCACAGAGGTACACAGCAGGGTTGACGACCATAAGAGAGACAGCATGACCATGCACAGCGCAGAACACTTTGGGGATTTTGAAACTGGAGGTGAGGGCTCGGCAGAAGATTTGGAGATACACATGGTATGCCTAATTTACACACCAGCACATATGCTGGAAGTAGTTTTGGTACACTGACTGCTGCTATATAGTGGGCTCCGATTGACACACAACCTGATAAATCACAGACTTCTGTTTCCGAACTCAGTGTCTCCGCACGTTCAGAGTCGGGCAACATCGATACTGCTCCGCTACAATTGACGACCACCCAGATAGATCTGAATGGCGTTGGAAGTCACTTCATCCCGGGTGATGCAGAATACTCCTCTGAACATGCGCAAGACCAGATGGTGATCAGTAATGATGGAAACATGGGACCAGCGTACTATCAGCAGTCTAGGGCTGCTACAGGTCTCTTGCCTTTTGAAGGATTTGTTACCAATGAGCCTCAAGATGGTGACTCTGAGGTCCAATTATGGCGGGGAGATGGTATTTTGCTTACATTCCGTAATGCTGAGCCGATGCTGACATTTTCCAAAAATAGTATCGACCTTGCAAGTTCAGGATATGGGGCCCTCAGTTGGTGCATCTGATTATGCTTTCGATGAATATGCAAGCTGGGCGGTACCGATCGATCACCAAGCACCCAGCTTCGACGTTGCCACTGGATCCAATCTTGTATGGACTCCTACCCCTCAAGAATATCCACCGCTAGGCGATGACAACAACACCTTGGAACAGGAAATATATGGTATTGGGAACCAATCTCAATCATCTCCTGCCAACGAATATCTGTGGAGTCAAGCTTCGCCTCCGGCTAACCAGAGTAATTCCGCATTCTCACCACCCACGGATACCATACCGGGCCTTACAAATAGTATTCGCACTGCAAGTGATGTCTCGGAACCTGAAATCACAGGGTCAGACAGTTTCGCAATGGAGTTCACCGAAATCACAGAGATGGAAAAGCAGGCCAATTTCTCTGGATTATGGTGATGATCAACAACTCATTCTACTTGGTGCACAATTGTTTGTCACCTTGGACAGACGATCATTGAAAGAGCTTGGGAAGACCTGGTCAAATCCATGGGCAGATTCATTGGACACTGGAGCACAGATCCGTCACAGGTCAAGATGGAACAGGATCGTTGAAATTCGACGTCTCAGGACGATTCCCCTCGACCTGTATTGCTTAGATGCCTACACCTTCCCCTGTGCTTTTCTTTCCCCCACCCTGTCACCTACAAGGTTAGGACAGAATAGCAACGCAATCAACATTAAAGGCTGCGGCCATAAAAACCCATATACCTTTTTACTTCTGTAAGGCCTTCGCAAGGTGATGATCGACTCGGGTTCGACAGGGGTGAACTCGTGAAGACTGCAATAGAACGTGATCTGTTCCATTCACTGATGGGAAGTACATTATAATCGACAAACCAACATGTATATTACGCAGCTGCAGATGGAGGGCTTTCTGTAAGTTCTATGTAGTCTCATTTCTCAGAGAACCACTACTGCAATGTGCTTTTTAGATTTGCTACTGCTGCTGCCAATGACACCAATGACAGATGGAGACAACCGGCCCCTTGCTCGTCTTCAATACAGAAGCACACTATCCAAACAACTAAACCCGGCTGCCACACCCCCTTCATCGCTATCCTTCCCCTTCGTCCGCATCAGATACCCTCCCCCCTCATTATGCAAGATCTCGAACCCGCTCCTTGTGGCACCATCTCCAGTCCGCTCACCCTGTCTCCACAGACACGCACCAAAGACGCCAAGCTCGCTGATCACGTTCCCACTAATGACCGTCCCGTCGGAGCGGAGGACCGTGTTCTTAGCCTCTGCGGGGGGGTGGATCAGTTCCATGAGGATGTAGGAGCGATAGTGTTCCTTTGATGGGAGAGACTTCAGGAAGCCAGGTATGGCGGTTCTGTAGATGTTGTTCCCGCCGCCTTCGCGTTGGGGCTTTAGCACGTGATTTGCTGCTCGTGATTCGTCAAGAGCGATGGCGAGACCTTCGGAGTTGGGATTTAGGTCGTATTGTGGGGCAAATGTTGATCGGAGAGAGGATAGTGTGCTTTGGGAGGCGTTGGGGAGGAATCGACGGACATGGTCAGGCGAGATGGAGGTGAGCACCTGTTGCACTTTCTTGCAGCCGGCGAGTTGGCTGAGTACGCCGGGGCATTTGATGGCTGCGGACCGTTCGAGGTGGAGACGGGCGGACCATGATTCGGCGGAGGTGTATTCGGCTGGTGCGTATAATGCACGGAGATAGATTGTTGTCACCTCGAAGCGGGTTGCGGGGGAGGATGGAGGTGTGTATACGAGAGGTCTCAGGTGGTTGTCTGGGTCGATGGAAGTGTGTGAGAGGATTTGACTGGTCAGCAGGCGGAAAACCGGGAATTTCAAAGTCGAAGAGAGGGCGAGCTGGTCGAAAATATTGCGCTCGTGGTCCTGAACCAGGAATAGGATACAGAGAGGTAATTTGGGTTCTGATTTGGAGGAGGCATAGGCTTCATGAGCGGCTGATAGGCCGGTTTGTAGGACTTGCACAGCATCATTGACTGGTGGCACGTTGATGGTTGCATCTGATGGCAAAGCCTGCGAATTTGAATTTGCTGATCCAGCCTCCCTTGCTTCGAACAAAGGATGGTTTGGGTAGGCTAGGTGAGCAGAGGGATCCGTGAACGTTAGAAGGTGTGTGTGTAGAGAAGTGACAAGGGCAGAAAGGCCACCAAATGAGGAAGAGATAGTGTTGAATTCCACTTGTCTGAGAGAGGGTAGCTCGTGACTTGACGGTGCATGGAGCATGTAATCGGAGCGAAACAGGCCGAGTGACAGTTGTTGAACATAACCCTCTTCCTTGACGGACTGGTGTACTTTCCAGAGGTTTTTGATAAAATCATCCACTTCAATGAGCCTAATTGTGGTGAGTCTGCAATCTGTCTGCCTGCAACTGGAATGAAAGAAAGAAAGAGAATTGGACGATACAGTCGCAGGAACTGAAAAGCTGGACGGAAGTATACACGCGCAAAATCTATTGCCTACCCTTTCATGACCTCCTCGATCCACACCTCATCATTACTAATTGCTGCGTAAAGCTCATTGTAGGTGGTCTGAAGGAAATGTGCTTGCCGGAAGCAGGATTCTGGGAAAGGACTCGGGAAGAGCGTGACAGGCGCTGTCGTTGCAAGCACCCCAGATTTGTCTACCTCCCCAGGTACAAATGAGGACGATGGCCTCACCGTCAGACCATGCTGAATGGACCAGTCCTTGATAGTGCTTAGAACGTATTCTTCCTGCTCACGACTGATAAAAGGCGGATAATTGGCATACGGTAGAGAGTGCATTCTGCGCCCAGACCATGCCGGCCGAAGGAGTGCCGCTTGACAAAGGTATTGTTGTTAAATAGCGTGGAGTGATATTAGCAAATGCCCCTTACTAATACTGCTAGGAGGAGTTGATGTAATTATGCCAAGTAACCACACGTCTATGTCCGGCAATGTCCGGCAATACCCGGCAATCCCGCTCATGATTAAGGTTCGGGTGACACAACTTGGAATCCCAAGGCGCGGGCTTGTACACTTGTACTTCGAGTACAACACCGCAAAATGGGATGAACGTAGAGATCTTCTCGGATGAAGCTGGTGTGTTCGGGGAGTGCGCAATGTTGTGGAGGGCTAGGCTCCCCATTTTCACTCTTCTCTCACAACCACTTTTCATGAACGCACAAAATCAACATTTTACTTCTTTCTCCCACCATCGCCGCTCCACATCTCTTCAATAGATGAACTCGGTCAACATTCACTCGATTGGAGCTCTCTGAAATATTAGAATCATAATGCTGCCGGAGTCGTTGTCTTTACCATAGCGCTCTCTGGAAGAGCGCGCAAGCAGCTCAGTCCCACAGCAGCATTCTCCTAACCAAAAGTCCAACCACGAATATTCATCTCTGCTTTCCGAAACAGTCACAGCCTTCGATTCAGCCCCAACAAATATTTATGATGTCTATGAATGCCCCTGTTACCCCAGCAGATGATCCGTGGGACTGGTCGGTGGATCAGGTCGTCAAAGAGTTTTGCCGGGACGCCGAGGACCGCCCCGCCTGGTGCTCCTCAACAGACCGTCTGCCAGACCCGACAATTCTGGAGCAAGCCCTACGGGAGAACGATGTGACTGGTGAAATCATCCTTATTGTTATCACAAAAGATGTCCTCCGCGATGACTTGGGGATCAAGTCAATGGGGCAGAGACACGCTGTTGGAAAAGGCATTGATTACCTGCGTTTGCGCTCGCAAAAATTTCAGACTTCACCTGCTAATCCGACTGTTGCACCACCATTCACTCCAGTGCAGTCGTGGCTGCAAGCATCTGGCCCACCATATGACCCGGTTCCCAATATTGGCGGCAGCGTCCAGTCCGTTGTACCACCCGGCCAGACCTTCGGTAGTCCACGACTCGAAGCGCACGTCAAAACTCTCGAAAGCTTGCATTCGCACAGCAGAAATATCCGCCAACCGTGTCAGCTTGTCACCGTTTCTCCCTTACCCAAGGAGACTTCAGATAATGAAAATTGCCGTAATGCAACTGTGGGCACAGAGCCATTCAAGATTGTTGATCAGCCAATTACAGCTTCACCGCAAGGCAAGAGTGGCGTGAAGGTACCAAGACGGATCGCGCCTACTTTTGTGCGTCACCTCGATGAGAAGTCTGGTCATTCTGCGCAGCTATACGGAGAAGATGTTGGCTTTACAAACCAAAATGGACTCGACGGGGAAGAAAGTGACGAGCGAGAGTTCGAGTTTATTAGTACCGACGTGGCCGGCGGAGAACAAATATCCGCATCTCGTAGAGTAAAGAAGTACCTTGCCAGCCTCAGCAAAGCCATTCTCAGCTCTCCACATCCTTCCAAGTCCCTCCTTATCCAAGACAACAATGATGCAACTGACAAGAATTCGCAAGAGAGCTTGCGTGACCAGAAAGAGCATGATGAATTTCAATACTTACTTGCTAAATATCCACCTCAGCCCGACACTGAGGATGCCTTAGCATTATATGGTGACTCTGGAGACGAGGGATACTTTGATGCGGAAACGTGGCATGAAATGGAGAGGGATGCTGCAGAAGATAGGGAGAATCACTATTCGAAAGGTGCTTTGTCTCTGCAAGAAGTTAATGCTACGATCGATGAAGTCATTGAAGAGTTCAAACTACTTTGGCGAGAGACAAAGCTTGCGAAGGTGCAAGCGAAGGGCTTCCGTTTATGGAAGAACGCCCAGCGAGATGGACGAGTTCAGAACGAAATTGCCACTGCTCAGTACTGGATCCAGCATCTTCAACAATCGATTGTCAAGATAAGCCAGGCGATAGCACGAGAGTCGTGGCCAAATGTGCGAGCCCTCCGTCAACAATGTCACAGTCTCGAGGAGTCTATTTTTCAACAGCAGGAGTATCAGTACAACATCACCATCCTAACCAGGACAACAGCCCCACCACGTCCAACCCGCAACTCTGTCAGACGCGAGAATACTAGACCTCTCGACTTGGCCGATGAAGACATATTCCTGGAATCTGAAAGTGATGTTTCAATGAGTAACTTCTTAGATGATGGCGCAAGTCAGGACACCTCCACAGAGCCGCAGCGCGTACCTATCGAAGAGACATTTCCCATACATGCTTCAGAGGACAGCGACGATGTGCTCTCCCCTATAGCAAAGAGACACAGGAATAAGCCAGTGGCCGCTCATGTGGACCCACGGAAAAATCCTTTCTCACAGTCTTCGCCATCCGGGAAAGCTTCGTCCGCGGCAGAAGACTCTGATCTGGACCTCCCCGCACTACTTCCTCAATCAAAGTATGAGAAAGTGGGCCACGAAAAGGATATACCTATTGATCTTGTTTCATCCAGCGAAGCCCCTACACCTACCAAATATGGTGCTTCTAGGGGCAGCAACGTCCATTCAGATGACAATGGAATTGGTCAATCATTAAGCCCAAGGCGGTTGAAGTTACATGGGCCTAGACCTCCTTCGCTTGATGACATCGAAGGTATCAACCAAATGGCGTGGGAAGATGTTGAAAATAAGAGTGACCGGCGTCGTGCCCTTGCCAAAGCTGTGTACTCACTAAAGGCCAAAACAGCCATTCTGGTCCAGGACTTTGTGCAAGGTCATGAAGACGAAGCCTTGCGGGAGGTCGTTCACCAGGGCTTCATCGCTATTCTGGACAAAGTCACTCAGGTGGAAGGTGTGGCTCGGTCTGAATGGGGCACGGCAAGAATCACCGCTCTATTGTTTGCATCGTATTCTCTGGCTCGCAAGGTAGTGGATGAGTCTCCTCTAGACAGAAATAGGATGCTCAAAGCAAAAAGTCTGGTCGACAAGGGATACGTGCTGTTCTTCCCTGCGCTCAAAGAGCTTCTTAACAACTATCTCAAAGCACAATCAGTGAGAGCCGGAAAGAGGAAGTTCAGCGATGCAGCAAGCCGAGACGTCAGTACCGCTGCCTCAGATACAGAGTCTGCATCTCGGGAGCCAACATCTGCAAGAAAGAGACGCCGTCGTATCAAAGAAAGTCAGATGGCTATGTCTTCACAACTAGCAGGACAGCAGCGGGTACAAGAACAGGAGCAGCGTAGAGCTATCATGGCGCAGAAATATCAAAACATTCCGCGCAACAAGATGGATCCTGCTAGCCATGCTATTGGCGTCATCGAACCAATCGTCTATCTTGACCCAAAGATTGGTGCAAAGATCAAAGCGCATCAGATCAGTGGCATTCAGTTCATGTGGAGAGAACTCACGACCGATAAGAACCAGCAAGGTTGCCTGTTGGCTCATACTATGGGCCTTGGTAAGACGATGCAGGTCATCTCACTGCTTGTCACGATTGCTCAGGCCGTCAAATCTCCAAATGCTGGCATCCGAGAACAGGTCCCTCGTGACTTACAAGATATGAGAGCGCTCATTCTATGCCCTCCTTCTCTCATCGATAATTGGTATGAAGAAATCCTGATGTGGCGGCCGGAGCAAACTGTCCTTGGGGGCCTCTACAAGATCACGCAGAAAACACGAAAGCAGGATCGAATTCAGGATATTGCTCATTGGGCGTCTACCGCGGGCATTCTGATCATCAGCTATGAAATGTTCCGTAACATGATAGTCAGCAAGGTAGGAAAGGCTAATACTGACGAAAGGCCTTTCAACGACGCCGATCATGCTGCTGTTCAAGAACACTTGTTGAATCATCCCAACATTATCATTGCGGACGAGGCCCATAAGATGAAGAACACAGAGGCAGGTATCTCAACAGTGACCTCAAGATTCAGATCAACAAGAAGGATTGCTCTGACTGGCTCCCCACTTGCTAACAATCTTGACGAATACTTTGCAATGATAGACTGGATAGCCCCAGGCTACCTTGGTACGAAGGAACAGTTCAGATCGAAGTACGCAAATCCGATCGCCGAAGGTCTCTGGAACGACAGTGAGCAAAGCGATCGCCGAACAAGTCTCCGTAGGCTTCACGTCCTCAAGAAAAATTTAGAACCTAAGGTCAGCCGTGCGGATATTACTGCTATTGCCGACGACTTACCACCCAAGGCGGAGTTCTTCATCACTGTTCCGCTCACGAAATTACAAATCAAGGCATACAACCAGTACATCACAACCCTTCTTGGCAGCGATGCGGCCACTGCCTCCGGTAATGCAAGACTCTGGGATTGGCTTGCCATTCTATCCTTGTTGTGCAACCATCCTTCCACTTTCTTGAACAAAATCGATGAGAGACAATATGGACCGGAGAGCAAAGCACAGAAGTTGAAAGCCAGACCAGACGCATCAACAGATGACGACATGGAAGGTTCAGGGTTGCCGACTGATGTCGAGCTCACCAACACAGATCTTTCTGCAAAGGCGGTCGAGCTGCAGCACAAGATCTTCCAAGGTATGGAAGATTCTGACCGTCTGGAAGACCCCAGCCTCTCGTACCGATCTCAAATTGTTTGCGATATTGTTGAGTTTTCAATTGCTGCCGGCGACAAGGTCCTGCTATTCTCCCATAGTATACCAACGTTAAACTACCTCGAGAGCACGATTTCAGCTTTGGGGCACTCCACGTGCCGCCTTGATGGGAGCACAAAAGTCACCTTGCGTCAGGAGGCTGTGAAGAACTTCAACAAAGAGACAGCAACCTATACCGTCTTCTTCATCTCGACCAAAGCAGGTGGTCTTGGACTGAATCTTCAAGGAGCAAATCGGGTGATTCTGTTCGATTATGGTTTTAATCCTATCTGGGAGGAGCAGGCAGTCGGACGTGCATACCGGCTGGGACAACAAAAAACTGTTTTTGTGTATCGACTCCGGGCTGGGGGAACCTTTGAAGAGCTGATCTACAACAAAGCAGTCTTCAAAACGCAACTTGCTGCCCGTGTAGTCGACAAAAAGAACCCAATGCGGTCTGCATCGAAAAAGGTAACAGACTATCTCTTCCATGTCAAGGACGTGCGACAAGAAGATCTCACTTCATATTACGGCAAGGATCCAGCGGTACTTGACCGAGTCCTGCGCACTTCCAACTACATCCGTGACATTACCCTCACGGAGACCTTCCAAAAAGAAGAAGACGAGTCTTTGACACCTGAGGAGGCTAAGCAAGCAGACGAGGAGCTCAAGAAGGAGCAGGAGATGCGAAGAGATCCCAGAGAATATGGGGAAAAGCTTGCCGAACAGCAGGCTAACCTACCAAACACTCGTGCAAACGCACCCTGCTCCACCGCAGCGCACCCCTCGCCCTACGGCCATGGTATCACTCACAGGCCGCCCGTCTCCGTCCGTCCTCAACACCAACAATCGGCTTTACCATCTGTCACACCGTACGAGCAAATTAGCTATGTCTCACGGCCTGAAGCAATTAGTGGACCCCAGCAAGCAGAGGGCGCCATGTGGGATCATCGCTCCCCACCACACCTTCATGATCAGGTCCAGAATGTCCTCGGCGCTGTTCCCTGGCGACACGTCACACAAACAAGCTACCCGTCACCAACCGCAGCTACGCGACCTAAGGAAGTCAAGAAGTTCCCAGGCTCGCCTTCTCAGCTTGGTAGGCAGGTAGATGGTACGGTGGACAGCATGGACGAGGAGATGGATGCAATGCAACTAAGCAATGCGGCAGTGAGCGGCAGTGAGGAATCGGATGCTGACATCGCGCAATGCAAGGCTCAGTAGACCGTCAACAGCAATATGTTCTTTCTTTTCTCCCTTCCCTTGTTCTTTGTACGTTATGTAACTCGCACGAAGCAGATACAAGCAGCATGATGCATGGAAATGGCGCAGCAAACGGCTGACTGACGACAATGATACCCTGAGATACCTTGCAGTTGTGCTCACTGCTGTTTGCTAAGTTCGATAGATAATCAAAGCAATATCTTTCGACTCATGTTTGCAGATTCTCACACTATGATATGATGGCACATTAAAGAGTTGAAGGCCGTTTCTTACCCTGCTCGAAACGGTCGCATTAGGAAATGGAAGCTGTCTTCTTCGACAATGCCCCTGTTGAAAATATGATCTTACATCTTTTAACCGTCGGCTAATTGATCACCCAGGAATATCAAAGGCCAGTTGCCTCAATTCCTCAGACGTGCTACTGTGGCTTAGCCGCTGACAATTCCCGAGTTCGCTAGCCCGTCTGAGGTTAAAAATGAAAAATTCCACGGAGCAGACTGATTGTCATTTTGTCTTGTAAATTATTAGTGCAGTGGTTTCGACAAGTTACTGTACTTGATTGATTGGTTATGGAGATGATGAAGTTGCAAATATGCAATGGAGGCTGCTCTAGGAGCGCTAAGCGTAGTTAACAAGCACGTGACAGTCTAAGTGGCTGAGAGTTACTCCGTATGTCGAGCGGCAACAGTGTGGGTGTCCGGTTTCACAGAAGTCAGCCCAGACTTGTAGACTAGAATGGCCATGCATCTGAGGGGGTATGTGTCTCACAACCAAGAAGCGTTATTGAAGCACTGTAAGCGCACTACCAATAGCTACTAGTAAGCGATATTGTGCCAAATCCTCCCCTTCCTCCCCCCCCCCCCCCGAAACTCCCACCCATGTCTCCCAACCGCAATCCAACACGCACCCCCAACCTGCAATCCTCCATCACCCCAGACTCATACCTACACATCCCGCCATCGCCCCAGGCACCGCCAGCCTCCGGCAACATCCAATCTGGCACTGGAACCGTTAATCACCTTATCTTCTTCATCCCCGGTAACCCGGGTTTGATCTCTTATTATCACACGTTCTTATCCCTGCTCTCGGACCCGGCAGCCTCGCCGTCTACGGCGGAGTGTGTGGTTGTGGGGTTGAGTCTGGGTGGGTTTTGGGTTTTTACTGGGGCTGGTACTGGGGCAAGGTTGGGGGATGGGTGTGGAGGAGTGAAGAGGAATGGAGGAGGGGGTTTGGATTTTGGTGACCTCGGGGGAGGGGAGGGGTGTTCAGTCTACGAGAGCAGATTGATCTTACGGCCGCGAGGGTTGAGAGGGTGGTTGAGGGATTGCAAAGGCAGAGGCAGAGGCAGAGGCAGTCGCATTGGAGGCTGCGAGATGATGGTGATGGCCGCAGATGGAAAGTCATTCTCATCGGTCACTCCGTAGGCGCTTATATCGCGCTGGAGGTGCTGAGGTTGCATAGGGAGAAATTGACCTCAACTGCGTCAATAGGGGACGGGAAGGAAGGTGCTGGGCATTTCGACATCAAAGCTGCCATCCTTCTCACACCCACAATCGTGGATATAGCGTCCAGTTCTAGTGGGAAGGTACTTGCCCCTTTGCTGAATTCTATCCCTGGCCTTCCGCTGCTTGTCTCCTTGGTGGCCGGGTTTCTCGCGTGGGTGCTGCCGCCAGGATGGTTGAAGACGGTGGTGCGGACGGTGATGGGTCGTGATACTCCTGATGAGGCTGTTATGTCTACGGTTTCTTTTCTGGCAAGCAGGAATGGGGTTCGGCAGAGTCTGGAGATGGCGAGGGACGAGATGAAGGAGATTGGGGAGGACAGGTGGGAGGCGGAGGTTTGGGGTATTGTTGATGCTGAGAGAGAATATGTGAAGAATAAAGAAGGAGTGATGCGTGAGCCGGCGAAGCTGGTGTTCTACTTCGCGGACAAGGATCATTGGGTTGCGGATCAGACCAGGGAGGCAATCATTGAGACCAGAGGTGACACAGGGAGCCCTGGGAGAGTGAAAATGGTGGTAGCGAAAGCTGGTGAATTGGAACACGGCTGGTGTATCAGACACAATGGCTTTGTTGCCAAGAGGGTCAATGGCTGGGTGGAAGAAATCATGGACGAGAGCTGACAACTGCTGAAGACGGCAGTGACTCAAGAGCCATGCGTGTTTGAGACCACGGGAAAGATAAATTTTCGATTGCTAGTGGGTATCATAGAGTGGACGCTAGAAAGTTACTGCTGCTCACAAGACCCGCACTGTCAAGGTCAACCGCTCAACCGCTCAACCCTGCTTTCATAAAAAGATCTTGGAGATGGTTTTGTGACAGAGCTTGTGGGTGCTGCTGTTGCTGAGTTACTGGCTGCGGTCCTTGTTGTGCCTGTCTCGAGGCACGCAATGGTAGACTTGGAGGCTGGCTGCCATCTGGACTGTGCATCTTTATGCTCCACTCGTCATCGTCCTTCCGCTGCTGTCCTAACATTTCCTGCAAGGAGATCTGCCTGCCCATCGGAGCACCGAAGCCGTTGTCTTGTTGGTAGAGTGGATACAAAGTTGTACTCCTCTGCTTTCGAGCTTCTTCAGCCACCTTCCGACTCTGGCCTGCTTCTACAGCCTTTTCTTTCACAAACTGGGCTACCAGATCTCTGGTGATTGCTGTCGAGCTTCCTGGACCTTCGCTGAAAACCCAAATGCCGGATGCTGTTGGCTGGCCGGAGGCATTGGACGTGACAATGATGTAATCATCTGTCAATTCTACACCCCCAGTCTCGTCCTCTCTGAGCTGTGCCTCAAAATTCTCTAAACCTCTTCGGTTGAGCACGATAGCAGTGAACCTGTCCTCACCTAACTCTCCGGGTTCGAGCTGACATATGAAAAGTGACCCTTCGACTCCTGACTTGATCCATGCCGGCTCTGGCAAAGGGGAAAAAGTGTAGATGACCGCGTAAGGCGCAACGCATGGGATAGACTTGATGGAAGGATTGTAGCGTTGAAGGACGGAGAGGTTCAACTCGTCGATGGTACGTGATGGGACCGGTAACTGTGTAGACGGAGGTTGGTCGGAGAGATAGGCATAAGCTGTATCGGATTCATAGTCTGATATCTGAGGCACCTGATTCGGCGCTTGAAGGTTGCTTGCAGCAGACAGAGGGGGGTGGCGGGGATACTCGACCGAGGCTTGCCGACGAGAATGTCGACGTGCACTCATGGTGGTTGTGGATGTCAGGAGCGTCAATGTGGAAGCAGAAACCGTGAGCAGCAAGAATGGGCGCGAAATGGTGCTGGTTAACTGGGTTGTGATTGACGCTATGAAGCTCAGCCTGCACCAGTGCCCCGATGGCAGATAGCAACATCCGCTGCTACTTGCAGGCTCGTAGCATAGTGGTAGGGCAACTGATGCTGTGGTCGATGATGCAGTACCAGGCTAGTGGGTGCTATGGCTCAACTAAAACTGACCGACCTCGACTGCAACAGTTGTCGTAGTCTATGCTACCATGAGGAAAATCTGCCCTGAACTCACTCAGCTTCGGATTCGGGTGAGGCCGCTCTACGCTCACTCGCGTCGCATACTGTAACACGTGGCTCTCCGCATTCCCAATGCTTGATAGTACGGCGGACTGTTACGACCAAACGGCCAATGGCCGTTTGGTCGTAACAGTCCGCCGTAGTTACGGAATGGCAAGAGAAACGCGCTAGGACAGACCACGTGAACGTTGCTATTCATACAACGATTTGACATCTCTCTTTTTATGTCCGTAGTACCTTCCTCTCCATCACTCCTCAAACCACCAGTTTGGCCGTAAGGCATCGTTCTTCTTCAACCAACTAAGAAGACTTGCAAAAGACTAAACTCTGCTTTCGCCACCGACCATTCGATGCCGAAGACACGGTTGGTTCATCTTTTCCATACCCCTTCCACCGCCTTATCTTAGGCAGGGATGAAGTTCAAACATATAAAGATTTAACTCCGAGGGATTGCGTGGCCACATGTGTACCTCAATGCTGCACTTGCTACGTACTTGCCATTTGGTTACTGGGAAGGTTCCTCGAGTAGGAGCAAAGACGTCCGCCAGGGCAAGGTAAAAGAAAGCTGCCCTCACAGTGTCGAAAATACCTCTTCGACAGTTGCAAGTCTTAGCAAGAAATAGTACTTGTTAAATCTGTCATGTATTCTTCGGCGCCCTTCGTCCTTATATAACTGACGCCGATCCCGATGCCCTTGAAAATGCGGCTGTGGTGGTAGAAGAAGGACTTAGGGCCATCGAAAACTGTACCATCATCCAGATTGATCGAGGAGGCGGGACGGGATCTAGCACCCGTGTGCTTGACTAATGACTATAACGGCCAGAATAAAATTCGGGACCAGAGACTATATGCTGCGGAGTTATTTGTCCAAGATAAGTTCCATCTGCACTCTTCTACTAATAGTATATAACCCACTGACAAGGCATACGCTCGCCATGGCTTGGTGGTTGGCTCGGTTTGCACTTTGACATGCGTAGCCAAATTGAACGGGATCCGTATTCCGAGACTTCACGCCTATCGATTCGCGGCTGGCTTTCAACGTGCCTGCAAGATCACGACAAGTGTAAAAGCACAGTGATGCGTCGTCCGGCTTTCGCACCAGACCGGCTTGTCAGCATAAGCTCACCCTGCAACAAACATTTATATAAGTCTCATTCTGAGATGATTGATTATTGTAGCATTGAGCTATTGTGGGGGACCTCCACGGTCTTAAAAACTACAAAGGTGAATCTCTCAGATCATCTGACACTAATTCCTGGTCGGTGGTGCCGAAGACTTTCCAACAGGACATTGATCTGACCTTGATGCTCGGATACGAGTACATTTGGGGGTCGGTTCACTGTGTATCATTCAGCAGGATGCCGAGGACTTTGCCGAGCAATCCTGCCAGATAGGCAACATTTATACGTCTGCAGCTTCGGTCATATCAGCAGACTCGGGGCAGGGCGTGGAAGCAGGCTTTCTCAAGGAGACATTCTATGCTTTAACAACGATAAGAATACCAACATGGAAACGTCAGGCACATAGCACAGATTGCGTTTTCGCCAAGCCAATCCCCAATCTTGTCAAGGATGGTATCAACGATGACCAAAGAGATGAACACACTTCATTCCACTCGGATCCGACCTTCAACAGGGCATGGTGCTTCCAGGAGCAGCGCATGGCCACTCGGATCGTCCATTTCACCACAAACGAAATGTACTGGGCCTGCGCAAGTCAGTTGACGTGTGAATGTGAGAGACTAGCCTGGACGGATTACAGGAACGACCCACAACTTCTGCAACGGTATTCTAACGCCTTGGAGCCGACATCAGGTGGAACAATGAGCCCACCCAGCGCCGTCGAATTCTGGTGGTCATTCGTCGAAACCTTCTCGCAGCGTAGACTTACTCGACTCACCGATCGACTTCCAGCGATATCTGCGCTGGCAAAGTTTATGCACCGGCACTTTAGCAACTTACAGTCGACATCATGCGAAAGAAGCAAAGTGCACAACATAGTTAACAGTTGGGAGTCGCGCGTCAAACGCGTCTCAAAGCATAGACTCGTTAGCGTCACCGACCGACCAGTTCCAGCGATCCCTGGCCTCGCAAAAGTAACACACTCTGAGGAGTTGGGAGAATGCCATGCTGGGTTATGGGAACGCCAACTGGCTATCGCCCTTCTCTGGAGGACGTACGACCTCGTGGACCCTGAGGATTACCCTTGGAAGCCATTGGAGTACGGGCCAACATAGTCCTGGATATCCATAATGGGGATCGTCAAAGGCACCGAATGGACAGAGATCGAATACCTGTGGTCAAAGTCGTTAAAGTCGATTGCGTGCGTAATAGCGCGGATAGATATGGGACCGTCGCATCAGCCTCAGTCACTACCACCGCACCAGCAAAGACAGACATCCTCCAGCATGAGTTCACAGAATGTACCGGCGGCACTATTCTCTGATCGGCAGGGCTTGCCAGTGGTGGCTTGCAGAATGAGTTTCTGGACCTTAGACCAAATAGGAATCTAGGTGAGGGTTCGTCGCCGTACCTGGGAGAGGTGCTTTGTCTGATGATCGCGAGGCGCGGAAGTGAACTTTCGGACGGGCTGATACTGACTAAATCCAAGAAAGTAAAAGGGGCGTACGAGAGAACCGGTACCTTGACTATGTATAGACGACGAGACAGATGGTGGAAACAGAGAACCGTCACTAAATTTTGAGCGTACGCAACTTTCTACACTTTTAGAGTTGGAGCGAATTGTACAAGTGACTCTAGAGCTTTGGAAGATGTCCACTGCCTTCTGGCTGGAGCTAATGTATTGTCTTTAACATAGTGACTTTCGAGGGCGACTCAGAGATCAAAATGGAATGTGAAGAAGTCCTCACGAGACGATGACACTGAGTTCTCGGAAGATACAGAGCGCTTTTGGCCACGGCCTCATAACCGCGAGAATCACAGTACTTCCATGCAAATTTGTTAGGAACGCTTGAGTCACTTAAAGAGCACTTGTTCTGATTTGATGACCTCTGCAGAACAGCTGGATATCCCTGAAATGGTGGTGCTGGTTAAGTAAGGCTTCCCACGCAGTTCAGCGATTCCAAATTCCTTCACACGATTTCTACGATTAAGTCGAGGGTACTCCATAAGGAGGGTAAATTGATTTAAAGCGGCGCAGGCTGGGTAAGCACCAGGTGTTGTAAATTTCTTGCTGACTAACTTTCTGTGGCGCTCCATATCTGTTATCTAGCTGGCCACTAGCGAGGGGCCAACTAATTTTCCTGTATAATGACGTAATTAGCTTGTGGGTCATTCGTTAGAACGAAATAGGCAGCGTTCCTTCCTGTTTTTGCTCCTACTTAATGCAAAGCATTTGGCCGACAACACTGCCGTTCCATGTTGAGCAGGAGTGGTAGGCACTCTGGGCCTCAGGTTAGCAATATCAACTATACTATGTATGCAAGGGAAAGCTATTATGCACCGTTCATTGGCTCTCTAAGAGACCTGCTAGCTTAGGTCAGCAATTCATTATCAGCTGCCCGTGAGCGTTGGCTCCATTCCTTAGGGGCGGATGAGGCGTCCGCAAGGAAGCAAGGGGTCTAGAACCAAGAAGCCCCGCCTCATTAACACGTTAACCAGCTTCAAAATGAATCAGTCCTGCAAAGTCACATGGTACCAGGCGCAGGTGGTGGAGTATACTACCATCGTGACGAGTACACAGGTCTAACGTCAAGGTGCATGGCGCTCTCTTCGCTGTAGCTTTGTTGACCCATATACCTACGTATGAAAGCTCAGAGCAAAGGCTTCAAAGCATGTCATCCCACCACAGTCGAGATGCTTCTCCTCAGCCACCGATGCACAGCACACCCGGCGCTTTTCCATCTTCTCCGAACAGCGAGCAGAACCCAGAGGCAATCTCTGCGCCCCAATCCTTATCGCTCGCAGTCAAGGCGAGAAGGTCTGAGTACGTCAAAAAGAAGACGATCAGAGTCAAGGTGGGCACGTGGAATGTCGCAGCGCTCAGCGGGACGGAGTTGGACATCGGTGCGTGGTTCATTGAGGGCAAGGGGATCAAGGGACTCGACGAGAACTTGTCAGAGCTCTCTGCAAAGGAGCAGACCGATACAAGCGCTGGAGAAGAGAATATTGAATCTGTTGAAGATCAGGAGTTGAGAAGGACGAAGAAGAAATCCACGATTCCCAAGGACGACGTACCAGCAGTAGCAGCAGGGGAGGACATCGACCTCTACGTTTTAGGCCTACAGGAAATAGTCGACATAAATTCTGCCTCTGAAGCTCTACGTCCATTTGCAGACCCATTCCCAGGCAAGAAGTGGAAAGCTGCGTTGAAAGAGGCTCTGCCCCAGGGTTACAAACTTATAGTCGAGCAGCAAATGTCTGGATTATATCTCCTGGTATATGCATCAGCTGAGCTTGCTCCTTGCATTAGCTCAGTGAGTAGCACCAGTGTTGGAACAGGGCTTTTAGGGTATTTGAGAAACAAAGGTGCTGTCTGTGCACGACTTATTCTCGGAGAGACCACCCGCCTCGTATTCGTCAATTGCCACCTTGCTGCTGGAGCAGACAAAGCTGCTCTTGACAGGCGCAATTGGGATGTTGGTCAAATACTGAGTCGCGTAAGATTTAACCCAATCACCGATGGTGCCGAAGTCGTGGAGGAATACGGTGATGCAATAGGGGACGAAGATTTTGCATTTTGGTTCGGTGATTTGAACTATCGTTTAGACGACATACCACCAGAGGACGTGAGACGGCTTTTGCTACTGCACACAAGAAATGAGTATGATCTAAACAACAAATCGAAACGCAAGATCGACAGCGAGCTTGGCTACATTTCTGCAGATCAGGATTCCTCCTCGATCAGTGCCGAAAATGCTTCGCAACATTCGAAAGGCTCAAAGGACTCTTCAGAGGACGAAGGAGACGGTCTTCCTCTGAGTCCTGGGTCCGATCCCGCCTCTCTGCACACCACTTTGCGATCTCTGCTGGTCCATGATCAGCTTCACGATCAACAGAAAAAGCACAAAGCATTTCATGAGGGCTGGAGGGAAGGAGAGATCAATTTCCTTCCAACGTATAAATATGATGTTGGCAGTGTTGGTATGTTTGATTCTGGTGATAAGAAGAGGGGCCCAAGCTGGTGTGATCGCATCTTGTATCGGTCTCGGCAAGACCGTATTGAGGCTGAAAGGAAATGGAAAGAGGAAGACGAAGCGAAAAAGAGGGATGCTGAAATGAAGCAAAGAGGCTTAGACGAGCCAGACGAAGATGTCATCTTTGACTCTGATCCTGGAACTCCGGGCTTTCCCGGTACCCCTGGATACGCGCCCGGAGACGATTATAACGAGGATGAAGACGCGGCAACCGAATCAGAGCTTGGGCCAGGTCGACACGGTCCGGATGAAGCGATCTCTCTGGAACATTATGGCTCACATCAAAGGGTGCTTTCATCTGATCACAAACCCCTGGATGCGGTTTTCACCATCACGTATGAAGCTGTCGTGCCGGAGCTGAAGGCGAAAGTGCATCAAGATGTTGCTCGTGAGCTTGACAAGCAAGAGAACGAAGGCCGGCCAGGCGTGACTGTGGTAGTGGACAATCAGCCGCAAGCCTTGAATTATAAAGCTGACGACTCGGCAGAACCAACCGAAAATAACGGCGTCAACTTTGGCGCAATCAGATATGGCGTTCCCAAGTCCGCCGGGCTGACCGTGGCGAATACCGGCGGCGTAGTAGCCACTTTTCTTTTCGTTGACCGACCGATAGGAGATGGTCAGAAAGATTCGATTACCCCCCCATGGCTTCATTTAGAAGTCGATGGAAACAGCGATAACAAGAACTCCAACCGAAATGCGCTACAGGAATACACTCTCCAGCCAGGCGAAACAAGATACGTCCATCTTTCTGCCGAGGTGCGGAAGTTTAAACTGGTTCGAAAGCTCAATGAAGGAAAGATCCGGCTCGATGACATCTTAGTCCTACGTGTCAAGGATGGCAGAGATCACTTTATTCCTCTTGTCGCACGTTGGATGCAGTCGTCTTTCTGCAGAACCCTCGAGGAGCTCGTCTTGTTGCCAGAAGGTGGCATCCGGCAAATGCAGCGGAATCATCAAGAGAGTGCGGCAGATCTGCACAATCTCGATGACGCCCAGGAATCGATTGAACGGCATAAGGTTTCTGCGCCTCGCGAATTATTTGCACTTACAGAGACTGTGCAGGATCTAACGCAACGAGCAGTGGCTGAATGGGACATGACACATGGAGACGGTGCTTCACAACCGCCATGGAAGCAGGAGCCATTTGGTAATGGCTGGCCATTCGAACCACAATCTTGGACTTTGGTCTCTTCACAGGAACGCTCCCACCTTTTGGCTGCTGCTGCCGAAGCTTTGGATACAGGCGCTCCGTTGACCTCACACTTCGGTGAAGAAATATCAACCCTGCACCGCCTGGAAGTCCTAGCCGAAACGCTCGTCACTTTCCTCCATTCACTTCAAGACGGCATCATCACCACGGAACTCTGGTCGCAGCTCGACTTGCACATGAACACAGCAAGTAAATCCATATCGACAGACACAGACCCGCAATCCTGGATCCTCGAAATCTTGTCCTCGGCACCAGTCCACAACGTAGCCTTCACATTTATCATGTTCATGCTTGCTAAGATTGCCAACGAAATCGCCCCTCTATCTTCCTCCCAACCAACAGTCATCAGTGCCGACTCAATTCAGTCTCCTCGAGTTTCATCTGCATCCACTCACTTCACCACCACCACCACCAACACCAGCAGTAGCGAGCTTCAACAACAGCTTGCTCCGTCTAGCCCCACTTCCCCTACGACAACACGATCGCAGATCTCTATACTCTCCTCATTCCGCCGCACCAAACCTGCCACCAACACATCTGAAGAGCCAACATCATCATCAAAAGAAGAAGCAGCGAAGAAGCGTAGACAGGCAATAGAGCATGCCTACGCAGACATCTTTGCCGAGGCTATGATCAGGAGGCCGGCTGGTATGAAAGATAGGAAGGTCACAAAGGATAAGATGAGGAGGGTTTTATTACCGTTTTTGAGTGGGCTTGTGTAGCGTAGACAGTGGGGGGGCTACGTGTGGGTTTGGTGCGCAGGGGCCTTACGACTTAGCGAAAAGCTGCAGGGCTGCGGGGTCAGAGCGTGCCCGAAGGAGGGCCAGGAGAGCATTTGGCCCCCTAGCTGCGGCCTCCAGGAACAACTGGATGATGCCCGGTTGTGGGGTACAACTCGAAGTGGTGTAGGTAGGAAAGCTTGCGGCAGCATACAATCAACTGGTAATAGTAGTTACGAATCTCTTGCGCAACGAGATAAAGTCCAAATATAGGTTCCGTCAATACAATCAGTTTGACGATTGTGATTAGGGCTTGGTACAGCGGGGCAAGAAGCCATGATTGCCCATTGAACGTGGCTGTTGTACTTGCCCTGACACAGCTTTCTGACCGAGTGGTCGGCCATGCAGCGTCTGGAATCACGTTAGTAGTTGCCGGACGGCGCTCTGATTGAATAAAACAGCACGTTGTTCAGTTGATTTATCAGGGAGTTGAGTAAGGAAAAGTTATATGCGTACAGCAGAAGGCTCTCTGGATTGCACACGATGTCAATCAATTCAAAACGCAGGTAGATAGCCGCGATCAAGCGAAATCAACTGGCCAAGAGCGCCTCTCACAGCTCAGCAAGAGTATCACATAGCGCCTTTGGATCTGTAACGGCAATGGCAATTCCTAGTCAATGTAGTAATTTGAAAGGGCCTGCTACTGCAAGCAGTAAGGACCTCTAAGAGCGTGGTCTTGGAGGAGAGCTTACTTACTGTACCCCTAGGGACCACAAGCAGTGCCCGTTGGTAGCACAAGACTGAGTTAGTATCACAACATAATGGCATCTGAACTCAGACTACCGATCAGTATACAGCGCCTTAGTTCCATAACCCGCCAAATCATGGTCTGAATTCCCAACTTTCTTGGGAGTGCAACTGCGGACATTAAGGCCGGATTGAATATATCGTACATCTCATTCGATTCTGTCGGTGGCCCGACGGCCCTCTCCGTTGATCGCGACCTCGAACAAAGCCAGCTATTAAATCAATCCTAATATAGGCGAAACCAAAGTAGTTATGGGTGATGGCTACGTGGTTTTTTGAAGCGCATGATGGTCTGGAGAATTTCTTCACATTACGGGTAAGGAAAGCCCCTTTTTCTAACCGGGAAGGTTCTGATGGAGGAGTTAGAAACATCCTTCCATCCCGCCATTCTTTATGCGGATCTGACGAGTAGACCTTTTAGCAGCGCTGTTTACGGGTGGGACGGCGGATAGTTTGTTGGGGTGATACGAGCTTCATGAGCACGAAGCGGATGGCCTCGGGAGGTGAGGCGGGTGGTCAAGATCCTGCCGGGGCCACCGTATGCTTATGCTTGGTTTCCCCGGGCTCGTTAGGAGCTGCGAGGGAGGGCGTGGCTGCTATTTTACTTGGAGTTTTTGAAGAGTAGGTTAGGCGAGGCGGACGATAGACCCGTTATTGACGGCATAGCAGGAGCATGTTAGTAGGTAACACAAACACATCTAGATACTGCATATATAGGATCAATGGGTCCTCAGGACCATATACAGTATTAAAACCAGGGGTATCATCGCCAAGTTCATTTTGATGCAACAACTCCATCATGTCTATCGTTTATCGATAACTCATGTTCGGCCCTATGGCCCACATGCCCAGCTCATGTACATGCCTTTCCCGTCTATCGGTGCACTCCGAAATCATAGTAAATACACCCTCTAGTTCGGTGGTTGAAGACAAACGCACCCTTCTTCCCAGTCTCTGCCATTTGACAAAGGAGGTCGAACACTTGCTGCAGGTATTTACGTTCTTGGATCGGCGCGCCCTGAATCATTGTACGCCAGCTGTCTGGATCGTTGAGTCGAGTATCACGTATGCTTTCCAAGATTTCGTCCGATGTTTCAATTGCTGCAATTGGTGCATCTGCGAGAAAGGAGTCGGTCAATTCGCGTGTGCGAGAAGCTGCCGCGTCGACAATGGCATGGCGGTTCTGCTTCTTGCCCTTGTGTTGAGTGGCAAGGATGCGGACGTCAGGCTCCCGGCTGTCGCTGAGGGTCTCACCATGGCTGGTACCTCGACGTAGTCGTGGCACAGTTGCAACTATCTGTCCTTCACGATAGTCCCTTTCTCGTATCTCAGCGACCAACCAAGCAGCAACCTCGTTCACATTGACCTCTGTATCTTCCTTTTTCGCGATGTTGCGAATTTTCAGCGCTCGTTCTCCAACAGAATTGCTGTCATGACGCACAAGTACGACCCATCCATGGTGATCACCTCTGTACGAGATCATGAGCTCTTCCATAGAAGAGAAGTCCCTCGAGAGCTCCGCACTGATGCCATTGGCCCATAGTTGCTGCACAAGCTCAATGCCAGTTGTGCGGAGAATGCTAGGGTCAAAGCTGGTGACCAGAACGTCACAGCGGCTGGGACGCCAACTGGAACTGTTCTCACTGGCTTCAGCTTTGAGGAACTTCTTGCTGGTACGCTTCTGGTCTGGGGCCATGAGACTGTTCAGTTCGTCCCAGGGTAAATGAAACCCGACTGCACGTGGCTTCTCAACCGAAGTGGGGAGGGCATGTTCTGCAATGAGAGCATCGTAACGGCCCCCAACTGCCAGTAGCGACTTCCGCTTCCCTTCCAATAGACATTGGAAAAGAATGCTTCCTCGGTAGAATTTCTCATTGTAGCTGCTCAAAGGATGTATAAATATCTTTGTCTTTATTTGGAAACGATGAAGGTAGGTGACCACGGTCTCAATGCGGGTGAAGATGGAGCCGAGGCGGTCCAAATAATCTGAGTTGCCGAATATTGCTTCGATCTTCCGGCGCACAGTATCCAACTCCCCCCGAATATTGAAGCGCATCAGATCCTCCAGAGATGCTGAGGATATGTTTGTAGAAGCCTGCAGTTCATTGCGAATCGTCTCCAAAGTCCAATTGGCGGTGTTCAGCCGCGAAAGCGCCTCCTTAACACCAATTTCCTGGTCGGATTTAATTTTACAAAAATCCAAAACGAGATTGAGCAGATCGGAGTGGTTCAGGTGAAAGCAGAGCATTGACGACTGCAGAGGTGGACATCCCTGAATGATCTCATCAAGAACTTTGATGGCTTCGGCTTCTTTAAGGGCCAAGTCACTCGTTGTGTAAGAGATGATATCGAAATCAATCTCTCCAATCTCTTTTGGTTCTCCACCAAGCAGTGACTCCCTATAAACGTTACCGAAAGTGAAGATCTTTTCAAATGGCGCATGTGCGTGGGAGAGTGCAAGAGCGTTGGGGAGCGTAAGATCATAAGCCAGTTGGAGCGGTTTTCCATTGGTGTCTAGGAAGCTGGCTGCTGTCTTGTAGTGTTCGGAGCGTGGGAAGAGTAACTTTCGTTTGACCTCAACGGCACCATGCCTGCGAAATATTGAGGCCAGCCTTTCTCGCACCATATTAGCCATCAAGAGCTGATCAACAGCGGGCGGAGTACGGATCTGTCTATGCCATGCAAACTCCTGTACTCGATTCGGCTTTTGTGCGAATAACGATGACACAAGCTTGTGATACTCTGACGAACCAGACTCGGCCATGCCTGCCACAAACTTCCGAAGCTTCTCATCTTCGACTGGCTCTGGAATCTTGCCGCTTCGGAAGAGCTCTGCTGCAGATGGGCGCTCGCTCGGACGGTGGGTCAATAGCATCTTGATAATATCTCCTTGGACCGAATATTCAGGCTCTTGGAACATTGGCGGGAGCACGTAAGCCTTCTGCCGGATCTTGTTCAGTTCAAGCACTCGCTCTTGGCCCAGCATTCTCGGATGGCATATCTCGAAGAAAATGATTCCCAACGAGTACATGTCCACTTTTGAACCTTTCGAGTTAGAGCTCAATTCAGGTGCAACATAGAACGTAGTACCGATATTACGAGTGTCAGAATCCGCTATCTGTGCCGTATCTGAGAGGCGCATCACAGAAGCGAAAGTCCCGCTTGTTGCTAGGCCAAAATCCCCAATCCTAGGGTTGTTGTCATTGTCCATGAAAATGTTCTCAGGTTTCAAATCCCGATGAATAATTCCGACTTTATGAACATGCGAAAGTCCGTCAAGTACCTGCCGGAAGATACGCCATCCTTCGTCAACGCTGCTCAAGCTACTATCATTAATGAGGTGTCTTAGCGTACGGTTCTCGCAGAATTCCATTTGGATGTAGAGCTTCGTTCGGACGGGATCTACTGCGGCAGGTCCTTGGGTTTGCTGGCTCATCCGCTTCCCATGCCTTCCTTGGCTTTCCGAGTCGTCTGCAGAAGACGATATCGTTTTTGAATCAGAAGTATTGCTGGACTCAGTGTTTCCAGCCTCTTCGACTTCATCAGAGTCGAAGCCAAACACAATGTCTTTAAATCCGCTGGTTGACATCATATCATGGGGTATGCTGAAATCGAGAATATCGTCTTGAATGTCTGGGGATACAGATGGGCCTTTCGCATCGCTACCATCGCTAGAATTGCTTGACCTGTTGCTCGGTCGAACTCCAAGGGAAGTAGAACCTTCTGTTTCCATCCATGCGCTAAAGTAGCGGACAACATATGGATGGTTGAGGCGGGAGAGAAGGATCGTTTCCCTCAGAATCTCTCGTAGTTCTTCTGGAGAATCGGACACTACTTCCTTCACGGCATAGAAACGTCCGTCGAGTCTATGCTTCGCTTTGAAAACTTTACCATAGCCTCCTTTGCCAAGAACGCTTAGGTCATCCTCGAAATCGTGTTTGAAGCGCGATGGCACCAAGGCCAAAGTAGAGACCTCTTCACTTCTACGAGCCGTGGCTGACTCGATTGAGGTACCTGATCTAAACAGAGGCTTCGCCCCTTCTTCCTGCATCATCTGGAAAGAACGCAACTCGAAAGCCTTAGACCGTCTCTTGACGTCTAGTTGGAAGATGTCGACCAAAAACGCCTTGAAAGTATCGTTGTGATATTCCTCATTCTCCTTCAAGTAGTTTTGTGGTGAAGTATAATCTTCCACGACTCGCTTCCCATGCACCATCTCCAGAATAACCCTGCCAAGCTCCCAGATGCAGGTCTTGTTGCTCCTTCTGGGGACTTTATCATTCAGTTCAGGAGCAGTCCACTGCGGTAGCTCAGAAGATGTGAAGTTCGCCCTCGCGCGCGACTTGAGGATCATGTCCTTCATGGCAAGACCGTAACCGTCCGAAATTTTGATGGTAGGTTTACCTGTGATCGAAGGGAAGAATAGTATGTTGTTGAGTGAGATAGTAGGATGCACGTAACCGTGTTGATCGAAAAATTCAAGCGCGTCCAAAATCTGCTTTGTGTAGGAGCGAATAAAACGTGCTTCAACATTGCCGGAAGCCTCTAACACATCGGATAGTGAGCCTCGCTGGGTATATTCTGTCAATATCGAGACTTCCCATTCCGCTGCTGAAGCAACGCCACCATCTGAATCATTCAGGTGTCGCTCCACTTTGAACCCGAGCAGATCTACAACATTAGGATGTCGAACTCTAGCCATCTCTTTGAGAAGCTCTTCAACCTCGGTCATCTTGCGACGAAAAGAAATGCTTTCAGAAGGGTCTTCGTGGAGATAGATATGTTTCACGATGATTATCGGTAGGTTAAAACTGTTTCCTGCTTGTGGCATCGCGAGTGACAGCCGCTTCGTAGGGCTGGAAAGCAGTGGTGGAAGGCAGGTGACGCTGGAGAAGGTCATCAGGTTGCCTCCTTTGTCAGTCATTTTCATAGTACGAGGAAATGCTAGCGTCGATATCATGGGAGACGATGTAGCAGACTCTTCTGTAGCAATCCTACTGCCTCGTCTGGTAGCGTGGTTCTTTTCCGCTGCCCGTGTTTTGATTTCTCGTTTGTTGATTTCTCTGCTGATTTGTTCCACAAGGTAGCTGTCCTCTTCAGCGACTGCTTCCTCCTCTTGTCGCTTCCGTCCCTCCTCTTGCTGCTTCAGCTCCTGTTCCAGATTGTTGCGTTGGAGTACCCTTTCAGCCTGGAGACTCGGCAAGCCCTCTTTCTCCGCTTTGACCGTCGCAGCGTCTTCCAGAATATCTTGAACAAGGGAAGCTATCTCATATATCATCTCATTTCCGAGTAATTCTTTCGGCTTAGATTCAAGTACCTCTTTCACCCTTTCAAGAACTTTTGTGTTACCACAGTTGTAATGTTCTAGTCTGAGTAAAGGCAGTGTCTTCGGATATGTTGTAGGAAGCTGCACAAAGAGTGTTGTCGTGATTTCTGGATCGGCATGTGCCTTCAGCCGTAGTCTGAAAGCAATATCTGGGGATTTCTGTATTACAATCAATCAGTGCATTACAGAGAACCTAGGATATATAGCACATACACTCCATGCAGCTGCCTTAACCTGAGCCTCCTGAAAGTCCTCCATGTAAATCGACTGCAAGACGGCAACTTCATTTTGCTGTATCTCGACATAGTCTGTTGGGCCTTGATTATGTGTCGTCGCCGCTCCCACCGATCCAACCGGTGACACCATATTTGGTCCATGTTTCTTTTTGGCAGTCATTTTCGGGTTGTCCCTCGTTCCTTGTCTTAACTTGCGTGATAAGAGAGATGCCCCCAAGGACGAGAGCGACATACAGCCGAAGCTGCACGTCGCTAGATTGATTTCAATGTACTCATTTTGGTGTTGTTCATTCTACATGGATGGAGAAGATACTAAATCACTGCCTGTATTTATGGCAGTTGGTGCCATTAGATGCCAAGATTGTCAGGTAAGCATTCAAGGTTGCGAAGGCATTGTTCACGTAAAAGCGGCCTTATCTTTTGTTGCAGCGCTCCTATGCCAAATCATTCTCCACTGTGATCTGTGTCTCGGTCGTTTCCACAACGTTAAAATCAGAAAATCTTTCTACAATCCCCAGTTAATCTCTAATTACTCCCTGCGGCATCCCGACTTTTGGACCTGGAATCCTGATCTCGAATATCTGCTTACTAGCAAGATGGTGAACATCACGGAAAAGATCAAAGAGTTAGTCACAAGGCCGAGTGGTCTCGTTGTATTGCTGACCTGACCTGCAGAATTGAGGAGGAGATGCGGCGTACACAGAGTTCGTTTGGCTTCGCAACCTTGTTTCTGCTTCATACTAACCAGCTTCAGAAAATAAGGCGACCGGTCAGCCATCACGAGTCAAGACAAATGTCAGGGTTGACATGTGAATCCAGAATATCATCTTGGACTTTTGAAGGGGTACGATGAGCTCTACCCAAACTCTTCTCGGCCAGAATGGAGTCTTTGGAGCTCCAAAGATCTGTGTTAACTTCCCGTTCCGCTTCAGCAAGCTTGCACGTCTCCGTGCCCAACTCCTCGAACCTACACCAGGAGCCGGCTCAGGAGGCGGATCCGGCTTCGATGTCTCCAAATCGGGCGATGCTCGTATAGCTTTAGTTGGTTTCCCCTCTGTGGGAAAGTCCACTTTTCTCTCGAAGATCACCAAAACCAAATCCGAGGTTGCTGCTTACTCCTTTACCACTCTGACCGCCATTCCTGGCGTACTGGAGTACGGCGGCGCCGAGATCCAGATACTTGATCTACCTGGGATCATTGAGGGTGCATCAGAAGGCAAGGGAAGAGGGAGGCAGGTGATCTCAGCAGCAAAGGTATGCTCATATCATCCTCTACTACCATCTTCAATACCTTGGCACTCAGGGGCACCACCTCACAATGCCCATTACTAACCAACAAGTACACAGACCTCGGACCTTATCCTCATGGTCCTGGATGCTACAAAAAAGGCCGAGCAACGTGCTCTTCTCGAAGCAGAGCTCGAAGCCGTTGGCATCCGCCTCAATCGTGACCCACCAAACATCTACCTGAAGCAGAAGAAGGCCGGCGGCATGAAGATTACGTTCCAGGCGCCACCCAAAAACTTAGATGAGAAGATGGTCTACAACATCCTACGCGATTACAAGATGCTCAACTGCGAGGTGCTGGTCAGAGATGAGAATGCGACAGTGGATGATTTTATTGATGTGATCATGAAGGATCATCGAAAGTATATTCGTTGGTGAGTTGCTACTTTACAGCTTGATGTCTTCGTTGCGACAGCTCGGAAACAGTGTTGATGGTTCGGTCAGTCTATATGTCTATAACAAGATCGACTCCGTCTCGCTTGACTTCCTCGACCAACTCGCCCGCGAGCCCAACACTGTTGTCATGAGCTGCGAACTCGACCTTGGCATCCAGGATGTTGTGGAGCGGTGCTGGCAAGAATTACGACTGATGCGTATATACACCAAAAGGTATTGAGCTCCTTTCTTCTCACTATTTACTGCTCTCCGTCATAGCCATGGTAACTAAACCTCCCCCGCAGGCAAGGCGTCGAGCCCGACTTCAGCGAAGCACTTATTGTCCGGAACAACTCTTCGATAGAAGACGTGTGCGATCAGATCCATCGGACGTTGAAGGAGACCTTTAAATATGCCCTGGTGTGGGGAGCGAGTGCTAAGCACATTCCGCAACGGGTAGGCCTAGGGCATATGGTGGCAGATGAGGATGTGGTGAGCATAGTGAGTGCTTGGAAGGCATGATGTTATTAGGGGATGCATTTGAACGTTGTGAGGTCAGTCGCTATCCTCCTCGCTGCCGTATCCAACTAGAGGTCCGCTCGGCCCTCTCGAGGTAGCTGCAGTACTTGGCGTGCCGTTAGCCGTGTACACCTTTAGCTTTGCAATGGTCGAGCTTGAAAATATCCCATTACCATTCTCGGATTCACCTGGCTCCTGACGGAGTGATTCCATTATTGGTGCACTCTCAATCATCATCTTCTCTTCGACTCCTCCGATCTGCTCTTGCTTCTTGGCTTCTTCCAGTTCCTTGCTCCTGGCATGCCATACTTCATCCGGTGCTTCGTATCCATCCAAACCAAATCCGCTTTCCACCAACCTTCTCCTCTTCATATCCGGCGTTTCCCTCCCTTCTAGTTCCGCCACGAAATCTGCAGGTAAAGCCCGTCGCACAGCTTCTGCGGCTTGCTCTTCAATCCTCGCAGCCTCGCGCTTCTGCGCTAGTGGATTTGGATCCACAGTTGCCCATCTCACGTTGAGAATTTCGTTATGATCTAGCGCCTGGTTCGCCATAGCTTCCTTCGCAAACTGACTGTTGGCCTCATTTGTGTATGTGATGAATGCTACGCCTCGGCTGGTAAGCACCCTGATTCGGTCAACCTGACCCCATTCCGCGAAATGTCTTGCAACAATTTCCTCGATATCGTCTGTGACGTGTATCCTGCCACAATATAGCGTTCGATTCTGTCTCATGAAACTGCCCACTCCGCCCATGTCATCCCTGTAGTCCGAGAACTTGTCTCTCCCAAAGCAATCCACGTTTGGGTTGTATACATCAAACAAAGTTGGAAGTCGATGCAGATATTGACACTCGTGACCCTTTGGGCATATTCCTCTGGCGAAGAATAGGCAGAAAAAGGAACCAGGTGCTTTGTCCGCGCGAGTGTACCCACTGTCTTTGCTAATGTTACATCGATTCTTCGCGGCGGTTTTTGAGAGATAGGCGTCCTCGCGATCGCCACCGGACCATTTGTTGTACCAGATGTTGAAGATCGTGCCTGTCTGAGGTGGAGGCTCAGAGGTTATGGTTGATGGGTCGACTTGGGGACGGGCTGGTCGACGCTTACGTCGGATTAATTTGGTCTTCTTCTGTGCTGGTTCAGTGATAGCATCGTCGTCCTGTGTAGTGAGAGCTTGAGAGGGTTCTTTGGAGGGAGAAGTAGAGGCATCGATTGTGGATAGCGAGATAGGTTGCGTTGAGGTTTCGACTTCGGCCATGATGGGGTGCAATCTGAAGGGTTCTCTGAAATTCTGCTCTTGGATCAAATGCTTAGGTTTGAAACCATACGAGGCACATTAGTCACATAAAATACGTGATCTGTAGGAGAAGCAAAAGGGCAAATTAGGTTGGAGCGGGGATGGAAATCGGTTGGCGTCAGTGGCGCCTAAAGCGGCTACAGATGTCGGAATTTACGCACTATCTCAGCCTGAGTAATATTCACCATAAGGAGAGAAGCATCTATATTAGTACCATGGAACCTTGGGAACTTAAAGGAGAAACCACGACTTGAAGATCGTCCTGGGCCTAATGGAAGGGATTTAATACCACCAGAAAGCGCACATTTTAAATTCATTTTGTCATGGCTTTGCAAATGGAGCACCTAGTTCTAACTTAGTACCTCGAACTTGAAGATGAGGCGGTCGCATCATACTCCGAAGAGACAGCCACCAAGCACGTAGGAGATTCCAGCCCCAGTACTAGATAGAGTTGCCTCGTACATGTCAGACTTGTTTGAACCAGTCGCTACCATTGCGGTGATGGTTGCGCAAACCAGTATTCAGGCATCTGGAGTGGGTTGCCTAACAGTGGCAGTGGGACATGGGTATGCCCAGGCCAGCCCCTGAAGATCGAAGCTTCTCGAAGCTTCCATGATAATGGGGGGCACCTGAACCTGGGAATGTGAAGTCCCGCAGCACCCGGGTGGGAAACACGTCATGGGCTTCCTTTCGGGGGGCCCTACTGTCCAACTCTCTGCAAGACCAATTCAGGGCTTGCTGGCAAATCACCAGCTGCACCTTTCTTGCCACCTGTCCACTCAATTGAAAAACTGGTGAGAGTGATCAAACAGTGTTGTGACCGCCTGCGCAACCTAACGACGACTGTTACATTCCACATTAATCCCAGGGCCCTGCACCCACGTCCTGCACCTCGAGTTGGTGATTCATAGCCTGGCTGATAACGTTATTACTCTACTTTTCAAAGCACCATACTTCATTAATCCTTCAATTCGTTCGTAGTTCGCCAAAAGCATTGCTGACTTCGGCACCTACATTCTGCGCTTGTCCTCGGAAGTACGTTCCCTGCTGAGCAAACATGGTTGCCGAAACAAAATTGTACGATGCTCTGGGAATCCAGCCAAGCGCGAGCCAAGAAGAGATCAAGAAGGCATACAGGAAAGGAGCGCTGAAGTATCACCCTGATAAGAATAAAGATAAGCCTGAAGCTGGGGAAAAGTTCAAGGAGGTCTCACAAGCCTATGAAGTGCTCTCTGACCCGGAGAAAAGAAAGGTTTACGACCAATACGGACTCGAATACCTCCTCCGAGGAGGCCCTTCAGCACCACCCGGGGCCGAAGCGGGAGGGATGCCGGAAGGTTTTGGAGGCATGCCAGGCTTTGGAGGCTTTGGCGGTATGCCAGGCGGTGGACGAAGCTTCCACTTTTCTACTGGCCCAGGCGGTGGGGGTGGCTTCAAGTTCGACGATCCTAGCAATATCTTTGCTCAATTCGCGAAGAGCAGTGGTGGTGGTGGTGGTGGCGGCGGCGGTGGAGGAGGAATGGGCGAAGATGATGATATATTCAATTTGTTTTCTGGCATGGGCGGAGGGCGCTTTGGTGGGGGTGGTAGGAGCTCTGGAGGACCACAGATGAGACCACAACGGCCAAGAACACCAGAGGTTACCACTGTCGAACGTCCCCTCCCTGTGACTTTGGAAGAACTCTTCTATGGAGCTCACAAGAGGATGAAGATCAAACGCAAGACCTACGATGAAGCAAGTGGTAAACGAAAAGTGGAAGACAAGATCTTGGAGATGGATATCAAGCCTGGCCTGAAAGCTGGCTCTAAGATCAAGTTCAAAGGAGTAGGGGATCAGGAGGAGGGGGGCCAACAAGACTTGGTCTTCATTGTGACCGAGAAAGAACACCCGACATTAAAACGAGAGGGCGATGATCTTAAGACGACCATTGAACTGACACTGAAGGAGGCATTGACAGGGTGGTCCAAGACTGTGACAACGATAGAAGGGAGACAGCTGTCAGTCAGCGGAGGTGGCCCTACTCAACCGGGTCACCGAGAACGATTCCCAAGTCTGGGCATGCCAACAAAAAAGCCAGGTGAACGAGGGGAATTCATTGTTGAAGTCAAAGTCAGATTTCCGACCTCACTAACACAAGCCCAAAAGGCGCAGTTGAAGGAGATCCTACCATGAGACGACCTAAGGCTGGTTCTGGTCCTGGTCAATGAGCTCATATGGTACCAGCTCTATCACGACCATAACGGCGAGAGTTGTTTGGTGCTTCAGCCATCTAATTACTGCGGAAAGATGATGATGATGCTGCAGAGCTGGATTCTTGGGTGCCAAAGCGAGCAGCGGGCATTGTTGGGCGTTTTGAAGGTCGTCTTGTCACATCTGGGGCTATGGAGGGGATTACGTTGAACGCAAGTTAGCTATTCGAATCAAAAGGCCATGCAAGACCTGTTTACTCGGATTCCCATTCACTCCGTTCATGCTGGGTCGAGCGCGCGAATTAAAGCATAATTTGCAGATTGTTACTAGTTAGATAGAGTGTCCATCTGTCTCATGTATGTGTGCCTGGACGGAGATTCCTCCGCCACCAGCGCTTGATATCTCTCCGCCGCAAGCGCTTGGAACTGACGTAGACACTCCAATCAATTGCTCGCACCTCGCGAGCAAAGCAAGAAGGGCTCCTTTTCCTTCAAAGCCTGTCATGGCGGCCCGCCACCACAAAGCACTGAACAAATGGGTTGCGAGACTCATACCGGGCATCCTCCTGGGTCTCATTGGTTACAGCGCATATGTGATCACAAAAGTGATCGCAATAGACTACCTCATCACTCCCTCGCCAGGCCTTCCTATACAGCGTCGACCTGGGTCTGCTGCTGGGATATTGCTATTCTACTATCTCCTCCTCATACCTCTTCTTATCTGCTACACTCGGCTCATCCAGACAATCATAACCAACCCTGGCTATGTGCCACGAGGCGCAGAATGGTATCAACAACGCAAGGAAGAAGCCGCAGGTGCACGAAGAAAGCACCGTCGAGGTTATCAGAGCCAGAGAAGATCTTTGCCACATGACACCGAAAAACCTCCACAGCAGCCACAACCATGGCGAGTCGATACCCAAGACCTGGAATCTGGTGGTTCGAACCACAGCAGTCTCACCACGCACAAGAAGCATGCGAACCACTTCTCCCATAGCCACAACAATTCCACCGACATCCCCTTCTGGCAGCGCGACATCTTCGTCTGCAACCCTGATGGCCGGCCGCCCTTTTGCTCCAGCTGCCTAACCCACAAGCCGGACCGCACCCACCACTGCAGCGAAGTGGACCGCTGCGTGCTGAAAATGGATCACTTCTGCCCCTGGGTCGGTGGTATCGTATCCGAAACATCCTTCAAATACTTCATCCAGTTCAATGTCTACGCCGCTTTCTTCTGCATTATGGTCTTGACGACCATCTCTGTTTTCATAGCCGAGAGGAGGAGGATTGACCCAGGGTTCCTGAATGTACATTACTTCCTTCTTCTGGGGATATCAGCCCTATTCACACTATTCTCGCTGGGCATGGCGGGCAGCTCGATACAACTTTCGCTCATCAACTCGACGACAGTGGAGAATCTAAATCGGAGAAGTAAAGTCTGGTTCCTAGCCGTGCTAATCCCCAGAAACGAAGACGGCACATTACCGTCCCTCCCACCACCACAATCATCCAAGCCAGGAGTTGGCGGATTCAGACCTACGCCTCGATTCCAAACAATTACCTATCCCCGCCCACCAGAAGAAGAGCAGTTTCTTATCCACCAAGCACGTAGCCAGCAGGGTCATAGCAGGAATCTCCCGCCCGCGGATCCTTCCAGCACCATAAACACCCGTCCATCTACCACCCCACCGACCCTCCCATCGCAACAGCCCCGCACATTCGCCATCCTCTCCACCCAACCAGGCGAAAACCCCTTCGACATCGGGCCCTGGGAAAATATTCGCCAGGTCATGGGATACAGTCTCTCTGAGTGGCTCTTTCCCATCAGGCAATCGCCTTGTGGCGAGCATAGAGGTAGGGTGAGTGCGTTTAAGATTAATAAGGAATTAGTGAGAAGGTTGACGGAGGAGGCGGGGTTCATGGGTGTGAGGCGTGAAAGGGATAGCCGCAGCCGGAGTGGTGGTGAAAGTGGAATGGGAAGTGGAAGCGGTGATGGAAGCGGCAGTGCAGCAGAGGATTTTGGGAGTAGGAGGAAGAAAAGACGGAGGAGAAGGTCGAGGCAAGCGAGCAGGAGGGATGAGGGTGAGGAGGGCGTAAGGTGAGGCAGCTGAGCAAGAAAAGACAGCAGCGTGCATCTCTCTCCTAACTTAGTCTGCCTGGCTCGGTGTTGTTTTTGGCGACTTCCCATTTTCCGCCTTGCTGGTGACGCGAATCATTATCAATTGCTGCGCATGCACTCATTCTCTGGTCAAGCTCCGCCGCCCGCCCGAGCTTGGACTCTGTACGACTTGTTTATTGTTCATCGTTACATGGATGCAGCGAAGGCGCTGCTGGGATGATGCTTGGATGGTTACAAAGGCTGGTTGGTGTGAAATGCCGGTCGAGTTGGCTTGGGTTGGTTTACCGACTCACTCCGAGTTGGACACGACCACTATGAAAATCCTTGATTATTGCTTTTGAGTCTGGACACCTAGCGCTAGCATCGACATGGATATTGGCATGGATATTGGCACTGGCGTACTGTATAGATTGGCTACATTGCCTACAGCGTCTTAATCTAGCATGGGCTTCGCCATGGCGGGAGGGGAGAGAGCGCGAATAGCATAGCTCGACACGATCATCTGTGTAGACGGAGTGGGCAGAGCATAGCAAAATATTATGGAACACTCGAGAGGCTTCCTCCTCAAACCAGGTAAGTACCCAGTGACCTGGTACGGTATCGCAGCTACCCAAGGTCGAGTCTTTGGCGGCAGAAGCAAGTTGTATAGTTAGGTTTGGAAACGTCCTGAGAATCGTAGCATGCGGTGTAATTTCTTCATCCGTGTGGTGATAAATCATGCTTGGGTTTGCTAGATGAGTTTGTCATGAGTTCGATGTGTCCTATTATATGATGTCAGAGGCGATGGATAGGTACTGCCACTTAACCTTCCAATGATGGGCGGTTTCAGCCGTTCTAAGTTAATACCATATGTACTGTGGTGTGAAGCTGGTTACTTACTAGCATTTTCCGAGGCGGTAGGAGTCGGCTGCCCAACCAGTCGGCGCAGTTCATATGGACGGTTATATAGGAGCACCGCTCGAGGCAATCTGTTTTCGATTGAAACAGCATGGCGACGTAGTGACTGGCTAATATGCAAACGAGAAATAAGTTATGACAAAACACAGAGTTGCGAGAATCGAAAAGGGGTCAGAAAACGTTTGGTAGAAAAGGATTACGAAAATGTGTTTGGATGTAATTGATTCGCAGAAAAGCAAGACAGAGCGAACAAAGATATACTATCTAGTAACGACAGAGATAGAAGAGACATATATGGTAGATCGAAGCCAGAACGGTAGCGACAGGGGCAACGGGTGCAACAAAACGGGAAGGCAGGAAAAAGAGAACTGGGTAGGTATAAAAAGACTTAAAACAAGCACCTATGGAAAAAGGGAAAAGCAACCTCTTCAGTAGCGACAGTAGAAATACATATCCCAAGAAACAAATATCGATAATGGAGTTAGCCGAAATCAAGGACACCCCGTGAGACAAAAAGCTGATTGACGATCAATGCCAGTCAAGAAAGGTTCAGTGAGTGTCGAAAGGAAGGAAAAGAAAGTAAGAGCAGCGCGGCTGTGGCAGCCAGAGCTATAGTACCGGCCCCTCCAGGACGGCCCACGCTTCAGCTTCCGGACCTCTGCTGCATGAGACAAGAAGATCCACTTCAATATTGTGGACAGTGGTTGCCGGGCCCAATATGGCCGCACACCGTGCATCTTCCAGCACATAGATCTGGGTTGTTCATGTTTCGACAATCGCAGCATTTCCACCATCCCCTCATTGAAGGACCACTTCTGCATTGAACCTCGTTGTTACGCGGGATAACTCGGCGTGGGCTCATACACCCTAAGCTGCGATGTTTTCGAAAGCAACTGCCAGCACATGGATGAGCTGAGCCACCATCTAGACGGCGTGTGCGACTGTGCGCAGCATCGTAGGTGGAGTTCCCAACCAGGGTTGCAGGCAGTGTGGGACGAGATCGGTCAGAACTCAGTGGCGGTGGTATGTCATTGTCCCTCTTGCACCGATCATGACAGAAGTCATGATTGCAGTTGGTGCATCTCGTGGTGTTGGCATAAAGATGAGGACCGCCATTACAGACATGACACTGCCACTTGGTAGGATTTGTCTGTGCCATGGAGCTGTGATGAGATTGATGAAGACAACCGCTGAGAGGATACAACAACGAGAGACTTCGACTGGCGTAAAATGGGCGTGTATACGAACAACACAAGAAGAATGCGTGATCAGGCAGAGAGGGAGTGATTTGAGCAATTGAGTAGTCAGATGAACGGCTTGCAGAGGAATTGCACTGTGCTGTGGACCAGTGGATAGACGAGACTAGAAGATGGCAAAGAACCGATGGAAAGTGCGGAATACCGAAGTTGAAGGAATGTCAAGAAGAGAATAAAGCTGGTAAGAATGAAGGAATGGGTGTAGACAAGAGCACCAAGTCAGAGAGATACCAAACAAGCTATATACTCGCGCATGGAGGCGGAAGGCAACAGATTTGGTGAATGTCCATGGATGTCGTTACCACAATGAAGCTGCTAGGGACGATGTGATACGGCGTGAGACAGTGGACTAACCCACGGGAGCTGGGAAATTGTGGTGCTGGATAGATTCTTCGGGCATTCTCGTTGTATAGAATAGGTGCCAACGCTCATATCCAGGATGGTCGCTCCTATCGACAGGATTCCTCAAATTGTCCTGTCGTTACATCGTGAGACTTCAGGCATTAAGATGCTTCACCTTGGGCAACGTAATCTCCTGACTCCCTTTCATCCCCTAGCCGTGAACAAGCGGCTACCAGAGTCAAGTGACCACACAGCGAATCGATAACAGACGCGAGCCTGGTCCATTAGCCGCGCCAAAAGCGAAATCAAGGTATTTTGGTAGCCTTATGGGGATCAAGAGTTGGAGAGGCATTTCCGCATAATACCACTCGAACATACCTTTTCACATCACAACAGAAGTTCTCAGGCGGAGGCTATATCGTTGGAAAAAATCTCCCCCTTGCCGGCACCCCTTCAATTTCATCACGATCGAGGGGCGGTGGAAGTGTTGCAACAGCAAGGTAGTTACGCAGCATGAATTGTCTTTCTCCTATTGAACTTCTTCGAATTAGGGCTGAAGCCAGGCTCTGCATCATTCTCTTGCTGGAGTGCAAGATGGGGCAAGTCACCTTATCGTATGTAAAGCGAGGGAGAGGGAATTCGGTGTCCCAGGTCCAGCTACAAAAGGCAACCGAGGAACGTGGGCATGCACAGCCAGACTGCCTTAGTTACACTGATCTGTCTGATCCTGAAGGGCAATAAGTGAGGTCATTCAAGACCGCCATTCATTCATTCCGCCAATCGTGGGGGACAGGATACGGATGCGGGAACAACACCTCACCACAGCCAGATGTGGTGAAGCTAAAGCCGCATACACGGATTTTTTTCGAATGCGGGAGGATCCTTGTTATCGACATGACTTATACACCGGTCTTTTTCTGGCCGTAGCGTAGTGTATTTATGAGAGCACTTGACAGACCGGCTTGCGAGCAGGGTAGCTTTTGGCCTGTGCCCGATTAAGTGTTTTGCAGCCTCGCTGGAGTAGGATCGCTGGAGTGGGATCACATGATGGACCGGTGTCCGAGGGCATGACAAGCCTATGGTGCAATAACGGAACGCGCCGACGTTCTCCTAATCATGAACGTGTTTCATTCCTTCCAGCTTTCAAGGAGGGGGAGGACGAGCAAGTGCTTTGAGGCGTCCAACTATGCTCCGTACCTAATATTGAGGCCAGACATTGCCATGAGGCTCAAGCAAAGCACCTGACATTGAGTGCCACGCTACTACTACACTAGTATTAGTAGCACAGCACTAGTACTACTAGTACATAAGTACTAGAAGATTGTGCCAATCCTGATCCTCGGCCTTGGCACACCAGCACCCGGGTCCGATCTGGCACGCAGTGCATCATGCCTACGACAGTACTACTGTCTTAGCGGCAATCCTCACTCCGAGTCTGCGCTACAGACGCCATTGTGATGGACTGTACTGAGCGACTAGGAAGTAGAGCCGAGTGAACTGCGTTGAGGCCAAAGGAGGACTGAAGATGTATTAGTAGCATCCGGCGCTAATGAGTATGGTCAGATCAGCAGCTGTCTACCGTGTTAGAGGTGATTGAATGCAGTGCGGATAGTAACTTAGTATCAAGATGCGTAGTCCCACCCTTCTGCCACAACGAATCCCCCACGCTGTCAAGATGCTACTACGTAGAAAGCATTGGCGAGACAGTTCTGGAGTACGATGCTCTAGGCATCATGCTACAAGCCAGTCAGTGCGCGGCAGTCATAGTACCTAGACATATCTCTATCACTTTTGGGCTTGTACAAGCCAGTGTCTGCTGCGTCCAATGGTTCTGCAGCGGCTGTAGTACGTGGTCTGAAACAATGAGCAGCATTCCAAAGCCATTAGTGCTGCGCCTAAGGGTTGATCTTTCTGGAACAATGAACGTTGACTTGTATGAAATGCACCCGAGTAGCATGTTGGGTACCAAGAGACCCTGGAGTCTGACGTCGACTACTGTGCAAGGGGTTTTGTGTGGGCCTTATCCCATTATCCACCACCTCCCAATCTTGCTCCATAATCAGCACCACCATATGCATATTCAAAAAGCCATCGCAGATTTGGGACAGAGTGTCTCTGCTGTGAATCGGCTGTCGTTCGGCCCGCTTGGTGACGAATCTGCTGGTGGGGCTGAAACCACACTTCTGCTTTACTACGTACATACTTGGCCGCACGTCGACATTTTATGCGAGGGCAATCTCTTGTCAGCCTATCTTGAGCCCTTTGCTCGGGGACTTCGGTGGATTAGTGGCAAGAGCTTGACTTGTCCTGAGTCATCTGGGTTCCGACTTTTCGTATTTGCCGCGCATTGATTTCAAGCCTGAGGATTTGATCAGGACCCCACAGCAAAGTTGCATCTTCCTGACAAATCTTCCTGACAAATCTGCCTTCGCCCTGCAGAGTTGCATTTGCTAGGAATCTCAACAGTCCATGTATGTTAGCGGTAGTAATGCCTCGATGCTCTCTTGCTAATCATGGTATCTGCCAGTTAGTCCTCTAAATTACTCGACCGACGGGGTCCCACGTCCCCGAAATGGCGACATATCGTTCTAGAGGAGTCTCTCCTCCACCCCGACGGTTTGGAGAACAAAGGATTCCTGCAGCCCCGGTCTTCTCCACTGCATTCGATACCCGCTTCAGCCAGCAGCCCAGAAATACCATAGATACTTTGGCTTCATCCCGGCCGGGCGCAGAAAGAGTTGTTGATGCACAGCCGATATCTAGACGAACTTATCCTGCTTCAGGGCATTCTGCTGTTCAGTCCAAAACAGAGTACGCAGTTAGGCCTCGAAACAATCCCAGAGTGGGAGAGGATGACAGGACACCACTCAGGGTGCTTGTACCACCCACGTCCCCGACCCGGAGTCGACCTCTTGTTGATAATCCACCTCATGGCCGATCACGCAGCCCGGTAACCAAGCATTATTATACAACTGACCAAGCGGATCGATATATTGTTCCTGCCATATCTAGTCCACGTCAGCATCGACATCAAGGTCGTGCCACACCAACAGACTCTAGCCACTTGATCCCTGATGGCAGGGAGCGTCGAGAACGCCATGGGTATCGAGTTGCTGGCTCACGTGTTTATCCAAAGAGTGGTGCGTTGGTTCGTTACGAAGACGAGAACGATTACTCTTACACCACTCCCCGCGAGCAATTTGATCGGGACTATCCGCCCGCTGAACGTAGGCCGCGCCGCAACAGCTACGTCCGTCAAGATCGCCCCACTAGTACATCTGATTTTGATGACTGGAAGGTAATCTCGCAATCCAGGAGGGAAACCGGTCCCCCACCTGCTGTACGACAATTTGACAAGCTTGCCGATGGAGACCTACGCCATTCTACAAGTCTGTCTGGTAATTACAGCGATACAGAACGCGACCTCGACAAGCCGAGAAGGAGACATTCTCTGAGAGCTCCGGTGTCCCTTCACCAGAATCGTAGGGAGTTACTCTTAAACCCCCAGGATGAGCGCGCTGCGCGAGAAGTATCGCATTATCCGCCAAAATTATATGACGATGAGCCAAGCTACTCCAGCGACAGAGAAAATTACCGTCCAAGTAGTCACTACGAACGCCATTCGCAACGCGCAAAGGCTTACGGAGAAAGCCGTGATCGCTTAGGCACAAGCCATGGAGCTACTGCAGCAGGGCTCGGTGGGCTGGCAGCCGCGGGCCTCGCAAGCGCTATAGTCAAGAAACCTCACGACAAAGACGATGATTCTGATCGTGGCGAGACCCGTGACATCAAGAATCGTTATGCCCATGAGCGAGATCACAGACCCGAGGACTTCAGGAAGGATCGAGAGCGAATCGCTGAAAGACATAGAGATAGAGCCGCGGAATTGCGAGGTGAGGTAGCTCCTCGGGAGCACCGCAAAGAGAAAGCAAGCAAGGAGAGATCTGATAGTGACACGATCGACGATGTCCATGCTGATGGCCAACGGCACAGCCGAAAGCATCGTCATCATCGGCGCCATTCGAGACCACAAGAGCTCGATTCCGACTCGGCATCAGACGATGGGCAAGGGGTGAAAGTGCCATCAGAAGTACAGAGAGAGCGCGTCGGAAGAGATTCAGCACAGGAAGACTCTGACTCACGCCGAGAGCCAAGGCGCTCACACCCACATCGACATGTGAATCACGATGGTGAAGAATATAATAGATCGCATGGTGCCAGCGAAGATGGCGAAGCTGAAGAGGATAGGGCCGCACGCCTTCAGCTTGTCGAGCCACTTGCAGAGAAAGAGCCAGAACATAAACCTAAGGGCATCTTGAAGCCTGCCAGACAGGTGCCTTTCCCAGAAGATCCAAACCCCACCAGAGAAGGAGTCGCACCGCTCAAGGATGCTGGGAAGAAGGGAATACCACCTGGAGCTCGATGGACGAAGATCAATAGGATGCTAGTAAATCCGGCAGCCTTGGAAGCGGCCCATGAACGATACGAGGAACGAGATGATTATGTTATTGTTCTTCGAGTCCTTTCGAAAGAAGAGATTCAAAAGTACGCAGACAAAACCAAGGAGATTAGAGGTAATGATATGCAGCTGTTATTGTGATGTTGATTTTGCTAATTTAAAGAGCAGAGGCTCGCGAGCTTGAATGGCTCGAGCGAAAGGAGAGACGAAGGCAGAAGGGCGGAATGAGAGGTAGCAGTGACGACTCAAGCGACGAAGAAAGAAGACTACCACTTGCGATCGAAGCAGCACCGCCCACGGCGAATCCAGATCCACGATATCAGCAAGGGTTTCCACTGAACACCAACAGCAGGCCTGAGCCAGATCCTGCTGCCATGGCTGGGATCAGCACAAGGACACAATAAGTCGTCCTCGGTCCTGAGAGTGAGTCCAGACAAAGTCGTTTAATGCCAATAAAGAACCGCAGGTCGATTGCGTAAGATGTCCACACACATTGCCATGGCTTCAGAATTTCATACACTTTTTGTCGATATGTAATGTTGAATATCGCTTTGGATGCTACCTTTTCCAAGTCTCACCACGCAGCTGGCAGTCTGCTTTTGCATCTCATCCAGCTCAGGTCAGGGGCATGAAATATTCGATGGCCTATTCCGTAGCACGGACTTTCAACATAGTACCACATTAGTTCGTTCTCGCGCATTCTGAACTTCCCTATTGCTGCATCAGGCTATGGACAACATCAAAAAACCATCCCCGGTCGCCTAGCCTCATGCGGTGCGAAGAGGCTTTGCACATGCTTGGAAGCTCGCACATGGTGCACATGGTCTGCGAGGCAAAAGACTCAACTCGTGGGCACCTGCACGGGAAATTAAAGTTTTTTCCAACATAACTGGGTGGGTCACGAGGTTATGTCAAGCAACTTGCAGTCACCAATCATCAACTCCGTATATTCGTCGCTGATCAAAATCCGGACCTTTATAACCTGAGGAGTACGTTTTCATGCAAATGGGGACAAGATTTGACGGAAGGAATTGGCTAATGTTTCACCAGCCCGAAAAGCACCTAACAGAGACTGGCGTGGTCACACAACAAGAATGGGACCGACTCACTGCTAAGGTGATGGTATCGACGAAGGAGTGGCTAGAATCGCAATGGAGCCAATTAAACATGATAGTTAAATTTCCACATAATGATACGTGGCTTCCTACGAAATGGAACGAAAACACAACGACCCGCTGTTTAGAACGGAGTAACTCCGCAACTCATTCCATTATCCAGTAAACAAGAATGGCCTCGTCTGCTGAGAAAATAACATCCATTTTCGGTGGCCTCTGCTTCCGTCTGCGCACTAACTACTCAATTAGATGGACATACGGAGTACTAGCCGTTCGGTCATACTTTATACTTGGGCAGGCAAGCAATAGTGGTGTGTGGCTAGAGTTTCGTAGTTGTGCCGAGTTGCGGCTGGGCGTAGGCTGCTGTAATTTTAAATGGTAGAGTACCATTGGATGAACCTTACCGCACGAGATTCTGTGTTTTGCGGTTGGATTGCATAAATACGAAGATACCCAGGTGTTTCATGGACCACCGATCACAAGGCCCAAATCATTGGACAGCACCCCATGCTTCTCAAGTCTGTGAACCGCGGTGCAGCGGAAATTACGCCGTCCAAATGCTCCGCAATTACAGGATTGGCCGAGAACCTTCAATACTAAAGAATACATAGTACTAGTAGTAAGCGAATGCAACTTGAACATTGGCATTCGTCCTCATCATCCCGATCTGATTAGTGAGATACACTACTGCACCGCCGTTAGAAAATTGCAATCAGGCTCCAGCATCTCATCCACTGGCATGAATCGCCGCATGCCCCGTGCGAACCTATTCTCAACGCTCAACAAGCACATTTACTTGACGTAGTAAGCCACTCATCATATTGCGCTTGACTACAGAGCATTACAAGGAAATCTCATCGCATTCGGTCAAGGCATATCATCTCGCAAGCCCACGCCACTGATTATTAGTCTCACTTGCCTTCACGTAGCAAGCGTGTCAATAGAAGAGTCGAATAGGAAATTACATAGTAGGACTACTACGTCAGCCTTTCTCCGTAGGCGGATTCGTTGGTCATGGGTTGCGGATCAGGCCGCTTTAGCTTGACGCAAGTCCCGGTGTCTCTGTCGGTCACCATCCTGGTAAGATTGTCACGATGGACAACGTTTGCCGGTCCGCATTGCGCAGGCATGGAGCAACCTGCGATATGCAACCTGCGATATCATTGACATTGAACATTTTCCCTAGGGCATGCGCGAGCTGATACTCTACAACCAACAAATGATCCGATCCGATCCGTCCGGGTTATCTATGCTATGATTTCAATGCTTGACCTGCGCGGCGTCCGATAACCACCCGGCGGCTGTTTCCAGAAACAATACTTCATGTTGGTTTGGATCCAGATTTCTCATGAAGCAGCGTTCAATCCAAACATTATAATCAACCTGTAATTCCCTATCACACTTTTCTCTGCAATCGGCACTATACATCTCAGGTTTGTATAAGACCTCTTTCATGAAGAAATACTTCTGCGACGTTGTGGCGCAGTCCTATCTAACGCCAATGCGCAAGCGATCCAGTATTCGCAAAACAAGGGTCCTTCTTCAAAATACTTCTAGCATACCTTAGATGCTTGATTATCAGAGTCTTCTGTTGTAAGCTACTTCTTGGTCAAGCACGCTAGGAAGTTACCTTTGCTTGTCGTCTCCCTCCCGCGAGCGTGAGCGGAGAGCATTTCAGCAGGATTTAAATTGGCAGACATCGGTCCAGCACGACGCTTGCCTTCTGCATGATCGCCGACAGGATCCCCAGTGATCCCAACAAGGCACTAGCACAGACTGAAGGATTCTTAGCGAAGCACAAGATTATTGACGACGAAGCCAGGTGGCTTTGCCATCACATTTATCCGTTCCACATCTCACATATACACTGGAATCTTCAAAGATGCTTAGAGTCTTTTGAAGAGCCCTCACCTCCTCTCTCAACTACAAGATTACACACAGCGGTTGAAGTAAGCATCATTCATTCTGCCATGTGGAGAGCTAAGGCCTCCTGTTGGATGCGTTCGGCCGTGACCGACAATCCGCCCTGTTACACCCGTTACACATGATCGTGACCACCGGGAAATTGCATTGACTCAGCTGCATGGCATCGTCAACTTGACCACAGCACAAGGTCTGGCTGCAGTGGACGTCATTGAACCGTCTACTTTTCCGCAGGAGGATTCGCGATATAGGCCTCGGAGTTCATAGGCGTCCACATGCATGGTTGTTTGATTACCTGACATCGAGTGAGTCCGTACATAGTGAATCATTTGCAATGGTTGGGGTGGGTCACGTTTGAAGTCTTGACTTGGGAACTGGAGCTCAAGAACGACTTAGTCTCTAACAGATAGCATTCAACTTGCCTGCCATCTTATCAAAGACGTGCTAGGAGCACTATAGTTGGATTGAGATGAGCAATCAATATTTCAGAACAATAATTACCAGAAGAGCAAAGTGAACGCTTGATCTGGGAAGTTGGGAACGCAAAGGCAAGCACGAAGCATTGTGGAGGCTTACCTGCTATGGGCGATTTCCGAGTCACTTGGCCATCAGTGCGGACGACTCAGTTAAGATGAACTATTGCCTATGATGGATGGGATTGATCTCGCAGGCCTACGTTACCAATTGCTACTGCCCCAAAATGGTAATCTCGAGGTGCCTAGATATCCAGGAAAGAGAGGGTGTCTAATCACGATACGAATATGGTTCATTCTGACCCGCTTCTAATTGCCACAAAAGCATGTGAGCATCAGCGCCACAGTTTGAGACTACGCTTCTTCTGATTAGAGGCTGGATGTTTAAAAGCCGACCAGTTAACACGCTTCTGCTGAGTCGCGAAGATCCTAAGATGACACTTGTTGGCAAATGACAGCAAAGCTCAACGGGTTGGAGGAAGAGACTAAGATAGATGGGTGGGTTGAGAGGGGAAGATTTGGGCGTTGGTCGGGGGAAGGCCTTTTAGAGTCTTGGTCATGAGTTGAGGGTTCGGGTGGAGAAATAATCTCAACAAGTTAAAACGTTCGCAATCAGACCAAGAACCTTACAACACCACTAAGACTCTGGCTAATCATCATTGGATTCATCGACCGTTGTGTGGAGACTGTGGGACACATGCAAACCCCTCCAACCCTCGACTCAGGAATGCTCTCTCACCCTGCTCGAACGATTCGTCTTCTTTGGCAGGTGGCAGAGCTGCTTACTGGTGCCCAGTGCCGAGCCACAGCCCGGGGGGGGGAGGCCCTCGCTCTGATCTCCGTCCAGACACTGGCCCAACCCATGACCCGCTCCACTAAAACCCAGACTACTGCACGTTATCAGGCCATTAAGATTGCAGGCCTGCTCTCATCCTTCTTGGCACGTCACTCCCGAAACAGCAATGCTTGGCCTTGTCACTTGTCCGGCACCCTAAAAAAGTCTCCAGAGCTGTGAGGTACGTATACAGAGCGGTACGGGAAAAATACCTCTTCCGACAGTCACGCCTCCAGCACCGGTACGTATTACTTCGTCCACAGTTCATTGGTATCGCCATTGCGACCAGACTCGTAATTGTTCGCCGTTCCATACGTTGATCGCCTGTGTTATAAGCTGTTTCATCATCTAAGTTGCATGGCATGACATTCAGCTACCTGCCGAGCAATCAGCCGCGAAGTTGTCTGACGTGATGACAGTCCGAAGGGTGGAAAGCCTGAACCGTGACCAGACGCCCCCCAAAAATAATAACCCTCATGTTCCGAAGCATGCACATCACCTGTCCGCTGCTTCCAGCAACAAAAAAACGAGGACAAATCCCGCATCGCATCACAGCGCATCGCATCGGGGGTTGAAACGAAGCTCGTTAGCAGGTCAATAATAACAAATAGCAGCATCATGTCCATACCATAATAATATTCCCCACTCTCTCGCTCCCTGCAGGCGCACCCTTTGCACATCTGCCGTCCTTAATACGTACTATAGGCTTACCCTTCTAAACCTGTTGTCTGTTACCCGAGAATTGACGCGCCACCCAGAGACCGAGGCAGCGAAGACAAGGATTATCCTCGCAGTTCTGAGCGCCGTTAGGCTGTTTCGAGTTGCTGTGCAGGAGCCAGTGGGCGATTTTCATGACGGGTGTGGTGTTCAAAGAGGCTTAGGGTATGAGGTCTGGACTTCTCATCATCATTATTAACCCCGGTCTTCGCACAGACTGCACAGACTGGTGCTTCCTCTAACATCCGTTAGAGTTTGCAAGTACTGCGACTCACGCCGCTGTTAGCACGCTAGCCAAAAGCCTTTCCCAACCCTGGCTCTTGTCTCCTCTCCACTATGTGTACCGATGTTTCCCTGGTTTTCCTACCCATGTCATAAGCCCCAACACCCTTCTAATCCACGTTTCTCACGTCCTAACTCCTTCTAGCGAGCTTCAACTTCGCAAGTAAATACTATCTTTCCTTGACGAGCAATGGCCGCCAGGAAATCGGGCACCTCGAATAAGATGGGTGGAGGCAAGAAGGAAAACACGGTTCCGACTCCAGCGACCGTAGCCAAGGATCAAGTAAAGGTGCGTTAGAGGGATTTACCCGCCGTTTCGACCGTTGAAGCTTTTTTATGCTTGCTTTATCATGCCTGTCCTTGCACCTTCTTCCCTGCCCGCGATCAGTTCACTTCCGCTCCTCTTCCATCATCCCACGATTTCACTATTCAACCAGTGCCTGTGGCTTCTGGACCTCGAATGAAAGCTCAATCCGTTTGAACCCACCCGAATCCCTTCTCCGTCTGCCTCTTTTGTCGCGTCGCAAAGGCCGTTCAGAGTTCACCCATATGCTTAGGAGCGTACTGCTCGTTCTAAGCTACGGTATTGACATACCGTAGTACATGGTATGATTTCTTCTTTGCATTCTGTGCTTGAACAACCAGCGCTCCATGCACCGTTCCTTTCTTACAGCGATCATGCCGGCGCCTTACGTGTCCAATTCCCTGCATTCGTGGAGGGGGAGGGGGGGGGATTGAACACCCCTCCCAAGGCCGGGCAACCACGATTACCACGCCTCTTGCCCATACTTTCTATGACCTGTTCTCAGACAGTGAACGTTGTGGTTTATTATATACCCTGTTTTATCCATTCGCGTTGATTCTGCGTGTTTGTTGTTGTTTATCTTATGGCTGGGGGCTTGTGTGGAGCTTTCAAGCATACCCACCCTGTCAATACGCCACCACTTTGGCACCAGCTCTCAACACCTTCCCTCAACTGCGGCTGCGAATGTAAGATCACATATTCTTTAATGTGTGAACTTATCCTTGCACTGTCAAATGCCCGTGGGATAGGTAGATCCAGCGCAACACCTTGAACACAACTCATTCTACACTTTGCGCGTGATTCCGTTGCTTAGCTTATTTTTCCTAAGTTGCTCGTCGCAGCACGCCAGATTTTCACAGCACTTCGCTCTGTTTACTAGCAATGACATGGGCTGACAGTCTTGGTGTCCTGTGTAGCATCATTCCAAGTCACAGTACACGGGTGCTCCACCCCCTCGCAATATACAGCAACCGAGGATCTCCACAACGATACCACCGAGCCGGCAACCCACCTTCGCAGATCCCAATAGTGCAAGCTTGCACGGCGCCTTCAATTCTCCACATCTGAGCGGTGGAGGTCAACCCCACCAGCAATCGCCTTACGGAGGAGCATCGCAAGATCCTAGCTACTACGCATCGCATCCCAGTCCTCATTCCACGGCCAGCGCATCTGGTCACTATCCTACAGCAGGTATGTTCAATCTTTAGGTCGCCCGCAAGATCTGGCGCCCGAACGATACCTGAGAAATTATGTCCCTAAGCGTTGCGGACGACTGACACTGATCAAGAAGGTTCCGAACAAATGGCGGCAACCGCGCACATGCAGCGTCCTTATCCACCCATTTATCACACGCCTCAATCGAATTCACCGGCCTCGGTAGCTTCTCCTCAGACACACGACCAGCACGGGAGAAGCATGTATGGACAGCCTCCTCCACAGCTAACCCAACCAATTCAGCCAATGTATGCCTATCCACAGTACTCACCGATGAGCCAAGTACACACTTCACAATATGCTCCGCACTCAGGGCAGCAGCCTCACCACCCTATGCCGCATCACTCAATGATGCAACATCCATCTAGCAATGCCACAATCCCACAGCAACAGCCGATGGGCCAGCCAGGTGGAATGACCAGCAGTAGCCCTCGCTTGAGGGTGGATCCAATGCAGCACCAGCAGCAACCACAGCAACAGATTCAGCACCACCAGCAGCAGCAGCAGCAGCAGCCCCAGCAGCCGCCCCAGCAACCACCTCAGCAGGCAACGCCAAGGATGATGCAGCAGCACACTCCAACCCAGCCATCTTCTATTGCTGCCAACAATGTGAATCTCGGGCAGACAGCACCGCCTGCGATCAATCCCAGCGCTGCTCCTGGACCCATCCCGGCCACTACACCTTTGGTTGTAAGGCAGGACGGTAATGGCGTGCAGTGGATTGCATTCGAGTATTCACGAGACAGAGTCAAAAGCGAGTACACTATTCGATGCGACGTAGAATCGGTCAACGTGGATTCGCTCAGCGCCGAATTCAAGAACGAGAACTGTGTCTATCCCCGGGCTTGTTGTGGAAAGGAGAATTACAAAGGGAATCGGCTTAACTACGAAACCGAATGCAATGCGGTTGGTTGGGCTCTTGCAGAATTAAACACGTGCCTCAGGGGGAAACGTGGACTGATACAGCGGGCGGTGGACAGTTGGCGTAACAGCAATCAAGACCCCCGATTACGGAGTAGAAGGGTTAGGAGACAGGCCAAGGTCCAGCACAGGAACAAGACCGCTCAACAGGCAGGTCAAATGGCAGGTCCTAGTCCTACGGGAGTGGCTGGAGTCACCGCTGGCATGGGTACAACAGGGATCAGAGCGCCCACTTCGGCCATGGGCTCTATGGGAGCCCCCCAACTGCAACACCACCACCACGCGCGTCCTGAGATGTCGGCGTCGGGTCAGCAGGATTCCAGTGGTATGTTTCACCAAGGTTGACGTTGACGTTGATGACGACGATGATGATTAAGTACGATGTTCTGCCAATAGCCAGTGCGCTGGCGCTATTTCTACCCGCAGAAATGTTGTTTTGCATGCTTGTAATCACATTGTCTTTGGATGCCTAGTTCTTGCTCAGCGCTCCCATCTATTGGTCAGCACTTGTAGGCTAATGTTACACGTACGAGTATAGCTGAAGTCGATTACTCGTCCGCCTCTGGCTCCGCATCGGCACCTCGACAACAGTCTGCTCAGAGTCACCCGATTTCGACCCCGACCGACCTTCGAACCGGGCAAGTCTTTGCAGGGTACCCCGCCTATCCTCCCACGTCTGCAGGTGGTTCGTCGATGGCACCGTCCAGCTACAACCCGATGGATGCCCTCGGTCGTCCAGGCGGGCCCGGAACTATGATTTCTGCTCCAACCAGCGGTGTGCGAGAAACGCCCAATGCACTCGGCGATTTCCTGCCCGAATCTAGAAAGCGAAAGATCGAAGAAGTGGACAGCCAGCAGACAGGCGAGCGTCTTCGCCTTGGAATGCAGTTCAACCACGAAGGCGGCGGCGGCGGCAGCAGCATCTCGCCCACTTCCTACCGAACGTACGCCGACTTTCCTCGCTCCTCCTATCCTTCGCAGATGCCAGCTCCTGCAACGGCAGGACAGCTCTGTCACAAGGACCCTCTGGATGAGGAGAACCCGTCGACGCTTGTGCGGACAGTACTTGAGGAGCGACAGCTCGAGCACACGATGGACGACCATACTTCATTCTCTCTGGGGGATCGTGCCGAAGGGAAGAAGAACTCCAGGAGTTATGCTTGTCGATCAACTCGAAATCGAATGAGACAGCTGCGGCATGACCCAGACCAGCCCCAATTCATTGGTAAGTGGAGCGTTTCTCCACCTATTGACAGTATTTCCATATTGACCTTGAATTAGGCGTGATTGAGCAAACCTGAGCGGTCCTCTTTACATCGAACCTGCTGTCATCATTTGCTTAAGAGCTCTGTGAGCAACCAAATTCCAAACAAGCTCAAGTGGACTTGTTTGAGCTATTCCACGCTGCATCGAAGGTTCTAATCCAGCTTCATTGGACTTGATGGCGACGCTCAAGTGTTGTCCATCTCCTGGGAGCCGATTTATGTAGGAGCAGCATATAACGACGACCTTTAGCCGTGGTCAGCTTTATTCTGTTCTTCCAGCTTCTATTCCTCTACCTGGCATACCAGATGACGGAATGCAGAACGAAGAATTGCAAGACAATCAATACAACCACTTCAAGATTCCTCCCGCGTCGTTAGGCTCCTTCGAGCGGTGTACCTTTCGAGATGATAACTCGCCTGTGACTCCACCTGGTCACACCGCAAGAAGCCGGGCAGAATTTGTTGGAGCACATCAAGCCGGTCGAAGAGAAGGGCTATGAAAGATTTGTCATTCATTGTACATATTCTAGGCATGATATGATACGGATTCTAAGGAAGATGGGGTCGAAACGGCGACGAAGGTCAAAGCTAATTTTTCTCGGGGCAGGCCGCCTCTTTCACTCCCGGGCACGTTGTGATAGCCATTTTTACTAGCAGATGTTACTATGGCGATATTGCATTACTTTCCCTATGGATCTGCGCAGGATGATATTGTGGTGGATGGCTTGCCTGTAGTTAGGGTCTACGTGCTCATAAAAGAGCCTTTTTGCAGGTTAATTGACCACTACCATGTTGCCGGTGCCTCTAGGTCCGGAGGTCCAGGTCCAGGAGTATCAGGTACAGGAGTATCAGGTACTATAGCGCACTGGTTCGTAGCCTCCCTGGTCGTCTTCCTACGGTACATCAACCAGCTTCCAATTCACGTGTGTATACTATGTAGTAAGTACTTTGTGCAAAGTGAGAGGATCGACAAGAATGACTTATTTTGAGACTACGTATGGAAGTGGCGTAAGAAAGGAGACGGTAGAAAAAGCTTGATCGAGGCCAGGGCTGGCGAGTACTACTAGTAGTTTATTCTTGGTTGGGCTTGTGGTGGCTGTCAGATGGTTGGCTGGTCGTCTTTGGCCCTAGCAACGAGCGCGTGAGCTAACTAGTTGCTAGGTGGTACGGAGCACTAATACGCAGTACAGTTAAGGACTGGTTAAGGCCAATCAGGCAACTCATGGGCTGGCCAAGGTGGCTGGATCGAGGAAACCCGCATGAATTGGTGGATACTCTCGAGCACATTGATGTTCAGAAAGTGCTCGTTCGATATTGGAAACAATTGTATGCTTCTTGACGGTCTTCGTACAAGACACTTGCAGCTGGTTCCGTGCTTGAGGTGCTGGTGTCATTGCTGCGTAGATTCAGCTTGCAAGCCAGTCAGCTTCAGTTAGAGCTAAGTTGCAAGATTTCGAAGACATTGTCTCACCTCATCTCAGCCTGCTGGACCGGGTCCTCGTCGTCCTCCCAGTCGTTCCTGCCTCGGTCACCAGAGCATCAAGAACATCAGGACAACTACCAAGCATCTAATGTCAATCAAGTGCATCCGCAAGAGGAGATAAAAGGATGGTGGTGTGGCTGTAAATAAGCACTGTGTTGAATTTGGTGTTTGCCCCCTTCGCCAGCAAGGGCCTTCTCGCTTCTCTTCACATTCAGATCGAGACCCATCACTATGGTCCACAACTACCAACGCAGCTTCTCCTTTGAGGAAGCCCCTCCCAGCTCAACTGAGCAGGCACCCTTGACCCACGGCCATGCTCACAATCACAGCAATTCTAGCAATCACAGCAATCACGAACCCTATCACGATTCCCCTTCCAGAGCATCTCCAGTGTCTACCTCTTCACAATTCTTCCGGCCACTCCCCAACGACAGCCACACCACTCCGCCCTCTCCTCCAACCCAGCACTACCACCCCTCATCACATCCTGATAGCAATTTTGATCAGGCAAGACGGGCCCGTAACACCAGCTCTGATAGTAGTAGGCATCGCCTCTCCTCCTCGTCTCAGTCTACTCCTTACCACAACTATTCTCATCCTCAACCTTCTGCTCCTCCGCCTCCTCCTCCACCACCACCACACCGACGAAAGCCGGTTGGACAATCTCCGGCGGGACGCTTTTCAATCCAAGATCAAGGATACGCACAAGCATCAAGACCCTTGTCATCATTCAATACTAGCATGGACAGTCTTGGACAAGGTCAACCGGATAGGAGCATGGATCGAGTGGACGGGCACATGGCGAACCTCAGACAAGGCGATGGAGAGACACAACCATTTCCAGCCTTGGAGGCTTCAAGCACTAGACGCAGTTATGGCCCAGCAGACTTTAATCACCCGTCTACCCCTTCCGACCCAGCTTACCTAGCGCAAAGACCAGCAGAGGCACCTCGACACCTACGGCAACAAGGCTCTTATTCGTCTTCTACCATCCCAATTGCGGCTGGTGCTGCTACACCCGGCTCGATCACGCCTATCATCCCTCCGTCAGATGGCTCAGGGCAGAGTTTCCCTCTGGCTGACTACCAATCTCGTCACATCCCCACAACTCAGTCTCCCTATTATGATAGTCCATACCAGAATAGCTCCCTCAACTTTGCACCTCAGGTCAGCGACGCTGATATCAATCCCCAAAATATTGCGGATGACGGTGATGATGGTTTCATACCAGATCCAAAGAGGAAATCGATACTGGGTATGAGAAGCACGTCAAGCAACGAGGCTGGCACGTCTGCAGCTGCAGGGGGAGCAGCTGCTGGAGGAATTATAGGTGCACTGGGTGGTCTCGCCGGACGAAAGCAGAAAGCGCAGACCCCGGGCGTTGGGTATGACCCAGTTGTCCAACCAGGCAATCTCGGCAACATGGACGCCGAAGGACATAGAGGTGCAGAGAAGAGTGAATGGCTTTCTCGACAGACCACAGGCAACAACAAGATGCGATGGGTTGTGGGGCTTGCCATTGGTCTCGTGATAGTGCTCGCCATCGTGGGGGGCATTGTTGGTGGTGTTCTTGGGTCGAGATCGACTGGCAAGTCGAGCGGAGAGACGGAGAGTCCATCAGCTAATAGCATCAACAACGCCAACGACGACACAGCATCCAATGGTGATCTCGGCAAGGGCTCTGCTGAGATCAAGGATTTGATGAACAATCGGGACCTCCACAAGGTATTCCCGGCGATCGATTATACGCCTTGGGGCACGCAATACCCACTTTGCATAGAATTTCCACCCTCGCAGAACAACGTTACGCGCGATATGGCAGTCTTGTCTCAGTTAACCAATACTGTTCGACTCTATGGCACCGATTGCAATCAGACTGAAATGGTGCTTCACTCGATCGACCGGCTTGGGTTGTCTTCAATGAAGGTCTGGCTGGGAGTATGGATTGAGACCAATACGACGACGAATGACCGACAATTGGAGCAGATGTACAAGATTCTCGAAGACGTCTCCGATCGCAGCATTTTCAAAGGAGTCATTGTTGGCAATGAAGCTCTCTATCGCGCCGGTGTGGACAAGGCTGCCAGTCAAGAAAATTTGATCGAGATTTTGAACCAAGTCAGATCCAACTTCACAGCGCTCAGCTACGACCTTCCTGTCGCCACGTCTGACCTGGGCGATAACTGGGATTCAAGCCTTGTCCAAGCCTCCGACGTTGTCATGTCTAACATTCACCCTTTCTTCGCTGGCGTACCTGTCGAGGAGGCAGCTGGCTGGACGTGGAACTTTTGGCAGATGAAAAATACACCCTTGACGGCCGGGACTGACAAACAACAGATCATCAGTGAAACAGGATGGCCAAGTGGGGGTGGGAATGACTGTGGAACATTGACAACAGAATGTGCAACCCCGACCAGTGGGAGCGTGGCTGGGATCGACGAGATGAATACCTTCATGGAGGACTTTGTCTGTCAGGCAATGGATAACGGGACGGACTATTTTTGGTGAGTGTCCAGAATCTCTAACAGCCGTGCTTGTTGCTGATAACAACGGGGCAGGTTCGAAGCTTTCGACGAACCATGGAAAATCGTTTACAATACCCCGGGCCAGGAGTGGGAGGACAAATGGGGACTGATGTATTCAGACAGGCAATTAAAGCCAGGCTTGAAGATTCCTGACTGTGGTGGGAGGACTGTCTCATAGAGCAGAGCAAGTGAACGAAACGCATGGCAGACGCGACTCGAAAGCGACGATGCTGGGTCTATGCTGGGTCTATGCTGTGACGGCAGGGCGGGAGAAGGAATTTTGCTTCTTGCATCTTTACGGCATACTGATCGGCTGTTTCAAGCGACCAATGTCACTCGACAGGCGCACCTCCGACAGCACATTCCTTGGGTGGACACGGATCTGCGTATTTCTTTTGGCTGGCAGAGCTTACCACAATATCCCATGAGCGGTCATGGCTGGCTCAGACTTGGAAGTGCACCGCCATTGCAGGCGGGCATGCCAGACAAAAGCGAATTGCAGCTATGGATCAACTGGTCATGTCTCTCTGTCGGGCGCATCACGCAAGGAAGAAGGATTCGTGTAGAATTAGCACATGTACAAGAATTAATATGGTTGCCAATTGATATCATGCACGATCTCTGATGTATTCTCTCTGCCCAAGTTAAAGCAAATGGGAGACTTATATGACCTCGTAGTGCCCGGTCTAACGAGGGCAGCAAACCCTCGTCCAATGGGTTTAAAAAATTGTGCCCCTTTTACTAGGTTGACAACGTTCAACAGGTTTCCTCCCTCCCTCACTCTCTCACCTCGTGCTCGTATAGAATATCTGGCCGAGGACATGATACCGGGATGCTGTCGAAGCAACACTTGATCAGTCTTCGTTTAAAGTAGATTCATCAAACTTGACAAGAGTTCTCGCCACCTCTTGGAGCACATCCTCGTTGACCCACCTCGGGGAACGACGTCAATCGTCAATCGTCAATCGTCACTCGTGCATCACGTGGAGAACTCCTGGCGTATCCTTTCTGTTTCTTCTCCTCTATTGTTTTTCGTCGTTCAAGCTACCATACATTTTCTTCTTTCCACGCCCGTGGTTTATATCCCGTCAAGATTGCGCTTCGCACCTCTATCAGTCGTGCTCTGACGAGCCATTTTGCGATGCCTCCTTCGGCGGCATCACAGGAGAAGAGAAATATTGTCATCGTAGGTAAGACCTGACTGAGCCCATCAGGTTGTCGGTACCGGCAGCATCATTCTGATAGGCCATCTCTGATCAGGTGGCGGTATAATCGGTAGCACAACTGCTTATTTCCTGACTCGCCATCCCTTTTATAATCCCTCTCTCCACTCTATCCATTTGATCGAAGCTGCCAGTGTCGCCTCAGGAGCCAGTGGTAAAGCCGGTGGTCTCCTCGCCCTCTGGGCCTACCCATCATCGATTGTTCCCCTATCCTTCCGCCTCCATGAGGAGCTCGCCAAAGAACATGGTGGCGAAAAGAGATGGGGCTATCGAGGCGTCAGCTGTGGCCAACTCGACATCAAGGGCAGAAGACTTGGCGATGCAACAGCAGGAGGAAAAGGAAACCCTCCCGCAGTTAACCCCGTGCACGACGAAGCAAAGGAGCGGATCAGTCTAAAGAAGCGATCGAATGATAGCTATCAAGCCCACCAGGCGGCTGGCGTGCCTGAGGACCTAGACTGGCTCGTCGACTCGAACATCCAGTCCTACGACTCAATGGGCACACCCGAGAACACAGCCCAAGTCCACCCCTACCAATTCACCACCTCAATGGCCCAGCTCGCCCAAGAGAAGGGCGCAGAGATCATCCTCGGTAGCGTAAAATCTATCAACTACAAGGACAATGACAACGCCGTCGAATCGATAACCTACATGGCGAAAAACACCAATACTCCAACCACCGTCCCAACAACAGACATAATCTTAACCCTAGGACCCTGGACCCAGTCCCTTCTCCCGCATGCCCCTATCTCCGCCCTCCGCGCCCACAGCATCACCATCCGCCCCTCCCGCCCCTGCTCCGCCTACGCAATCTTCACCTCCATCACGCTGCCCCCACAATTCCGTCCAGGTGCCAAGAACAAACGACCCCAGCACGTCTCGCCAGAGATATACGCGCGACCGAACAACGAACTCTACGCCTGCGGCGAAGGGGACACTCTGGTGCCCCTCCCCCCTACCTCGGCCGAAGTCGCAGTCGACGAGTCCCGGTGCCAAGACATCGCGGACTACTGCTCCGCTATCTCGGACGAACTACGTGACGGGGAGATCCTGACGAGACAAGCGTGCTATCTACCCCAAGTGGAGAGTCGAGCGGGATCCGGCCCGTTGATGGGGAAGACGAGTATCAAGGGTCTGTTTCTTGCCGCGGGCCATACGTGTTGGGGCATCCAGAATGGTCCCGGGACCGGGAAGTTGATGAGCGAGTTTGTGTTTGATGGTGAGGCCGGAAGTGCGAGGGTTGAAGGAGCGGGTTTGGATCCTAGGAATTACGGTCTCTGAGTTTTGGGAATTGTCTTATCGGATGATAAGAGCTGGGTTGAAAGGGGGGGGGGTCCAAGTTGGTTGGGTACCACTCATCCGAAGCTGAATGTGAGTGGGACGAGGCGACAGTAAAGAGGTATATTGACCACACAAGAAGACCTCTCGTAGATCGATAGGCAAAGCAAAGCGTGCTAACACCCAACTCACCATTGTGATCTAGCGATTGAAATCACTCTTGCAAAAGGGTCTTCAGAACGAGTGCTAGCTAGTCAGACACATACAGTACCGATCAAAGAGCCAGTGGCGTGGTGTGGCGTGGCGTGTCTCGAGAGCCCTTCCTGACCTTCGCTCTCTGCATACTTACTTTATTTACTTCCTACCAGTACGCACGCACTAGGCTTTATCATATTCGAGTACCTTACCAGACGAACACACACTCATCAAAAAAAGAATCTCGATTCCCTCTCTTCTAACCAACCAACTAATCAACCAGCTAGCTAGCTAGCTAGCTGATCCCGATCTACGGAGTAATTATTTGAGTGACCGAGTGACTGAGTGACTAATCGATTGGAAGACGGGACGGGACGGGATAGGTTGGGACGGGACGGGACGGGGAGCATGGGTATGGGAATGGGAATGGTTGTTAGAGCGAATGGGAAGGGGGCGCAGACAGACAGACAGACAGAGAGAGAGAGGGGGGGAGAGAGAGGGGGGGGAAGAGAGAGCATTGAAAGGCAAGTCCATGGTGATAAATGAAACGATGCTGCTGCAGCTGAAGCGCCGGGGTCGGGGTCGGGGTCGGGATCCGGGTCGGGGTTGAGGTGGAGGTCGGGTCGGGGTCAACCGGTCGGGTAGTGGAGGTGAGAAGATATATATCAAACCGAGCTGGCGGCGTGCACAGTGGTCCTGTCATTGCGTGATTTGCTTGGTTTTGTGTTGTGTAACCAGCTCCCAGCCCCAGATCTGGCTCGATAAATGCAATCGTCCCCATTTTTTTTTCATTGAAAAGCCAGGCGAAGTTATGTGAGGTATGGAAAGATGTACAAAATGAGATCCTCTTCGCTCATCCCGTCCTGGTGCTCGCTCCCCTCCCAAGCTCCATCCAGCCGTGTATGGAATTCCACCCTGCCAGATTTCAATCCCCGTTTTTGATGACCTATGAAGCGAGCGCTTCGTCAACATGGTTCTCCGATCCTTCCTTATGGGTCAGCGATGTGGGTTAATCACACATAACCTTCTCTATTCCTCCAATTCGGCCTCGCCAGCACCGGATCCCCCACAAACGGCCGTCCCCTGGACAGCTCATACGTCATGACGGTCTGATCGTAATAAGTCAGCATCAGGCGATGGCGACGGGAGTAATCAATTCCCCTCCAAGACTCGTCCTTGATGGGGTTTGCCTCCGTCGTTTCTGATCGAGACGGCCATGCTTGCTTGACTGATCTCCAATCTAGGGGCGGGGATCGTCTGCGCTTAGTGGCCTTTGCTGCTGCTGCTGTTTGTCTGGTTTCTGATCGTGAGGGCCTAATATGATTGTTGATGGAGTTCTGTAAATCGTCAATCGTGCTCGTACTGCTGCTGCTATCTCGTCTGATCCTGATCACCTCTGGATCGAAGGTCGTTGAGACACCGTCTTCGTCGATCCTGTCCCGCAACCAGCTGTCTTTCATATCGTCGCCGTCGTCGTCGTCGCCGCCGCACACTGAGCTAGGTCTTGAGATGTGATGGCCTTGGACAGGTCCGACCGCAATCCCTATTAGATGCGTCTGAGGCCTCTCACGGGATTTCTCCTGCGATTCAAATGGTAGAATCCAGTCGACTCGGAGGCAAAATGAGCCTTTTGTTCCTTTCTTGGTAAGTGTGCACACAGCAACGCGGCCGATCTGCGTTCCAATTACCACTATTCCAAGTTCGGGTATGTATTGCATCAGGTTTAGTCTGTCAATATCTGGGCGAGTTGCGTGGTACATTGGCCATTGGAAGCTGAGGGGTTCGGAGCAGTATATTGAAGCCTCTTCAGGATGGTTGGCATCGAAGAGGCGAAGGTGGGAAGCTGAAAGGTGGAGAGTCGGGATCATAGGACTTTTCGGTTTATATACTGGTGGCGGGAATGCTGGAAGCATGCCTGAATGATGCATTTTGACCTTCTCTGCTTCATCTGGATTGACTTGACTAAGCTGGCTGTCAATCCTCATGAGATTGCCCGATACCATTCCATCCTCACTCTCAGTCTCAGTCTCAGTGGACCCATCATCGTCACCGTGACTGTACTCGTCTGTGTTGGATTGTGAATCAGGATCCATAGATCCTGGCCCCATACTATTGCTGGCCTCAATGTGAAAAGAGATACCTCCAGCAATGATATCCTGAAAAATGTCCTCTTCTACCTCTTCATCATAATAACCAGAAGAGGCGGCGTCATCGTCGTCGTCCAATATACCAATCAAATCGCTGTCGGATATAGAATCGTCGCTGGGAGCTGGAGAAACGGCGCTACCAGCTGCGAAAGACCTGTCATGGCCTGGTACTCGATGAAGACTCGGAGTGATGTTGAAACAGCCTGAGGAGTTGTCATATTCGGCTGCAGCGCCGCAAAACTCTTCCTGGGTGTCGACAACTTGAAAGCTGCTTGGGTCAAGAGCTAAAACCGTCCAGCCACTGCTAAGAAAGGTCAGTCGCAATGTCAATGATGGGATTTGGGGGGAATCCCACAGAGTTTGCTGAGAGTTGAGGTAAGGGTTAGAGGAACTGCCCACCGCAGAAAAATCCCACGTAGAAAGAACGTTACGTTGCCATATGTGCCAGCATTTCGTGATACCTTGGATATCGGTGCTGAGCAAGTAATTGCCCCCTCTATCGTCATCTGAATTGACGAATGAAATGCTGGGAATATTGCAGGGATGCGCCTCGAGCCTCGTCTTCCAATTCACCGAGCGGTCTGGCAACTTGGTCGGATTGGTCGCTTCGGGAACCCAGAACCTCCAATCAGACTCGTCCTCTTTCGGAGGTGTGATCGCATCACTGCTGAGTGGGGATGATGATGCGTCGGAGCTCGTCAAGGCGAATGCAAAGACTGTAATCGCAGCATCTTCTCCAATAGCCGGTTCAAAATATGGCTTGTTTGAGCTGACAGCGAGCATTCGGGCATGCTTGTGAATAGACAATCCCCAAGCGCTTTCATATACCCAGTGAGTGAAAAAAGGTCGGATACCAACTAAGTCACTCCGGCCTTCCTGGCTGAACCTGTATGGCTCCTTCTCGATGCCCTCTTGGATACTTCCAGTATAATAAGCAGCCACATTGCCTGAGTCAGTGGACAGAAACAGGATCTCTTCAGACCCCAGTTCGCCTACTATCAAGTGGTTGATGCTGTGGGGCCGCGAGGCATCTAAGATACCACGTGCATTGGCCTTAGCAAGGGCCGGTACGATGTTGATCTGGGGTTGACGTCCAAGCTTGTGGGAGGGAAACGTTGGTTGGAAGACCGCAACACTTTCTCGATGGGCAATGAAGTAGAGGTTGTGACGCTGAGAACAGGCAGTCTGCAGACCTCGTCAGCGATGTGCGCTGCGGGCTGTGGATAGCTCGGATACCAAGTTGTTCCGCCAATTCGCGATGCTGGGCGCCAGAAACCAGCCGTCTCTGAGAGAACAGGTCAGACACGACTTGCACGCATAGATTCAACCGCAGAGGAGGCCGTACTCGAAGTACTGTACCCGGTCAGTAGGAGAGCTACCGATTGAAGGCGACGTATCCAGAGATACCCACTCTCTCCCTGCCCGTCTCCGTGCCTATGATGTCAAGCTTCACTGGTTGCAGACGGCGATAATCATCCTCCATGGTCAGGTTGAGGACCGCGATTGGAGTTCAGCACATAGAGCATCTGCACTGCAGAAAGTAACAGCTTGAAGAGGAGAGAAGAAGGGAATTTCCGAACCAGCCGGGAGTATAACGGAATTCACCAGTTAGGGAAGAGTAGCACAAGGAGACGATCTGTACGTAGCATTGCAGGAAGCAGCCTACCACGAAGAAACAATCTCACACCAGGCGAAGAGCGTCGGGAGCGGGGAGGGCCTGGGGGTGAGTGTGGGGCGTTCGCTGCCGTGTCTCACAGTGTGACGGTGAGTGTGACGCTGAAGATTGGATGCCAATAGAAATCTTCTATCTCGAGGCACACCCGTCTTCAGGCAGCTGTCTCTAGGCCCCGCTGGGTAGCATGTTCATGTAGGCAATGCTTAAGTGACAGCTCAGATCATCTCGAGCGTGTCTCACCCCAAGGAAAGGCCCGCTCCACTTGGATCATCCCCCACCATAAGTTAACTTCGCGATCAAGAGATTTATTCCTCCGGCCTCCCTCCTTTCCCTATTCTATCACACCTGCATAAAGGTTCTCAACCCGTCCCAGCGGCCTGACTCGTCAAGTGCCCTGTGGCCACTGCGGTCACCCGGGTTGTTCGCGATCGATGACCAGAGTTCCACATTGATGTTGAACGCCACAACGTTGCCGGCCAGTCTGAATCTTTCCATCTCCCTCACCAACCTGGCTGTTCGGATACGGGTTCAATATGGATCTCCTCACCACTGTACGCAAGGAGGGTTCCCGCGGTGGCCGTGGCGACTTTAAATGGTCTGATGTACAATCATCCAGCCACAGAGAGAATTACTTGGGCCACTCGCTGATGGCGCCTGTTGGCCGATGGCAAAAAGGTCGGGATTTAAATTGGTACGCAAAGGGTAACGCCGACGAAGAGGCCGGAGAGACCGTCGCACAGAAAGCTGAGCGAGAACGAAAGGAGGAGATCAAGCGCATCAAAGAAGCAGAACAGGACGCTCTGGCAAGAGCGCTGGGATACGACGTGCCACCCAGAAATCCAAACTTAGAAACCCTAGGCGACGCAAAGGAAGTGAATAAAATCCTAAAGGAGGCTGTCGAAGATGAAGATGCCGAAACTAGCAAGGGAGTCGGCTATGGAAAATTCGCCAACAACCACGGAGAGCGGAATGAGCGCATTCAAGGAGATGATGTTGCCACCGTCGACGGAGGTCAACGATTGAGAGAGGACAGTAAGAGCGGGCCACATTACAAAAGGCGTCGAAGTCGGAGTCGGAGTAGGGATCGCGAACGTCACCGATCAAGCTGGCACAGACAGAAAAAGGGCTACCGGCGACGCTCGCGATCAGGGTCAGAGGAACGAACACGCAGACGACACTCAAGAACCAGGGACCGGCCAAGTCGTGGAGATGATGATCGAGAGAATAGACAACAGAGGAGGCATCGGAGTCGTTCACCTTACTACAATAACCGCGGCCGACCAAGAGATGAACATCACGAGCATCGACGATGAAGGCTTCACTCGAATTTGGTGACAGACATAACGAAAGCGTTGAACGATACCCTTGCGACAAGAGTTCTATTACTAGACGCTAGACTTCTCTATTTTCTATGCTACAGCTCATCGTGCCCCTTCGCAGTCTTGCCGAGATCGGGCATCACCATGATGTTGACCACTAGACTTGTCCAACCCGTAAAGTGCTGAGTCCGTTGACCTTGACCGGTCTCTGGGTTGTACTGCTCCCATGCGAAGCCAGTCTTCTCCCACTCGCGATAGACGTTCTCTACAAGATTACGCCGAAGCTTAACATAGATTTGTCTAGCCTGCTCTTGATGAGGGCCAGAAATTTGAGCAATGTCCTGAATTGCATCAGCTCTCCGAGTAGACAAGAGTAGGGAAGTGGTAGCAACAAACCAGCAAATTTTTGACAATCAAGTAATTCATGTTAATCCAGATTGGGCTCCTCCAGTAGTTCTCGTCTGTGCCGTAGTATTCATCCTTCTTGCTCAGACTTCTGATGCCGTACTCACTCCACAGCTCCGAGGGTTCAGAAATCAAGTCCAAGATCGCTTTCAAGCGTGGACTGTCGGCCCTAAGAAGCCCGGTCATAAAAGGAAATATTGAGATATAGCCTTTGTGGCAAACGTGAATACTCTCTTCATAGTCATCAATGGTTGCATCGCAAAATATACTCGACGAAGCAGACCAATGCAGCTCGTCAATATTCCGCACGATGGCGTTCTCGTAGCTCTTAAAGTCGCTGGCATCTTCTGTCTCACCGAGTGACTCGGCTACGCGGCGTAAGGAGCGAGACATCATGCCCATCCAGCTGATCAAATCCGTATGCAGCTCACCAGGGTGGGGAGGCTGTGCTCGAGGATAGTCATCGAGACCAGAGGTGAGTATATGTCGCGGAGTTCGTCCACGCCATCGATACGCTTCCTTCGTGGAGAAAGCTTCGCGATCATATGATTTGATGTTGCCCCATTGCGTCTTCCGGAACCAGAAATACTGCCGCTTGAGAAGTGGATAGAATTTTCGGATGTGGTCCTTTAGAGCAGTAGCATGAGCGGTGTCATACTTCTCTGCGTTCAGCTTGTCGACAAACACATCGAGGATCATGAACAAAGTGGGAGGATTGGCATAGTGTGGGTACTGGACTTGAAATTCTTGAGGAACCTTGCTTCGCGCTTCAGGTCCCAGGATCTGCTCCCGGGCTATCCATCCATCCTCGTCCATCAGATTGAACCAGCTCTGCACAATCTCAAGTGTCAGGTCCATGTCCCAATCTGCAATTGGTATCAGATGAAAACCCTCGTCCCAGAGGAACCCTCGCGGGAAAAACGGTCGCGAAGGGATGCTGGTAAACAGCTCAGTCGGCGGTTCACGACTGACTTGTGCCCTTGCCCTTGCATCCGCAGTCTCTTCCCAGAAGCCCTCATTTTCTTCCTCGTATTCTGGTGCATACGATCTGTCGACAAGAGAGTCTCCGTAGAAGTAGCCGATACCTCCAACAAGGTTTGATAGCATGGCTTGGGAGAAGTTCGTGTATTTAGGGTCAGTAAACGGTGACTTTGGAGCGAAGATATCTGTAAACTTGGTTTGGAACAATTTGGACGTCTGTACAATAGCTGTAGAAATTTCTGCCGACGTCAGCGTTGGAGCGTCTACTGCTGTAAAGATAACGTCAAACTCGAAGGATCCTAGAAAGGTTTTCTGCACCATATGGAAGTTGCCTTCTTTGATATCGTTAGCCACAGTAAACATTTGCCAGGCAGGCGGGGGATTCTCCTGCCCATATTCTTCAATGTAATTGTCAACCTCACTCTTCATGTTCGTGAACATGATGCTTTTAGCCTGCCAAAGTGCATTAGAGGGCACTTGCATGCTTGACGCCATGGTCCGATCCAAGGGTTTCAAATCCCAGCTTGGATGGTAGTGCTTCGGAGCAACATTGGTATCTGGTCCCCGCGTGATGTCTATCTTGAAGTCGCCCAGGTCGGCAGTCTTTCCGTGAAGCGTAACAGTCCCTTCCTGACCCAGATCATCGTGCTCATTTGCAAATTCAAGACTTCCCAATCCATCCATGCCTGCATAGAAGACAAGCGTTGTCGTTAAGTCTCCCGATACGTCTGCTCGCGGCTCCCCCCGAATCCTCGCCGCCCAGCTTTCGGTTGAATTACCGGATGTTTTGACAAAGTCGATCGTCAGATCGATCGTGTTTCCAGCATCGTGGATGGTCTGACGCCCGCCATTTCGGATGTCGTACTCCTCCCACCCATAACCAGCCATTCCTTCATTTTGTTCGCAGGTATGTCTGAAGTCTGAATGGATCAGCTACGCGGAAGAGGAACAACTTTGGCATGTAAGAACATGTTCGGCACTCATGGACGGGTTGCGGACTAACTATTTTGAACCTTTGCAAAGTCATTCACTTTTGCCCACATCAAGCCGGCCAGCAGACTCTTGGGTATTCGCGGTCGGATACCGAAGTAGAGGTTCGGTCTATAGGGTCCCCAGAGTAGAGACCCGTTAGAGGCAGCATCATTTGCAGACGTTGCGCAGGTTGCAAGACTCAAGAACGAAACGCCGACAAGGATAGAAACGGCAACTTGAGTCACCACGGCAGACACAGCTTGCAGCATCTCGCCGAGCTCCCTCGATAGAGGAGAATAGAGAATAGAGAATGTTTATGATTATAACTGGAATTGTTGAAAGGCCAGACACTGAGTACATGGTACCATTTTGGGCCGGATTTCGATGCCAAGCCAAATAAAAAGGCTGTCAGACTCACAACGTGACTACAGTACATAACTTCTGGGGGCCACAACACACACAGCTGTGCAGTAAATACTAGTACAATGTGTGCACCGTAAAAGTCCAGAGAGTTATCACAGCCAGCATTCATGAAGGATGAACGATTGCCTTGGCATATATACAAAGAGAGCATCTATCAAGAGTCGTTGTTAGACCTTCCCCATCGCCTCCAGAACCTCATACTGCTACTGGTTTCCTTCCGAGGCCCATCCCGCTTTGATATCCTCCAAAAGTACACCGGTATTCCTGTCACAATGAACACAAGAACGACTATCGTCTGGAATGGTCGAGCGATCACAGCTCTACTGACCAAAAACAGACTGACGCAACAGAATATGATAGGGGTCGTGATCCAAGTGCGATACGGTCTTTCCAAGTTTGGCTGATTGATCCGCAAAATAATCAGTCCGAGCACGGTGAGAAAATAAAACGTGTATCCAGCAACGCCGGAGAACGTGATCAGGGTTTCAAACTCTCCCACCACAATGTATCCAATACAAAGTACCCCATTCAAAACCATGGCATTGATCGGCGTAAGGCCCAAATTCCCTTCATCGCCAAACACTCGAGCAACAGTCTTGACGAGCCATGAGCGTTTCCTCAGCCGACCAAGATTAGGGACCTCTGGATTGCCTATTCCGATCTTACCGAAAACGGCAGGAAGATAGCCTTCTCTTCCTGCGACATAGACAAGTCGACCGGAAGTGAAGGTAGTTGCATTTAGGGCACCAAAGCAGCTTGCGCTGACAATAAGTGCAAGAACCAGGGATCCAATTGGGCCAAATATTTGTGAGCCAAAAACGACAGCCACGGTATTGCTATGATCAATGACAGCTTTCGGAAGAACAAAGAAATAAGCGACATTGGCAAGGAGGTACGATAGGAGCACGAGTGGCATGGCCGTATGGATGACCTTTGGAAGATCTCGAGCTGGATTTTTGAATTCGCCCGTAACATAGTTCGTATTGTCCCAGCCATCGAAAGCCCATAGACCAGCATAGATAGCAACGGCCCAGTCTGTGATGTCAGTGCTCGTTCCTGAAAACCAGCCATGTGACTTCCAGTCTTCGTTCGGATGATTCTGGAAGGACAGACCAGTAGCAGCGACAACGATTCCCAGCACAGTGACCGCAAGAAGAGCCACGAATTTTAGAAACATAAATGTATCACTGATTCGGGTTGCCATCTTCGTGGAAATGGAATTGACCAGAGTAACGGCGATGATGCATCCAATTGCTGCTCCTTTGTTGATCCAGGGATTTATCGTCTCAACCTCCGCTCCAAAAAATGCTCGAACCAGATATTCTCCAAAAATAATAGCTATAATGGCCGAGCCTCCAGGTTTCAAGACCATGACAGCACACCAGGTGAAGAGAAAACCCATTAGCTCCCCAAAGATCTTTGCCAAGTATATTTGTGCTCCTCCACTCAGTGGGATGGCTCCTCCGAGCTCAGCGTAACTAGCGGCACCTGTCCATGCTAATATACCTGCCACTGTCCATACAACCAAAGAACCGCCGGGGCTGCCGGCGTGTGAGCTGACCAAACCTGGCGAGGAGAATATGCCTGCACCAATGATCAGGCCCACGATTAATGATAGCCCATTCAGGTAAGTCAATGTTTTATGCTTTTCCAGGTTTCCGCTTTCCAGACTTCCAGGATGTCTTTCCAGCGACACAGACGATGGCGCACCTAGTGGAGCGTAACCTCCTTGTGTAGCAGAGAGTGGGAAGAGAGCAGGTGTGAAGTCGAAAGCTGAAGATATTGAATACGATCTATTGTGAGGCATGCGCCTGGCACCATCCGCTAGGTTAGCACCGTCCAAGGGGTCATCGTTCTCGAGGGACAACTTCCTCGAGGAAGTTATGCCCAAGCTAGAGGAGGACTCGGAGGTACGTCTTTCTTCAGGCTCGGAAGAGGCAAGGGAGGCAAGTTCAAGGGAGTCGCGTGCAATTTGAGAAGGCTTTTGGATTTCGGAGAAGCCCAGCCGTGACATGGCGATCGGTAACAAGGAGGAATGCGGAGAGTATCAGACATCTAGGCCATGATGTGCACAGAGTAGCGCGTATTCAGACCATACTGGAGCTTCTTGCAAAGAAATCACTAGTGAAGTGGATGTTGAAGAGTAGATTTAGCGCAAGGAGCTATGACGATCTGCGGGAGGCTCCACCTCCCCAAACTCTGCCCAGAGCGACAGAATGTAACAGACATCAATACACGTCAGTCGCCTTCCTCAGGTTGGCTGACCTCGATGACGCCAAGGGCAGCATCGTCCCAAGTATCGAGCATCAGCCGATGTGTGTCAAAGGGATCTCTATGCAAGCCGCCTTCTAGCCATTGCCTGCGAAGAGCTCAAGGCTACTCCTCTGCTCCGCCCCAACCCGAACGTAAGCTACAGCAGTCCAGCCAACCTTCAGGTCTCAAGTCATGGCAACGATACGCTATTACGATGGTCATAGGAGGAGTCGTATATGGACTGTATGAGGGTTACTCCAACAAGCAAGCGAGAGATGCTTTCATACCTTATAAGCTTGTTAAGAAGGATCCAGTGTCCACATCCGCAAGCATCTTTGTTCTTCAACCACAGGCAAGATCACCAGATCTAGACACATACAAGGAAGCATGGCAAAGAGGAATTTGGAACTTTCACTTCAAACAACCTCAATTACAAATTGTCCGTGCTTATACACCTTTACCACCACAAGACGCACCATCAGTGGAGGGCGTCAGCCAATTGCGGTTTCTTATCAGAAATGATGCCTACGGTGAAATGTCAAGCTACCTTCACCGACTGCCAATCGGATCGCAGATCGAGCTACGAGGACCGAATATCGAGTACGAACTCTCACCTGATGTGAAGCAGATCGTCTTTTTTGCCGGTGGCACTGGTATCGCTCCAGCTCTTCAAGTAGCTCATGCCCTTTTCAGTCAGAAGGAACACAGTAAGGACAAGAAATTACATATCCTGTGGGCAAATCGAAAGCGCGATGATTGCGTTGGCGGCCACAGCGATCACTCTCCCGCAGAGCCTCTGGTGAAGAAGTCTACAACCAGCAGCAACTCCCCTACTCTCAATGCATCTACCAAGACGGCGGCCTCGAATGACCAAGGACTTGTTGTCAAGGAACTTGAGCAGCTCAAGGAAAAACACCCTGGGCAAGTGACGGTTGAGTACTTTGTGAATGAAGAAAATACCTGGATCGATAGAGATGCCGTCTTTAGAGCCCTAGGTCGCTTCGACGACAATGACTTTTCTGGTCGGTCCTCGTCCTCACAAGAACAACGGCAGATTCTCATTTCTGGCCCTAGTGGTTTTATCAGCTATCTTGCTGGGCCAAAAGAGTGGCGCAATGGAAGGGAGCAGCAAGGTGGAGTGAGCAAGATCCTTGCTCATGCCATTTCAATGAATCCGCACAACGTTAAAGTATGGAAGATATGAAATGCTTCGACCTTTCAACACAGCGTCCTATCGTGTTCATGGAGCTCATAGGCTCAGCTTGGAATATATCAGCATCCACCACGTATGAGTCCCTCTTTGCAGACCTACAGAGTCTCTCTGCTGGAGGGTTTTGTACGCTTTTCATCGTCGAACTCCAACCAGCCCTGTCCCAGACCAATATCTAAACAGTTTCATCGACAAATCATAACACAGCACAGCAGCAGTCCTTCTTCGCCTCGGCGTCCTTTTCAGCCTCGGCATCCTTCCTGGACGGCAATGCCTCCTCCGCAGATCTCTCGCATGTACCACATATCCCGTCCACATACTCGGGCTCTAAGCATTTGGCGTTCTCGGCAATGCAAAGCGCCGAGCGACCACAATCGATTAGCTTGTAGCCCTTTTCGTGGCCACATCTATAACGGTACGGCTGCTTCTCGCACATGGTGAGATCACGCAATGTGCACAGTTCGGGGAGATGTTGTGATCTGGATGGAATGCTGGCTCTGATAGCGCTGGTGCTGGGGCTTCTTGCGACCAGGCACGAGGAGGAATCCAAGGGAGTTGATGGAGCAGTGCGTCGAGTTGGAAAGCCATGCTCGAAGACTCACCATATAGCACCTGAGATGAGCAGAGTGACTGCGAGGTGGCGGCAGGGACCAAGGGACAATGACTATAGCATCTCGCGTACGAACGAAATATGGGGCCAAGAAGGCAGACTTGCATTGAAAGTCCGTACGACCATGTACTTATCGGGAAGTCAGCAAACCAAAGAGACTAGTGAAGAGAGAAAAGCTAGGGGATGACTAAGAGACAGCCGACGAAGCCGGGCCGGGGGCTTCTTAGTCGATGGAAGAATGTGAACGCACAGAGTCGTAGAAGGGGAGCCTGCTCATGCTGCCTCCACCAAACTCGTCACTGTCGTTACATTCACGTGGGCGCCTGCCGTATCAGAGATGAGTAGTGAAAAGACTTGTCCGTCATTGAGTAAGAATTGACGGCGCTCCTATGAATGTTTAGCCTCGTGATGGAACGCACATCGGTAGCGGTGGTGACTGGAGAGGTGAAGGGGGATATTAGATCTGATAGCCAGCATTTCGAGAACAGAGCTGCAAGGGCCGTCGGATTATTGGCATTTGTATCCTGTCAGAATGTCCTCGTAAGAGCCGCGTGTAGTTTGATATGCGCTCGAGTACAGTTGGAGAAACTTGTAGCAATATCCACAATGGATGTGATACGTCCCCTGACATCAAATGTCCCGCAGCCACGTCCCCTCCATGGCGTATTACCTTCCACTTTCCACCTTCTCTCTCTCCTGCGCCATCACCACCCCTCCAATTGTAACGGTCCACCCTGCTCCCACTGCTCCCCATTCTGTCCTACACCTCCATTAGCATTTGCATTTGCGCTCCCGTTCCCATTTGGCGCGGGCGCCTCCTCCCCAAACGCAACCGCCTCCCCATTCTCCCCACCAGCACCACAGGCACCATTACCCACCCCCAAAGCCGCCATCCCCCACCCCATTTGATCCAACTCCCTCTGGAAGAAGTCCCTCTCCCCTTCTTCAATCCCTCCCCTTCCCTCCGCAGCACCATCCTTGACAACATCCGGATAATTCCTCTTAACCCACCAAAACGTCAATCCCCTCAACGCCCATTCAAGCGGTAACGCCTCATCCACCTCCCCTTCCACACTCCCGCCAGCCACTCATCTCGCAATTCCGGTCGACAATGCAGATAGATCGCCGTGATGACCTTCATGTTGCCCTGGCGCCATTTCCGCCCGCAGTAAGGGACCTGGGATTTGAAGAGCTTGAGGACGTAGAGGCGGAGTAAGGGGTCCGGAACGCGTAGGATGCGGCGCAGGATCTGGCTAGATTTGTATTGGACTAATAATAAGATGCGGTGCGCCTTGTGACGGGTGATTTTTTGGAGGATCCGGAGGAGATGGATTGAGGTTTGGAACTGGCGGAATGAGAAGGTTGTAATAGGGGTCTGGGGAATTGGTGCGATGGGGTTGCCCAGTTCGTCAACAGAAGGACGGGGTGGGAGGCGGTTGGAGTCGGTATCCGAAGGTGTCTCATCGATTTTTCCGGGCGATGCGACGGCTTGGGAGGGGTCGTGAGAGGATCCGTTTGTTGGAGAACGGCGGTGGCGCAGGATCGGTGGAGGCATTGCTTCATCGGGACTTGAAGTAGGGGAGGAATTCGCAGCTGGCGAGGTGGGAGAGAGGGGTGGGTGATCAGAATTGAGATGGCAGATGTGGAAGAAACCCAGGTCGTCTCGGTCGTAGCGGATGGCGACCAAATCTTCAAGGTTTTGATGAGCGAAATATTTCAGCACTAAAGGAATGTAGTTCGAGTCAAGGAGGAGCTGAGTCAGATACTCGAACTTGAGGACGTGAGATATTTTAAACCACTTGAGAAGAAGGAATAAACATCCAGACATAGCTTTGTGGCACACTTCTCGAAGTCGCGTTTCGTTGAGCTCTTCCATACTGAGCTCCGAAGCTTGTGGCGCAGCCGGTGGATTTGGAGAGTTATTTGCCTGTGATACGTTCAGGTTTGATTTTGTTCTAGGTAGTCCATTTGATTGCCCATTGTCGTTGATTGAGCCATTCTGGATCGCGATATTCTGCACATTGAACAACATGGTTTTCATCATCACGATAATAAGTGATTGGAGGTTCGGAAGTGCGAAGTGCTGGCTCACGTTAGTTGCGAATCAGCATTGCCCAAGCCAGCTTACAAAGAAGTCCTCGACAGCCTCCAAACGACTCTCGAGGTCATGAAGCGCTGCTTCGTTATCACCCTCTCCCAGAGCAGCATTGACGGGCTCTTTCCAATCATTTTTGTCATTCGTACCAGCTTCACCGTCTTCAACTGTCGGCGTCTTCCCTTCCCATCCCCTGTCGTCTTTCAAGAATTGTTCTCGCTCTTTCCAGAGCTGACGCATCGCTCGGGTCATTCGCATCCTGCTTGCAAAGAGTTGGCCTGCTTCAATGATAGAAGCAGGTATGTCGCTACCTTCCCATTTCTTACCTACCATGAGATCTTGAAACTCAGTGGTGCCCTTTCCACCTATGTTGTTGCTACTGTCATCCAATGGAGGGTACAGAAAAGGAAAATTCTGATTCGTCTGGAAGTTTTGCTTTTTGCCTGCCTTCCCACCAGGGCCAACAGGCGATGGTGGTGGAGATGGTGCGGGTGTCGCGATATGGACCGGCTGGTGAAGAATTGAGCCGCTAACATTTCCATCAGGTTGGCCGAAGTTGGCAACTGAACCGGTAACTGTGTTCGCTCGACTCGGATGATGGGGCAGTGGAGGTAGCATCGATTTGTGCTCGGCTTCAAATGGTACTAATGGAAGAGGAGGATTATATGCCGGATACTTTGATGTAATTTCCTGGCGGAAAAGGTGATAATCAAGAGGCGAGGCTGTCAGGGTGGGCCGCGAAGCATCTGCTGGGAGCGGATCTGGCTTCGTTTGCAGCACATCCTTTGCACGCTCTAGCACGTTCTGGGTATCACCAAATAATAGCAAGACTGATTTCCATAAGAGAAGGAGAAGCTGAAATTGTGTTAGAGAGGCATTCGCATCAGAGGTGGCTTACTCTTGTCATCATCGAAATGCTCGATATATCCTCCCATCGTCGTCGGGCCAGAAGTTCAACGCAGTAGACGAGAAACCTAGGTCTCAATTGTACTATAAGACCATCAGCTGGGAACTTTGACAAAAAATATACTCCACTCACACATGACATTGCGCATCGATTTCCCAACCCCGGAAGCATCTCTATGTCGAGCTGATTCGACAAAGAAATACCAACAGGAAAGTAGTAATGTTCGCTCTCGAATTCTAGAGTTGTTGTAGAGCTCAAGCGGACTCCCTCCGTGCTCTTCAGCGGTCTCGGTAGATGTCAAGCTGGAATATGTTAAATGGTGGTGGCACAAGATACAAAAAGCACATACCCTTCGCCGTTTTCATCATCAAAAACTGTATTCATGCAATCCTGCAGGCTTTGAAGACCGGAGCATTCTAGAAGCAGATCTGCACCCCTGTGCATCCACTCTAGCTGAACTGAGTTGCTCCGGTTGTCAACGTCCTCGTCGCTTGATCGATCTTCAGACTCATCCTGCCTTTCTAGACCTGCTGTTGTTGCCCAAGCCCCTCCAAGAATGTAGAAGAGGACTTCTAATGACTCGATGCGTATAAGTGGATCATAATGACTCAGGCTAGAGAGAACCGACAGGAGGATGTTCTTTCGCACGTCATCACTAACATCGATCCACGTTGAATCTTCGTCTGCGAGTTCCTTGTGAGATTCAGAGAATGACCTCCATTTCTGTTCGAAGGTATCCTTAGCACTTAAGATCATGGTCCCATCCTGCTCTGAATACTGAAACCATGCTTCAATCTCTTCAGCGAACGATTGGGCGTCAGCATATTGAAATGCGTAGGCTCTCTTTTCCACCTTCGGGAATTGACTGACCAGCTGTTTCAGCTGTGGTAAGCTGAGAGAGTCCGCTGGAGTATCTGGATCCTGATGCTGCGAAGGTGGTGCTGGAGGTGGAGGCTGGGATGGTGGAGGTGGTGCTGAGCCATCTCTTTTCAAGACCGGCCGTGTGCTTTTCGTTTGGACGCTTCTATTGGCGCCAGACGCTACACCATCTCTTTGATCGAGAGCGCTTAGTGGGAGCTGCTTGCTTGGTGACTGAATAGCTGTTCCATCTTGATCAACTTCATCGGCCTTGACGATCAGCTGACGACCCACTGCTGGGAGAGCGCTGTCACTATGACCCTCCATAACACGTTGAGAATATCACCTGATTGCCTTCGAGGCATCAGACATCATTTCATTAATGAAGATGTCGACCGTGATTGTGCGCTACTTACCCTGCCGGAGCACATTCCTCACATTCATCACTGGCAGTGATAATGACAACCATATCATACACTCCTCGAAATTGTCTCGCCGTTTGAAGATAGTAAGTCAGATTAGACTTGAATGCTGTTTACGGTGCTGGAACCACGAGTTGTCAAGTGACAGGTCGTCCAAGGCATATCACGTGCACAGCTTCTGATCTACTACTACGGGTGGAAGCATAAGATTCGTAGCACGGCGCTAGAAACGCTATGTAAATTACAACGTCACGTAAATGCACCTTACTGTGGTGAGGATAGAGTGCCCAAAAATAGTCCAATTAGGACTAGTCTGTATGTTTGGTGACCCAATATCGACAGGATTGTCGTACAAGATTGACAGGTCTATCTGTATTTATCCAGAGCGTTCGGAGTGGCAAATACTAGGGCCGTGCTACGAATACTTATGCCATGTACCATAGTAGAGGCTTCCATGGTGTGCTATGTAAGTGCTTTAGAAGGGAAGGAGGTCAATTGGTGGCATGACAGTGCTTTCCCTAAGGTAGAATATTTCCCGCGTCTGTCTCGTCATTGACTTTTTTCTAGACAGTCCCTATTCCTTCGGCGCTTATCCCTTTTTCTTTCTTGCCATCTACCCCATCCTGCATCAACCAGATCTTCGGTGACGACCAGATCTCGAATCCTGAGCATCTCAGCCAGCTGTGTGTCTAACGCCCATTCCACCCAGCCGTAACGTCGAAGATATGTGGTCACCAGGAACCATGCGACAGCAGACAAGGCACCAGCCGCGCATCCGACCATCACTTGCTTGGGCGTATGATAATTGAGGTATAGTCGACTGACAGCAACAGCCGCAGCACACAAACATGCTACACATGATAGCAGCAGTCGCTCAGTGAAAGTTGCTGGTGAGTGGGTTGTGGAGGGGCTAGGCACATATCGCATGAGCAGGAAGAGGCTAAGGGAAACTGAGAAGTACGCCACGAATTGCGAATGCGACGAAGGCATGCCATAACCTTTGCCGTACATCTCTACCCTTGTGTAAGCCAACGTGTAAAATAGGAGAAGGGTTGGATTTCGCCGCTGGTACGTTTTGGACGCTCCTCCTTGATCCATCGTTTTAGTAGAAAGTTGAGCGCTTCACAGGCCATTTGCCCAGCAAACATCATCATGATCTCTATTTCCCTCGACGCCCATATCAGGGTCACGTAGATGACACATAATGCCTGGGGTACCAGCGCAAGCCATGCAGAAAAGTAGGAGAGCCGATCATTGGGATTCTTGAGGAGTAGATCAGTGATCTGGTCGTGACGCTAAGACTGGGGAGGAAGAAAACAGACATAATGGACGTGTGTTAGGGATAGTGAGGCAAGAGGCGCCTCTTCCATCCTTGTTGTTCGTGGTATATGGATTGTGTCAGAAAATTGATCATCAGATGCCAAACAGATTTGTGGCACCATATTTGGAGAAGCAGCGGCCGGGATTTTAGAGTCAAGTGCAGAAGTCCTGTCAATTCTGGGCCCTAGGGTCGATCTGAGATATCATCTACAAAGTACAATGGACAAAGACCTAAAACAAGCATCTTTTGCAATGTGGTCGTCATCTCTCTATTCCTATTGTTTGGTGTAGCTTTGTAGCTACAGATTTATGACTGAAACATTTCAACTCTCCCTGACGTCCCTGTCATGCTTAGACCGTATTTTGTGGGTCCAAAAATATAAGTTCCGGATATGCCTACAGTTTACCAAAACTATTGACACACACATCTTCTTATTCTAAGAAGAATGTAATTTAAAAGCATCAAAACGCATGTAAAATATATGTTGATTTTACTATGCTCAAAATGAGAAGATTTATTAAGCTTTTTATTACATTAAACTTATTAACAATCCATTTGGAAGAAGCTGTTTACAGGCACATGCTGTCGCCAATAAATTGATAGAAGCCATCTTCCGAAACCCGAAATGACTTACGGGACTTGTCCACCAAACAGGGTGAGCACCAGATCCCCTTCCTTCAGGCTCTGCGGGCCCATGCCTATGGAACCGCCCTTCGTAACCAAGAACCTCCGGCCTGTGCACGCATGCACGAATGCCTCGTAGAAACGGCTGGAGTCTGGCTTATTGAGAAGGAAATTCCAGCAGATTTCTTGCAGAAAAGAGTCGATGGGCATTGCGTAAGTGCTTTCTGTACTAACTAACGTACAGAACCACTTGGCGGGCCAATTTGCACACACTTTACGCAGTAATTCTACCACTCAAATGGGCCAACATTCATGTCCAATTAGGGAAATAATGAAGCTGGCGATACTTCCTATTTGAGCCTATCTGAGAGAATCCTTATGCGCAGCGAATCCTTCGAACGATGCGTAATTTGCCTTTAGAGGGCACCCTGCCCTCTTTGGCAGCTCTAACCTCTTCAAGATTTCAAGAGCGCTGCACTCTATCCTTTATTATGCGTTTTGAGCGCTTTTTGACCTCTTAATGGGATATTTGCTTTCGTATATTATTAAGCTTATTTTAAAGCAATTAAGTGCTAGCATAGTTAAATAAATAGATGTAACATTTTAAGATATAAGAGGATAAAAGGATAGAAGGATAGAAGGATAGAAGGATAGAAGGATAGAAGGATAGAAGATTATTCTATGCGCTTTTTCTGTGCATTCTGTGTGCGGATCCTGTGCGCCTTTTCTGTGCATTCTGCTGCTCTTTCTGTGCTCTTTCTGTGCTCTTTCTGTGCTCTTTCTGTGCTCTTTCTGTGCTCTTTCTGTGCGCTTTTTCTGCGCATTCTGCGTGCGAATTCTGTAAAATTTTCTGATTTTTGATGGGTATGGCTTGGCAAGATTCTGCAGCGTCTTCGTGTTCTCTCGGTTTTTACTCATTCGAAATAAGGCATTGACATTGTGAAGATATGGGGTCTGGGGAAACGCCTACGGCAACTTTCAGTCCACTCAGCAGAGAGCAGAGCTGTTATCGATGAGATGTGACGCGCTTGCTGTAACCATTGACTTAGAAACCGGTCTCGAACAAAATCTACAGAGACGTTAGAGCTTGGGAGAAAACCCCCGTCGCCTACTTGATTTCTCACTCAACCAAACAAGAAAGTTTAGGGCCCACTTCTTAGCTGATGCACCACTTCTGCGGGACCCTTTCATTAGAGAGTCTTGTCGCTTTGATGATTTCGTGGCTGTTGTCATCCTGATGACTGCGGGCCGATGCGCACTCCCCCGGGGACAAAGTGGTCCAGTGTAAGCCAGCTGTGTAGGATGCAAAGAGCACTCCGTTTTCCTCCTTATGCAAAGCCACCAGAACTCCTTACAACCTATCCGTGGCTTTAACAGTGCTTGGCTGCAAGAGGACGGCCAAAGAATCAGATTCAGAGACTATCGGCGCCTCACTCCCGTGGATGGTAAAGCTCGCGCAGTAGAGAACATTGAGTTTGTTGTATTCCTCTACCTCTACCACCCAGGCAAATGTCCCACTATCATCTGCCGTCACGCTATTAACCTTTTCCGTCCATCCACGGCTCCGGCGAAAGCGTTTTCCCCAGTCTGGATGGCTAAGTAGGCGGACACCCTCGAATTCCACCATCAAGCCGGCGGTATTGCGAATCGCCGGCTTCAAATCGCCATTGAATTGGATCATGGATGTGTCCATACTTGCGGGTGCCCAGCGAAGCCCTGGCTCTTGAATCCGAGGTCCCTGCGTGAAGAGAATCATGGAGGGAAGTTCAGCTATATTCTCGAAGAGGTATTTGAGGCGATCTTCCGGTCGTTGGAAAGCGTACATCTGTTGGCCTCGCAGGCCGAGTAATGACGCGATAACCACATATCGATCCTCTTCGTACTTCGTTCCCCGGTTTCTGGACTCGTTCCAGACGAATCTGAAGAGATGTTGAGGACTTTCGAAGGAAATTTGCATACATGAGCTCCACGATGTAATGGATTCTGTAACACAGAGACTGCGGAGAATTCTCCCGTTGAGAATAGATTCGTCGTCGCAGATAAATTGCAAGAGCTTGTGCTTCAAAATCTCCATTGGGACATAGCCGTCTTTGATGCGGGCAAAAATTGTCTCTGCGACCGCTCCTTCGTGCATGGTCCAGAGACGACGCATCCATTTCGAATAAGAAAATCGGAATGCAAACTCAAGATCAGTCATATCAGATGTCAACGGCCACAGAGAGCTATCCAGTATAAGCACCATGCGCGCTTGACGGTAGGTGTCGCGCATACGCTCGATTGCCACATCACGCAATTCCTTGCGTAAAGAAGTGTCCCGGCCACGACCAACAGGAACGCAAATTGTATCTATCCAAAATGTGCTCGAGGTTGGAAGCTTGCTTTCCCGGACCAGATTGTCGACAAGATGATGCAGACGTAGCCATTGACATTTGAATAATTCATTGGCGTCCGGGTTGCCAAGTCCGTCACTCCAGACATGAGAAATCGCAACATAGGAGGTATTGCGAGAAGAAAGTACCTCGATTTTGAATTCCTGCGAGTTCGGTGCTTTTTTCACGCGAAGCACGGGTATTTCCCCTTGCTGAAGGATTTTTTGCACGTGTTTGGACGTCTCAAACTCTGGCATCACCTCACAAGAGCAACCAGTTTCTGCATGACTTCTTATGTAAGATCCATCGACCATGTAGTCTGCGTGACATCGTGACATCGTACAATCAACATGTGACACGCTACTTGGCACCTCCGGCGGAAAGTGTAACAAGCTGGACAAGTAAGCGCCGACGAGTTTCATTGTCATGCTCAACCTATACACCACGCGGGGACAGAATCCACTAGAGAGCAAGCGCTTGCGGACTAGATCAGGAATATACCAGCCTGACACATTTATAGGTCCCTGAGCCTGCAGACCTAACCTTCTGTATATCATTTGTATGGCGTGTGATAGAGTGTGACCAAGCATGCCGATGGAGAGCTCAAGGTCCTCTGGGAGGATCTCCCGCCCGTTTCGGGCCCAAAACTGTGATTGACTGTCTCGGAAAACATCAGAAAGACCTCGATTGTCGTCATGTGCTGTTTCTGCGATATTGAGGATAGTATCAAGAGCCGAGTCCGAGACACTTATCCGTCCATCAGCCGATCGTCTCATGCCCGAAATTGGGCGTCGCATCCGTGCGTTGGATTCTTCAAATAGGCAGTGCTCACCAAGGCACCCGGCCAGGCGTTCCACCGATTTATGGACATAGTCCACACAGTCCATGGCATTTCGCAACCTCTTATACGCTTCATTGGGCGGTAGTCCCTGCAGCTGAGTTACCAACCTCATAAGATGCGTTTCAAGGTTCTCCGTCGTGATCACCCTTGAGTTAAGCGGACCCGAGCGCTTCAGAAAATCGCAGACCTCGATATCTCTGCCCAAAACCTCTCGAAGCAAACCAAAATACCACCAAGCCTGGAGTAAAGCAGCGAAGTGATTCGGGGGCGTTGTTAACGCTCCTTTCTTTGCTCTTATCAACGAGATGATGTCACCAGAAGAAAGTCCACATTCAAGTAGAGCCGAATCCCAACCTTGAGAATCAGGGAACTGCCAGAAGCCTGCGTCATTCACTGAGAATTGGTCGCAAAGGTATGGAACTTCAACCGGCCGGTATATGGGTTCTGCAGGAGTGGGAAGATGATCCATGAGATCTACGTCAGGAGTAGACAAGGGCTCTTCAGTTTTGCCGACAAAAGGATAATTTTTTGCTCATTTGTACTGGTGAGCAGTAATGGGGAGAGACAGGCTGCCAAATTGTAAGTGAGCCGTCCGCATTCAATGGTGGCTCGGGCTTGGTTCCATAGGTTGACGCAGCATGACTGCTGTACCTTAAAAGACACTGGGTTAGAGCCAAGTAAGGACTTTCCAATTCTCTTCTGCTTCTCTCTCGATGCTTTTCACCATGAAATTTTCTTTTCAGGGTTTATTGGGATGTTGCTTTGTTTGGACAGTCTGCTGAGTCACCGCTAACTATTATTTGGTGTCTATTTCTGTCTCTCACCTTTGAAGACCACCAGAGACTGTTGCATCCCGGACTGGCAGGACATTAGAAGCTGTTCTGAGACAAATTCACCGTAAAATTGCCCCCAGGTTCCAAGTGACTACTGGTCGATTTATTCATCTCGAATCTAAGACTTTAGGGTCACCACGCCTTCATCACACTTCGTTAGCCACAACTGTCACACCCTCCTGCGGAGGGAAGCCCCTTTGGGGCTTAGCGTGGCCCTGGTCACGTGTCCATAGCAATGGGTGGTCTACGAATCCAAGGCAAGCTAAGTATTGGTACTAGTACTATTCGTTCAGCGCTAAGGTTTCATAACCTTTGTTACCAGTAGATTACTACGTACTGGTACTACTAGTACCCTCTCTCAGGATCTATCCCTCAGATGCTACTAGTATCTTCCGGATTGCATTTGAACCTCTATAATATCGCGACCGGGTCGTCCTCACTGAAGATCTAGTTCCTCTAGCACCAGTTTGGATTATACGCTCGGTGTTCCGACAGAGATCATCCTCTCCTCCCCCTCTGCCGCCACCATAGATTCTCCGCGAAATGGAAGATGACCCTGGCGCCGCGGATGATGAGAGGATCATCGAACTTTCATCTATCGCGGCAATCTTTCCTGAGATAGTTCTCGATCGTAATTCGCCCTATCAAGCTTCCTTAGATATTTCTGTCTCACCAGCTGCGCCACTGAAGATTTGCTTTCAGCACCTTACCGAAACCTCTCTCCTCAATCTTCCTACACCTCCTACCTCGACAGAGCCGGACACAGAAGATTTGGATGCGGCTCTGAAGGATGGCCCAAGGCAGAAGAACCAAGGGACCGCGGCTGTTCACGAACTGGTTCACCTTCCTTCACTAAACCTCAAAATATGTCTGCCTGAAGGATACCCCGCCGAGACAGCTCCTGTCTTTGAGCTCTCGTCCTGTCCCGCTTGGATACCTGAAACCACGTTACAGCGTTTGACCAGAGATGGCGTGAGGCTATGGGAGGAACTGGGAAGAGATCAGGTCATCTTCACGTATATCGACCATCTGCAACAAGCTGCCGAAGCAGGCTTCGATCTAGCTAAGGACCTGGGACGAGAATTTACCCTGTCAGGTGAACTCGAGATTGCTCTTCTGGATTACGATCTGAAGTCAAAGCGTGAAGTGTTCGAAAAGGAGACTTTCGACTGCGGTATATGCCTGGAGCCCAAGAAGGGTGCTGTTTGCCACCGGCTTCTGCTCTGCTCACACGTTTTCTGCGTTGAATGCTTACAAGAGTGTTATAAAAAGTGCATTGCTGAAGGAGATGTAGACAATGTGAAATGCTTAGATCCTGGATGCGGAAAGGACACCAACCCACTTCCACCAAACGAGCAAGCTCACCAAGGACGGACGGCAGCAAGACGGAGAAGAAGACAAGATCCAACGCTGAGCCCAAGTGAGCTCTTACAGATACCCCTCGCCGAGGAAGTCGTGCAACGCTATGTGCACCTTAAACGCAAGAAGAAACTTGAGTCGGATAAGAACACCGTGTACTGTCCTCGACAGTGGTGCCAGGGTGCTGCTCGGTCCAAGAAATACCCTAAACCGATCGATCCCATGCACGACGCTGCAGATGTCACATCAGACTCGGATGAAGATCCCCAGGACACTTCAAATAAAGGTTCTAAGGAATCAAAGACCCAGGAGATACCGATGTCTGAGCGCCTGTGCATATGTGAAGACTGCAGCTATGCATTCTGTTCTGTCTGCAAAAAGGGCTGGCATGGCGAATTGACTTCTTACAGCCTGTGCAACCCTCGTTCTGAAAAGGAGCTCACCGAAGAGGAAAAAGCAACCGCGGAATACCTTGCGCTACATTCGACGCCATGTCCAACTTGCTCTGCCCCTTGTCAAAAGACAATGGGATGCAACCATATGATTTGCTTCAAATGTCGCACTCACTTCTGCTATCTCTGCAGCAGCTACCTCATGGAGTCCAACCCTTATCAACACTTTAATGACAAGCACAATCAATGCTATATGCGCCTCTGGGAGTTGGAAGACGGGGACGATGAAAACGCGCAAGTTGTTGCATGGGACATACCGCCAGACGGGCTAGCCTTCGACTCTGACTCCGACGACGACGATCTTTCTGATGATGATGATGACGAGAGAGACATCAATTGGTTTGAGCGAAACCCTTTACGTCGTGATGATGACGATGCTGCACACTTCTCGGACGAAGAGGAGATTGGCCAAGAGCCTGTGCAAAGAGGCAGAGAGCGTCTTGCGGCTCCAGCGGACGTGCGGATTGAAATTGTCAATTTCGCACGTCAAGGGATTGCAAACCAGCAAATCGTGCAAGTTCCCCATCAAGGTCCGCCTCCACCGGCACCAGCTCCACCACGCCTTGGCGGCGGAGCACGCCAACCGTGGTGGCCAACCACTACCTCAACCTCGAAACCGAAATCCAAATCAGAACCAGGCTCGGGGCCGTGGCCGAGGTCGAGGTGGCGGACGTGCCCCTCCACCACCACGTGCGGCTGCCCCCGAACCAGCACGTGAACGACGATTTCCTATCCACCCGGCCCCACCATCCGAGAATGAAAGCGACAGTTCCGACACCGAAGACGAAGTCCCCATTCGCTTCCCCCGTGGCGCCGCCCCAGCACCCGCACCGGGTCAAGGCAACGATGGCCAGCAGCAACCCGCCATGCTACGCCACATGGGTATTGACCGCTTCCTGGCATTGGCAGAACAGGATCAGGAAGACGAGTGGGATAGCGATGAGCTTGAGGAGGAGGTGTTGGATGTGGTGGAAGAGCGGAGGAGGAGGGCGGCCAACAGGCGGATCTGGGGTTGAGCTACGAATGCGATATGATTAACTATGATTAACGTGCACGATGGAACAAAATAGAAATCAAGGACATAGCGAGGGCGTTTTGGTTTTGTGTGCATAGCATAAGCGGATCGGTGGGTATGCGTGGAACAAATGGTTTCAGATATTATTGCACCTGAGCATACCATAATGAGCACATATCTCACATTCAATACATATCCACAATCAGCGCGTCTATCTTTTAAGTGCTAACCTCTCCATACTCATGCCCTCCACTCGAACCCGATCTATGGGCGAGATGAGAACTAGGTAACCCCTCGACCGCGCATCCTCTAAGTTACAGGTGTTGAGAAAGCGTCGCTTGACTCGACGCCTGATCCGGGCGCTGTGGAGCATTCACAGGATGGCGGCGTTGGTTGGAGGGGAACAGAGGCACCGACAGCCATGCTCAGTGATGACTGCTGTGAAGATATCTGTGCGGCAGCACGAAGGACGGTCTTGGTTTCTTGGGTTTTGGTTCTTTTAATTCCGTAGTTTTGAGACCTCGCAGCAGCTGCGACCGCATGGTCGTTGTTTGGGTGAGCCCCGGTAAGCTCGTGACCAGCAAAGATTTTCCTGCCTGAGACATAGGCCGATATGCAGTCTCCGGTGCGGCACACGCTGCTGCTGCTGATAATGATGCTGCTGCTGCTGCTCATGACGAAGCCGTGAACTGGTCCGCCTTCCTCCTAGCCTCAGCCAGCAAGGCGCGCATCTCCCTCCCATCATCCGCCTGCAAGCCGGGCTCACAGTCGAGGCCCCTCTCCAACCACTGCGCCGCCTCGGCATACCTAGCCATCTCGAGCAGACACTTCCCACCGCGCCACCACACCTTTCCCTTCTCGCCCTGCGGCCGCTTACACTCGACGCTGGCCTCGCAGTCCTTGCAGCCCTCGACCCAGTCGCGGACGCCCATGTGCGCCTGGGCGCGATCGCGGTACAGGCCGCTCAGCTCGTCGCGGATCAGCGCGACCGGCTCCCAGGACGGCCGGCTCGCGGCCATGTCGATGGCAAACGTGTACAGGCGGATCGACTCCGCGAACTGCGATTTCCGGAACGCAGTCGAGGCCGCCTCGCGCAGTTTGGTGATCTGCGCGGTGCGTTTTTGCGTCGGCAGGTTGGTGGGGAGCGGGTGCGGCGGGATGGAGTTGGGCGTGTCGAGGGTCTTGAGCACGCCGTGGAGTTGGTTGACGGTGCTGAGGGCGGCTTGGAGCGAGGTGTCGGGAGAGGATGAGGCGGTGGCGGAGGGGTGGAGGGAGAGCGTTTTGGTGGCCGGGTCGATCTGCAGGGGTAGGTGGGTGTAGGTGTCGAGATCGATGTCGCTGGCGGCTGTTGTGGCCATGGTGGTCTAGTTTTGGTAGCTTTGGCAGCTTTGGCAGCCCTGGAAGATGGTGCGCTGTGTGTAGTGAATCGAGTGGACTAGGATTGCGTTTGGATTCGGAAAAGCGCGTTGGCAGGATGGATCAGTCACCATGGATTGTAGTGGTCGAGATATTCTAGGAGAAGGGAAGAGGGAAAGGGAAAGGGAAAGGAAAAAGGTGGTGTTAGCGATTCAGATCGCCTTACATAATCTACAATGTCGGAGTCAGAGTCGAGATCATGGAGACAATTGAAGTCACGCATTATACTCCGTATACCTATACCGGCATGTGTTGCCCATGAGCTGGCCATGAGCAAAAGAGTATCAGCATAGCAACAAGACAAGATTGCATAAGCCATCTACTCTGTCCCGTTAAGGATAGCAGTACCATCACATTGTACAAAGCTGACTACGAAAAGCCGCCTTTGAACCCTGGAAATGCTTCTACACACAAATCGTTTAATGGTTTCCTTGTCATCATGTCTGACTCTCCCACTCCCAGTCCTTCCTCGTGACTTACAACCTACAATCATGAATGCTCTCCCGAGAGGTCCTGGGATCCCTCTCTGTAGGTCTACACGAAATCATACCTTCTGTGAAACCATCCCAACCTGATTGTTGGTGTCCGATTGCCTCTTCGAGGGCTTTCGAATCTTCTTCCTGCCCGGCCGAATGATTCTTTTCCATCCCATCCATGGAGTGTTGATTGGACTGTGGCCAGTATAAATCAAAGTATCGTACAGGAACCCACCAAAAGTACATCCCAAAAACGGTGCAACCATGGGTATCTAGCGAGTTCAGTACCAGAGCGATAAGCACGTCCACAGTACGTACCCAGAAGTAATAATTTCCAGCCGACCATACCTCGTGTCCATAGCCAACAAAATAAGTAAATAAACGTGGTCCGAAATCTCGCGCAAGATTGATAGCATAACCTGTCTCCCAGCCGAGGGTAGCACCAAGGCCAAAGACCAAGAAGAAGAGACCCAAAGGGACGAGATTTCCAGCACCTAGATTGGCGTCGTCCTTCAGGGCGAAGATCACCAGGACCAGCATGGCGCTTGCAATGAACTCTGAGAAGAACATTCCTGTCGTGGTGAGAAAGGGTTGGGGGTAGGTGCAAAAGACTCCAGCGGTTGCGGTGTCTGAATATCCTGGTACTGTTCTGATGTTGGTGCCACCCTCGTACTGATCGATAGCAGATTTGTAGTTCCCGTAGATGACAGCCTAGGTTGGGTGAGCATCTCGAATACCATTTTAGAGCACAAGGGCAGGAGACTTACCGCACCACAGAAGCAGCCAGCCACCTGTGCAAATGCATATGCTGGCAGTTTTCTCCATGGAAAGCCACGAAACACACAGTTGACGAAAGTTATGGCAGGGTTGAGGTGACCGCCAGAACAGCCAGCAACGTAGATGCCCAGCATAACCCCCAAACCCCAGCTTCGATGTTTATTAGCCTTGCGGAAGCTCATAGAGAAATCGAAGCGCACCCCCAAGAAATTGATTGATACTCTCCCTTGTTTTGTGCCGAGAGAGGAAGATTTGGATTCTGGCTCAGCACAACCTGCGCCACAGATCCATCACCAAAGACGATCATGGTGAACGTTCCCAGAAACTCCGCAGCTGGGTCCCGAACGTGATGTCGCATCCTGCTCCACCAGAGGTTGGACTGGTGCTTGTAATCCTCCTCGCACTGCTCCTCGGCGAACCCATCGTCGATAGACGGATCATGTTCGGCATGCGGACGCCAGGCAGCTTCGACGTGGGAGATTGATGGGCCCCCACTCAGTGGAGGTGAGCTTGAAGAGCTTTCTCCTTCGGCAATATCAAATTCTTTGCTCTCTAGTGTTCCTGTGGTTCTGTGTGGCGCATCCATCATTCCAAGCACACCCAAAAAAAGGAGAGACCACGCATGAGGTAGAATACTATAAATGGGAAGGAGTATAGGAGGAGAGTCGAACAGGATTCGAGCACAACAGTAATGAGATGGAGGGGAAGGGTATGGTAACACGAGGATCGTCCATCCTTGCAGCACAAATGTTACGGAAAGTCACCCTCGGCATTAAGAGGGGTCCCATGTAGCGAAGGGCTCGTGTAGGGATCCATTGTGTACTGTTCCGTTTTAGGGAGATCCTCCGTATGGGACATTTGGTGAAAGCAATGATGGCCCTTGATAGCGGAATGTCATTGCAATTGCTAGGCCGCCGCAAAAGGAAAACGCCACGTTTATGCGAGTATTAAGTACCAATCGGCAAAGGCATAGGAGCCTTGATAGTAGTTAGTCAAAATTTGCCGATTCGATGGCAGAAAGATGGTGGTGGGTGACAGTGTATTGTACCCTACGGGTAGTATTTAAGTACCCCAGACTCGGTTCCAGCGGCTGCTCTACGCCGCAACGCCACCCCCGAGCAGAGCCAACATCTCAAGAACAGAGGCGCTAGCATGACCTCCAGCTTACTCCCAGCCTACTCCCAGCCTACTCCCCGCTCACCCATGCAAAGTACGAGACGTGATACGGAAAACGCAGTGAACATCCATAACTTTTGATTAGCTACTATGAAGGCCTGTCGCAAGAGATAGCATCAAGCTCCACCAAAGCCCAGCAGACGCCACCCCGAAGCCCACCGTAAGCACCAGACCAGTTGCAGAAAGGGAGCCAGGACGATTGAGAGATGCTCGCATACTACTACCGCCATGATTAGGCCAAGAAGCCCATTCCCATCAGCATGAATCCGATCAAGCAAAGGCCTGCAGGCATTGCCGCTCCGGTCGAAGCTCCAGAAACCATTGTGTCTGTGGGGGTTGCGACTACCGCCAGCTTTGTATCTTCAGACCCGATACCTTTCGCAATGGCATCAGAGTGTGAGACCAAGGTTGCATCTGGAACACCGGTAGGCCCCACCTCTATCTCCTTGATATTATCAGTCGTGGAATTGAAGTTCGTTTGAGCCAGCGAGATTTGGTTGTTGTCCAGATCGTACACGACGTAGGCAGATCGCAAGAAGGTATCGCCTAGGACTGAGTAACTTCCTCCACTGGGCGCAACCCCAAAGATACAAGCTACTGTGCCATCGTTAAAGTGTAGATCTGCTCCATTAGGCCACTTGGATGGCAGTACGACCTCGTTGAACGGGACGGAGATTCTGATCCCACTGAATGTGAAGTCGATCGTCTTCTCTTCATTAGCGAGCGCGCATGGAACATAGGCGATAACAGAGCCTGCCCTCGAATCGGTGGCCGCATGAACCTGATTGTATATTGACTCAACAATATTGTCCGGGAGGTACATCAAGGTCGATCCTGAGTCCAGCAGCACCTGCGCTGGGAAGACCGACGGCGCAACGTTGACACCGTCCACAGAGATGCTATCTAGGCTGATAAGGAATGCGGAATATTGGCCAGCAAGTGTCAAGATCGGAACAGTTTGCAGAGAGCCGTGGTACTTGTCCGTGTTGACTCCACCAAAAAGAATTTGCCCCGTGTTTGCGCCGAGATCATTCAGCCACAAGCCTAGGAGCTGTTAGAGATCGAGACCCAACCGCTCTTGGACAAGATGATCAAGCTTACTGTATGCGTTGGATTTGATGAAACCCTCGTCGACCATACGCTGTGGTAGATTGTGGTAAGGACTTCCATGGCCGCGTCTAACCTGAACTTCATTGATAGCGTATCCTATCCCGAGCACACCTTCTGTCGAACTGGACCTCGTACCTACGCCAAATTGGAAATCGCTGATGCTCTGACCACCAATACTGATGGTATCGGTCACGTAGTCGCCCAGCGCTGCGCTACCGTCCACATAGCTGATATTGAATTTGTTGTTGACAAACTTGTAAGAGGAAGATGCTGTTGAGTCATAGGTGCCAGACACGTTGCATCTGTTAGACCTTGCCATACAGAGGCTGGACTGTGGCGAGTTGCACCAGAAATCACTGCTGCCGGTGTCAAGGTGCATTCTGAGGCCCTGGGGAGGCGTTCCGAGTGTGACATTGGCGAAGTAAAGATTGCGCTGGTTGTCAAGCGTCTGTGAGACTTGACGTTCGCCGAGACGGTGCCTGTCAGATTGTATGAAGTCGACCGAGTCGCTCCTTCGAATGTCAAGTCCGATGATGCCGAAACAACCACTAACCGCCAGACCAACCAGAGTCAGGACCACGAGCAGCATTTTCAGCTACGATGGCAAGGATAATATGAACGGGATTTGAGTGATACTGATGATGTAGAGATCAAAAGTGTGTAGAGAAAAGGTTGGAGGTTAGCTGGTAGGCAGGAGATGTAACGTTAAATACTGTCTTGTCAATGATGTCGGAAGTTACACCGCTGCAGCAAACAGCTCATTCACCATTATTTGAAATTCAGTTTAACCTTACTGCTGTCTGAGTGAATGAAATTGTTCGCAGTGGCACATGTTATTGTTTGCACAGCACTTACTTACTGCCCAAGCAAGGAGCTCAGGGGTTGTTGGAGGATCACAGTGGGAGAGTACAGCTTACCATAGTAGTACAGCAGTTCCTCAACATCTGAGGGTCAACAGAGGCCGCTTCATTGGGGCACTTCGTCCTCGTTGATCACAGGTATGTCGATGGGCAGAGAAAGCTCTCTTACATGGACTGGTGGCGACAAATTTCTCTTCTTGCCTACAGAACTACGAGGACCCGCCAAGCTCTGTTCGAGAAAACATACAGGCGTGCTCGCTCTAGTCATGTCTTCTATTCAGCATTCGGGTATCCTCATGGTTCTTTATTGCTCTAGGTGGCAGGGACTGCTTGACCAGAGAGATGTTGACGAGATTGACAGGCCACCTACATGAAGCTTTCACGTGGCGAAAGTCTAGCAATCCTTGACAATGATCTGCATCGGTTAAACGTCGGCCAATGGCCTACGTAGTACATATCAAACCGTCCACTTTATTCTTAGCCACAGCAGGCGGTTACAGGTCTGTAATGCCTCGAGATCACTGGACAGTTGAATTTGATTGCTCTTGTATGAAACATTTCCTCTAATCCTAATCATTTGGTGGCATAGTCCTCAAGGTACCTGACCAGCTTTTCTACATTGTCCAATGGCACGGCATTGTAGTTGCTGGCACGAATGCCTCCCACAGACCTATGTCCTTTCAGTCCTGTCAGGTTCAAAGTTTCTGCTCCCGCCAAGAACTCTTTCTCCTTCTCAGCATCGCCCCCAAGCACACGGAAACAGATATTCATACGACTCCTAACAGATTTGTCTGGTACGACTTGGTAAACCTGGGGATGCGACTCCAAGGTCGTATATAAGAGTTCCGCCTTCTTATTTGCAATCTCCTCCTGCCCTGAAACCTTTCGCTCTCCGAAAGTGTTGACCAGGTTCACCATAACTTGACTAGCAATCCAGAGATTGAAGATCGGCAGCGTGTTGTACAACGAGTTGTTTTTGGCGATCGTAGCATAATCAAGGACAATAGTACCGGGCAGCCCACCAATCTCAAGCTTGTGAAGTAATGCTGGAGGAGGCGTTGCAGTTTGAGGTGGTAACAATGACTTTTTGATGATAACAATTGTAATGCCCGTCACACCTACATTTTTTTGTGCCCCTCCCTGATTAGGCTTTAGTGGTGGGACTGAGAAAGGCTTGACGAAGCACTCACAAATATGACAGAATACTTGCTCACGTCAACCTTCCTGCTGAGGAAGTTCGAGCTCATATCAGCAACGACAATTCGCTCGTCTTCTTCGTTGTCGGCCCCTTGCGGTTCGAGACATTTGGGGAATGCTGGAAATTCGACTCCCTGAGGATTAATTAGCCATCAGTTTGTAATAGATCAAAGTTTAACATTCATCGACCGTCTCATTGTCGCACAGGTAGACAAACGCCGACCCCGTGCCTCCTTCTCGCTTGGTTGGTGTCAATGACCACGTTGCCTCCTCGGGGATTCTTCCGAACTTTCCGTTGTTTGCTTTCCGTGCATCAAGCGCAACATTGACATATTTAGTTCCGATCAGCCGTGCTGCTTCCTGTGAAGCCTTCAGAGACCAGGAACCAGTCACAAGATAGTCAACTTTTAATTCCTCTGTGACCTCCTTCCTGAGTCTCTCCAGGAGCTTGTCTTCGTCGTTTCCGAGGGCTTTTTCTGCCTTTCTCCTTCTTCTCTCCACCCAAACGCTGACTAGGTTGTGGACGACAGCGCTAAACTCACCACTTCCGCCTGCCTGCATAAACAAAATTTCATAGCCCTCTGGGATGTCGTATAATGTGGTCAGAGCGGATTTGGCTTCGGCAAGCACTGCATTGGCTGTGGGCGAGCGATGAGATATCTCCGCAAGACCCAGCCCGGTATTGTTGTAGTTGACAAAGGCCTTTCCGCCAGCTTCGATCACAGGAGTCGGCAAAGGAGCTGGGCCCGCCCCAAAATATGCAACCTCCTCTCTGGACGGCATCTTGTCGCTCTTCCAAATCCCGCCAATGAAGTAGTAGAAATCTTATCTTATCTAAGCCAGGTCGTCCGTCAATCTCTAAATGGAGATTAAACAGAGAGGACTTCAAGCGGCGACGGTTGGAAATATAAAAAACTTTTCAAGGCCGCTTTATCTTTTGTGGCCTAAAGCTACTCGTTAGATTGATGGCGCAATTGTTAAATGAGCGGACTAGTTAGGTGAAATCTTGGCACGTTTGCCTACTAGAATTCATCACCTCCTGAATCTCTCCAATCCTAACTCCAAGACTTGCTCACAAAGGTTGGCACACAGGCTCAGCAGCTCCTGGTCACTAGAAGGCTCAGCATGGTGCTACGCATACCAGTGGGTCTTGTGGGCCGTTTACAAAGGTCGGTGATGCGCGATCTGTTGGTCTCGAAGAGAATCCGAGTTTCCTGGCCGCGCAGACCTCCCTTTTCCACCACTGATCAGTCAAGATTGTTGGTTTCTTCTTCATCCTGTTCACAGGATGTGTTCACGCCCAACTCGAAGACCCTACATCATCCGCCATTCTATCTTTCTTAAAAACCTCAAGCACTATAACCCAAACCCCTTACAGAAAATCGTTCAACAGTATGCAGTCGGCTTGGCGAGAGATAAATTTGTCAAGACAGGAGGCTATGTAACAATTTCACCACACCGGTGTATAACGCACGATCATTCATAGCTAGTGGCTACCAATTTTATATCAATGGTGCTTCCAGACAAAGATCCTAGGCAGATAGTGATGACTCTGGAACATGATGTGCAGAACAAGTCTGAGAAGAACCTCACCAAGTATCGTCAGATTGAGGAATTTGCAAAGCAACAAGGTGTGGACTTCTATCCGGCGGGGAGGGGTATAGCACATCAAATTATGGTCGAGGAAGGCTACGCCTGGCCTGGGACCCTTGCAGTCGTCAGCGATAGTCATAACACCATGTACGGTGCCACTGCCTGTCTCGCAACTCCAGTTCTTGGCAAGGCGTAATCAGTGAAGAGGGTGATGGCGTTAAAGAAAATGACAGAATGATTACCGCGGAGCAAGCACTCGAAAAGATCATCGGTCAGCTCGACAATATGGTGGAGGTTGCAGAGCAAACTTTGGGAAGCAAAGTGAGCAAAAATACTACGGAGCTTCATCCTGGCTTTCCAGAGAAAGTTGCTGGTGAAATCGTCTTCTGCGATGCTGACAACATCAACACCGACGGAATTCACCATGGCAAATACACGTACCAGGATAATGTTCCAGTCGACACTATGGCAAAACTATGCATAGAGAATTATGATCCCAAGTTTTCAGGTCTCGCCAAAGAAGGTGACATCCTAGTAGCCGGTTCTTCCAATTTGGTTCCGGCAGTCCACGAGAGCAGGGGGCGACGACCATCTTGGCAAAGATGATGCCTCTAACAGTGGTGGCTGGCAGCTTTGGAAACATTTTCTTGCGTAACAGTATCAACAATGCACTCATGGGCCTGGAAGTGCCAAAGCTGGTCCACAGGTTATGGGAAACTTCCTCTGACAAAGCAGCGCCAGCAAGGAACGAAGAGATTTTCGAACCAAAACAAAATCGGCAGAGCCTTGATTCGCCACCACCTGCTCCCACAAACACGCGGAAAAGGTCCTCTGGGATGTGAAGAAGAGTCAGATTGAGGTAGAGGAAGGCGAGAGCGGTAGAAAGTGGGTAGAAAGTGGGTAGAAAAGGTTAGCGAGTTACCACCAAATGTGCAGGAAATCATTACCCAGGGTGGGTTGGAGAAATGGGTGAGGAAAGAGATCGGGTCAGCTTGATCGTTTAACTGGATGACATGCATTGTGGTGGAATCGATCAGGCATACCTGGCTGGTCAAATCTCCTCCACCAACGTGCAGCCAGCTCCCAATCTACGGTGACCGGAAGATCATTTAGTATCCTGCACCGAATCTCGACCGCGCCTTGGCACCGAGGTAGGTTGGCCGTTCTTGCTGACTCAAGGATTCTACTTTCCCTAGTTACATTCATTACTTGGACTTCCGGCAATGGCGAAATATTCCTGGTGTAATGTCACACGGAGGTTTCACTTATACCATGCAGGTGAGAACACTATCCCAGGTAGTAGGTCATTGAGCCTTCAGCGAGAAAAAGAGCTGGTAGAGCTGTTGACGTTTCTTGCCTCAGTTCAGGAAACCATGCCCTTGGAAGGAATCAGTCATATCGAACTTCAAGCTAAAATTGCTCTGTCTAGTTCCACGAGTTCAACAAACCCACGACACGGTTCCATCTGCTTCCTTTGAAGTCTAAGCCGGCCGCCGAAGGTCATGCTTGAGGTGGAGTATCGCATGTTGCTTCGCCGTTGACCTCCATAAAGCTGGCCGGTCAGGACTCTGGATGCTCATATTCCTCTCCATTTTCTCCATCTGCCGCACTAATCATCCTCGGATCGATACGCGCTACATCTACCATTCCACCAAAAGGACAGCGCTTTTAGGTTTCGAACCTAACTAGTAGATGTAGTTTTCAGTGGCACACTTACCCGCCAGACGATCTAAAAATCCGATCCTCTCTCTAAACTCCCGCTCCAAGACGTCTTGGCAAAATCTTCTTTAAGGTCCAGGTCTTTGTGCCGCAGGTGATTACCCGATGTAGTAAACGCCAAATACCCTTCTTGTTTGTACCGGGCCAACTTCTGTCGTGATTGACGGCGTAGACGAGATCGACGCGATAGAGCGTTGTCGAATTTCAGCTTTAGCAACTCGAAAGGGACGCCAGGTAAATATGTCACATCTCGAGGTCGCCATCGCCCCCGGCGAGGACTTTGAATATGATTTCCGAGGGGCGACTCGAGACATTGAGAAGCAGGAAGCGAAAGCTTTCACTGATTATCTCTTTTCCTCCCCTTCCACATGCCCTAATGTGAGCGATCAAGAATGACACGTGACATATCCCTTTGCCATTTAGAATTTTCCCGAGTTACTGCACTTTCCTTGGGGGGAGCTGTCCCTGAAGAAAGACACAGCCAAAGAGGCATTGCTGCAACGCCGCCAGTTTGGTCTTATCTGTCTCCCTTAGACGAGCATAAACACTCAAGGCTGTGAGTGCTGCTAAGCACGGCAAGGTTCGTTTTTGGGAAGCAAGTTGAATACAAGATGAAGTGTGGATGCGCAAAGTCGGTCTTTCGATGCCACGTGACGCAGGCACGTAGTAGTGGGGCAAATGATGCTGCTCGACATTTGAAGCCGGCAATGCTCGATTCAGTCAATGTCTTGCGACGAAATTTAAATCCATGGAACCCTCGTTCATAGGCATTGAAGCTGAGAGCTTCGCATGCTCATCCGTAGTGGGTCTAGGAAGGTGAACATATTATGCTTGTCTTATCCATACGATTTGCTCCCGCTAGATGACAATGTTTGCGTCCGAGAACCGCACGATCGACGACCTCAACAGCTGCGCTCGATTGTACTGCTAAGCCGTTTTCATTTTCGTGCTCCGAGTTCTTAAATAAGGCCAAAGATTCTATGGCATGTGCATTGTTTGAATGAATCTGTTGCAGGAGCATAGGAGGGGCATAGCAGGAGCGCTTGGCTGGCGCTGCTTGGCACTACTTGCTATTTATCTCATCCCAACTTGTACGTAGAACTTAGCTTCTTCATCTACTACTACTACACCAAAATCATACTCATACTCATGCCATTCAACAGAATCGTTCCGAACTGCAAATTTGCTCTCTATATCTAGATGACTACGCAGTGGCTGGTTACGTTATAACTTTCTGGTCCGTGATATCATACCGCTTACCCCCCTTATCACCTCGGATCGCCGCCATCGGATCCATGAACTCGACAAAACCGAGGAAAGGTTGGCTTTGAGCATAGCCGCATACGGTCAGCTCCTCGTCTGACCATTTGGCGGCCTGTTCAGTCGGAATAGTGAGGTATTGGTTTTCACCCTGTGTTCAGAGAGACTCTGTATTAGCCACCAGCCTCAGATGGCCCAGAATACATAGCCACACTTACAGTTCGCAAAATCCCTCTATTCATAAAGGTGGCGAAGACTAGTCTTTCTTCATCCTGGCTCATGTTGGCAGACCCGGCGTGGTAAACAGATGAAAACATAATCAAGGCATCACCTGGCTCCATCTCCGCATAGAGTGCGTTTTCCTCATTGGGCTTCTCCTCGTTCGCCTCGAGATGCGAACCAGGGCAGAAACGGGTGGCTCCGTTCTCTTTCGTAGTCTTGGTACCAGCCAGGAACATGGAGATGCTGACCTCACGCTCAAAGGTATACTTGTCGGCGGTTATGCGAGGGTTTTTCAAATGGTGAGCCATGCTGTCTCGATGCAGCCCTTGTGCGGTCGCTCCAGGGCAGACTCGAAAGCACACGGTGCCGCCCAACACAGGGCGCGAGACGCTTTCGGCTTTGATATCACCGAACCATGCTGATGATGTGATGCTCAACGTCTCGTCCGAAAGAGCGAGCCATAGCGGATTCATGACCACTTTCTTGCGGAAGGTCTCAGACTTTGATACGATACCGCACAGACGCTTCGTCTGAGGAGGAAAGCATACACCATCCCATGGAGTGTCGTCGTCGAGGTGGGGCCTCATTTCCTGAACCACGGTATCCATGTCATCCTTGCTGATCAAGTTGCGTACATAGACGACGCCGTTCCGCTTCATAGAGCTAGACAGCTCCTGGGCGTTGGTAGACGAGGCATCAAAAGAATCGACTCGTGCAGCCGGGTCACCGACTTTGCCATTTAGGACGGCCGGGACGACTGGCTCGACTGCGACTGGGGCCATTGCAATAGATACAAATCGTGAGGGGGGCTGATGTAGTAGGTTGGTGTCAGATTGTAGAAAATCGCAAAGCCGTCGTATGAGTAGTAATCAGACTTATACTTATAGGAAAATACACCCCACCATTTAATATGTTTTGTGCCACCTTCAGCTTACCTGAGTCAGCCTACCTGATTCAGCCATGAGCTGAGTATTGTCAGTCTTAACGTTTCTGGCTTTCTTGGCACGTAAGCTGACTCTGGACTTCTTGTTCCCCCTCTCTCAAATTACTGTGCATTGCGAAAGTGTTGCGAATCCTTGGCGTTACATCCAGAATTGCTGGCGCCGCTGCTGCTCTGGTCGTTCATACCGAACTTCACAACTATCAAGTAGGATGAAGTAAAATCTATATCATGTTGTAGCTGCAGACCAGTAGATCTTGATGTTAGCTGATTGCTCGAGTTTCAAAGTCTTCACATAATTGATCGAGCTTGTATCGTTTTGTATGTAGAATATCAAATTCTGAAAAGGGAGCATTAGATTCTAAAATCTATATCTAAAGAATCAGACGAAGCTGAGTATCATTTTAATGTAGAGTGTATCTAGTAAACTTATCTATTTAGTCCTCACGAGCCGTTTCTGTTTGACGGAGCGGCGCCAGCAATTGTTAATGTAACGCTAAGTTGCCGCAAGAGATCCGCAATGCACAGTACTTCTAATAAGACAGCAATAACGGCCAACCCAGCTGGGTGCCAAGACGCGGTCAAGATTTGGGTGCGAATACCAGCGAATACCGTATTAACCTGCACCGAATCTTGACCTCTCCCAATTCCATTTCCACTTTGAGACCTGAGCACACGGGACTGTAGCCTGAGCGATGAATAAGCAGCCCTGAGCTGTGGCTGATTGTACTGTCCGCAGACATTCCGAGATTGTACGTACCCGAAGGGTACGTACTAATCTCCTGTTCCATGGTACCGGCCAGGGGAGCGACGTGCCGTACGAATGCCCCTCATCGGCGGCATAGTAATCCGACGGCAAGAGTTCCGTTTGCCGCTGTGGATATGCCATTGGCGCTGCCACCCGAGCACGTGGCTGGTCACGTGTATCTCCTGCGCCATGGCAGAGGAAATGCTCCATCCATCACTTTTTAATTTAGAGACATTATTACTATTTTTAATTATTATTTCAATTTTGAAATAATTACCCCTAGTAAATAATATAGTCCAATAAATACGAGTAATAACATTATTGCAAACAAAAAGCATCAAAAGATAAAACGAATTTGGTGTTCCTCTTGCCAAGGCTGCGGCTGAATTATTGCGTCTCGTCAAGGGAAAGGCTCCTCAACAAGGAAGTCAGCCCATGCGCGGGCACAGCCTGTGAGACTGGGGACATGGTCCGGAGGTCCCGTCAACAGGGGGTGAAGAAATTGAGGGCACCACAATTTGCGCCGAAATTTAGCCGGAATGAATCAACAACTCAACAACGAATTTCTACGCGAATTTATGGCATCAATTCAACAAAATGAGTCCTCCTATTACTCCTACAAGGGCTACTAAGCGCAAGGAAGCTGATACAGTCAAAAAATCTTGATTTTTCGAAGCATACGACTCACAAACGCGCGGCGAAGATTCTCTAGAATCTCTTGCTACTAAACATGGCATCGCAAAACGAACAGCTTACAAATGGCTAAAAAAGCGTCAAATTCAAGGATCTCCTGCCTATCGAAAAAGCCGAAAGCTCTCAAAACGACTTGGTCGACAGCCAAAGCTTACAGATGAGCAACTTCAACGTCTTTTGTCCCCTTCAAACCCTATTCGAAATCAACATTATGAGCATCAAATTGAGCATTTTGGACTCTCTTGTACTGTTCGTACACTTCAATTAGCTCTTCAAGATCGCAAAAACCATGCTTAGCGATATAAATCAGTACAAATAAAACAGCTTTCAAAAAATAATAAAGAGAAACGAAAGAAGTATAGAAAGGAATACCAAAACAAGAGCATTGAGGACTATTAGGCCAATATTTATTTTACAGATGAAGCTTATATAGATCCGTCAGAGGTCTTTCAACAATATATTCTACGAGAGAAGGGCACTCGCTATGAACCAGAAAATATACAAGAACTACCTGAAAAAAAGGGTACAAAGCTTCATATCGCAGCTTGGATCAATTGGCATTCAAAGGCTGAAAAGTTAGAGTTCTATAATGACGAAAACGATCATCTTGAGCCTCCAAAGAGACCTAGCAAGCCGCGAAAGAGAAGATACGAAACAGAAGAATATTTTTAACAGCGAATAGTTGATTAGGAGGCTAATTTGCCGCATCAAGTTGAGATGAAATCAAAAGGCAATTTGATGACCCAGAAATACTATACTGAGCGCCTGTTACCTATCTATATCAAGGTTATTCAAGAGGCACGAATTTCTCGAAATCAAGATGCTATTTTACAGGAGGATAACGATCCTTCTCACGGCACACGGTCTGAGCTCAATGTTGCTAAACAGCTTAAGGATAACAATTGGATCACAGTACTTGTTCATCCAGCACAATCGCCAGATTTAAACCCTATTGAGGGTATTTGGGCTATCCTAAAACAGCGAATTCGAAGACGAAAGTGGGATAATCTTGATCAACTGAAAGAGGTCTTGCAAGACGAATGGAGCAAAATTACAATGCAGGAGGTTCAAGCGCGTATTGCTGAGATGCCCTCTCGATGTAGAGCTCTAGCAAATTCGGATGGGAAGGCCATAAGGTCATCGTTGTGGTGATATAGCAATGAGTTTGTACATAGGAGTAGCAATTGCCTATTTCGGCTAAATTTCGGCGCAAATTGTGGTGCCCTCAATTTCTTCACCCCCTGTTGCCGTCGTCAAGGCCGGGGGCCAAGATGCCTCTTGACTTTTGCCTTGACCTTTGAGATATAGTATGAAGGTCGCAGCAACATCTCCATGGAGTCAATAGCTGGACCTGGTGAACGGCTTTGTCTTCTTACCCTCCGAGTCTGTGAATCGTCCACCTTCCACCGACCATGGCAGGCATCGGCGAAGCCACTGCCATCATCGCACTTGCCGAAACTGGCTTCAGCCTTGCGAGAGCAATCAATACTTACATCTCCGACGTGAGCGACGCCAAAGATGATATCCTGTCATTATCAAGTGACATCGATTCGACCTTCAGAAATCTGAGGGATCTTGCACACTTTATCGAAAGGAATGAGACAACCAAAGTCTGGTCGGATGATGGCGCTGCAAATGCCAGAAAATGTGTTCGCGACTCAGAGCTGGTCATCGTGAAGATGAGAAAGTTGTTGAAGAAAGCCACGGCATCCGACACGTCTCCAGAAGTTGAGCGCGATGAGATCGATGTTACAAAATTCCAGAAAGCCAAATGGCCTATTCTCAAGCCGGAGCTGGAGTGCGACGACGAGAGCTACAGATTATCAAACAGGATATCATTCTCGCCTACACTTCTTACAACGCGAAAGCTGCTCCCACCGCAGCTGACAGACAACGAGCTGTGGATGACCTTCCACGTCTTGAAAGAATTAGGAAGTTGATGAAGAGGCAAGTTGTAGATGCAAAGTGGCGGCGTCATGACCGACGATCCAAAGTGCCTGGGCAAAATCCCCATCCACAGAGCAAAGAACAGTATGGTGGGTTTTACGACCAACGAGGATATAGTGGCAGGAGCCTCTCTGACGATGAAGACGTGGAAGATGCTCTCAATGAGGTTATCTACAGCAATATCGAAGACTTGAAAATGGATTTTGAGGATTGGGCAAGGGAGAAGGAGGAGAAGCAGAAGAAGGCGGAAGAAGAGACCAAGAGGATACGAGATAAAGCCGTCGAGGATTGGAAAATAGAGAAGATGGTAGAGGTGGAACGGCAACGCCGCGAGGTGGAAGAGAATCGGCAAAAACTGAAACTGGAGCTCAGTCGGCACGAATTGCGTTTGGCACCTTTACAGATAGAGGAAACTTTGAACAATGTCTATCCATTGCCGCAGACAGGGAACGAACTAGCTCTGATGCCCTTAGGCAATCAACGCCAACCGTCCGATGCTGATGCTGTGTCGGTGCAGATATCCAGCAGCCGGAAGTCAAGAAGTTGGTCCGTATGGTCAAGATCGAGCAGAGTAGGGCGTCGAAAGAATACCCATACCAACGGCCGACATCGCGTCGAGATACCAGAACTGCTACGAGACCCTCTCGGAGCAGGTGGAGTCGCCGAACTAAAAGCCCTCTATCTCCAAAGGGTGTTTTACTCGCAAGGTCCGAATATTGAGGCGTTCAATGTGGAGATCCCTCCGCAGTGGCTGCTGCATGCCCTCGTTGCGAAAGAAGAGAAGTATCTGCAAGACCCGAAGGTTAACTCAATCTGGAAGGAACTCGCACAAATACCGGAGGACTACCGATACGCTATTAATGGCCATGCCGCTTCCGCGCAGCAGTCGTCCAGATATAATGAATCTTGGGTCCTGATTTACGTGGAATGCTTGAGCTTGGAGAAATCATCCTCAAGAATATCACGAAGGGCCCCAAAAGAAGTCACTGGCATATATATTGTGCTGAAGAAGGAATCCGGCAGCATGCAAGCTGCTGAAGATAATGATTATGATTCACCGCCGATCTCTCGTAGATTGAGGCAGCGTAGCCCCGAATACCATAGTAGTGACAGCGAAGAGGCGTTCTACACAACAATTCCTCGCAGAGCGTCGTCGGTGATAAGAACCGAGCATGAGTCGTTGTCAAAATCGAGATCTGATTCATATAGAAGAGACCATTCTCACATTGCAAAGAGGGCTAGCGGGGCTCGCAGCCGAAGCAGGTACGATGATCGAGATAATGATGGTGGAGAGGAGATACGACGGCATAGTAGTCGAACGCGATCTGGGTCTCGAAGAAAAGATTCCACGCCGTCCTTCATGATTAACGCCGACTATCCTATGGAATACAGCGATATGCCTCGGCAGATGTCCGAAAGGCAAAGCGCTTACCCTGCGCCGTACCCTGACATGCCAGCAGACAACGTCTATCCTCGCTATCCGACGCCTCCCCTCACCTCTCATCGTCCCCGCTCGGGCTCATACGACAATCAACGCGCCCGCTTCTCAGATCGACCTCCAAGCATCATAAACCCGACTCCCGAGCCCCCTTCGCGTCGCAGTACCTATGACTCCTGGGGTCGCCCCTCCCGCCGTAGCACCGTCGACTCCATGGACTCCATGGACTCCCGTTCGGGACCCAATAACGGGTATCATCACTATCACCACCACCATCCCCGCCACTATAGCTACCCGTCGCCCCCGCCGCGTCCGACGCGTTACGACCATGGTGGTGGCGGCAAGCAAGTCCTCTCCATCTACGACCGACTCTCGCCGCCACGCACCCATCTCAGCAACATTCAGGAGGTCATAAACGAGGACCTCCCCCGCGGTGATGGTGATTCCGATACGGCTACCCACTCAACTTTCTGCTCTTCCTCCGACAGTGAATTCAGCTATAGGCTAAGAGCTCTATCAGAGGCGGAAAAGGGAAAGGTCGTAATAGGAGAAACAGCAAAAACGGACGAGGAGATCAGCAGGGAGATTCTCGCAAGGTTGACGTCTGGTACTACTGCTACAGCTACTGAAGACGCAGAAGGGAAACCTGAGAGGGGGGGACAGGGACAGGAAGAAGGATCTTCGGTGCCAGACGTGGATACCCTGAGGTCGCCGTCAGCGATGGGTGCATTCGTGGTGGAGTTGTCTGAGGAACCTGCGGCCCAGGATCAAAGTGCAGGTGCGGATGCTGAGACTGGCGGAGTAGCTACCGATAGTAACAAACAATCTCGGTAGCAGACGGGAAGGGAGACGGGAAGACGGGAAACTGATTTAGAACCACTACTTTTTAGGGGTTTTATTGGTTATGGTCAAGCCAGGAAGTGTTGAGGGAAAAATATGAGACGCCTTTGACGTGGAATGAATACCAGCGAATAGGAGATAATCTGATTGAAAAGCTTGACAGGCATATTACTCGAAGGAATCTGTCGAGTCAAAATTCAGCGATCATATAATTTAGAAGATAATTTAAATTTATGTCCATCTCTATTTCTCCATTTCTCTCTCGCGTAATATGCCAATATATATAATAGCCTCGTCCGGACCCTCCCACTCATCTCATGGGAAAACCCGCCCCCGCCCTTCCCCTTCCCCTTTCCCTTCCAACTTCCCCTTCCTGATCCCGATGCTGATCACTTCATCCCCCGTAAACGTGGCACCTCACTGCTCTACCCCCCTAATTTCATCTCGACGCGGAAATCGGTTGGTTTCCTCCCATCAGATGACACGGGTTTTTCAAATTCAGTCTCAGTAGCACACATCCTGACCTTGACGCTTCATCCCTATATTCCACGCAACGGGGCTACCCTATTAGCGTCTTGGCTTTACGATTTTTAGGGACGTCGACAACGTAACCAGAATTACATTCCAGTTTGGGAATCAAATGATTTTCTTTCTGAGAAAGGAAATGGGAAGTTGCAGGGAAGTGCTTCTTTGGGCTGATTGAATTATCCACATCACTAAAATCTTTGGGGAAATAGTAACGCTAACGCTAACCCTTCGAAGATAGAACTCTTTCTGATTATGATTTCCACCACAGTACTTTCTACTGTAGCAGGAGACATTATCAAGGATGAAAACAGGGACCTTCTCAAGTAAGATATGTTAGAAGTTGGTGCAAAATAGCATACGGAGGTGCCAATTCACTTGATTGAGTTACTCCTATCAAGAGGAGCATTTGCTCATACTAATAGCTATAGAAGCGCATTACTGTAACAGCTCAGAAACAGCATTTGGCGTTCAATTCGTATAGCAATGCTCACTGCCATAAATAACAGGGCGTAACAGTTACAAGAGCGTTTCGTGCGTTTTGCATGCGGGGACCCTTGTACCATCATGCTAATACGTAACAGATACGTATCATATACGCAGGGGATTCTGACAAGATAATCCATGGAAAGAGTGTGAAGTAATTGTTATCTTATTCACCCTTTATTTTCAGTTGTGTGCCAAGAGTTTTCGTGCTACTTTTACGGGAGGCCTTCTCTTTAGAACATTGAAGCTGGACAAGTCTGCAAAATGAAGCACTTCAGAGCAAATCTTGACCTTTGAGGCATTTGCGACGGAAATAAGTAGTAAGGCTGCAAGGCGCACCCGAAGTTCAATGCTGCCGCTGAATGCTAAGCATTTTCTTGGACTTGACTCCAACTCGGCGAGACACCCCCCACGACGGGGACACGAGTGGCAGGTTCTTCAAACAAACTTCTTGAAATCACCTGTGAGGGCATTGAAGCCTGGACCCGGGGGCGACCAACTGGTTCCGTTCCACGCCTGATGCATCATGGAATTATCGCTGGCGAGGAGAACCATGTCGATCCAGTTAGGAGCCCAGCTGGAAAGGGCAGGCTTACTTGAGAAGCTTCCGCCATGCGAAGTCCAGGCAGTCCATTCCGACCCATTCCAGGCTCTATGATAGAGCGGGCCACTTTTGCCGTTCCCACCGAGTCCAAGAACATCAACACGATTCATCCCGAAAAATGAGGAAGTCACAGCCAAGACCGAGCTGATGAAATAGCCTCCGAGACTGCACCATTGGGCTGACCACACCCCCTTATCGTAGTATCTCTGCCACAAGGCATTATCGGAGCCTATTCCAAAGACATCCAACCGGCCAGGACCCCAGGAAACAACGGTTGGCGGACTGAGTCAGAGGTGACGCCCGTCGCCGAACCTCCACCTGAATTCCTCTCGGGACCAAAACAAAGGCATATCTGGCCTCTCTACTTCCCGATACTGAGGATGACACTGAAGAAGGATCATCAACATCACCTGCTTTCTCAAGATCCGCATCACCTGTCCATGTCAAGTCTGAGCGTACGCCATCACTGAAGATCTTCAGGATGCAGCGTTTCAAGATAGACACAGCCGAGAAGATCCGGGCTTTATAGAAGCTCTCTGAGAGCTTGAAAGATAGGGGGCATCATAAGCATAGAACAATTTATCTTCTTCTTGTTCTACTTTTCCTTCCACCACTCCAACCGTCCCTTTTTGGTATTTTACTTTCTTTCAGCAGTAGTCTAAGCAACCTTTGGGGATGCTCCTCTTCTCAATCTCCCTGGTCGCAGCCCTTACAGCATAGGGGCGGACAGCTCCTCTAGGGGGCTCTCTTGGTTCTACGAGCCGCCCTGCAAGCATTGCAAGAAGGAACACCTCAATCGCAGGCCCGGTCACCAAAAGCAATTTTCCCGATCCAGGAGTCATCCCGGTTGATGGAAACTACTATGCGTTTTCGACCAGCTCCATGGGGCTCCACTTGCCATGGGCGAGTACCGTAGGAGCTCAAACGCTGACCATCAACAGCGCGGACGCGCTTCCATCGCCCGGTGCTTGGGCCGAGGCAAGAGATATCTGGGCACCTGACGTGGTTGAACTGGTAGGTGTCCGAGAGCGATTCAGTTGAGACATCTGAGCTGACGAAAGAAGACCGTCGGCTCGTTCGTTATGTACTATAATGCCCCGCCTAAGGGCGATCCTGTGCTTCATTACGTTGGGGTAGCGACATCGGAATATGTAAGCGGGCCATACAAAGCTGTCGACAACTTTCGCTTGTCCCGTCAAACAAGGTGGCGCCATCGATGCCAGTGGTTACCAAGACCCAGTCACAAGACTTCGATACGTCGTCTACAAAGTTGATGGCAACGCCAAGGTAAAGGTGGCGACTGCGGAAACAGTATCGAGCCCATCGTATCAACACCGGTATTGCTCCAACAGGTCGGCTTGGATGGAGTGACGCCTATCGGCGATCCAATGCCCGTTCTAGACCGCGATGACAGTGACGGGCCTCTGGTAGAAGCACCTTCGATATACCAAAGCGCAGAAGGTATATACTTCCTCTTCTTCTCGTCCGGTTGCTACACCAGCCCGAGTTATGACATCAAGTATGCCACAGCCGCCGATATTGCGGGTCCTTACACCAAGGCTTCAAAGCCACTGCTCAAGTCTGGTGACGGACCGAATCTGAACGGGGTCGGTGGCGCCAGTGTTTCAGCGGACGGCAAAGTCATGATCTTCCATGCCAACCTGAGCCCTCGTGGTCGACCATTGTATAGAGGCATTTTCACTGCAAAGCCACGAGTTGATGGAAGGACGGTTACTATATAAGCTATATTCTAGGAAATTTGGGGCTCAATGATCGAATTTGAACATCTTTTGTGGAGGAAATTGTGTATCACATGGTTTGGTAACGATGTGCAGTTAGGGATAATCCTTGTAGAACAGATAACGATTTGGTGTACATAACTATGATCATTTCTGTGAACACCATTTAACGTGCTGCTTTAGTAGATTCCACAGAAGCTATCGGCCTTCGGATTACTCATTTCACATTTGATGTTGGAGAAGAGTCAATTTCAAGGTTGGAACAGTCTCTTTTTACTGCTTTGTAATACTAGCGACCCTTGTGTATGAGGCAATAGCTTTTCTTGCCTTGGTTTATCCCGCTAGGAGAACCTGCACTCAGCAGTATATGTTCGTAGCTCGGTGTCTCACTCAGACGGACAGATGCGCTTCTACGAAGGAGCATGTTGAGTTGTCAAGGGTACTCACCTCATATATATATGTCGCTTTTCGGCGAAAACTCTTCTCCTAGAACATCGGAACCCATAAACTTATTCGCCCATTCCTCAAAGATACTACTTTCGTGAAGAGAAAGGTCTTCGAACTGATCAGGACCCTGTTCCTTAGAAGGATCTTATCTCATTATGAAGCCCTCCGCTTATCTCCGTGCTGTTTCAGGGGCCTCGTCTCCCTGACTATGGCTGAAAGTGATTGCGTCCCAGCATTGCCGAAGATATGCCTTACGAGGGATCCGAATAACCTCAACCTCTTCATCTGGGGGCACTATCCTAAAGGAAGCAGACTTACGATTGAGCGTTCTTGGATCCACTTCCGGCAGAGCACGGAGAAAAGCCTGCTGAGGGCGTTGAGTTCTCCAAATACCAGTTCTGTTTTTGCCGGGACATTCTAGTTGCTCCTTTAGAGGAACATCCCAAGTTCTGGAGGGGAAGATATCTTAGAGTGTGTTCGGGTGTGTTGGGTGAAGCGGATGGTGAGCGGAAGCATACATAAAGCGAAATATTCCAGGCCAATGGAATAGGTTACAGAGTCCTAAAGGATGGCGGGATACCTTGTTTTGATACATGTCCCTTCCCTGGGTTCTGTTCATATGTAGGATTGTCTTCTAGTTAGGATACTTGGCGGGACAGACTCTGGATCAGCAATAGAGGTTTCGCCAGCAGTGTTTGAGAGTTCCTGATAGAGATAAAGATATGCTAGCAGTATTTGTTGTCATTATAAGCAAAGGAAAAGGAGGAGTTCAGACACCATGGAAATGCCGTGAGTACCCCAAACACGCATTGATTTTGTTAGGCAGAGTGGAGGCACTGTATTTGATACAGCGTAATTTAGCAACTGTCATGGTGACTGACAGTACAGTACAAGTGTCCCGGTAACATTTCACTCCGGAAAACTCTTCTCTCCGAACTCTCTACTCGGACTACAACGCTGTCATCATACCTCTGCAAAGGAGAGCACAATGGCCTTGACCTTTCATCTTACTGTGGCATGTGATACATCTCTTGTGATGATCGATTGCAGTAGCGTTCATTCAATGATCAGGCTTTGTTCACAATCACGAACTGAGGCTTGATGAACAATGGACTCATTGACTGACTTTAATTGACTGACTGTACGGCAATTTATCTGCTATTGAATACAGGTGCTCCCTTTGACTTGCATCCTTTAACAACTGGATACCTTTGGTAATCCAGTTAAACAACAGCTGGACAACTGAATACCTTTGGTGATTCAGCAACATAACAAGCTCGACGAACCATAAAGCAGGTCTAGAACAAGAGGCCACAAGAAACCATCAACAAATCATAAAGCAGGGATCGAGAAGGAAATCGGCAGTGGCGACCTTAGTCAAGCCACAAACAGGCTGTGAGAAATGTGATCTGCCCGCCACAGCACATCATTGAGCCTCCACAGAGTTCGGATTTTGCTCCACCAAACTCAACACACCCCACATCATTTCAGTTTGCGAGACTTCCTCGATGAATTGACCAGATCCTCATCGAAGGTACGGCCCAGCTCCGGTGTGACAATGTTTCGTTGAACGGGATAAGTAATTTGTTGACCGATCTCGTTTGTAGTCATCATCTGTTGCATACTTGCATTTGGTGCGCCTGGGTCGGGACTGATGCCAACATAGTACGCATTATTCTCAAGAGCATAACCGTTGGGGTTGATTTCCATCCAAGCATGATGGTTTCCATCCACATAGGTAGAGCCACTTTGCTGCTGCTGCGGCATGAGTGACGACTGTGCCTCCAACATCGAGCTACCTGGTAGTTGCCCATCATTTTCATAGGTCGAAGGCCCGCACATGAAGTCACCCTCGTTCGCATCATTGTCTGGCTGCAGACCTTCATAGGGGGACTGTGATCGAAGATCTCCGCCGTCATATACGTACCCAAAGGGTTGTTCGAACCGATAGGGCTGCGATGGCATCAACCCTCCTCCGTCTCTGCTGTTCTGACCGTATGGCTGGGCTGGGTGAAATTGTGGTTGGAATTCGTCAACTAGGAGGCCGCCTCCATAAGCCGGATTTGGTGGCTGAAAAGGTGCTCGTTGTGATTCTTCAAATGAATCCGTTGTTGCACTGAGCAGGTTAGGCATGGTATCGAAGAAACCCGCAAGATCGTTTCCATAACCGTTTTGTTCATCTTGACCTTGGGTACGCTCCGGTATCCCAGGTATGTCGACTCCATAATCGTTGTGTCCATCTCGACCTTGGGTACGCTCTGTTATCCCAGAAATGCCGACTGTACCTTGTTGGTCTGCAGGGTTCATGTAACGCTGGTGTGGTAGTTGCATGCCTTGAGCGTTTTGCATTTGACGCGGCTGATTTGGTGCATTAAATTGAGGCTGAGGATATGCTATATTGCCCATCATCTCGGACACGGCTGGATATTCCATTGCCGGCAGCTCTCCTGCTCGCACAGAGTGTCCAGGATATCCAGGTGCCAGGTGAACGTCCTCTTCGTCGACATTGAGGTGGCGTGTCATTCCTATGTGACCAGCACTTTCGACATTCGGATTTGACATCGATCCGGCTCTGTCTACCATGGGATCTGGATCAACATTCTGCTGTGGTTGCGCAGTGGTAGTGTTGTAGACGGCTTGCTTCCGTCTCGAACTGGACCTCCTGCTCTTTTTCGGTGCTTGTACAACAGTCACAACACCATTCGAGACCTGATCCAAGGCTGCCTTGATCTTCTTTGCTGGGTTGCTGGCCAATGTGCGTTCAACCTCTCGGTCCTTTTCTTCCCTCCTCTCGCCTTTGAGCGCTCGATGGTTACCCTTTGCAAGAAACTCTTTGGTCTCGCTTATAATCCTACTCATCGATTTCGTACCCTCTGCTGGAAGATCCTCGAGGTGACGAGTACTGTTTGGGTTTGCGATATTCGGGTTGCTGTTCATCTCGCTAATGAGGTACAGATCCCATTTCTTCGTCCAAGTGGACTTCATCCAAGAGAGACATCTTCCTTTGTCACGGAAAAGCTCTCTTCGGCGGACCAGGCGGTTGATGACTGCTCTGCTCTTGTACACATTGTGTTTGGGCTTGAATGGCATGCGCTGAATCAAGTCCTCGAATCGAAGGCTGGGATCATAACGGAACCATGCTTCCATGAGCCAGCCCTCGACTTTGGTGGAGATTGTGGTAGGAAGGTGAGCAAAGTCTCTCAAAGGTTTGTTGTTAATGACGTCAATGATGGTCCGCTGGACACCATCGATAGACACAGTGAAATTTGGTGGGTTGGTGGGGGGATAGGCATTGTCTGGCTTTTTGAACTCAAACAAAATTGTTGGTCGGTGTGCGCGATCTCCTCCCCAATATTTCTGTGCCGGAAGATACGAGGTACGATCATACTCATCACCATCGAGCTTACCGTCCTTTCTTGGGTGGGCTGCAAATCGTTATGTCAGCGCAGACGACCATCTTGCATAGGGAACTTACTGTACTGCTGACTACCTGCTGGACCATAGAGACGATCTTTGCTAAGAACTGTTCTCACAAGTTCATGGTGGTAGATGGCCGGGTCTAAGGATGTTAGCAGCTGATGTACTCCTAGAGGTGTCCTGATACTTACACCACTTGCCATTGTCCTTTACCTCAAGACCGGTATCTCCGTTGCGGACTTCGTTTTTGGTGATTGTCACGTTAACCTTGACCGCTTTTAAGGATTGTCAGCAGGGAGGGTGTTAACAGCTTGTGCTCAAGCACTCACCTGTCTCCTCGACCGCTGAGGTATCTTGATGCGTTGCAACACTTTTGGCTATGCCACTGACATTCCCTAGGTTGTCTTCCTGGTTGATGTGTTGGGTTTGGGTGTTGTTGACTGCAGAATCGGTCTGGTTGGTGGTACCATACTGTCCGGAAGAGTTAGTGTGAAAGTATTGCCAGGCAAGGAATTGTTGTCTTACCTCATCACCACCGAAATCATCTTCATCACGCTGCCGCTTTCTGCCAGCAAGAAAAGTTTCGTCGACATCAAATTCATCACGCTGTCGCTTTCTGCCAGCAAGAGGAGGGACGTTGTAGAAGGTCATTCCCTCGGGAGGCTCGAGAAAACCGCGAGGCTGTTGGGCCCCTTGGTCAGGCATCATGCCACCTGTTTGAGGCAGCCGAGAAGAATTGTTTAGTTCACGATTCTAAGGGCTCGGCGATTGAGAATGAGGATGAATATGAAAGGGTGAAAGTGGTCTAAGGTATCAAAAGCAACCGCTTTGGCTATCACGAAGAAGAACACTGCATGCGGCGTTCAAGGAAGAAGTGGTATTGGAATTTTTTGGGGGGAAAAGGTGCAGTTTGCAGAGGTCAATGTTATAAAGTGTCTGACCGCAAGATGGATCAACAGTACAAGCAATCTGTCTGCCAGCTTACTTGTTCGCCTGTCACCAAAAATTACGCTCTTGGGAACCATGCAGATTTTGTGTTGACAATTACTTGTTCGCCAGTCACAAATTACGCTTTTGGGAAGTGTATACAAGTGTTCGTACGTATCCTTGCAGGGGCAACAGGTGGGAACATAATGACCGAGATGAATGCACATAGAGGTGTATACAGCAAGCTCTAGAGACGTTTGAGCTCAAACGTGCTATTTGAATCTCTCAAGGGTTCCTAAGCTAGGAGAGTTGATAGCCTTTCAACACTATCTGTCAGTTTTACCTCAAAGTTCCAGCTGACGAAAATTGGACACCGGGCTGCCCGGTCAGAAATTTTGAGCTCCACGTCTGTCGAAGCCTTCACAAGACGATACATCTAAGACAGCAACAGCGGCTCATGGCCGTCTGGCATTGAGTATCTCTCATTGTTTCATACTTTTCTGAAAGAGAAGGAGTTGGATAGACCGTCAAGAACAACAGAGCCCGATATCATGACAACAGTCAAATACGAAAATTATCAAGCCAATTCAGGGGTTTCTGCAAGTTCAACATACAAGCTGAACTGGCAGCACAACGTTACCAGATCAGAAGAGGCTCAGAAGGCTTTTCTTGGCTTCTTTGTACTACACTCTCACAACCCACTACTGCACCCGTCTTTGGATCGCCTGACCTCCTCCATGGCCCTTTTTACACCAGTGTCCTGTCTTCCTGCATCAAAAGCAGGGAGCTCCAATAACAGTGAAAAGACACTGAACCTCAGCCCGGTTGGGCTAGGACAAGCACACTGCAAGTAACATTTCCCACTTGCATTCACTGTGGAAAAAGATTACACTATCCCTGGCTGCTTCGGGACGGGCTGGAAAGAGCAGGACGGAGTGAAATAAGAAACATATTTGTCTCTCCATCGTGAGACCCCAGATGGCCTGGTCTGCACTGGATCTCAGAATCAGGAAGAACTGGTCCTTCATGATTCATATCACAGAGCTAGCTGTGTTGCAGTCTATAGAAGAATTTTTCCAGCACAGAATGTGAAGTAGTACAATTCTATTCAGATCTCAACTTGCTAGATCCGTTGTAGCTGTCCTTGTCCTCTATCATACGGCTCTACTATAGCGTAGTCATAACGTCTTGTGGTCTAACATCTTAGGGAATAAAAGTCTCGTGGGAGAAATCGAAATCGTGTGGTGGAGTCATCTGTAGATGAATACTGCCTTTTTGACCCTTGTCTCTCTCTTGATCATTTGCGGCATAAGGTAAGGAGAAGGCTTGCTTAGGAACGATGCGTGAACCTCTACCCCTTCTTCCCATGCACCTATCGTCCAGGTACCACCTAGCACCAAACTCGCTCAATTCCTGACCTCCTCATCTCCCTTGCTCTCTCTCCCCAACCCAAACCTCTTCGCGATCTCCATGCCCATCGCCAGCGTGCCCACCCTGGCATCAATGGCCACGCCCTCCTCCCGCTCTAGCCTCCTCAGATCCTCCCAAAGCGACTCCAACGGCAACGAAAAACACTCGATAAACTCATTCTCCTCCAGCTCGGGCATCAGATTCTCTGCTCGATTCCTCGGATCCGCCATGTCGACCTGCACCGTCACCATCTGGGTGTTCGTGTTGCAGAAGCCGGGGTCGTTGTGCATTACGAATGACTCTGCGGTGTTGTTGTTGTCTGCCGGTGGCGTGGGTTCGGGGATGGTGGCGATGTAGCCGGTCTCCTCTTTGAGTTCGCGAAGGGCGCATTGAGAGGGGGTTTCGTTGGGATCGATCAGCCCGGAGGGGACTTCGACGGTGACGGTGTTGAGGGGGGGACGGAATTGTTTTTGCAGGAGCAGGGCCGGGCCGGTGGGGTGGTGGAGGATGGCGACGACGCCTACGCCGTCCGTTTGCGAGGTTGTGGGCCGGGTCTGCGAGGAAATGAAGAAGAGAAGGGAGGGTTAGTTGGGGAAAAGCCTGAGGTTGGAGGAGGGGGGGGAGGACGGTAGTTGTTGTTGTAGTACCTGGCGCTCGGCGGATTCCCAGCTTCGTGATCGGCCTATCGGATCGGTGTAGGTGATCTTGTTCAGTCGGATCCAGCGCGCTTCATCTGGTGGCTCGAGGGGAGGAGATCAGCTGCAGGCTCTGGCGTCGTTGCAAGGGACTGGTTACCATTGGCTCGACCGAGGTCACCTTTGCATCTTTCGGATTGGGCGCCATTCTGTGCAGTGTAGTTGACCAGTAGTGATTCCGGCAGATTGCAGAGGGAAGTCTAGACGCTCTATGCTGGACAAGAGCTGTTCGCACTGTCATACGGTATCGCATGCATTGGCTCGTTCAAGATATGCGTGATGTACTACGTAGTCCGGGGCGGGGAGCAGGCATTCCAGATTTGGTATAGCCCGATGCAGGTACAATCCTTTCTCAGCTCAACTCCCTTTCCAGTCATACGTAGTATGTAAACAGCTGCGGGACCAACAATTGAATCGGAGATCTTCTATACTGCCATACCGTGGTGGACACCCGTCTGAGAAAACTACTTCAAGCTACCTGAGCGCTTTTAGGATTATCTATAGTGCAGCACACGCGGGTACGTGAGCGAAGTGGGTTTGTGGAATGAATGGTCTTTGGGTACAGGATTCGCCTTATATTTGAGTGTGGTTCTCATGCTGGCAACCTGTCTCTGGTGATTGTTACATCTCTCCCCCAATGTGCCCAACAGGAAGTATGGATGCCAGCAATTCCAATCCTTCTCGCTCTTCCAACATCACCACCCCTGTGGCCAATTTGGGCTGCTCCTGAAACCACTGATTTTGCCGGTCCAAGGCAACAACGTAAGTACTGCAGGCAGGTCAAAGGGTGATAGGTCTGGTTTCCTGGCCAACTCGAATTTGTAGTATTCTTGCAGGCATCGTTGGTGTGCCTCCATGTATGACGCGTCTGGGCTCCACACCACATCCGCGTCCCAGCCCTTCTTTTTCAAGCGGAACAAGGTTGGCGTAAGTGCGGCACGGATGGCGAGTCGTTCCTCAGCAGTGCTTGGAAGGTGAAATCGACAATCCTCGGTGTTGCTGTTGTAGCTGGCTGGATCCTCTGACAAGGCGGGAAGAGTGTCTGATATCGAGTCGACACTCCGTCGTCTCGGCATCTTAGCACGTTTCAGGGTTGTCGGTGGAACACTGCCAGCAAGATGTTCTCGAAGCATTCTCTGCAATGCGGCGGTTCTTTGCTTGATCAGGCGAGGTGAATGTCGGCTCGGTGACAGCGACATGGGTCTGCGTCTCTTCCTCTTTCTTGACGCTTTCTTGGGCACGCTTTCTCCGTTGCCTTCATTCACCTTCTCGTCCTCGGCTTCGAGCAGTGGTCTTCCTTTGGCCAATGCATCTCCCAATTCAAGCTCGGCCTTTGTCTTATGCGTGGGGGAGGGGGTTACCGAGCCACCAAGATTACCTATCCGTGGTTGTGCATAATATCTCTGTGCAGCACTTGGAATCTGTCTTGTGGGGCCCGTAGAAAGATCTGCCATGCGAGCAGTCATAGAGAGTGCCATTGGCTCTGTGGCTGACGATGCCGGCATTGCTGAAAGGACGTTGCTGTTGGGGGGGTTGAAGCCTGGGTAAAGAAAGTCTGCTGGTTCAGATTCAAGTACAAGTACAGTATCAGGAACCAAAACTACTATGGACGGAAGTTCTAGGTGGTGCTTATGATAAAACACAGTTGTGGCAGCCTTCCGCGCCGGAAAGAACCAGAACAGCGGTGTTTGACTGTTTCAATATTCTAGCGGTGTTTGGACCAGACACCACAAGTTGGAAGTGTATCCCTTTATTAGGGCTCGATCTCATTTGTGTTCTTCTTTTATTTGTTTGCGCACATCCACCTTGGGCTTAACTACCAACAATCCTCCTATCGCTGTCGACTGGATAGCTTATCTCATCAGGATTTGAAAAGCGGTTCTCAAATATGGATAAATCCTCCACTCCAGCAAAGCCTCGACCAAAACGGGAGATGCAGGATGAAGTGTCTGATGCTGACGATGCTGGAACAAGCAACCCAACGCCAGGCGGAAGGAACAATCACGCACAGAAGAGAAGAGGTATGAATTCTCTTTCACCCTCATCCCCGACCCTGACACTCTTTCACTGACTCCTACACCCATAGTTCGCCGTGCACCAGCAAGCACCGAATTTGACATCCAGGATAGAGCGGGTCAAGGACTGTCTGTCTCTATTGGAGGTGCATGGCGGCCAGCGATTTGGCACCACCGTCTTGTGATCGGCCTGGACAGAGAGAAGTATGGAGTGCATCTGTATGATACTGAACCTCCTCGCAGAGGCGATGATCAACCGACAGAAGATATCACAACGTTTCTAGCCGGTCAGAAGAGTTGGGCATTTGGGAGCAAAGAAGGCCGACCAAGCATTCTTTTCCAGCTTTATCCGAAGATCGACCAGTATCCGGACCGAAACAAAGTTGTTCCTTGGCTGGAATGGGAGATTGATGGGGAGACCAAGATCGTTCTCGATGTTGTTAGCCGCTCTCCTCTCAGAGACTTCAAGAATATCCCTGTTCAGCTTGCCAGCAATGTCGAAGGTGGCCGCCTTGAGGCTATGGGCCGGGAAGATTCGCGAATCACCAGCAGCGACTTTCTGCAACATATGATCCCCTTGTTAAATGAGAATGGGGAGCCTAAAAGGGATGAGAAAGGGGTCATCCTAAGTGACCGGCCATCAAGGCACGTACTGGACTATGTCAGAACTCAGTTTCGAAATCAATGTCGGTGCTTATCATGGAGAACGCTGAGATATGGTTCGGTATTTGATCGCCAGCTGTTGAAAGACATCACAAAACAGGATAAAGATGCAAACACGACTAGAAACCTTCCTGATCTGTCCCATAGCGAGATATCTGCCATCCGCTCGTCTGCTAGGAATGCAGAGTTGGACAAAGGAATTGGCGCTAGACTTGCAGCAAAGGATGAATCTCAGCTAGATTCAGCACGAAATAGTCCAAAGCAGTCTGGGACCAAGGTGTACGAGGAGGATGGAACAGCAGACCTTCCAGAGTACAGCGATGTAGATGACTTACCTGATGTCTTGCTGGATCAGACCTCTGGGAACAACACACCTGCTCAACGACGTGGGAATCGTGCTTCCAGGAAGATGTCTAAGCTATTTGATGTTGCAGGAACTTCTTCTCAAACGTTGGTTGGAGATACGGTCCAAACCGGTTTTGAAGTGATTGATCCAGCTCTCCTTACTCCAGCTGCCTCGCAAATAACAACAATAACAACGACAACAACAGAGCATGCCGAGCCCTCGACTAAGAACACAGGTCAAAACACTCCCCAGCTGCCTGTGACCACTCTCAACATACCTGCTACCTCGTCACCTCCAACGGCTGACACAACCAAAGCTGTATCTGCACCCAGAGGTTCTGCTTCTCCTAGTCTTGTTACTTCAGCTCCATCTACCGATACTCAAGATCCTTCAGATCCTTCAGCAGATAGCGAGAAGGCTGTCCAGTCTACTGCTGCTACTAAGTCTACTGCTGTTACTAAGACTCGCCCTGTGTTATCATTAAACACAGCGACAACAGAGGAACAACTTGGTAACGACTTGCCGAGCCCAAAACGCAGATGCACTACTAATGAAGGAGGAGATCCAGACAGTGATAGCATTCAGGTGACCAATAATTCTAAACTTCGAACACAATCTCCCGAACTTTCTCTCCAGCATCAAAACATTGCATCACCACCATACCCTACAAACGTGCAAGAGCTACTCGAGCAGTTTGGTGCAACTTCACGACCAGGAGGAGCTGCATCTCCTCTCCTAAACTCAGGAGCTGTGAATACTACTATTTCTTCCACTCAAGAGAAAGCACAACCTGTCAACCAGAGTTCAGAAAGCCCACAGCCGAACAGTCCTGACGAAGCACTACCAGCAATCCCAACATCTGCTACACCCATCCGTTCGCGATCTGTGTCACCTGCTCCAGCAATGCCGAGTTCTTATCAACCCATCCAACCGCGACCTGCTCCACCGAGTCCGATGTTGCACCACAATCAAATGCAGATGCTCTCAGCTGAACAAGCGCGCTTCGCCGCCACCTCGGACAGAGTCTCTTCGCTAGAATTATCCAAGGCAAGGCTCTTCAACGCCTGGCTGAAAGACCAAGCCGATACCAGCGATGGTGCTGCTCTTTACGGACCTAGATTCAACATTTCCCTGTCCAGTCTGGGTTCCAACAACTCTGCCCGAACTGACGCCGAGATGCGCACCTTCATGTCGAGCTACAACATCCCAGGCAACTGGTCCGCATCGAGCATCGACCTCCGCCAAAATGAAGAGCTACGCCAGGCAGTCCACCAAGCCATCTGCGAAGCCGCACACTGGGATGCTAGAAACTACGTCGAGAACAGCAACCTCAGCCGCGTCGACCTGAGCACCGACGGCGGTTTCTTCCTGGCGCGCGCATTCTGGGCCAGCATCACGCCGAACGATTGCCGCTTCTGGAACTTCACCTCGACCGAGCAGCTCAACCGCTCCCTCCACGCAGCCCTGTGGCGCTACAGGCAGCTCACCGGTCGCGCCCTGGCCGCGCCAGGCCACCCTGCCTTCCTCGCGGTCGAGACCAGCTACCACGACGCGTGGTGTGAGATCTACCGCCAGATCTTCCTGCCGTATTTCCTACGGTTCAAGGACCCCGTCGAGGCGGCGTGCTGGGCCCCGCAGCTGGGCATGCTGGCCAAGTGGGAAGGTGGGGCAGAGAGCTGGGCGAGGAGCCCTACCCATGTCCAGGACGGGTTTGCCTGCCGTTTCGATGTGGAGGGGAGGGGGGCGTTGGATCCGAGGAGGGATGCAACGGTGTGGGGAGCGGGGAGGAAGGTGTTTCTGCCGCTG